TTGAGAAATCAATTGGGAGAAGCTCGTCTCATAAAAAATGATTGACAAAATGATTTCGTCAAAACCTATATCAAAATCTTAATATTAGTTTGCGAAAATTTCCCAGTCCACTTCGAATTTGTGAGTCACCGCAAGCTCAGATACGAGTTAAAAAATTATCTTTCAGAAAAAATACTACACTTGCTACATCGGAGCGAGATCAGTTATTATGTGGTTACCAGGGAGTCCAGGACAATTATTATTTTTTTTTTTTTTTAGGTTACCATTTAACTAGTTTTTCTATACTAAAAATTTTTGTTTTGGGAATTGAAAGTTGAAACTACCAAAAGACATATCCTTGATACCCATACCAAGCATATACAAAATTATATTTTCTTGGTTTCATTTAGGTGGTTTGTAACGGTGTACAAAGTTAATAAAACATCCTTCTCCCGAAAAACAATAATCACTTCAATCCAACTAAAAAAAAAAAAACCTAACCCCAAGTTTATGTTCATTTGGTCAATAGGAATCCGCTAAAAGTGTCCAAAAATACTAGGAAAAGATATATAATATTATATAATAAACATAATAAAGTTCAATGGCCTTTATTTTATTTATTTATACACACAAACAGGTTAGTACCTAATTAATAAGGTACAGAACATAATATTTAATACAGTATAAATATATTTAAAATAATGAAAACGATAATTATATATTAAGGAAAGATAGGTGATCATTTGCCAGTTTCATTAGCCGATTGGTCGGTTGATTCAGCACGTAATTTTTTTTATGCAGAAAGAAACGCGGAAAGAAATTCAATCCGAAGGTATTTTCGGAGATTAGTTTATACAGTGTAGTCATAAGACTGATAAGTGTGCCTTTAACTGTCAAGTATGCTTCAAATTCGGTAGAAGTAATTGATGACGGGAGATTGTTTTACTAATATTATCATTACCTAAATCCTAATGGGTTTCTTCAACTAACAATAGCACCGTCTTAGTAATTTTAGAACTAGTTACATGCCACCTAAAGCACTGAAATTAATTAAAATAACTCATAAGAAAATAATGAAGTTATAGTAAAAAAATGAATTTTATATTCTTGAGGAAACTTATAAATTATTATATTAATAACAATCCATCAAGAAAACTACAGGTTTCGACGAAATCGGACGAAGTAGGTGAGCCAACTTCACAACTTTGATAACTCGTATCTGAGCTTTCGGTGACTCGTAAGTTCTGAGAGTGAACTCATAAGTTCTCGAAAATTAATACGAACATTTTGACACCGATTTTAAAGAAATTGGACGAAGTTGGTGGGCCAACTTTATAGACGTCGTATATTTATAAGTATATGGGACGAATCCAAAAGTGACTGATTTGGTAACTAGAGCTTACTAAAACTAAATTAAAAAGAAGATAACAAACATACTAGAAGAGGAGAAATACTGAATAAGAAACTGATGGTAAAATAAAAATCATGGTTTACAGTGCTGTTTAGATAGATAGGGAAGTTTTCAACGAAATATGTCGGAGAAAATATAATAATATATAAATTCTACCAGATATATTGGTCAGATGTGTACATGAGGCACTATTTCTGAAAGCAAATATTGTCTAAACTCTAGATGGTACCTTAAAGTGGTCATTTTTTAATTTTCCAAGCGGTTTTTATAATATCTGGTAAAATCCAGGATAAAATTTACAACTCGTAAAAGGTTTAGTAAAACAAAAAAAACATCCTATTTGTAAAAAAATAATAACAGAACCTAATAATGTACAAATATAGTTATAATATTATATTATAACTTGATAAAAATTTAGGGAACGTGACTCGTGAGTATAGCTATTTGACGAATATGAATAAAATAAAGAAGTATTTTATAAGTACATGTTACATAGAACAGCCGAAAAATCTTTCAAAAATTTACCAGACGCGCTTATCTTTGGTTTTAATAAAAAAAAAGTGCCACCTTAGGAATGTATATAATATATTAATTTGCTTGTATCATAGCGAAAAATTATAATAAAAGCGATAAATTTGTATGAGTACGACACGTACGCCATTAAGTGAAAATGTAAGAACCACTATTATACACATAATAAAAATAAAACATTATTTTATTGAACCTAATACCGATTAATATACCGGTAATATATCCTGTTGTCGGTGAGTTTTACTCAATTTCGACTACCATGACGACATTCCGATCAGACTACACAAACGACAAACTTATATTTTAAAATAGAATTAATCGAATTTTTCATTCATCTTGTAATATTATAATCATTTTACTATATTATTGAATATAAAATTATCCGATACTCATTTTTATCAAATTTATTCTGCAATCAACGTGCATCGTACAAAAATTATTTAAATATTATAATATGTGAGTAATTGGTAAATTTCAAAAATATTATTATTATATACTACAAACTACATAAATATTATTTCTATAGTAAATAAATCAAGTCTGGTCAACAATAATTTTTGTATATTATGTCGGAATGTCAACGCCTGCGTTTTTGAACACAAAATCTTGTGCCGAAAAATTGTTTTATCTCGAGTATGATTTGGCGTAACACGGCTTACAACAAAAATTAAAGAACACAACAATTTGTTCTAGAGCTTAATACTAATCATCTATGACATATAATACATTTAATTAACTATTAATTTGTAAATTAGGAAAAAAAAAATACTTCTTAATCTTGAATATTGGTTGTTGTCAAAACTGTACCTCGATCTCTTAAAAGAGTTGGTTTTTTTTCAGAAAATGCAAAAACCAATTAATATAATAAAATTGTTGATAAAAGGTTAACCAAATCTTTTATACGACTCTTAAGTATTTTGACAATAATATTAATATTGGCTTTACGCGATATTATTTCAATGTTTATAATATTCTCCTTTCTTTTTGCATTTTACGTGGTATTTATACTAAATAATACGCATTTTTTGTCTGTAAAATTTCATTATTTCATTTTTTTTAACTCCTTTTTTATTATTATTTTTATAAAATTTGATTTATAATATTCATTTTTGATATTTTTAGAAATATAAAATACTGCTTTGACAATGACAATATGCTCAAAATATGTATTTTACAGGTTGATAAACCCGATTTCCTAACATAAATTTTAAAAAATAATTATTTTATCGTCCATTGTAGACTGAATTATTTTGTTTTACTATTTGAGCAAAGACTGTTTTACAGGTAAGTCAATGGAGCCTGTGTTGCACTTAAAATTTCAACCACCACTTATGATTTGTTGACGTTTTACGATTTAATATTATCTTATTTTCGTACAAAAATAAAATTGGTAGTGTATACGATAGTTTTTTTGTCAGGTTATGACAATGGTATTTTGATATTGTATATTTTTATGTTGTCTGAAGTCGTTAGGCCCGTAATAACGGGAGAGGGGGGGAGTTGGCAAAAGGAAGAATTGCCTCCCTAGACCCGTTCGTTGCCCCCTAGCATTTTTCTCAAAAGACAGCGATTTTCAAATTAATCGTTATATTAAAAATAAGTTTGGCCTACCAATAAATGATAATTTAAATGTGGTTTTGGTTATGGTAGTGACCATACGATAATTTTATAAACCTGTGATTTTTTCTAATGCCCCACCGCTATTACATGATTTCCCTGAAGAATTGATTTAACTACGGGCCTGGTAGTCGTTATTATGAGATATTATTGCAAGTGGTTCTTAGTCGATTGAAAATATGGTAAAATGGAACACAAGTGAAAATATTTTTTATACATTTTTAAAATAACAATTTGATATTTGTGATGATGATTTGTGCAAAGAAATAAAATTATTAAAAAACATGCCAGGTATTCCAAATAATAGTACTCAGGTCATATTGGCTACAAAATTCTAACCAAATGACTACTTTTTCTAACATTTCTGAAATTGTACAGCCATTTGTCGGAATACCTACCAGTTACAAGTTGTAACTTGGGAATGTTGTTTCTCAAAACAAACTGTTGTTAAAAGTAAACTTCGAATAAGATTGGATTCAACTAATGCCGTTATTTGTTAAATAAGGGGAACGAATGTAATGAACACGTATCACTTATCAGTGATAAGTGATAAGGTAAGTAATCAAGGAGTTAAAATATCATTCAACACAACACATCGCTTCATATTATAATTTGATAATTGTTGTACAATTTTTTTTTATTTAGTTGACTAAAAAGTGAAAATTCAAGTTAAGAAAATCGTATTAAATTTGTATTGTTTATAAATAATATGAATTTTTAAATAGGAATTAAATAAAATAATTATGCTGTAGATGAGATTATATCCTAGAGCCAGCCATGTTTCTGACTGAAACACTCGCAGCACCTATATTATTATTAAAAATTATTAGAAAATGTGGGTGAGAAGTTGGGAAGGTAGGATACATAAAGTTATTTAATTTATAATTATACACAACGATAAACCATTATTAATGGAAAACGATTCTGAGCTTAGTTCGGTTATACATGTTTTAATATCCGTAATTTTAACGATTTTCAAAATTTAAAATTAAAATGCTTATAAATAAAAAATACTGCATTAAACCCAATTTTTTTTTTTACCACTTTAGTAGTATGCTTTATAATTAACCTCGTGTTAAATTTTCAAGTATTTTTGTTTGATCAAACAATTTTATTCACATAACACTTAAGTACCGAATAATAATTAAAAAAAAAAACTAGAAAAGTAAGATTCCTATTAATAGTTCAAAATCGCCAGAATGTTTTAAAAACTAGACCACGTACAAAAATGATCAATATACGCCAATATATCGATACGCTCAGAATCTAAAAAAAAAAAAAAACAATAAAGCCAAGATCGATTACGTTGTCGTCGACATCGTCGTCAATATCATAGGTACATAACAATAATAGTAATAATTATTAACAGAGGCTACACTGTGTACACAATAATATTCATCAGCATCGGAAAAAAAAAACAATAAACACCATCGTAATAATAATAATAGTATATAGTGGGTCACAATATAGGAACGGCTAAGGTTGTACGCTTAAAATATTATTATTAAACTGTTGCGGGTTTTAGTGACTAGTGGACGTCGTGTGTGCGCGCACAGAATTTACGATACGATATCTTAATAATATATTAATATCATTACTACCTATGAAGATTTTGAACGAAAAAAATATCATTATTATTGTTATTATTATCTGACCACCTATTCGTTTTTTTTTTAATTAAAATTATCATCAAGTCGAATAGCTATAATAATAATCATATATATTTTATAACGGCACTGTTTTTCGTATAAATTTACGTTTATGTTATATTTTCTTCGTTAAAAAAATAATAATATTATCACCGCGATGATTTTCACAACAGAATACAACTATGTCGCCTCCGTTCACTATTCGTACTCGACTTAAAAACGGTAAGTACACCTATTTATACAACACTAGTACCTAGGTAGTATAAATATACTAAATTTTGTAATTTTTTCTCCCTCTTGAAACGTTTCGTTGAAATTTCATTACGTGTTTGTTCTGTTTATACGTGTGTATTATATATACTCCATATATTATTAACGAAAATACATACTTGAATTAATAGTATAAAATTTTAAAAATGTGGCTGATACTGCTGACAGGTATGTCACCGTTTTAAAAAAGAAGTTTAAAGGGAGAATATATAGAGTAATTCAATTCATAACTGTACTCATCGATAAACCGTTGCCAACGAGAAACGATTCTGATTATAATAATATATTAGTCGTGTTTTTCCCTTTATTGCTCATAATGTAACCCAAAAATCAACAAAAATTGTATACAAATTTGCCAGTGTTTCCTATTTGATTAGAAAGTTACAAGGAAAATCAAAAAATTATCTTCCCAATGCAATAACTAAATCCATAATGCTACAAGAGAGTTCCTGTACATTTTTTTATTGGGAAGATAATTTTTATATAAAAATAAATAAAAAAAATCGATTACAGATACAAAAAAAACATGTCATAGGTACCAAGTAGTACCAATGGATAATTTACGCTCATACGATCAAAGTCTAAAAGTAAATAAAATATTCCAATTTTTTCAAACCTATATACATTAAAAAATGTGGAATTTACACCCGTCGGTAGGTACCTAAATTATATGAAAAATGTTTTAATACATTCCCAACAGTTTTTTTTTTTATAAAAGTAAAACTGAAAATATCAAACAACAATACATCAGTTTTATTTTGGATTTTTTTCTGGCATACAGTTTTGTATTATTTTTATAAACCAGAAGAATAACACGACTAATACGTCATAACCTTACCCGTTTATCGAGCATCGTTCATAATTGTTTCTTAATTGCAATTATTGATCGTTACTTTCCGTATAGAAACTAAATTACCTTAATTACCTTCCTAACTTCCCACCTACAACTCGCGGTGCACACCATATTTTTTAATTATAATTTTTTTTAACGGTCCAGCCGAATAACGATTTTGTTCGATACATTTTCTGTTAGACGTTAATTTAAAATATATTTAGGTAGGTAAGTACATTAAGTCGTAGAATATCTAATGATTTATTATTACGTAGGTAAGTTGGTAATTAACTCGTTTATGATCTTAAAATGCGTGTCGTTATATATTTTAAGCCCCTAAAATATTATACAGTCCAGTAAGTTATATTGTTTGTCTTATTTTTAAAATCGTAAATTATTATTTTTCATCATCTCGTTTGTTCGATTTATTTCCCGGCCAGTACAACGATTTAACGTTATCCACACGAAAATATTATTTGATAACGAATTATAGTTTCAATAAAATTAGGTTTTACCTGTACGGAAACACGTTGAAAGTTTTCAATTTTAAAGTAATCGTCTTGTCCTATCTTATAATATCGTTATAGCAATGTTATATTTCTATCCCCACGACGACGATACATTTTTTCTAATGATAGTTTCACTGAATATAATATTATTTTAGTATAGCGATAAGTATATTTTATACATACGCAAAATATTATGATAGCATTGTAATAATTAATAATTATAAATGGACGAATGCAATTATATTATTAACATTATTACTATAACTACGTATTAAAAACGGTTTTTAATTTTCCAAAGAATAAAAAACAATCAGCATGATTACATACTATATTATAATACGGTGTATAATAACGCGCAGTTTAAAGGAAGTGTGTTGGTACACTGGATCGAGTATCCATTCAGTTCGGTTCAATCGCATTAGGGTGGGCACCAACGAATACAAATCGCGAAATTATTCACCTAAAATCACTACTAGTGAATTGGAATATTATTATTTTTTTCATAAATAAGATTTGATGGTATTGTTTCACCTACAAAAAAAAATGTTTAGGTCCACCTTAAGTCTTATAGGTATTCGCACAAAGCCAAAAAAATTGCAGTTACAGTCATGGCAATGCCTTGGAAAAGAAGCCTCTTGGAGTCAGCTAGGTGCCTCGCCACCATCTGGATCATTGTATTATGTTCTCATGTTTAAATCAAACATTAAATAAAAATTGTTAAATGCATCTATTTTGATAATTATTCCATTTTATTAGTTACCGTATTAAATTTTTTTTTATTATTATAGTGTTCATTTAGTTATTTTGCAAACAATCTTTTAATGATGTAGAGACTAGTTATTGCAAATAAATGAAAACAATTGGTGAACTCATAACATATATGCTTAAAAATAATTCTTCTATTGGTTATTCTGAAGTACTGGGAGCTTGTTTGTTATTCATAATATTACCTGCAGTTACAGTTGACCCTGCAGAAAGATCTTTCTTCAAGTTAAAAAACTCATAAAGAATTTCTTAAGAAATTCGATGGCTCAAAATTGTCTGACTAATATAATTTTATACTAAACAATAAGCATTGAACAACCCCGAACCTACATTATATACATTATATATATATATATATATTTTATGCCAATATCAAGTAGGTACGATAAACTAATATTTTATTAATCATCATTATTTTTATTTTTTTGTTACAACTTTTTTATAATTTTGAATAAGGTAAACTTTTTTTTTATATATTTATATGTTTAAATTAGTGATGGGAATCCGAAAATCCGAATTTTTCAAAAAAACGCTTTAACACTTAAATAATTTTTAAGTGGCTTAAATTACTGTTTTGTGAAAATCTGGATTTTTGGATTCCCATCACTAGTTTAAATATATCTGATCTTTACATTTTGCAATAATTTTATTATTACTATATTTTAACAAATACTATGTCTATAATAATATATATTCCTACGCGCTAGATTTTAAATATTAGAACGGATGCTTAAATGTCATGAATTTCAACACCTTTTCTATCCCTGAAAAAAAAATTAGTATGCTCCACATGTAAATACTTATAGATATTCTTTGTAACGATACTTTAAACTTATGTGCAAGATATTATTATCATCTGCAATAAAAACTGTGGTATCTGTAACCACAGAATAGATTACATATTTTGAAGGATAAAAAATTTAATAATAACAATAGTTAATTTATTTTACAACCATATTCTAAATAATCAGGTCTAATATCGAACGGGTGCTTTTCCTCCCAAACATTTTCTCACTGGTATTCAAATCTTCAGGCATCCATGTACATGATAGGTATGGAACGTATGCAACTTGATAATACAAAAAAAAAAGCTATTTAAATTTTAATAACAACACACTGGATGATATCTATATATCTTATATACAATATATCTTCGTAATGATTTATGAATTGTGGGCCTAAATTGTGAAAAAATATTACGAACATAAGCCTTAGGGCCCCTTAAATTGATTGTGACTGAATATCAAAAATAAAATGAAGGAATACATAGAAAAAAAAATTATACAAATTGGTCATTTTACATAGAATATAGGAATAATTTATTTTAATAGGAGAGATTATTTAAAATTAGTTATCATTAGACATAAATGTTTACGTATGTTGAGAAATATAAATTATTTGATTATAATTTATTATTTAAAACGTATTGACATAATATATTATTTTTATAACACATTTCTGAAATAAAATTTTAAAAAACTTATTCAAATTTGGCTAAACATGTTTTAGAAAATAACTATAGTATAAGTTTTGATATTAATACAGACTTAGAATAATTAAATACCTAAAATAACATTTACATTAATTCATTTTTAGAAGAATAACACATACACAATAAACTAAAGAAAAATAATTTTAATAATATTTTAAATGTACAAATTGATTTTAAAAATAATATCTTATGTCAATACGTTTTGAATAATAAATTATAATCAAATAATTTATATTTCTTAACATATCTATGTATATCTAATAATAACACATTTTGAATAATCTCTCCTATTAAAATAAATTATTTCTCCGTAAAACGTCCAATTTGTATAATTTTTTTTTTCTAAGTATTCCTTCATTTTATTTTTTATATTCAGTCACGTTTTACATTTTAACTGTAATATTTGATGATGAATTTTTAATTCGAAACCAGTTGTATAATACACTTATCATAATACTCCAGGCTACGCATTCATTAATTAATTTATTTTATTTTTATGTATACTTTTTAATTTATATATTTATTTACTTTATTTATTTCCAAATATTAAGCATTTTAATAATTTTGTTTTTACTTTATTATTTCATTATTTAATATATTTTAACACGAATTGCTAAACTTCACTTAATGTTAACTTATCATTAAATTAATATGATATTTCGATTGTGTTGCACCATCGATTTTTAAAAATACCTACTAAAGTGAAGAATACTTAAATTAGTTTTTGATGTTTTGCTTCAAACTTCAAACAATTTTAACAATTTTGAGGTTAAAAACTAATGATTTTCATAATTTTCAACAACAACTATAAACTGGACTAAAAATAATCTATTACTATATCTATTCTATAATATCATGACTGTTGGCTTCAAGTATGGGCATCGAGTCAGGCATCTAATATACAGTATATATGTGGTTTTGACAGAGAAGTACACAGAATAGCGGCCGACCAATCAAAAGATTGAAGATTAAAAGAAGAAAAGAAAAAATAATTTAACTGAAACAAACGAATCCAGTGTTGTCGATCCTTAACTATAATATTAAAATACATTATAAAAAAAAAAAAACTCGAGTGGTTTAAATATACGAATATTATATTATTAACTATAATAATATGTTACATTGGCTGTATCAAAATCAATCGTTTCTTAATGTTCGTTACAAATAAGTACAAAAACATTACCTATACGTTAAAAAAACACATTATTATAAGAAACGATTGAATATATTATTACGTTTTATAGGTAAGCTACAGAGTAATTTTTTTCATCGCGATCCAACGATCTATATACGCAGATTTGTTTTAATTTTTTAAATGCCCTAGGGTTCTATTATTCAAACGACAGGTCATACGCAGATTTTGAATACAATTATTAATTTTGAAATTATTATAAATTATTAATTTTAGATTCTGAGCGAAGAAATTTTTTTTATTTTTTGACTTTCCCAAGAGTTTTTATAATAAATGGAAAAAACGTAGAAAAATCAGGAAAATTTACGAAATGTATTATTATCAAATCGTAAATATTACGGTCTTTAAAAACATGTATATAACCGAAATACACTCAGAATCGTTTTTCGTTAGCAATTAATTATTGTGTGGCAGATATATATTAAATGTCTCCTCTACATTCCCAACTTTTCACCTACAACAGTGACCCATCCCGTCGTGCGAATTTTGTCAATTTGTTTTTTGGTCTTATATTTTATATTTATAATACTTTCAATATTTCACTATATTCTGTTCATCATAAAAACATATTGAATTTTGAGTTTTCAATAGGAACCCCTTTTTTCAACCCAGACTCGAAAATAGAATATTTTTCTTAAAAAATAAATATATGAATCATTGAGTCTTAACAGTTTATAAATTTAAACTTGAATCGAGTTCAGAAGAATTTTATCGTCTCAAAATACATATGCAATGTATATTACCCGTCCCTATTACTCTTCTTCGGTTTACATTGTAACTTTTATAACTCATAAACAGTAAAATTGATATATTATTGTAATGCATAAATATCAACAATTTAAAAAAAAATGTAATTTATTTCTTTTTTAAGCCGCAATATTTAATAGGGGTGTTTAAAAGAAATTTAACCGTGGGTTCGATAGGTAGTAGAGAAAATGAGAGAAAATAGACCAAGATGGTTTTGATATATCATGAGGAAAAGGAATCTGAAGCAATAAGAATTGTAATGGAAATAAACGTAATAGGAAAGTAGGGGACAAAGGAAAACCGAAAAGAGGTAGTTGAGAATAATATGAAGACAGTCGGTGTATGTGAGGTAAGACGATAGGGTTAAATATGAAAGCGTAGTAGAAAAAGAAGAGTGTTTAATAGAGCGGTCCGTTTTTAACGAAAAGTTAACTCACTCATTCAATGTACCTATATAAGGGATAAAATATTGAAAATAATGTTAAAATAAATATCAATAATTTTATAATAAATAATGATTTGAATATTCTACAGAAATCATATTTACTAAATCCTCCAGGAAAATTGATGGTTCGTGATTTAAAAAAAAAAAAAACACTATTTCTCTGTATTATTAGGTCACTGTATAAAAAAAAAATTGCTGCAGTGCGTGTTTATTATGTATAATCATTTTTAAGTAGGTATACACGTTTCGAAAACAAGGAATTTGAATTCGGTTTAATAAACACACTAACACAAATAATAATTATATTTTATATATTATTATTATATTACATCGCGACCGGATTTTAATTGACTTAATATGTCGAAATCCATTCGGTCATCATTCGTTATACAAAAATAATTTATAATTAGGGCCAGGATTAAAATGTCCTAAAAACTATCGAAAATGCTCTAAATAACAGCCAAAAGTGCCGTAAAAAAATATACTATTAGCGAAATAATACCCTTAGAAAGTGTTCTGAAAATGGAAAAACAGAGAAAAATTAAAATTAAAAGTTTCACTTTTATTGATGTTATTCGTTTATATAAATTATATACAGCGACGATACTTTAATACGATGTTATTATATCTATAATAACAAAGTATTTATAATGTATACGCTAAGAATAAAAAAAATTAAAGACGGACATACCTTGCACGATTGGTGGGCCACTGTTGTAGGTGAGAAGTTGGGAAGGTAGAATATAAAGGGGAATTGAATGTATATTTGTACGCACGCAACGATGAATATTTGCTAATGAAAAACGACTCTGAGCGGATTTCGGTTATACATGTTTAAAAAACCGTAATATTTACAATTTTCGTCTAAAATTTGAAATTAAATTAGATTCAATTTTAATTCGTATAAAAAAACAAAATATTACATTAAACTCAACTTTTTCTTGTTGATCACTAAGTAAAACTTATAATAAACCACATGTTATTTCTGTTTGGTCTTACAATTTTATCCACAGAGTACCTACCGAATAAATATTACGTAAAAAACTCGCAATATTAAAATATCTGATTGTTTAAAAATGGCTCAAATTTTCCATTTCACCAAGTCTATAAAAGGCAAATATAAGGTTTCTGTCAAAATGTTAAATCTCCACGAATATTTTTTACTAAAATACACAAAAAAAAAAAACAAAATTGAAAATAATAAAAGAATTATTTCCGTAAATTTTCTCATTTTTCCTTCGTTTTTTCCTGTTTATTGGAAAAACTCCCGGGAAAACCAAAAAATAACCTCCTTAAAGCACCACCCCAGGAAAATTACCTTTCTGAAAACGTGCTATACGAAGCAAGTTTTCTGGTAAAATTTTCGTACACAACATAAAAAAAATAATAACAATAAACATCATTGTAATTCCCCGTTCCTCTCTGAATTTAAAACGCCGGATACTAATCATGGGTGGGCCGCTGTTGTATATGGGAAGTGGAAATGGTAAGATAATATACGTGACTACGTGACTGCTATACGTGAGTATTTTAATATTACCAAGAGAAAAATGTATGATTAATCCTGTATCGAGTTTTTGAGAAACTAACAAAACTGAAGACAAAACCACTAAAATTTCAAATAGCTATAAATAACTAAAATAAACTCCAGAATGTTTGAATAATAATACTACGTCTAGAAAATGTTAATATAAAGATTCGAAAACTCGTTAACGAACTGAATAAAAATACATAAAATGAAAAAAAAACGGACATACTTCGCACGATGGATGGGCCACTGTTGTAGGCGAGAAATTAAAAAGATAGGATAAAGAGGGAAATGTAAATTATATCTGTACGCTACGATAAACGGTTGCTAACGAAAAATGATTCGAGCGAATACGCGTACGTAATGTTTTCAGTTTTTCCCAATTATTATGGAAACCGCTTTGAAAATCAAAAAATAATGACTTCCTTAAAGTACCACCCAGATAAAATTTCCTTTCAGAAGAGGTACTACACTTGAAAACGGAGCAAGTTTTCTGGTAGAAAAGCCGTTCGCAGATAAAACAAAATGAACATCGTTGTAGAAACCAATAAATTTCTCGCAACACGTTCTAAAAGCGCAAATCATAGCATTATTGTTGTTATTACAGTAATAAGACCCCGTAGACCTAATGGAAATCAAAAAGTCACCCGAAAGTAGTGCGGTCCGGGTGCGTGTGGGAGGCGGAAGGAGGGGTTCGCGCGAGGTCATCGTCTCAAAAGCATCGCACGCCGTCGCCGTGTCAATGAAAGTCTGCGGTTTTTATACTATTATATTGTTATCATTATCATTGTATCGTTAGCCCGCCGTCTGTGCAGCTCATTGCTTTGTTATTGTTCGGTTGATTTTTTTTTTTTTTTTGTTCCTTCTTCGCGGGCCCGGTCCCCGGTCGTCGTGACTGCGTACTGAAAAAGTCAAGGACGCGCGGCGATACGCGCGCGTTTCGCAAGCAGAACGCGGCACGCGTGATTCGGATTTTAAAACCGTGGCGGCGACGATTTCAATCTAGAAAATACCATCGTTACTGTCGTCGGCCGTTAGTAGTGGTTGTTTACGTCAATCGCGATCGGGCTTTTCACGGTCGTTACGATAATAACGACGCGTACGCGTCTACCGATGCCCGCGCGTCCGCACCGCAACAATGCCATTATATCATTATTATCGCGTACCGAGGCGGATATATCGCGCGGTGCGCGATAAGAGACGCTCGTGCGGCGTAACCGGCGCGTCACAATAAAAATATTAATAATTCAATAATAATACAACGCGATTGTAATAGTACCATTACTATCGTTGTTGCGATATTGCAATACGGCTGGAAGAGAGAAACGTTCGGAATAACGATATTGTAGCGGTCGCCGGCGCGTACTATTTCAGCCGCCGTCGCGTACCATTACTTTATCGCGCGTAGAGATTGCGGGTATTACGCGCAGATGGCTATGTGTTCAATTTACGCGACCGCGTTGTTATTATTCCGCGGCCGGGTATGTGTGCGTGCGCGCGTTACGCGGTTCGTACGGTAATAAAATACTCGACGAACAACAATATAATCACTATTATTATTAGGTATAATTAATAATATTGTCGGTTATTGTTACGGTACTTGCGTTGCGTATTGTTGTGGCAGAAAAAAAAAAAAAAAACGGATCCGGGTATTATTGTCGCGCGGGCTACGGCCGTTGCGCGCGGTCCGCCTCCTTTAGACACCGATCAGAGATTTTCAATCGTGAAAACAACAAAAAGATACGCATCGATACGTGTTTACGAGCGTCCGATGAGGTTTCGTATACGCGAACAGCTGTGTACACGCACTGCACGTAAAGCGGCCACGGTCTGATGCAGCGGCCGTCACTAGAATTTCGGATCGATATTAATTTTGAAAATTATTCGCGGGCCGCGGGCGCTTTTTTTCACGTAAACTTTTCCCGAAAAAAAAAAATCCTTTCCAAATTCGAGTGTAGCGAGATATGTCTGTTTATTTGTTATTTTTCCTATACTACGTCTCCTTTACCATAAATCCTGTTCCGATCAAAAAATGACGAGAGACGTATTTTTCGATTGCATTTCGGATTTAAATTGGTGCGCTGGTTTATCGTTGGGTACGGACGTAAATTAAATTAATCTCTGCATACATACAAAATATATCATTTTTTTAATCTCTTCATACTTCCCAACTAAAACAGAGTCGCGCCCATCACAGCAGTATCACATTTTTTTTATTTTTTTGTATTCGAATAGGACTTTTTAAAATACATTTTGACAAAATATTATTCGAATACCTATATACGCACGTATTCCGTACATAGTATTCGATTCGATTACAGCTACCACCGAGGATTACGTTACTATTATGAACGTAAATATTGTTATCGCCGTAAAAAAAAAAAGTTATTCTGTTCGTTGCAGGTATTGTACCTAGCTATTGTACCAGATAGCAAATCCGTGGTTTTTGGAGAAACGGATGGCCAGTTACGTCTGGACGTTTCAGCACGGTGCAGTCCACCAGCAAGCGTGATGCCCATCAGCGGCAACACGTTGGCCAAATACTTGGTCATGGTGTCGCAGGTGATCGCTTGGTGTACGGTGAGCGCGATGCTACTGCGACGCGGCCTAAACCAGGTAAACGCCGTCGGAAATACCGAGACGACAACGCAACGGCCCGCGGCGCCGTTGTACGTCAACGAGACGCACAACGACGACGATCCGGTGGCGGTGATGGCGGCCACAGCCGAGACCGTACTCAGGAACGGACTCGATAACGAGACCGCGGGCGTGCACCGTGCCGCGGGGCCGACGGCAAGAACGCTGGAAAACAGTGGTACGCCCGCCGTGGTGGCCGGCATCATAATGATCACGATCGCGGTCATCATGTTGATCATCAGCCCCACCATCATGCTAATGAAGATGATCGAGAAACGAAACAAAAGGATATTGGATGCGGTAAGAGCGCGCCGAATCACAAAATATTAGACGTGTTTCGGCGATGCAGTTTTCGGTAAACAGTTTGCTGCATTGGTTGCTGTTGTCGCGACATCGCTAAAAAAGTTTGTTTGCCAATTGATAACCAGTAACCGAAGACAGTAAACATAGGTTTTAATTGTTTGCCAATTCCGGCGACCCGTGGGTTGCCGAAAAGTGCATTCAAGTATCAAACAATTGCAGTAAACAATATCGCCAAACAGTTTGTCGCTAGAGTAGTAACCAAATTGCTGAAAACTGCGTCGCCGAAACAAGTATTTTATAAAATTATAATGCACAATTGGCAAAAGTAAAGCTAAGTATAAATTTAAAATATATGTATTAAATTTGATTTTTTTTTTTTTAATTGAACTTATTTTTTCCTTCTAAACACCATGATACAATCAAAATTATTACCTTTCAGTTAAAGTAATTAATGAAGTATGATACTAAAATTCCTTAAAAAAGAAATCAATTAATACATATTTTTTTTAAATTACACTTAGCTCTAAGTTTAACCACATTTTGATTTAAAATACAAATTAATACATGAAAATGGCTTGAAAAAAAATCGATAAATCTGAAAATGAGGGTCGCCGCCTAAAAAAGTGAAGTTTTGTTGTACATGCGCAAAATACAAGAGTTAAACAAATTGTAAGTCGTAAGAATTTAAGATCCATTAGTCCAGTTTCCTCCCCTCCCCCGAACTATACCATGTATTTTCGTTGATTAGAATTTAAAAAATAAATACGTACGTTAGTCAAGATGAATTTCAGAAATATTATGGTTTTAGATTTGGAACGTAGCGGGGATCTATTGGTTTTACTATGTTTTTTTATAGTTTTTCTTTTTTGTGTCTGTGAACAATTTTTCTACCGGAAATCTTTATTCGATGAGTGCAGCACTTTTCCTGAAAAATAATTTTGTCCTGTTGGTGCAATAAGGAAGTAATTTTTTTGATTTTCCAAGGTTTTGTCAGAATAATTAAGAAAAATCAAAATTAAAATTGATTAATATTTACGGTTTTTATAATCCCTTTAAACACCACGCAAAGTAAATAAATCTAAAATAATATTTAATTCTTTAAATATATAGAAGAGCTTTCTTAATCTTTTTATATTTAAATTAATTTGTGTTTTCCATTTCATATCCTCATCAAAGTAAACACCTACATACTTAACATTAATTACACGAGTTAGTTTAAATAATTAAAATCATAACTCCTATTTTCCAAACAAGCAAGTTAGTGGTTTTCTAAGATATTTATTGGTGACATTGAGACCTTGGATAATGCAAAAACCATAGAAACTGTTAAATTTAATAAAATCGCATTTTGCCCCTGATTCGAGATCATGAATATTTTTCGCCTTTAATAACAGAGCAATATCCATATTTTCTCTGAAACCATATTGGTTACGGTTAATACAATTTGTTGACGTTAAAAAATACTGCAACTGCTCTTTACCAAGTATCTCAAATATTTTACTAATATTTGATATTAAAGCTATAGGGCGATGATAAGAAATATTAGTTACATCATTTGATTTAAAGATAGGGACAACTACAGATTGTTTATATACTTTTGGAAAAATTCGTATTTTAAAACTGAATTATGTAATATATATATGAATATAAAATTAGATATGTAAAAAGTTTGATAATAGTAGGAGTAATTTTTTTTAGTAATTCAAAAGTTATCATATCGAAGCCAGGAGATGTATTATTTTTTGGAATTAAAATTATTTCATAGACTTCTGTTTCTGAGAACTCTTTAAAAAATATAACATCATTAAAATAGGAGTTTATGAGTATTATTGTAGTCATTATAGTTATCATTATTAGAACATTTATTTTTAATGGATAAGGCTATATTAGGGCCAATCTATCAGAAAAAATCATTAAAAATATGAGCGCATAAGAGTAGTTCTTTTACTAGATTGATCTTTTAATTTCATATTGTAAATAATTACTTAAAATAGTATTCTTTTTCTTTCTATCAAAAATATCATCAGTAATATATGTTTAGTATTTTTAATATTAATAGTATTAATTATATTTGTATAATATAAGTTCTTAACTAGTCGAGTTAATGTACATAATTTATTTGTGTACATTTTGAAATATTTAACTATATTAGAATCTTTTTAGCTTTTAAATGTAATTTATCTCTTTTTTTTCAATAGAAATTAAAAGGTAAAATGTAATCCGGGGTTTTAATTTGTATTCCTTTGCGCAAGTAAATTTATGTTGAGTATATAGTGTTAATTCAGCAATAGAACTCATAAAAGTATTATGAAAGTTATTTGCGCAATTATTGACATTTTTACCGATATTGATAGTACTTTTTCTGAAAAAAAATTTGACTGGAATGGTACTTTAGAGACGTTATATTTTTATTGTCTCAGGAGTTTTCCCAATAAATGGGAAAACCCGGAAAAACATGGGATAAACGGGAAAATAGATAGGATATTAAACACACATTATATAAGAAAATGTTTAATGCATATGTAATTATTTTACCTTAATGTAATAAACATATTGTGGACAAAGCAACACTATCAACCGAATTCTACCCAGAATTGTTTTTCATTAGCAATGGTTAATCGTTGCATACAGATATACATTAAATATTGTCTAGATAGTACTTTATAGGTCATTTTTTGGTTTTCCAAGCGGTTTTCATAATATCTGAGAAAATCTGGCAGAAAACGTAAGATAATGCTTTTTATTATTTTCAATTGTGTTATTTGTTTTAATTTAGTTAAAAACATTCGTAGACTTGAAATATAGGCCGAAAACTTATATTTTCCTATTTTTACGAGGTAAAACTGTAAAAACATTTGAGCCATATTTAAGCTATTTATAGACACTTTAATTTTGTGAGTTATTTTTATTTAGTAGGTACTCTATGGATAAAATTGTTAGACAAAACAGAAATGTTTGAACATTAAACAGGCGTTTAATTATAAGTCGTACTTTGCGGTCAAAACAAAAAAATGTAATTTAATGTAATATATTTTTTTTCATAAGAATTTTAATATCATATTTGGACGTAAATTGTTTTCGTAAAAAATTATGTGGAACAAATCGAGTTACTGGTTCATGCAAATTGTTTCAATATAATATTTAATTTCTGAAATATGACATATATATTGTTAAAAAAGCAATACTATTAACCGAGCTCTGCTCAACATTTTTTTGCGGTAGCAATGATTAGTTTTTGCTTACAGATATATATTAAATTTCCCTCTTTATCCTACCTTCCCAATTTCTCCCAACTTCTTATCTACACCAGTGGTCCAACCCACCAGGCAAAGTATGTCCGTCTATTTTCTTATCAATCATTAATATTAAATTTCATTATTTCGCATAAGGTCTGAAGATGCCCCTGCTTATAATCTATATTCTATAACGTCATTATCTTTTATAATTTTCGCAATTTTTCAAACCATTCACATTTTATTTTATGAATATTTATATTCGTTTATTATGGAAAAGTTGCCCCGTCTATATGGCCGTGAGTTTCTCAAACTATATATTCACTCATCCTTTTAAGACCATAATATATAATAATATCTACTAATCAAAAAATTGTTAACGAGTTTACAATTATTTATCAATTAGGTACCACTAAGTATCAGTTATTCGTGATATAAATAAAGTAAAATAAAGCATTAATACAACAATAGTGACCTATTGTTATATTATTATTGTTTTATTTTATAACTGTTATTTGGCACAAAAAAACGAATAAGGTCATAGGGGAGGATCTACCCCCATAGCGCCCTCCCCCATAAAATATATGTCGCAGTTAAAACAATTCAAAATCAATCTATATCTAATTACTAATGGATTTATAATCACTAGTAAGTCATTCTGTATATGACAAAAAAATTATGACTATTGTTTCTACAAACTACTCTTTAAATTTGTTTTGGCTTGTATAGTAGTCGGATATACAGGGTGACCAACATAACCTAAGACAGGGATGGATCCAGGGGGGCCTAGGGGCCCAGGTCCTACCCTCTAGACATATTATTTCTCAGATTTTTGTATGAGAATTGTATGAGAAAATAATATACGTAATGTATTATATTATATTTTAATTGCGTTTGTGTTGTAAACAAATAGTTGCCTCCCCTTAAATCTTTGCTCTGAATCCGTGCCTGACCTAAGACACGCATTATCTCGAAAAGCATTTAATTTTTTTTCGGAATTTATATTTTAGATAATTAAAGAAACAATAAGCAGATCTAAAATGTTACAATACCATTACTTGTGGGTGAATTTCTACCAATTTCAATTTGCAAAAAGCAATTTGTATTTTAAAATTGTATATGAAGTTTTAGTTTGAAAAAATGTTAGTGATGAAATTTTTAATTTCCATCAAATCCTTTTACGAGTTATTCCAAAATTAATTTTGAACGGGGGGGAACATCGGAGCACTATTGATAATGAGTGTCTTATCGAGGACTGATCACCGTGTATAAAATCGGTGATCCAAACGCATAATGGGTACGCATTTGCGTTTGTTTAAGGATCATTCACGCGGTTCACCCGTCACAATTCCGTTTTTTCAACTGTTGGAAAAAAAAATGCAAAATCAAGCGACTTTATTCAAAAAACGTATCGTATGCGAATACCGCGGCGTCAATAATGGAGAACGTATGCAACGGGCCGTTTTGATTTTGTTACAATGAATAATTTTATAATAATTTAACAATTCTATTGTCGGGTAGGTACTCACCGTCACCAAATACGTATTATATTTTCATATGGCAAGGTCGCCGCTAACGAATAACGACGCATCAGCTGCTTTCTAGACGGATGAATATCGCGACCGCAATCACAATTTAGTTCGATATGCGATTGATTAGTCATCTGGTGTTTACCGTAAACGAAAATAAAACTAGCGACAATTATTAATATAAAAAAAAAAAAAAAAACGAAAGAAAACTCAATGCCAAAACGTCCGTAACTATAATGATCGTAGGCGTGCGCAAAACTATTGTACACATTTTTCGTTTTGTTCGTACTCAATTTAGGTAACGGTTTTTCTATGGCGATACCAGAGATTAGGAATAGAATAGGATCAAAGCGATGGTACGGTAACAGTACGTTTCTACCAAATTACAGTGATTCAAGTTTTCAATTGTTCACATTTGCCTGCAGTCTTGTTGAATATTGATGTTTGTAATTGCGTTGGATTTTATTAAATATTTCGTTCAACTAAATAAAGTTGAGTGTAAACGTTTTAATGTTACGTTTCAGCGCAAATCGCCTTATCAAGATAGAGTTGCCAATGAAATCACAGAATATGTTTGTGTAACGTGTTGTATGGAAGGGCAGTTGTCTAATGGAAAAGCATAATTACTTGTTAAGAGAAAGTGGGAAAACCGAGATTTTAGAAATACAGATATAGTAAAAGCTGTACCCGTGAGCACGACTATACTGCCACTGTTATAGGTGGAAAGTTGGTAAGGTATAGGGTGACCAGACGTTCTCTTTTTATGGATACCCTCGTTCGTCCGGGATTTGTTTGAAAAATATCAAAATTACCTTTTTTTACACGTAGTTTGTTTTTCTATATTATAGGTTCACCTTGCTAAGGTAGGTAAGTAAATAAATTCTGATGATTATGGGTGATAATGCGATATTGTGATAAAATATATCTATGGATTGATAAGAACTTTGTTTATTATTATTATTATAACCATTCAAACATAGAATATTTATGGACTATAAAAAACATAAGATCTTATAACACAAAGATATAAGATGTTTTTATAAAAAGTAAAATTATATAAGTATATATATTAATTATTAATATGGTACTAATAATTTATACATATAATTATATAACTTTATATAAGTAAACTTTTTATATAAAGTATTTGTCAATACTTTTCTATGATATAATATAACCATGTTTATAGTACTTTAAGCGTTTATCACACAGATAAAATGAACCGCGATGATATACTGCCAATAGATATATTACATAGTAGTTACTAGTTGGCAAGGTAAACCTTAGTAGGTAGTTAGACTTTTTATGCTGATATGTTACCTATTGTGTTTTAATCAGCAAACTGAGTGTAATAACTAATAGTGTAAAATCCACGGATGCTTTGTATATTAGTAATAATTTTAGTGAACCCTAAAATACAATATGAACAGTTAGGGGAATACGGGGCAAGACCGATTAGTTAAGCAAATATCTTTGTATTAAACAAGCTAATTGAAATAGTTCGGTTTTCATTATATGATTACACCATGTATCTAATTATATTTTATAGCAAAATTATTTTTTTATCAACATTTTTATTTTTTCGACACGCTTTTAAAAATGTCTAAAATCGTATTCAATATGGGACAAAAACGATTTGGTATAATAATATTAAGTCTGGACAAAAATAAATTGTTTACAACTAATTGCACATCTCAAACATTTTTAATTATTATAAATTATTAAAAACAAAACAATTTGCACTTAAATAACGACATTGTCCAATTTAATACTAACCATTTTACTTATTTAACATATGGATGTACCTGAATTAATAATAAGACAAATTAAAACAATCTTAAAAATTAAACTTTAAAATAAACAATACTCTTTTGTTCAGTCTTTTAGTAATTTTAATTTTAAATTTAATAACAATTTTCGGAAATGAAGGTTTGGTCAATATTTTCCTTTTTCCCCACAGCAAGACAAGTGTGCCCACTGAGTACTCATTTGCGGCACATGAAATACTTTTCTTTTGTTCAATAACCGCTTTTATAGCACATTTCACGTTTTCTTCGGGCCATTTTTATCTCGTTGATTTCCGTTTATAATTTCATACCATTCTAAAATAGAATAAACTAATATGTTTTAATTAAATAAGATTTTTCATGGAAAACACATATAGAACTAAATGGGACAAACCCGATCATGTTATCGGAATTGCCCCGTTGGATTTGTCTCTGTCGATCAATATCTATAAATAATTTAATAACATCATAAACGTTATAGGTATCAGGATAAAAATTATTGGAAACAAAACGTCATTAATATACATATCCATTGAAATAAATGCGATTGTTAACTAAGTAAAATGTATAACTTCATAAAAAAAACCTTAAAACGTAAAATATTCTAATGATTATCTGAAAAATCAACTTTCTGCAATAATTCTTTGAATAAACAAAATTTGTTGACGCATATGGTGTTTTATCGGAGGCAGAATTGTGACTAATAAGATACATGTGTTTAAAATCACTTATTATTTTTAGATCGCACGTAATCTCGAGTATCAGTTTTGCCCCGTGTTTCATTGAAACTCAAAAATTGAACTCAAAGATTATTTTAAAAAAAGTTCTCCACAGTATCTAACTAATACATTTTTATACCACTAAGTGCAACTTATGATGAAAGTCGTGCAAAATGTCCAAAAATTTCAGCTCGGCTAAAACAATTTTATCGGCGTAAAACCAAATAAATTCTGAAAAACAAACGCGAAAATGTTACATATCTATAAATAGCTCAAATCATCATAATATTTTGATAATTTTACTGCGCCTGAAGAAGGTCTAATATAAGTATTATGTAAAAATTTCAAGTCTCTATAATTATTTTTAACAAAATATTTAAATAAATTTAAAACAAAATCGTTTGTTCCGTAAACTTTCCTGTTTTTCCCTATTATAGAGAAAACTAAATAAAAAAAAGACGTACGATCATGGTGGGTCACTGTTGTAGGTGAGAAGTAGGGAAAGTAGGATATTTAGAAGAATTTAACGTACATCTGTACACAAAGGTTAATCATTGTTAATGAAAAACTGTTCTGAATGTAGTTTGATTATACATGTTTTGAAAGGCCGTATAATAGTTATTTATGATTTTTGTCAAAATTTGATAATTTCAAATTCTTATACAAAAATTCTACATTACTATCAATTTTTTTTTTTTACCACTTAGTATTACTTATAATGAACCTCTTTTTAAATCTTAAAGCATTATTGTTTAACAATTATTTATTCAACTTAGTACCTACCGAATTAAAGTTACGTACAAAACTCTTAAAATTAAAATTTCTATTAACAGTTCAAAAATAGCTAAAATGTTTTGAAAATTTTACCATGTCTAGAAAAACCAAATATGTTTTCTGTCTAAATTTAAAGTTTCTACGAATATTTTTAACTGAATCACACAAATTGAAAATAATACATTTCGTACATTTTCCCGTTTTTTTTTTTTCCAATTATTTTGAAAACCCCTTGGAAAATCAAAAAATAACATGCCTGACTTGTTTGGATATTTTATACTATATTTCTTTAGATTATAATAGTATCTACATAAATACATATTATGTTACACAGGATATTCATTGAATGTCCGGAATTAACTATTCAATTGACGTACCCACAAACATAATGTATATTTTATCTTATTGAAAAACTTTTCAACAAAGGAAACTTGAATTATTTAATAGTGAATATTATTAACTATAGGTAGGTAGGTACGTATTTCCGGTGAACCGAACAGATTTTAAAACACTCACGGTTTTATAAGATAATTCGAAACGTATTTTAAATAAAAATGTATTTATTTTCTATTTAATTTGTATAGGATTGGAAATACTCGTAATACTATGATCCTCTAAAATTCCTGACTCAAATTAAATAGACGCAGCAGTTCTCAAAAAAACTCAAGCGTTCCAGTCTTGTATATTATGGTGCTATACGCCCGTGGAGGACATTTGGGACGATTAAAATTCCATCGACAATAAAGAAATGGATAGGTCAATTCTATAAGAATTTTATGTTTGGTGATGTTCCCGGAGGGGCAATATAAGGGGAGAAAAACTAAAGCGATTTAACAGTTATCCCCGTAGATAAAAACCTATAAAAGAAAAAAACATAGATACCTACCTACCTATAATGAATATAATGAAATGGCCAATTTTAGGACACTAATAAGGTAAGGATAGTCTATCCGATTTGAATATACAAGATTATAATACCTATGTCGGTATATCTTAGTCCGTAGTCTAAAATATAATGGTTAGAGTATGGATACTGGAGTATCCACCTAGGTACCTACTTCATTTTAGTGATTTTTGTTAATATACTCATAATATAATGAACTGTATATTTCATCATCAAATGACCAATTTAATAAATATACCTACTTGTGTAGTGTTAATATGTGATGGAATATAATATGATCCTAACGAGGAGAACGTAACAAATATTAAAACGTTCTATAAATATTTTAGATTCCGAGCATAGCGAGGGAGCTATTGGTTTTACAATGCTGTTTATTTCTTTCTTTTTTTTCTTTTAGTCTGTGGACACGTTTTTCCTAGTAAACTTGCTCCGATTTATAAATGTAGCACCTTTTCTTCCGAAAGTAAATTTTATCTACTTGGTAAATACATAGGTCATTTTTTTTGATTTTTAAAACGGTATTTATAATAAAAACGTTTAACCGAGAAAAAAATACGATTTTTTCACGATTTCGTTATTTTAAATAAATACCTACCACGTTTCCTAGCACATATATGTATATACAGTTTTTATTTTTGAATTAGTTATCATAATAATCGGGAAAAAAAAATAGGAAAAACGTACAATTTCATGATATCATTATTTTACATTAATACGAAAAACATTTATTATAAGTGCTTTAATCGAAAAATGACAAGAAACCTTTTTTATTTCATAATAATTCGGAAAAACCAGACAAAATGCTCACATACGTAATCAAATTTAAACGAAAATCGCAAAAAAAAATACGTTCGGAATCGTCTTTCGTCAGCAATGGTTTATCGTAGCTTGCAGATATAAATGAAATAACCTTATGTATCCTACCTTCCCAACTTCTCACCTACAACAGTGACCGCTCCCATTTTCAGTATCAGCTCTTTTTTTTTATTTAATAATAATATAATATTATATACTGCTTATTTAAAAAAAATTCAACTATTCAAATAAATCTAAACCAAGCAAATTTAATATTCTACTATTATATAAGTACCCATTGTGTATTTGTGTGTAATAGATAATTTAAATAACCGAACTGGGGTAAATTAATAACATACGCGGTGTGATTTGTTTGTCTGGTTACAGGAACTCGAATCGCCGCCGAAATACGAAGACGTAGTGGAAAGCGCCCCGAGATATTCTTCCCTGTTTGTTTTCAATAACGACGGCGAAATGGCGTTGCTATCTGAAATCGTGCACACGGAAAAAGATGACGTTCAAAAACAACTTGTCTGAACCATACCAACCATCTACCTACTAATACATAATAATACCTATACCTATTGTCGGGAAATAATAATTTTTGTTGTTTCGCCGACGGATTTTGTTTCGATTTGTTGTAACCGTGGCTATATGTATAATAAAAAAAAAAATAATAATATTCAGAATAGTCTTCAAAATCATATTGAAAATCCCGAGATGGATGTATAATATTAACAATATTAATATAATATAACTGCGAGATATTTCGTTTCTAGCAAAATATTGTACTCAATCGTCCTACTATAACAGTTACTACCCGTATTATGTAAATATTAATAATAAATAGGTAAGAGTACTTACCATCTGTACAATATTGTAATAATTATTTTTATTTTATTTAAATTTGTTGATCGAAAATGAAATATAATATAAATATTTATATTTGTTATGAAAATAAATATTGTACATTTATGCCATGTATGCTCCAATCTCGATAATTCATTACAGTTTTTCTATATTGTTTACTATACCAATCTATGTGGCTATATCTACTACCTAGGTACTATTTTTTTCTTTCTTTTGGGACAATACAAGTATGACAGGTATTTCATTTAATATACATTACCTATACGGTTATATTATTTGTACCTATTTAATATTAGTTCTTCAAAGAAAATGCAATATAATAATAATAATAATTTCTTTTTTTTCTTATTCTGTTCATTTTATAGTAAAGAGACAATATGTATTTATTTTTATTATATCCCTTGTATATTATACATATTATTGTTATATTGTTAAATAAGATAGGAGGCTTTTGCTCACTTCATTCATTAACCATCACACTTTGCTTGTTCCACTTGCCATTCCGTGTATACTCTATTAATTTAACTTACAAGAAATGTTTATTGATAATTGAACACAACAAACAAAATAATAGATACCTAAATAAAAAACATTTATTTTTTCATAGATTCATATTTCTTTTATAACTTAGTACAAAAATCAATATTAAAAAGTTAACGAGAGTAAATATTAATTAAACAATTTTAAATAATCAATATAACAAAAAAAAAAATCAGTCATTTTGTGCAAAATGATTACATAATACCTTAATATAAAACAAATATTATATGCATAGGTATATAATTAATATTAATCAATAATCATACAATCAATTGTTCTTTTTTTACAATCTTCTTCTTTCTTAACAAGTACACAGTATTGTCTTTAAAGTAATCTTCAATTTCAGATAATTTCATAATGTGTGTCTCCGGAATAAATATCCACACAAACAATACTGTCAATATGGATATAAAACTATAAAGCCACAAAATACCTAGCATACCGCCTAATATCCTTTTAAAGTCGTCATAAAAATGCACTGCTACAAACATGATAGTATTACACCAACCCATTATTGGTCCTATAAGTAATCCTTTGACTTCTGTTGGGAACATCTCACTAGGCATTATCCATGGTATTAACATTATTCCAATAGAGCCAGCCGAAATGTATAGCAGCATACATATCAACGGTGTCCACGTGATCATTAAATTTGCATAACCTGCAATAAAATTAATTTGATTAAAATGTTTAATCAAACTATTATCATTTATCAAAAATTAGCAAGTACATAATTTAAAATATATGTAATTATTATCATCTAACAATACTTTAACATATACTGAACTAATCAAATCACACCAATTTTCATTTCCTTCAAAATTAATCCATCATCAAAACCCTCGCTTTTATCCTCCCATTTAAATTCTGAAACCCCCTGAGACATAACAAACAGATCTGCCCTAGAGATTTATTAATCTAGTCTATTGAGTGGTAAAATCAGTAGTTACCTGATTTCCGCCAAAAAATGTACTTTTTCCTATTCTACTGATTCATGTTTCCACAAAATGATAAAATTGGACGAATCCCTTTTTGCCAAATGAAACATTTTTGTTTAATATTCGAATATTAATGGATGATTGTATCATAAATTATTATTATTATTTTATTATGAACGATATATATATATCACTGTAGACAATGTGATTTGATATAGACTAGACTTTGTTGTATGGGTTAGTTTCGTACATATATACAATATATTTGTACAACTGTAACAACAAGCAAGATTTGCAACTTAACCAATATCGTTGGAAAAATACTATAGTCAGACATAAATGTATTTTTATTTGGTGTTATGATATATTACGACAGAATAATAATAATAATAACAATAATAAGTTTAAACTCATATAAGTATTATAATTAAAAAAAAAAATTATTGTTTTTGATATTTTATGAGTAAAAATTGTGGTAAGAACAAAATCGTTATGAGAATTAACTATTTTTACCTAGTATTCAATAACTAATAAACAAAATTGTTATCATACATAAATAGAAAAACTTACTAATTTCTAATTTGTTTATTTGTATAATTAATGATTGTAATGTATACAATTGTCCATTAATATTCGAATATTAAACTAAATTTTTTCATTTGGCAGAAAAGTGAAATAGTAGACTAGCTGGGAAGTGGAAAACTGGCTATGCCCGGTAAAAAACCGAGTACCTTCTTAATTCAGTTTCTGCCAAATCATATAATCTCTATGGTTTATTGTACTCGCCGTATTGATTGTAATACAAATCATTTTTTAAATAAATGAAAAAAAATTACAATACTATGTTTATAAATTGCTGTTTCATAAATAAAATTAACTGTTATTAATTAATATACTATATTTTTCTGCTCACAGCAATATAGTTATGTATTCAATTTGTATCTAATACTTAAATACAAGCTTAAATATTAATACAGCCAGACAACTGGAATTATTATCTGTATTCCGAATATTAAACTATAAAAATCGTATTTTCATTTAGAAAAAATATTTTAGTTTGTTATAAAACTGAATTATCATTCCACTAACTCAATAAGAATTAATAACAATGGTATAAATTTATAGACATGTTCATGTACTTTAACATGTATTAGAGACATATGCCAATTCACACAAGTTAAACAAAAAAAGCTTACAATAAAGCATGCCTCTTCGAATTGAAAGGCTAAATATTTGTATAACACACCATAACACAAGCTTTTTCAAATTTAGTGGGTTTTGATTAGTTGTGCATGATTTATTTTTTTTGTTGAATTTTTTGTTAGGGCCACATAATTAATATGAATAACTTGGAAACTTTATACAACTACTTGACCAATAAAAATAAGTGCTGCTACTTATTAATAACTTAAATTTATCTGAGATAGCCTTTTTAAAAATGTATCTTATGACTGATATTTTTACACTTAATTTATTAATCACATACATTAAACTGAATTTGACAAAATTAGGTAGTCATTGTATTCCCATAAAATATAAACATCAAAACACCATAGTTTAAAGAAAAAAATTAATTAATTAATACAAGTAATAAGTTTCCAAAAATTATAATGTTTCAAATATTTTTACCATTCTTTCTTAATTCAAAATTACCTAATTTTTACTTAAATTGTATATAATTTATATTTATGCTTATAAGTTTCATTTGACATTTTTCAATAATTATTACCTGAAGTTCTGTAGTGAAAACATAATCCAGAAATAAACAAAGTAATTCCCATAACAATACCACTTAAGATACATAATGGACGTCTACCATACTTATGTACAACTCCTGTTGCTACAAAACTTAAAATGAACCTGAAGGTACCAAATGCTAAAGTGGCAAGTTTTATATTTATTCCATGTGTAACTTCCTTATGAAACAATGGTTAAGAAACACATACAATAATATAAACACATAGGAAATAATAAGAATAATAATTGATTGTACCTGTAACATTTTAACAGCGTGAAATTGAAATGTATAAATTCCAGTGAATTGTTGCAATGCAAAAAATATAATCATCAGAAGTGCCGGTTTGAAAACAGTTGGTTTAGATAACTGCCAAGCAATACACTGGAATACACTCACATTTTCTAAATCTTTATTAATCAATAAATCTTTTTTTTCTTTGATCATCTTCATCTCATTAAAACTTGTTTGTGCATCTAAACCCTATAAAAATCATCAATTATCTATGAATAATGTAATCACATTATATAAATTAACCCTTAAATAATATTCAATAATTAAAAATAATTTTTATACAAAAAAACTCACGTATTTAGAATTTTTTAAAAATTTTAATGATTTTAAAGCTTTAGCATCTTGTCCTTTATAAATTAACCATAGAGGACTTTCAGGTGTCCAAATGGCAGTCATGAAAATTGGCAAAATTGCTCCAATGAATGATATCCATGCAACAACACGCCAATGAAAAAACAAACCAGTAGCATACATTAATAATATTCCTGGAAACATTTAAGTAACTGATTAAGAATTAATTATACTTGAAAACATAAGTTATAAACATTGTATAATTGGAATAATAAATTCTGTAACAAAACCAAAATATATAATTAAAAAAATAGATAATAAATTTAATAAATATTAAAAAAAAATAACCACAATTATTTTAGTATGCAATAGCTAGAAACACATATAGTGTTCCACAAACATACATACATATTTTCAATTGGGACACTACACAACCTTTACAACACAGAGACAACAAATGCATGTGTAGTTTTCTCTTAATAGATTAGAACCTGTTGCAAATATTGTTCTATACATTTTTAACAATTAAAAATATTAAATATTATAACTATTAAACTTACCAAATGATAGTATTATAGAACCTATTGACATCATGAAACCTCTAAGTTTTGGATTGGAAATTTCTGCCATGTAAACGTTGGCTGAATTCGTTCCAATAGCTAAAGAAAAAAATAAATATTGTAACAATTATTACGGTGTTTGATTTTTGAAACATTTAATTAAATATTTATCATACACATTGCAAATCCATTCAATAACCGTCCAATGATGATCATATGTGGACAGTAAGCAACTGCGATTAATAGCCATCCAATAGCACATGGCCATAGAGAGATTTTAAATGTACATATACGACCGATTCTATCCAGTGTAAAAGCTATAAAGAGGCAACCAAATGGGGCGGCAATTGAAATACTGCTAGCTATATGCAAACATAAGAATATCTGAAAAGTTATATATAGGAGTCTTAAAATTTAATTTATACTAAGTTTATGAAAAATATTTATTTAAATAATAAGTTGATATAAACCACTGTCATAATTTAAAATTACAGTATCTACAAGGATTAATAATATGTTCAATATCCAACATTACATCATATATTTGATACCAAGGCCGGTCTCACACTACGGCCAACTATGTACAACTGCCAACTATATATGGCTTGATTTTATTTACTGTCGCATGTATACTTGTCAGAAACATCGACTGCAGATGTCTTATTTGATTTTATATTTTAAATACCCAAGCACCTATTTCATATTTTCATATTTTTCCTTAACAATAATTTCAATAAGATGAATAAGTTGTTTTACTTGGTTGAAAGTAGTAATAGTAGTTTGTTGATATGGCCAAGAAGAAGACGCTTAAGGAGAACAGAATGGGTTAATCAGAAAAGAAAATTCCAGAAAAGAGAAGAGCAGTTTGGTTAAGTAAATGGCGAGTTTTGCCATTTAACGGATGATTTAAAAATAAATCCTGAGAAATTCTTTGACTGCTTTCGTATGAGTTTAAATATGTTCACCTATATTCAATGTACAAAGTTGTACGATCTACAGACAAAAATATGAACCAACTGGGATCGAGCTGCAGCTGAACACACGTGATCACACGAAAAAATCTAGTTTAATGTAAGAGCGCTAATTACATTATCAACGTCATGGTAAGGTTCATGAGTAGTCGTACAAAATTGGTATTAGTGTGAGACCGATGTAAAAATTAATAAAGTCCTCCCTATAAAAAATTGTTCATATATAAACTGTAACGCAGACATAATAATTATTTTAAAAAAAAATATGTCAAAAATATTGAATAGAACAAAGGTTATTGAATAAAGTAGATCATCGTGGGACACTCTGTATATAAGAAATGTATCATCATTACTAATATTAAAATAGTATATAATTAATTTTATATCACTTATTAATACATTTTACAGTAATTAACTATTTTAATTTATTTTATTATAGATCACCATTTCTTCACCTTTATAATTGTTTAGGCCAAACACACACCAAAAGAGCAAAACTTCATTAAGTAGTGTTAATCAGTCTAAGACAGTTTTGTTGAAAATAGAACATAGAAAATTATGTTGCAAACAATATATAAAAAATATCAGTTTCTTTACTTATGATAATACTATGGTCAGATCAACTGGAGTGGTGGACCAGCCAAGGGCAGACAAGAGGGGTTCTACTGTATAATAATTGTATTATTAATGATTATATTATTATTATTACAATGGTTTGTAATGGTGAAATTTTAAAAAAATTGAAAGAAAAAAAAAGGTAATCAATTTACAATTTTAATAATAAAGATCACAGGATGATCAAGACAAATTGTACAAGAAAATGAATACCACATAGAAATTACAGCCTCTTCATCAGATGACATTTTGGCAACTAAAATATTGTCTTGAATAATTAATATGTGCGTATACATAACAAATTATTTTTAGTTGACTAAAACAAAAATGACTACATAAGATGTAAACACAATTCCAAATAGTATTTGTTGGGCCTAAAACATTTTCCGTAAAACTGAATTTTAAAGATCAAAGATACGAAACAAGCCCCACACACAAAAATAGATTTTTAATGGCTTTTAAACACGTTTAAACTTAAATAAATAGAAATCTTTATTAACTTAAATTATATTATGTTACATTTTTGTTTAAATAATGTAAACATGGACACCCAGAGGGGGGCAAGAAGTGGGCCCTCCTCCAAACTTCAAAATTTCAAACATAACTTTATTTTAAGTACTTTTTGGTGTTTTATTTTATTATGTACCTCCCTGTTAATGTTCCTGCGGACACCCATGAATGTAAATAACACAGCAATGTAATTATTTAAATTATTATTTATTACACTACTGACTAAGGGGTAAAGATTTACTTAACAGCTCAGTCTGTATGCGCAAATGCAGTTCAATTTTACCTTAAATAGAGTATTAATTAATGTAAAACTTAAAACAAAAACACTTACCAATCCATGAATGTTGAGATTTACTTAATTGACCAACTTCGTCAATGTTTTCAAGTTGTGGTAAAAGTATAGCAGAAAATCCCAGAGCACATCCTGTATGCAAGTTAGTAGTGGCAACAGACAAACATGCTAAAAACTAAATACAATTTAATAAAAAAAATAGTCAAAATCTGTTAATTTACATTTATGTAGACTAAAGTAATTATTATAATTAATATTTTTTATTTAAAAAAAATTGATCATAATATATATATATATATATATATATATATATAAACTTAATTTTTTAAACGATGAAAGAGGGTAGGATAGGAATACTCAAAGAAATAAGTATATGTAGCTTAGACGTGGCTACATTAGTCGGTAAAATTAGAGAAAATAGACCAAGACTGTTTGGGTATGTAATAAGGAGGAATCTGGTTCAATAAAAATTATAATGAAAATAAATGTCGGAGAAAAAAGGTGGAGTGGAAAAGCAAAAAAGGATGTGGTTGGATGCAGAACAAACGGTGTATGCAAGGTGGGACATCAAATCAAGTGGAAATTTAAAATAAGAGTAGCCAACTCAAATAGTTGTGATGAAAACAAAGGAGAAGAAGATATATACTTAATTTTTTTCTTTAAAAAACGATTTTAACAATTTCTAACAATTTTATCTACAGACCACCTACCAAATAAAAATTACTCACAAAATTGAAATGCCTATAAATGGCTCAAAAATGTTTACAGTTTTATCATGTATAGAAAAGGCAAATATAAGTTGTCTGTCCAAATTTCAAGTCTCTACAAATATGTTTAAGCGAATTACAACAAAAAACAAAATTGAAAATAATAAATAAAAGCATTATTTTCGTAAATTTACCCGTTTTTCTTATATCTTATCCTGGGTTTTCTCAGATATTATGGAAACCAGAAGGAAAATCAAAAAATGACTGTGACACCTTAGAAAAGGTGTCACACTTACATATTGAAGCAAGATTGCTAATAGAAATTGTAGTACAAAAAATAAAAAATCTTTGTAAACCAATATATTCTTCACTACACTCAGAATCTAAAATAATTCAATAAATAAACACGAAACAATGAACATGAGCGATTAATGTGAAACAGAAAAAAAAAAAAACGGTATAGCTAAAGGGTGATAATACCATATAACTATGATAACATATTTTCATCGAAAAGTGCACCATTTAATTTGTAGATTGATCATCCGATGCATTGAGAAGCAATCTGTTTAGTAATCATCCGATTGATAATTTAGGTTGTCGGGGAACAAACAAATTATGAATAGTTCAGTTTTTAGTCATAAGTAGTAATTGACAGATCCATAACACATATATGTGATACGAGAAAAAAAGTTTGAGAACTTCTACTTTAGACTACAAAATAAACATAGAGTTCCACAAGGATTTACTAATTAAACCCATTACAATATTAATAAAGACAATAAGATTTTTATTTTAAGATTTATGTTTCATAATACAGTTTTGGTAGAAATAAAAATATTAAGTAAAACTTTAAATAAATATTTTATTTTATTTTTAGATGTAGCAAGAAGTTGTTTGTTCTACGATTAATTATTTCCATTCTCTTTTGATATCAGTAAATATTGATGGAAGGAAAAGTGTGAAATAGGTCCACATTTTAACTAATTATAAAATTAAATTATAATAAAACAATTTAGAATACCTCAATCCAGTTAAAATTCAATTGATTTTCATGCTGAATTTCTTCTTCTTCAGTTTTATTTTTGACTGTTAGTTTGTTTAATTTTAAACTATAAATCAAATTAGCGAATTAATATATAATTTAATTAGTAAAGTTCATAAGTTTTTAAATTATTACCTTTCTTTTTCCATTATAAAAAATGTCTATACTTTTAGATAATATTCAAACTTTTATGAGAAATAAAATCACCTTTACTCAATATTCTGATGATTGCATGGACACAGTGAAATTAATATCTTGAAAATAAAAAATTTAGATTTATATAGAATATTTAAATATTCGTGGTCATTTCTAATTAATAATTATATTATACACCTATAATTTTTTAGGAAATACAAAATTATAGGTTTAAAATTAGATTAATATATATATCAAATACCCATTTAATTAAATCTAAAATAAATTTGTTAAAGAACAATAAGTTAAACTGATATGTATGTACAAACAAAAGTTTTTTATCTTAGTTCTTTAAACAATGGTTTATTAATAATGTTTATACTAAATTGTGCATACCTACATCTTATAAAAACAAACATATTTCACAAGATAAGTGAATCACTTTTGTAGATGAAAAGTTGGGAAGATAGAGAGGAAATTTAATGTTTATCTGTACACAACGATTAATCATTGCTAAAAAAGAAAGATTCAGAGCGGAGTTTGGTTAAACATGTTTTGAAAGACCATAATATTTATGATTTGCAAATAATACATATCATACATTTTCCCGTTTTTCTCTATTTATTATAAAAACTCCTGGGAAAGTTAAAAAATGAACTGCCTAATGTACCACCCCAGTCTAATTTTCTTTCAGAGAAAGCGCTACACTTGAAAATTGGAGCAAAATTTCTAGTATAAAAGTTGTTCATGGTTAAAAAATACAAAATAAGCATCATTGTTATTCCTTGCTCTGCTCTGAATCTAAAATACGAGTACATAAAAACGTGTGATTTATTAATTCGTAATAACATCATTTAAACATTAAATATTTACACAATTGCAAGTAAGTATGTTATATATTTCATTACTGTAAACAAATTATCTACCAAAATACTAATAGCACCAACATCTAGATTCTACAACAAGAAAACAACAATTTATAAATTTAAATATTACTTTGTTTAATTAATAAACTAAATATCAATTCAAGTTCAATATGAACCAAATAATTTTTTAATGATGACTAAAACAAATTAATACGTTCTATGTGTATTGTGTATCTATGCATTAAGTAGATATAATATTTTAAAATGCATATTTCATTGTTATAAAATACACACTATAGCAGTGGTTTTCAAACACATTGGATCCACAGATCTCCTGATTTTGAAAACCAAATTAGCAGCTCCCTTACAATTAATGATAATAATAAAAATTAAAATAAACAAATTTCCTGCATTATTGTAAGTACTATATTTACTATAGACACGGCTCCAAACCATGACGTCCATGAGAGCCGCAATGCACAGGTTGAAAACTACTGCATTTAAGTAATGTAATGTAATGTAGGTAATATAAATTAATACAATTATTGTACATGTTTAAATAATAAAATATTCTAGGAATATGCTGTATTATACTGATAAATGGATTTATATCATTTTATAATTGCACAATAAAAAATGATATGTAAAATAAACAACATAATCCTAATAATAAATATCAAACAATTAATTCATATTATATTGGTAATAAATTGCAAAATATTTTATTTTATGAGTATATTCATACTATTAACTTTTTTTTCAAAAATATTATAACATGAATAACCTATTAAGATATTATTTAATAGTCTGTTGATTATTAAAAATTGTAATACATTAAATACTTTACTAAAAACCTTAGAAGCGTGTAGAGTATGAACCTTTATTTTATAAAAAATATTCCAACAGAATTAAAATGTGTACAGTTCAAAGTTGATGAAAATGTATTATTATTTTTAAAACTTGCATTTAAAAAATAACAAACATGTAGTTAAACTTATCTACCCATGAAATATTATCAGTTGCATCATTATCTATTTTTCCGAGTATTGTTCATGTAAATACATATAAATATATAAGTTAATTTGGTTTTAAAATATGTATAATGAAATTTATTATTTATATGTAATCAAAAAAAAAAAATAAAACCTGAAGTTTTACTAGTCATAACAATAAATAATAAATGAAACTAAATTATTTTTGGCCTATACTGATGAATATGCAGATTATTATGTATATACATTAAGTTATATAAGATTATAATAAACATGAGATATTTGTTCAATTACTTATCTAACAAGAGTTATTTAATGTTAGATAACATTCACTTAACATTTTAAATGTATTTTCTATGATTACCTACGTTTCTAATTTATTATATATTTAATTCATATATTAACCTATGGATTTATTTGATTTCATTAAATTCCAAACAATTTAAAAAATTTTTTTTTCTAAATTTAAATACTTTTTTCTGATAAATTTGAGTACCGATATAAAGAAACAAGTTTCGAGGAGAATAATATTTTAACATAAAGCTCTTTTTTGCATATTTCATAATATATTCTTGATTTATATATGGGTACATAATATGTATAATGGTTTTGACTCATTATTCTTCTTGCTATTATAATATAAATATTGTCGAAACTGCACAACATTTTAAATCTGTTCTAAGTGGTTACCTAGTACTTGTGCACTATTTAAACGGGTCAGATCATTACCTACACCTATTAAACGTAATTATGACTAAATGTAAATTTTAAATATTATCAGATACATACAAGTTATAAACAATTTTAAAAATAACATTAAGTAGAGATTAGAATTTATATTTTTTCAAAGCATTTTTAAAACAAATATTAACAACTAAAAACTATTTACTTATTATAAACTACCATCAATTTTTAATTTCCAGTCAATATACATTTAAACTTGAAAAATTCAATAAATATTTTACTTAATTATACTTATTATCTACAAACTGCCGAAGTATTCTAATCTAAAATTAATATAATGTCATACTTAATACTTTACGTAAGTAGTTGTGTATTACAGGTACCGAAATACCTACATACTTCAATAATAACAGACTAAGATATCGTATTAGTCTATGTTTCTAATAATTATTCCTATATAATTGTCTGAAAACGATTGGTAGTGAATAGATAATAAATAGTTATGATAATTACAATGCGAACGAGACGACACTAATCCGTTGAAAAACGAACGAAAACGTTTAACGACAATATCAAAGATAGAATATACTCACTAGTGCGGTTCAGTGGATTAGCGGCCGTCCGCCAGTAGTCTGTACTTAGTTTAATCCATAGAAACTAAATGTTCCACGTGCGACGCCAATTGCCAAGCTGAATGCCTGATAGCTCCTACTTATATTGTTCCCCACTACAATCGGCGAGTTTGATTATCTATGCACGTAACCGCGACCGCGGTTATCTATGTTACACAGTGACAGGGATGAGTACAGTTCAGAGAGTACTTTATATCAGGTTAGGTTAGGTCTTCAATCTTTTTGAGGTCGTGACCACCTGTAATATCACCATCCATTTTGTGTAATACACTAATACGGAATGTTAGATGTTTAGATGTGCAGTAAGAAATTAAAAAGTATGTTACTATTATATTATGATTATTTGTATTAATTTTACATTTATTTTGCATTTTTTTAAAATTATTATTGCAGAAAAAAAAAATTCTGAAATATATTTCTATTAAAATTTTAAATAACAGTAAGCTGACTCGTAAAACATTGACAGTTATCACTAGAATATCGCTAGGATTTATACCTATGCAATAAGCAACAATGAAATATGCATTTGTTTATTAAAAATATGCGAAAATACTGTGCCAATAAAAATATTAAATTAAAAAAAAATGATTACAAAGTTCTAAAATCTAAAAAGTATGGTTCTATAGTTATTAACATTACTCCAATATATTACATGAAACGATTACATAATGTTATAAATTTTCAAAAATGAAATCCCGTTTGACATCACATGATTTTTACCTATATAACATAAACATACATTTTAGCCTTGTATTTTTTTCTAATACATTTTTTAATTTTTCGTTGACATTTTCGGCAATTGTTCCTTTATTTTGACAAAATTTAAATTTGGTGTTTTCAATAACCTCTTAACTCTCGTCAAATGAAAGTGAGACATTTTCTAATTTTAAAATAGATACACCAAACACGACAAAACTGTCAAACACATGCTAACTTTTAGACATATACTTATTAATCGTACTGTTATTTGGTTATATTATCATTTTTATATGGACTATTTTTTTATATGGATTATTTTATTTTATTCTATTATTTTAATTTTAATTTTTTGTTTTTTATTCCATGTTACAAGTTCTTATGTATATTATGTGTCAAAATATGCCATACGATAAATAAATAAATAATTACAATATATTTATTAATATTAAATATTAATATTATATTAATCGTACAATATAAAACCTTTGATAAGATAAATTAAATTTCATTTTATGTATTTTTGTAAAGCGATAAAATGCTATGTAACAATATATATTATATGTAACATGCATTTTTTGGGCTTTAGATTTTGAGCGGAGCGAAGAAGTTTATGGTTTTATAAAGATGTTTTTTTTTTTTTTTATATGTGCGTAACTTTTGTACCAAAAATCTTGCTCCGATTTTTTAATGTAGCACCTTTTCTGAAAGGAAATCGGTTTGGAGAGGTACTATAGGGAAGTCATTTTTCGATTTTCTCAAGAGTTTTTTTATCAAATGTGAAAAACCCGGAAAAACGGTACAACATTAAACAAATATTATTAAAGAAAATATATAATGCCTATTTAATTATTTTACTATAATATGATATATATTGTTGACATAACATCAGTATCAACTGAACTCCGCCCAGAAACGTTTTTTTCGTTAGCAATGGTTTATCGTTGCTTACAAATAAACATGTACATTAAATTACCTATAACAGTAGCTGCTCCTGTTTTCATTATCCTAGGACAGCTTATTTGTAATTAAAATATGCAATAATATTCATTATATTCATTAATTCAATGTATGCAAAAATATGCAAAAAAAAAAAAAGACATACCAATACATATAAATCCTAGCCCTAGTTATCATATATTAAAGGACCATCCAACTCAAAACATTTTTTTTTTGGTTTAAATCATAGTACATACTATGACGAAAATAATGACACCACGGAAATGCGTTTGTCGCTTGTGTTTCTATTCGCTAATTACGATGATTTTTAATATTGCGCCTGACGTCACGGATTCGTTCGCCACGGCGGCGACCATACAAAATACACACCACACGACAATATTTATCCGTTTTTGGTGTAACGGAATGAAACTGCTAATGAACTCACTTTTTTTTCGAATGACCAAAATAAATGTATTTAAGAGTACCTCATATTCATTATATTTGTATACTCATATCACATTTCGGTTTAATATTAATAAAAAATAACAATTATATTATGTTAATTTTATTATTGTATATTAATGTTTTAGGTGCGAATTAGATTGGTTTCTTTTCCCCGTTTGAAAATACATGAGATAAAACCACCCAATTCCATATGGACCACATGCTAATGTTATTTTTAAATTTGGATCAAAATGTAATAAAACTTTGCTAGAACTTAATATTGTCTTGATTTTATTAAACTTCTTAATTTTTTGATCACTCCGTATTCATCCATTTCCTCGTTTAAGTAATTTATGTATTGAAGCTAGAATAGTTGATTGATTTTTAATAAATTTACCATGATAATTTATTAAACCTAAAAATGACTTTAATTGGGATACATCTTTTGGAATGGGTACCTTTATAATCACCTTAATTCTACTCTCTGGTATGTGAATACCCATTTTATCAATTTTATATCCTAAAAATATCGAGATTTGACCCGTTCAACAAATAAAGGTATCGCGTACCGTAGCACAAAAAAAAAATAATCCGGCTAATAATTTGAACATTGCCCACTATTTTTTTAGAACGATAAAATTCACCGAAATAATCAATATAAACCAAATTAATCGGTGGACGTGACTATAGCGCTTCTCCCCTAGCTACGGCAATAGTGTCTGCTATTTAGAATAAGTGTACTTTGGAATTAAAGGTTAACTAGTAATACCCTTGTGTGTAATCCTATAACTGATAACCAATTATTAAGGGGGGAAGTAGAATTTTTGTTAAGCAATATTTGATGACACTTGCTTTTTATTTTATTTATTTATTTCTATTTTTTAGGGGAAGGTTGGCTACAGGTTTTAACCCCCACCTCTTCTTCCCCCGAAAAAAGGCAGTGACTATTAATATTACTACTACTAAAATTGTTTCACGAGCTGCAAATTACGGCTTTATACATTGTGGCCATTGTGTACTGCAATAATCGTTGGTCAGATTGCTATAGCCTATAACTCTGTCTCATACTCTCACGAGGAAAGATACACCACACTCTGCGCATCGGCGAGAGCACGGAGGCCGAATTGCTCTCACTCCTTACCGCGTAAAATTGTAACCGAACGGGCAAAAGTGGTGGGAGATGCGTAGCGACGGACGAAAAAACGTGTACCTTTTCTCATGAGACGGAGTATAGGTTTTGGCAGCGAAACGGTCGTGGCGAGGTGTCCTAGACCAGCGGTTCTCAACCTTTTTTCATTCACGTATCCCTTGACCTCTCACCACTATTTCACGTTCCCCCAAATATCAATTTGGAATATAAATAATGAAAAATAATAATAATATTAATTTTAAAAGAAAATTTGGAAGTATTTATTATTAGCTTGCGCCATACAATATTTATAAAAATGATAATATCAACTTAACAATTTTATTTATTGCGAACCTTGAGCTTGTTTGCTTGAACTTAATTTTTTAAAATCTAGCTCCACACATGACAAATAAACCGGTAAGTCTCAACTTACAGACAGTTTATTACGATACTTATTTTTTATGAACTTGTACGTAGAAAAGGCCCTTTCTACCAACACAGTGCTTGTGAATAGTTAGGTTTTTATTATTATTATTAAATATTAGCAAACTATTTCAGTTACATTAAATTTCACTTTTCCCACCATTATTCAATTTTTTTCGCGTACCCCTTGACATTATGTTACGTACCCCTAGGAGTACGCGTACCCCAGGTTGAGAACCGCTGTCCTAGACCCATACAGAGTACAGTGTAGAGTTTAATGGTCTATTGTTATAACTGTCTTGAGAGTAGTGACACCCGGACGGCGCGTTCTTATTATGCTTCCCCCATATTTTTTGTTCAAAGGTTCAAACTTTAAATATCAATACTGTGTCATATTGTATAGTTAAGGGGGTTCTAAGCGATTGAATTTTTCGTGCATTTAGACCAACAAGCGAAATAAAAATAAAAAATACTTCTAGTAGTTCTAGTAGTCCAATTTGTATTTTTTTGTCCCATTGACCCTTTGAAGTACAAGTTCATTTTGAGAAATTATGTAAATTCATTTGGTACTGTACTACAAAAACTATCCAACATATCAAAAATCTGTTTCCTACAAAACATATAAAAAAAGCTAACGAATACAAATTAGTTTTCAAAATTAAAATTGGACTCCTAGAAGTTTTCCTTTTTCTTTCGTGTTTGGCATTATTCATTGCCACGTAAGTAGACAAATATTTTATAAGTGTGTATTTAATGACTTGTGAATGCGCATACGTATGATATAAAATCATAATTTATAGTAATTATTATGACGTGGGTTCGCAGTCGGGCGACGGTGCATTAGATAAGAAATCTATTATTATAACCTCTACGGACACCGAATTTTGATATAGACTATAAATTAATTGTATTTTTATGTTATATTGTTGTAACATGTTATTATATGTTTTTAACGAAAACCCACAACATTATCTATAAACTTGAAATGTTTTCACATTTATTATCCATTCAATAATTGCTACCGTATTTTCGTTTGTGTTGTCGTTAATTTAATTGAATTTATAACTAAAATGAGTGATTGCCCATAACGCCATTCATGGGCGCAACTAGCTGTTGCTAGGGGGTCATTAGCACACCCAAGTTTAAAATTACCCCCCCCCCCCAAAAAAAAAAACCACTAAGCTTTTTCATAATAACCATTCAATATTTTATCCATGCATATCTGGAATTGCTGATAGACAAGTTGTTCACAGGAAAAAAGAATGTCGTAATATTTTTAACCAATACCTATATTTCGTATATTTTCCCGTTATTCCTCTGTTTTTTTTTGGTTTTTCACATTTGATAAGAAAACTCTTGAGAAAATCGAAATTACTTCTCTAAAGTACCTCCCTATACCGATTTTCTTTTAGAAAAGGTTTTACACCTAAAAGGCTAAAAATCGGAGCAAGATTTCTAGTGGAAAAGTTGCGCACAGATAAAAATATAATATATATATATATACATCTTTGTAAAACCATAAGCTTCTTCGCTTCACTCAGAATCTAAAATAATGGTTCAAAATTGTTTAAAATGTTTAAATTCTACTTAGTACTTAACTTTCCATAAAAAATATAAATTAGTGCATAGAAAATTTTATATTTCTACAGAAAATTGTACGGCCTTTAAGTTTGGTCCTATACATTTTGGTCGCAAGTTGAACAGTTACCAAGTTATACATAAAAATTGTTTTGCAAAATAATGTGACATGATTAAAATTGAATACATGGTACAAATAATAATTAATAATAAATTATTGGAGATAGTGCAGAATGACCATAAGTCACGATTTAAGATTCGTGCCATTATCTGGTAAATAGTAATCTCTGTGTAACGGTCATTTTTTTTTTTTTGGTCTCTTCAAGTGTTATGTCTCTCAAACAAACCTCTAAAGGATATTCACCTCTAAATAGCGGTCACTATTTCCGGTCCCTTTAGTGACCTTTATATGGAAGTATTACTGTAATATGTTTACCTTTTCCATTAGTATTGTTGTAGTTTAATTTATTTATACTTGTACGTTTCACATAGCTCATTTAAAAATGACAATTTATATTATTCATGATCAATGCATTATGATTTTATTCATTACATAAATTAATTAGGTTATTGCATATAATTATAATTTTACTTTTGTCACAATATTATTATACTTGGTTAATTGGGTGGATAAACCATCATAAAAACTTCAATATTGTAAGTAATGTTTTATTAACTATAAATAGTAGGTCAAAATACTATAGTATACATTTATTTTATACTCAAAATTTTAAATAGTGTTGTCAATAAACGTTGTTCTAATTTATTTTTTTTTTATAATAATAATATTATTACAAAACACTTTAAGAAAATAATACATCAATCACAGATTTTTGAATCAAAAGACGTAAGTATTTATTTAAAATAAAAATATTATTATAGTTATAATTATAACAAATTTAAATTAGGGTACAAGCGCCTTTCAGAAAAAAAAAACCATAGCTAAGCGACAAAAAATGGTAAGTTTTAACAAAAATTCATTGTGTTTAAAAATTAACAAACATTTTCAATATAACTAGTATGAAGCCATCAAGGTCACATAAAATAGAACTAAAATATATAATAACTTCATTCTTTAAGCTTAAATAAATACCGAAGCGCCTATGCCAAAGCTAAAAAGAAATAAAAAATTGGTTTTTGCTCTCCTGAAAAGTAATAAAACTGTCGCTTAGCTCCTTTTGCCTTTTACCAGTCGATATGTCGTATCGAAATAATAATTTGATCAATTTTAATACCTCGTAATGTATTCTGATTCTGATTTATTTTTTTTGTCGATGGTAACAAACTAATTATTATTTGTGCAAAAAATAAGTTAGTAGTTAATCAATTGTAGGCAGACACAGGACTCTCTTACAAACATAAATTATAAATATTCTTCAAGAATCAGTCCATACAGCCTACCTACCTACCTACCTATCTAAGAAATTACAAAGTTACAATAGGTAATTTAATGAAATAAAAGTAGGAAAACGTGTATAAATCAAGATTCAAGGGTCTACGTGAAAAGGGCCCACCCGGAAATTCCTAGTAATTCGGCGGACAAGTACGCGCCTGGGCTGATATAGCAACTTTTTTAAAGAAAATAAGATTACCTGTGGAAATATTTATAAAAAAGATCTGTAAATATAAAATCGAGACATAACACTTATTTGATTTTTTCATTTGCATTAAGAATAACTTAAAATAAATACCGTGTCCAATTTTAAAACATTTTGGGTTGGTCAAAATATTATATTCATATACCTAAACCGTCAAATAATACGCGAAATGCCGTGATTTTTACGATTTATGTCAAACTTTTATGTTTAACAATATTTGTATAAAACAAAAAATTAATAAAGAAAACTCTAATTTCCATTTCTGTCCACTAAGTATCTATATCTTATAATGAACCTTGTGTTAAATTTTCAAGCAGTGTTCTTTAGTCGATTCATTTTAATCACAATCCACAGATATCTACCAAACAAAATACAAATGTGAAAACACGATAATATCTAATACTTATATAAATAACTTAAAAATAGTTAAAATTTTTAAAAAATTTTACCAAGTCTACAAAAAGTCAATATAAGTTTTTTGTGAAAACGGCAGTTCTTTTTTAACCGAACAACAATAAAATCAAATGCGGTACACTTCGCCGTATTTCCTACGTTTCTTTCCGGTTTTTCGTAAATACTAGGAAAACTATATGGAAAATCAAATAGCAGCTCTCTTAATTATCTACTAGAAAACATTTTCTTTCAGAAACATGCTGTTCTTAAAGTTTTGATAAATATTTCTGGTAGAAAATATTTATTTGTATATTTTTATTGCAACAATAACATAACTTTACATTACGCAACAAAATATTGAATATAAATTATAAATAAATTTACAATAATTATAACTAAATTAATATTGCAGTCAGTGGCGTACATACGGGGGGCGGGGTTTTCGGGTTCAAACCCACCCCCCAGGACCAAAAAAAAAAAAAATTGTGATATTATTGATGAATTTCTTATTAATAATATCCGTGTATATACAAACATACGTCATAATAATATGACTATTAGGTAAACACTATACTTTACCAACAATGAAAAAAGATTTCATAACGAAATAATGGGTGCCGTATATCAATCAAAATAGACATTTGATCGTACACAGTTAATTAGTTGCGTGCAGACATAAATACATATTAATATTGTCGTTATCTCGACTGACTCAATCAAAAAACGGAGAAAAAACCGATTACGTTATCGGTTATAATCATTGAATTTCTCGTGAGCGACAATATATTATCTCGACCGACTCGATCAGAAAACGGAGAAAAAATTACCGATTACGTTATCGGTTATAATCGTTGAATTTCTCGTGAGCGACAATATAACGGTGAAATGGATTCTATTTTTTTATAGCACTATCGTAAATGGCCATGTTAAAATATTTAATTATGAAATGTTCGTTCGTTCTGTTCTATTCTGCCGTTGGAGAAGCTAATGTCAACAATTGAACATTGAACTCCATAAACCATAGGTAAGTATTTAGTCAAGATTATCATTATAAAATAAATAGTAATCATGGCTGAAAAAAAAAACAACGGAAAATACAATCTTTTTTTTCAAAACCACCCTCAATAATGAATTCATTGAATGCAACTCGGAACAGTTATAAGTTCCTCTAGTTCCTCATTACCATCAACTGTATCTGTGTCTGATACACCTATCACTCAGTTCACACCTTCGACTACGGATATTATGTCTCTTACAAAACAGTATAGTGAAGATCTGGAAGACATTGGAAATTGTGATGAGGTATTCAACAACGAGTTCAAACTTTGGCAACGAAAACTTAAATATCTATCAGAAACGGATAAACCAAAAAATGCAATGGACGCTATTTACATATGTAATGAAGCCATGTACCCAAATATTTTTAATTTACTTAAAATATTACCAACTTTACCAGTTTCTTCTGCCACTAACGAAATGACATTCTCAACTCTCAAGAGAATAAAAACTTACTTACGCAACTCTACTTCTGAGGTATGTTTAATTTAAATAATAGTATTAATGATTATAATCGACTTAATTTAATGTTGTAATTAATTTTAACAGGGAAGACTTAATGGTCTGGCTATGCTCTCGATCAACAAAAATGATTCAATTACTCTTGATCAAGTACTGGTTGAACTATCCAATAAAAAAAGGAGACTAGAATTTTTATTATAAATAATTAATAATATAATATATATATAATTCTCTGTACTTACTATGCGCATATTAAATGATATTTAACTGCCATGAGTTACGTAAACCTTTGTATTTGTTTTGCTATTTTGCCCATTAATATTTATACGTGTAATGTGTTTGATTGTTAGGAAAATGGGTAGTTTTAAAGAGAAGGTTTTAGTGTTGATTATTTTTATTCAACCCCCCTCCCCCCCAGATCAAATTTGAATGTACGCCACTGATTGCAGTATTCCCAAAAAGCAGAGTTTGTATTGGGAGTGCAAATTCTTAAAAAAAAAGAAATATTAAGTAAGAATACAAATGATAATTACAAATAAAAATTACAATTACAATTAGCTAAAATAAGAAGACTTAATTAATATAATAGAGCATCAATGAGGCATTAAATCTAATAACAAGAGGCCAATCAGTCATTACAGTCATTACAGGTAAAGTAGCTAACATTGTTAAAAGGCACTTTATATTTAGGCAAAAATTGCTAGAAATTTGACTTAAAATGTTTGATGGACATTTTGGACGTTCATCATGATATATATTTTGCCATTGTGTTTGCCAGATTTTAATCTTAGCGTCAAACGCATCAAAATTTGGTAATAAATGTTTGTAAAACAATGCACATTCTTTAAATTTGGTCAAATATGTACTATTTTGAGTTACATACTTTGGAATTAGTAATTGTAAAATTAATATTATACAAGAAAATCGTTCTTCTAGTTGAACCATAAAATGATCTAATAATGGAAAAAAAACGATACGTTTATAATTGGTGAATTAGCTGGTGTATTATTATATCGAGAAGTTTGCCGACTTACTATTCTGGATACTATAATTTCAACTTCAAGCATTGCTATTTTGCAAATAAAAAAATATTTTTAAAATGTTCATATTCCTTTTTTCAATTAAAACTTTACGTACGTCTTCAACTCGTTCATAACAATAAGATAAATCGATATTAACTTTTTGTAATGATATGCATATTGCATAAGGGTAAGGTTAATCTGTTATTGTTAGAACTGTAATAAAAATCTAGATTAGCCCAAATATAGCTCAAATGATAACGTAATTCACATTATTTTGATGATAATGTGGACTATGCGATATCGCCGTATAAATTACAGAATATAATTTTCCAAAAGCAAGAAAACCACAAAAAATTAAAAATGACAATAATATACATTTTTATATACCTACTATCTAGTAATAAAATTAAAATGAAATCAAAATTTTTTGAGACTATATTAAAAATCTACTTTCATCATAATTTTCATGAAACTTCAGGAAGGGGATTGAACCCCTAAACCCCGTGCCTGTACTTAACGAGTACAATGGCGGAAAATCGCTTAAATTGATTGCCATTGCTTAATATTTACAAAGAAATTAATCTAATACTATAAGATGTTAGATCTTATTTCCAAACGACAACCTAGGTGTTTACAGTTGTCCATATAATAATATTGTTTCAAATTTTTTTTTATAACTTATCAATTTTAATCATAAATTAAATTATACTTTTAAATTTTTCATGTTAGAATAATTTAAATTATAATTAATTTGAAGGCTTACATCAAATCTTAAATATAGTGTTAATAAAATTAACAATGAACAATTTTGAGCACTCCCCCAGAAACAATCTTATATCCGCCACTGTCTTGTATAATTGTGTATTACAATACTGATTTCTAAACACGCTAAAATACATTCATTTACATACAATATTTACTACAATGTTCGCCACTGAGAAAATGTCGGCAAAGTAGCGGCTGGCATCTCCCGATAAGTGGAGTTTGCTCTCTAGTATAATAATATATATGTGGTAATGTGCTGTGCCATCACAGAATAAACTAAAACACTTTTAAAACACGTATCTAACCGACCTCCGCTCAGAATCGTTTTTCGTTAGCACTGATTATTCGTTGCATACAAAAATACATTAAATTGCCCTCTATTTCTAACTATCCCAACTTCTCACTTAGAACAGTGTGGCCCTTCCATCGTGCGAAATATATTTGTTTCTTCTTTTTATTAAACTCGTGATTTAATATTTTAAAGTCAAGAGACAAAATGTGTACAGTCAATTACCCATAATGATAATAATTAATTAACAAATACGATTACAGCCTGCTGCATAATTCTACAAGTAATCGGAATAATAACTAATATAACTTAATTATTTTTATTATGGCTAACAATTGACTATACACTTATAGATTCTGAGCGGAGCGAGTTTGGTTTTACAAAGAGATTTATTTTTTTTTTTTGTGGACAACTTTTATACCAACAATTTTCAAATATAGCACTTTTTCTAAAAAGAAATCTGACTGGGTTGGTTCTGTAGGAAGGTCATTTTATGATTTTTCCCAGAAGTTTTCCCAATAAATGGGGAAAAAACTGACAAATGTACGAAAATGATGTTTTTATTATTTTCAATTTTATTTTCTTGATATAATTCATTTAAAAATTTTCGTAATTTAACTTTTTAATGCAGAATGATTATGGAAAAATAAAATTATTTTAGAAATCTTGGGTTGATTAAGATTCGGGACTACGTTACTATTTAATATAGACCGTGGTATGCAAACCGTAATTTGATATCATCACTCAACTATGCATTATATTTGGTTTGTATTAAATAACATATCAAATGTCAAGTAAGTAGAAATAACCGATATAGGAACAAAGAACCTGTAGTAAAAATAATAAATTGTTACCTATGCTCTCTAGTCTAATGGTGTTACATTTTTCACATATTAATTAAATCTTAACCATAATTAATAGAATAATCAATAGAATTAGAATATTTAACATATCTGTAACAATAATACTAGAATACTAGATACTCAATTTATTGTCTTAAATTATAGTATAGTAGGTATATAAATACAACTTAATACAATCAAAAGATAAAATAAAAACTATTAAAATATATTTTTTCATAGACCTTGAACTTTAACCTTTTAAAGTCTGTACATTGACATTTAAAATGTAGGACTATTCTACAGAAAGTTTAAAGTGTTGTTGGATGTAGGACAAATAAAATAAATGTAAGACAATCCTCATCCCAATGTCAGACGGTTGGCAACCCTAGCTGGGAAATAGGGAAAGTAGACTACACAAGGTTATTTATATTTATACGCAACGATAACCTAACGAAAAATGATTCTGTAAGTAGTTTTGAACATACATTTTATGGTTTTCATAAAATTTGTTCTTATGATTATAAAAAAAAAAAAAAGACGGACATATTTCGCACGTGAGTGGGTCACCTTTGTAAGTAAATTGGGAAGGTAGTAGAGGGAAAATGTAATATAACAGTTAAACATTACTGACGAAAAGACGATTCTGAGCGGTGTTCGGTTGATAGTGTTGCTTTGTAAACAATATTTATACGTTAGATAATAGACGACAAAATTTTACGTTGCAGTACAGACCTAATAACTAATAACCACACATTCAACCCCCTCACCTATCGCATGACATCTAGGTATTGAGTAAGAGAGATAGATATATTAGAGGGTTAAATATATAGAATACATTGTTATAATTCTTTTTGTAAGAACTATAATATTATAAAAAATACTTAACGTGTGTAAAACATGGTATTTTATTATTATATAAAAAAACATCCACATACACTTAGACTGATACTTAACAAGTACTAATAATATTAAAGTATACAGTAATGTAGAAACGCCGTTAAATTTTATGGCAAAGCGCAAATGGATTCTGGACAGCCGCCACTTTTAGAAGATAATAATTATTGTACTCACTTTTACCAGTATAATAACTAGTACTAGCCTAAATAGCAATAAAACAAGTGATTTTGAACATTTATTCATCAGAAAAATTTTCTATGCGATTAGCGGTTACACTGTTATTAACAAAAATGTTAATACTATTTGTATCATTCTTATGTATCAACATTACATTGAAGTGCCTCTACTAAAAAACTACAAAAGCTAAGATATTATTCACTGTTACACTTAAGCTACGATATAAATGATTAGCTTTAGGATTAACTATTCCTATAAGCTCGGTTACTTGCGAAAGGTCTTTTTCATCTATGTTCCGTATAAAGAATTGGCTAAGGACAAGCATGGGGCAAATGAAATTTATAGATTTGTTAGATATAAATATTGAGTGAAATCTAAGCACTAAAATTGATAAATATAAAATAATAAATAATTTTGGTATGTCACAAAGACTATATCTTTAATATAATACTTAAATTAAATTAAAAAATGTAAAATTTACCTGAATTTAATAATCATATCAAAAACACTTCGTTATAACTCCGTGTAAAAAAAAAATTAAATTTAGTAATGATTAAATCTTTAAATTGTAAAAACTTTACAATTGATCTTATTTTTGTTACGCGCATGCACAATTATTTTTTATTAAATAGCAACACTATTTCTTTTCTTTTTCTAAATTATTTCTGATTACAAAATTGGCAAATTTATAGTATGTTAAAATCTAATATTTACGAATAATCTGTAATATTGACGAATTTTATGAAACTATGTCCAACTTATACTAAAATATCGGAATGATATCTCCGGTGTTATGTTATATCTATTTGTAGACAGATAGGACACAAATAAACACTTCATTTGTTTGTATAGGGCATTTAAAAAATATTGATATGTTATGCCAAACAGTGAGAAGCGGGCGGACTCAGAAAAACATTGATAAGACCTTTCCGTTTGGTACTCTGTATAATATCTTAATTCGTATTACCCAGTTCGATAACTTTACTGTGTTGTTTATTCTAGGCAGGTACTGATAAGAACCGTTAATTTTATTAGTGATATAAACCGTTTTTTTTACTGTTTGATAAATATTCCATATCTGACATTTGAATGATTCAATTCAAATGGTTTTTCATTTAGACGAGTGATTTAAATTTCATATTTATAAAATATTACAAATATCTGTGATATCTAATTAAAAAAAAATATATACATATATAACATAATAATCAACAGGCGTTCGTTTTATTTTGTATCTCTTTTAATCACAATGAATGCAGGTAATTATAATACGGACACTATTTCAGATTTGGACGATTCTATTTTAATAGTTGAGGACCACAAAATAAATAATGACGTTTTACTCAATTGTCCTTCATCACCAGATGAACCAGAATTTTTTAAACAAGTCATACAACAGGTATGTTATTATTTATTTATGTACATATATATATATAAGTATATATTTAGTTACTTATTCCTGTGTAATTTTTCCACTTTTCGTATGGGGTTTTAGCAAAAACGCAAAAAAGCATTTTCTTCAGAAATTACTGTACATCAGGGTAAAGATTTATTTCCTACCCAGAATGGTGTTCACATTAATGAAAATAAGAAAATGTGTGTTGCCAGTGAAGGTGATCATGAGTCAAGTACTTGCAAATTTGTAAGTATGTAGAAAAAAAAATTGTAAATAAAGCAATATAATATAACATTTACATTTGAGGTGAAATTGACAAATTGTGAAATTGATTGATCTTACTTTGAAATAATTATAATATTATATTCATAGAATAACCAGAAAAGTATTCCATTCTTTGACAACAATATACTAGATCCAGATGTTTATATTCCTGTTATTAATGAGCAAACTACAGAAATCATACCCCGAATAGAACCAGTAATAATTCATTAAATTTTTATATAAAACTATATAGTTACAAAATTTTAATATAAATGTTTTTAGATAACTATGTTTTATATTTGTACTTTGTGTAATTTTAAATTATAAACATATTATAGATAGAACCAAAAAGAAAAAAACGCTTGACAAAAGAAGAATCTGAGGAAAAAAAAATGGAAGAAAAGGCTAGAAAAGATGCAAAGAAGAAATTAACTGAAGAATTGAAACGTTTAAATCCAAAAGAATGTATGAAAGTAAGGAGTTGTTTTATTTTAATATAATTACAGACTTGACTAAAAATTGTTAGTTTATATAAATGAAAATAATATTTGGACTTTAATCTACTCTCAATCTAATTAAAGATTATAGAAGATAAATGGAAACAAATATCACTTTCACATTTTTTATGGTTATAATCACGAGATTGAGAAGTTAAGTCATTAATTGGAGGGCAAGTTAGGAAAGATGGTTGAAAAATGGCAAAATAATGTATAGAATAAGCAGGAATTTTAAAATTAAGTAGAGTTGGGCACAGTTAAGACTTGATTAAAAGTGAGATTTGGCATAATAAGCTATTTAAGGAGAATGTCTGTTGTATGAATAAGGTATGGAAAGGACAGTGAACATTAAAAAAAAATAGAAATATGCTGAAATAATTATCTTTGGAATATAATAACAAGTAGATAGGTCCCAATAACCAAATCATATTTACTGATAGTGCGTGTATTTTTAATTAAGTTCTCTCTTTGTATCCATAATATAATAGTTATTTTATTATTTCAGTATATAACTATACACATTGATATAAATCTTCAAAATCAAGATTATTGCCAACAAATATTGTCTGAAATTCAGTCTACCGATGCAAAATACATAATTGAATCAAATTCATTTGTGTCACATTCAATTACATGGTCAAGACAAGTGGTAAATAATAATAAGCAGCTGGATAAAAAAATTTAAATTAAGAAAAGTGAATAACATATTAATGCCAATAGTTAATGTCATTCACAGAAGGATGATAACAATTATATTGAATGCTAATATTATGCCACAAACGCATCTTCATTCTTAACAAACTAATATTTATTCTATATCTATGTATGATATATTATATATCATACAATTTTTTAATAATCCATGAACAATTACACACCCTAAATATAAATTGGATTCAATATTTATAGTTAATACTAAATGATTTATTGTTAGAAATCTATAATATAGTTCATAAATAATCACATTACATTGAAATCTTTTTTTTTTTTTTTTAGTCAGATAATATCAGTGAAGATGAACATTTCATGCTTTTAATCTGGGATTTTGATTATGTTACAAATTTAATTGTTTCTAATCAATTAATAGAACAAATTAATAATTTGAAATTATATAAACCAAAACTTTCAATTATAATATATAGCACTGCTGTTCAGCTTAAGTATGTATATATTTATATATATTTTTTTAAATAACTATTTGATTTTATTTTCAATTTGTATTTTACTATTGTGTAGGAAAACCAAATCTAAGAAGAATTCTAGGTAGGTATACTTGTTTTTAAAAATAAAATTCAAAATACTAAGCTGTTAAAAACTATTTAATTTTCAGTAGTTCAAATATATTGAATAATTTACAACAAATGTTATTGTGTTGTCATGTTTCATTTCGTTTTATAGAAAATAAAAATGACATTGGATTGGCAATTTTATATTTTACTAAATCAATTGCACAGAGGCCATACAAGTAATTAAATATTACATTCTAATTTAATTATAAAAACCTTATACTGAATATTGTTATTTGTTTTTAAGATTGAATAAATACAAAGAAGAGCAAGATGGATGTGATTGGTATGCATCTGGTCATACAAAAAATTGTATAACAATTGATAAAAATGGTACTGGTTTAACTCAATTATGGAGGCAAATGCTCTCACAATTTCCGCTATGTGCTCTCGAAACTAGTGAAGCAATTGCATCAGTGTACAGTTCACCTATTGCATTATTACAAGTAAATGTAAACAATTTATTAATTACCTATTATTGTTTCACAAACAAAATTATTTTAGGCAAATTAAAAAAAAAAAAATATATAATATATAAATATGTATATACAAATTTTCTAATGCATTTAATTTTCATTACTTTTCATATTTATAAATGTATAATATTACAATTTTAATCTAGGCGTATGATAATTGTAGCACAAGATTAGAAGGAGAAACATTACTACAGGATATTCCCGTAAGTGTATATTTTAACATTATAATAGCATTAGATATATAATATATATATTTGCATTCAAATTAGTGGTTAAAAAAAAAAAAAAAATTATTACAAATTTAAGGTCCGTCGAGGTTTCGGTCCATTAGCTTCCAATCGTCGTATTGGACCAGAACTGAGCAAAAAAATATACATATTTTTCACAGATAATACTGGATGCGCTACATTATCCCAAGAATAGTGAACAATAACGAAAAAAAGTTATAAATAAATAACATGAACTAAACTATTTAATAACAACTTATATTACTGGTAATTGTTTCTTTTCTTTTTACTATATATTCAGTATGATAATAGTAAATGTGCATAGACTAGACATGTCTACTTTTTTGACATAATAATATGTGAATTATGTATATAAATTTAGTTTGCACATTTTTATTCTATTTAAATAATTATTTTTCAAATCAAAACAAAAAAACTAGAATTATCTATTCATAGTTGTTAACATTTAAATAATAATATAAGATCAAAACAAAAAAGCATTAATTCATGACTTTTTGAAAAGCATTTAGAATGTAAACAGATTAATAGAAATTGAGCTGAATAAACATGGAATTATGCAACACACGTTTTATTTTTTTATGAACTACTGTGCAGATAAAAACATGATGTCCATATTAAACAAGTCCTGAATTTTAAAATTAATTTAAAAAAAAATAATAATCATAATAATAATAAAATAAATAATAACAGTATGTTGTAATAATAAAATGTCCATTAAGAAAAACAAAGAGAAATAAACAAGCTTCGGCCATAAGTTGTTAAATATTGCAATTGTTTAAGAATGAAACAGTTCTGCCTTGTACCATAAGAATATGAAAATTTCTAGGAAAACAGTTTTTTTTAAACATTTTTCATCATCAGTATTGAATTTTACATGAATGCGTTGAAGTTGCAATGATCAAGAAACATGGCAGCAGTGGATTGATTATTGTTGAATACGTATGGCAGTGTGACAACAGAACTGCCATAAACAGTAGATGCCGAGCTTGCGTTCATTGGTTGTCAATTCATTCGTAATGGCTGGTCGTAACGTTGTCGCAATGCTGCTTCAGGACCAGCAGTTAATGCAACACCAGCCATTTGGTTCATGCGAAAGCTATTTTCAATTGCCATTGTGTTAGCTGCCATCGCAATAGCTCCTAAATCAGTATTAAATTATAATAAAAAAAATACATTTCATGATTAATCATATTAATGTATTAGTAATTAATATGTAAAATATTATGAAATATAAAATAATAAACTTAATAAAAATCTAATAATAATTTTAAATCAACTGAAGTTTTGATAAGTTCATAACCTATAATAAGTATACGCATTATATTTTATTTGTATTTATTCATAAAGAATATCTATTAAGTATAATACATAATTATTTAATTAAATATATATATTTTTTTTAAATATATTCATATCATAAAAAAAAAAAAAAAAAAAAAAAAAAATATTGATTGGCTAATATTTTTATGCATATAATTGGTAGATACTATTATCTTTCACATTCTATATGGTAAATAAATTAAACACCTTTATTTTTACATAATAAAAAAATTAATTGAAAAAATGTAAAATATATAATAATGGTTATAATTTACTAAGTTTAGAAGTTTAGCATTATATACCTGGATCTTGAGTTGGATCACGTGGTTTAGTGTGTAAAAATGCACAATACGGTTTGCGACATCCAGTTGGTTGTTTTTCCCAATAACATGGAATTGCTTTCCTATTTTTCTAAAAAAAAAAATTAGAGTATTTTTACTATCACTATCATTGAAGAAATAAATATTAATAATAAAATAAAAACCACTAGAATGACTAATAGATGATTACATTATTCAAATGAAACTTTTGTGTGACAATATAGATTTTAGGTAATTGTATATTATAAAATTAATAAATAAAACAAAAGTCCATCAAGTAATTTAATTTTAAGTTACCTTAAGTTCCATATGACGCAATGTGCAATGATCATTTTCACATTTTCCACTTTGCCAAAAACTACAAACCATTTCACATCCTAGCGCTTGCGGTTCATGACGAAATGGACATTTATCACCCTATAAAATTTAAGTATTATAGTTTTCCGATTTTTCCTCCTTACCATAATCAAATAGTAAATACCATTATACTACACCAAACACCAAATTACCAGTTCTTTTTAACTTTTGTAGTAAAAAACAAATTTATAGTGATGGATTGAAATAAATAATTATGAAAAAATACCAGAATAATATTTAATTTGCATTAACTGTAAATATCATTTTAATTGTTTCAAAAAAATACAAACCAACCTTCATGCAAGTAGAATAGTAATAAAAGTAGCAGTCATTATTCTTCTTATCGCCTTTCTCCATGATTCTTTTTAGTTTTGTATTGATTTTATTTCTTACTGTGTCAGTCCTATCAATAAAATATATAGTAGAATTAAATTTAAAAACCACAAAATAAAAATCAAGCATAATAGACACGGTGAGGGTGAATAGAAATACTAATATATGTGTCCAGAAATATAAATGTCTAGGCATTGATTGCATGTAATACCTATATTTCAATTTTCGAAAATCTGGTGAACAACAAAAACCCTGAAAATTATTCATTTTATTATTTTATTAACAAAAAATTAATAAGGAATTAGAGACAGTAATTCTGTGAGAAATGGCCATAGACCTAAGTCTAAGGAAATTGTATAGGTAGACTCAAGAGTATTGATTGGTGACACTGTTATATTATATTACATTAGGTGATTAAATTATCATTATTCTTAAAGAATAATAATAACAATAATTTAAAAATACGATTTACAAAATTTAAAATTAAGTAAATTTAGTCTATTAAGTTTAATTATTTTTTAATATTTCTATTAATCTACTATTACAGTTTTCAAATTTATAATTTCAAATCAACCTAACCTAACATCTATATTTTTTTTTTTAAATATTAAGCACAGCTTGGGTGCTTGATTTAATATTTAGGCACCTTAAAATTAAATGTCGAAAATAAATCAATGGGGAGATTTCGTCCCACTTTACTGCCTTGAAAAATTGGGAAAATGTATTGATGGTACATCCCATAATTCAACTACATCCAAATAATCGAATTAACGTAGCCCCACAGAATACGTAGAGGGATCGCGTTTGAACCCATAAGTAAGATGGAGCGTAAAAGGATGATACTAAGCGGTGCTAGTTCAAGTCCCAGTTGATAACGAGACTGTCCGCCGGAAACGCGAATTAATATTATTATTATACCGTGGGTAGTACACAATATCATGGTAAAAGTGGTCACGGTTTCTGCAACACTAATAACTTTATCTTACCTGTCCTGCCGAATGCCGCCGCAGTGGTAGGTATCTGGGTGGTAACCGCGTTCACTTCGGGTCTACAGACCTACAGTATCCAACGCGAAATGTTAGGTACAGGGGCGCGTTCGACTGTCACGGCGGCGGCTGCGGCGACGGGTGCGACTGCGACTGCGACGGCGTTCGTGTTTGCGGTCAATCGGATGGACATGAAAATCGCCTTCGTCCACCGCGTCAGGCGGAAAAACCGGGCTTTGAAACGTAGGACGTTATTAATTTATAATCGTGTGAAAATGGTCTGAGCAAATCGAAAAAAAAAATATTTTAGGGGAAATAAGAATAACCGAATAACGCTGCTCGTCGTGCGTTATCGGCGTTTTTCGTGAAACGGCAGCGGCGCGGCGCGGCGAACGGATCATTGCCACTCACCCGTAGACGTTGAAAACACATGGCACGAACGAACCTCTTTGAAATTCGCCGGCACCACGCTTCTTATCAGTTTATCATCACATCCGTCATTGTTTTTATTCTAAATTATTTCCGCAGTTTTGTAAATTTGTTTAGTTTCCGTTTTCGATGTTTTCACATAATCCATCTAAATGGCTGATCGTCTGACCCAACTTCAAGACATCGTTAATCAAGTAAAAATACCACGTTGCGTTAGAATAAAACAAAAATATTACTTCCGTAAATCAATAGTGTGGTTAGGAGTTACAACTGTAACATCAATTTTAGTTTTTGAATAGATTTTTTAAGTTACAATTAAACCTACACGGCTACTCAGTACTAACTACTTCTAATTTTAAACAAAAATCAAATAACAATTGGACTTTTAATGTGTACCTTATATTAATATTTAGCTAAATCACCCGAGCTCACCTATGACAGTAAATTGTTTTTGCCTGTAAATTACTCTAAATGAAATTTTTTAAATGTTTTTTCTTTGTTTGTGACAACCAAATTAAATTTTAATAACTGTTTTTTTTTTCATTCGTGTCGTAAGTAACTTATAAATCATCAAAAAAGTTCAATTTTCGTTTCAAAAATATCAAAATTCCGTGTTGGTCACTCTTTTGCTGTTATATTTTAAGATAATAATTAGACAGTGATTTTCCTCTTGTTTTAGATGTCATTTGTGTAAAGTTTCGTTAAGATCATTAAAAAAATTGTAGATATGTATAAAAAATCAACATATTTGAAATTAGATTTTGTTTATAAAACGTATACTAACTGTTCTGTTCAGCTTAGCCATAGTATTAAACAAAAAAAAAAAAAAGTTAAAACGTTTCCTTGGAACTCCCTGTTTCTGTCCCCAAACAGTTTACTATTGTTATCATAAGTTTTAAAAAATTAATTTTCTTTACATCTTTTAAGAGTGGAATTTTGAATAAATCTTTTATTAGTGGTTTTCTTCCCAAGGTAGTTTTTGAGTATAGATCATGAATGAACATTTATTTTATATAGTAGAAACTATGTTTATATATATATATGTATAAATTAAATTTAAATATAAACTTAAAAATTCCTATATACGTACTGTATAATGTGCTTATTGTATATTATTTAATGTTGAGAATTATTATGACTCTGATTTGCTATTTTAATTTTACAGCAAGCGGATAACTTTTGTAACAGTATAGGAATTTTACAACAGTGTGCTTTACCATCCAAATTTTCCAATTTTGATAGAAACGGGTCACAAACTCCACAACAACAAGAAGGTTTGTGTTTTTTTTGTTAAAAATTACTTATTACTAGGAAAATTAATTATGGAATACTATTTTAGATTATACGAGTTTATTTTCTTCACTCATAACTCGCTGTGCTAAAGATATTGATGCATTAATTGAATCATTACCTAATGACGACACTTCTACAGAATTACAAGTCTGTATAGGGTATAGAATTAATTAATTATACAAATATGAATTAATTATTTAATTTGTGCAGGTCGCAAGTTTGAGAAGATTAGAACAAGAAAATCAGTTAGCTGCAGAACGTTTAGAAGAAGTTGTTCGAAAAGGAGAACTTCTTCTAGAACAGATACAAGCAGCTTTGTCCGATATTGCTCAACAGCAGTTAGATATTCAGCAGAGTAGTGATAATCACACATGCTAATAAAATTTATAATTGTATCATGAAAGTAACAAATAAAAAAAACGTAGTTAAAGCTATTTCTGCCATCAGCCAAAACCATAATATTAAAAGGAATAAAATAAAACGATTGGCAGAAAAGAAAGGTAAAAAAAGAAAGAAAATATCTAAAAAAGCTTTAATTGAGGCCGGATTGAAAAATGAAACAAAAAAACCAAAAACTAAAATAGAGTCTACTATAAATAACAATTTAACAAAATTGACAAGTATCAGTTTTCAAGGTGCGTCAGGCAATTCTAGTACTGTTTTACATAAACAACAAAAACAAGTTGAAAGAGACAAAAAACCAGTGTCCTTTATTAAGAGAATGAAAGATAAACTAAAAGGTGCAAGGTTTAGGTACGTTCATAATATTTTATTTTTATTGTACTTTTGATTTATTCATTTTCAGGATATGGACTAAAATAAATAATATTATGTACACACGTTGGTGAATACATAACTTTTGTAAATTTCATAACTGCTTTTCGTGTCTTATTGAATACCTGGCTATTTTATTAGGTCCTGAAATTTAATTATCACCTATTAATAATATGTCAAATGTATGTCTTCTGAGTAAAACTGTCTATTTAAATTCTTACTAAATTTAACCAATTTAACACATATAATTCTATAATTTTGAATTAATTACAGGTGTATAATAATTAATATGTTACATGGTTTTTCACAATAGCTTTAAGCAAGTTTTTGATTTGTTGATAAATTTTAAATAATTAATTATATATTATAAAACATATCTTTTTTTATAATAAAGTATTTTTATTAAATTTAATTGTTTAATTATTTTTTGAAAATATTTATTTCACTCTTTTTTAAACCCTATTTGATATGTAATAGGTATTTGAATGAACAGTTCTATTCGTCTACCAGTCAAGATGCTTTGCAATTTTTCTTAAAAGATCCTGAGGCGTTCAAAGCCTATCACAGTGGATATATGCAGCAAGTAATTCAATGGCCAGTAAAACCTTTGGACGTTATAATTAAACAAATTACCACAATGTAAGCTATATTTATTTGTTAATTAGTTTTATATTATGCAAACAAAACACTTATTTAATATAATTATATTTTTATTTGTTTAAGATTGAAAAATTCTAAGAAAAATGTTGCAACAATAATTGCAGATTTTGGTTGTGGCGATGCTAAACTGGCTCAGGCATTTCCTGAAATTAAAATTCATTCATTTGATCTAATTGCAGTCAATCAGTATGTAACTGCTGGGGATATGGCTCATACTGGGTTAGCCAATGGATCTGTAGACATAGTGGTTTTTTGTCTATCTTTGATGGGCACAAATTTGCAGTCATTCATTAAAGAAGCTAATAGAGTTTTGAAAATTGGGTGAAATATATTTTAATTCAATATTAAGTTTAATTATTTGTTTGATTTTAATAAAATATTTTATTTCTAGAGGTTTGATGAAAATAGCTGAAGTTGAGAGCCGATTTGATAATATTAGTATATTTGTTACCAATCTAACCAAGTATGGATTTGAAAATACTAAAGTTGATCAAGCAATTGAAATGTTTGTCTTCATGGACTTCAAGAAAACTCAAGATATAAGCAAGACAGCAATAAAAAAAAAATTACCAATATTAGAATTGAAACCTTGTATTTACAAAAAACGTTAAAAAATTGGTATTTTGTAAAAATTTAAAAAAATAAAGTTTTTACAAAATTAATATCTAGAAAAAAAACTTAATGATGAGTAATGTTAAGCTTCCCAATGTACGTAATAATGAATTTTTAATAGTCTGATTTACTATTAAACATTTAAAATTACGAGTAAATTGATTTTCGCTCATTTCTTTTAATTACGGTTTTCTTCTCCACTATTTTGTATATACATTTATATGAGAAAATTGTTGTGAACTAAAATCCTGATGGTCTGGAAATTCTAATTCTGTTAAGTTCACAATCTAATACATTATTGTCTTCTAAAACTTATTTTAACATATGCAATAAAAGATGTCTTCCTTTTGGGAAAAACATAAGATCATTAATGTTTTATGTCAGGCTATAAAATATATTACTTATCTTGAGGTTTACTTATTTATATAAACAAGTAATTGTAAGTAATGGTTTATTATACGAAAAGTACGAAGTATAATTTTGTGCCTGTAAATGTTCCACATCAAAATATTCAAATTTTGTATTTGGGAACATGTTCCTCCGTTAGTTTTCACCTTTGCAAGATAATATGTTCCTAGAAAAACTACCATTGCTTAGTTTCCTGCACACATTCTTTCACAACAGAAATTTATTTTATAGTTATAGCAATTATTTTCTTAACACACATTTTTTTTTTGACCCCAGACTTAAAGACATATTAATAATGTCAACAATAACTAGGAATATTGTAATAATAATTACCAAATTAAAACAAAAACAGTTGAAACATTGTTATAATTTACAGGTCTTTTAAATGTATAATAACAATTCTGTACAATATCAACAATGTTTGTACACAATAATATTGATATATTTACAAACATTTATTTTGTGACAAATCACTTAAATTATAACTGTAATATATTATATATTACATTACTTATATTATAACTTCAAATTGATTAACCAGACAACGTTAATAAACTACACAATTTTTAAACTGTAATCAGACTTATAAATAAATACAGTCATCTAATAAAATATATACATTATATTGGCCATGCTTTTTCCTGAAAGACAACTTTAGGATAGTTAAGATAAATTATTACATGGCACCTTAAAAATGATTAAAATTTTATAATATTATAATTTATAACCATATTATTTATAATTTTGTATAGGTATTGAAATTAAATTTACAGCCATCAATTAATTTAATTTTAAATATAAAACAAAAAAAAATCTGATAGTCATTAAATTATTATTTTCTCTGGTAACGAGTATTAATAATCCTATGAATATATACATATACAAATAAACATAATAATAATAATTTGGCAACTTATACAAGTTTGTTATAATTTATATTTAAAAATAATTTACGATAATATAATGATAAATACACAACTGTAATACAGAAGGATCCAAATTACTGTATACAAAACAAGCATGTTTAATCAGATTATCTAACTATATAAAAAATTAATTAAGTTCTGGCAATACTAGATTTAACTATTTAAAAATAAACTATTGATTTTAATGCCGATGATAAACTGTAAACTAATATTAATGTCAAATGTATATTAATTATTTGTACTAATTACATTTTTACCAAATTAAACTAGCAGATTAAATCTAAATAACAATACTTAATAGATGCAAACTAATAACATTTTGAACAAAATACTGTCACTATTTATAATTGAAATTATATTACTTTTAGTTATATCATAATAATAATTATAGGTATAACCAAATAAGAAAATTAATTAATTAAACTGATTTTCTCAAAACAAATAAGCAAAATAATGTTATTTTACAAACAAAAACACCTCAAATATTGTACAATCAGCAGGTTGATAACTTCAATTAAAAAAAAAAAAAAGAACCTATTATAACTGCACTAACTTCAATAAAATGCAATCATTATTTTGGAACAACGTGAAGAAAAATGCCAGTCTTAAAACAATAATAATGAAAAAAACCCTATGAAATCATGATTTACATAACTTACTCGAAAAATTAGTTGTGCAGATAAATAACAATAATTAATAGGGCTTGGGACTTTAAGTATTTAAAATTTACGAAAAGGCACTTAAAAATAAAAGATAGTAATATGTTTTTAAAAGTCCCTCCCCCCCTATAATGGTTTCAACTTACAAAGTAAAATTTTCGAACACTACAAAAATTATTAACACAAGTTTTTTAAAAAAAAATTACATGTGCTAGATAATTGCATTTAATTGTTAGGTGGAAAATTTAAATCTCCCTTGGGCCCTCTGTATTTTTGCTTTTTAATTATTTTTTCAGAGCTCTTTAAGCTCTTTTCTGTAGATTTTAAATATATAAAGTCCCGAGCTCTAATAATTATTATATTAAATGTACAGTTTGTTGACTCAAAATAGTTTAAAGTAAAAATTGGTTTGTGGTTCAAAAAAATAAAAATAAATATTTAACTATATTTGAATAGTAAATTTTTGAAATCGATATCACAATAATATATTTAAAAAATATTCAATGAATACAAATATTGTTATTCAATACATATAGGTGTTTAGTTGTTGATGAGGCAATAGAAAATCTCAAGAAACTACATGCAGGATATCAGAAAAAAAGACCAAAATATAATTTTTCAAATTTTAGTTTTGTGTTGCTTTTTAATGTTTTGGATTGTTTTGATAAATTTTAAGATTTCTATGGTATAAATGATTTTAAAATTAAATATTGGTCCTAGACTAGGGTGTGGATAGATGTTGTGAGAGACCAAATTAGGTGGCGGATTTAGAGTTCCAAGGTTAATAAGTTTTGGCACAACTAGATCGCAAATTTTAAGAATTCTGAAATTATGTGTTATTCACTAACTCAAGTGGGCTACCACACACCATTTTCCTCAATTTAGTAATAATATTTTGGCGTAAAAAAAAGTACCATATTATTTATTTATTATATCATTAGATTATTATTATTAATTTATTTTTTTAATTTACTGATTTTTATATAATTGCTGGTAGAATACCTACTTATTCACTACTTCTAAGGAAGTAATGTTATTAATTACACTTCATTTAATGTTCAATATTGACAAATTTGTGAAAGACTTAAGGGTTTATGTCCTTAGCTGATTTTCTAGATGCCATACTGACAAAATACAACTTTTTATAACTTATAAACATTAAGAAAAGTGTTATTCTAACAAATATATTTAATTACAAATATAGCCATTTTTAGGATAAACATAGGTATTATCTTTAACTGTGCCTAAAATCCAAAAGTCCATCAACTAAGAATCAGGAGTCAATGTATGTGGGGCCGCAACGAAAATCTTGTATGATAACAGTGAACCATTTTTTGAAAGAAAAAAAAATGTTTTTGATTTTTAGGATAAAAGGTGCTGAATTAGAGCTGGGGAGCTTCAGCACTATCCTCTTCCCCTCCATAGTTGCGTCTATGTTAATACGAAAATATCAGTGAAAAAAGGAGAGATGAAAAAGAATTTTGAAAATTATTTATCGGTCATTTTTTTCGGGGCTTTCTTCAGACCATATGCATATATCTTATTATAATACTATAGGTATATAGTGGAATGGCAGTATCGGGCTGTCGACGACGATAAACACTGCAAATGGTTAGCACGTCGTGTATAATAATCAACTACCTATATATAATTAGATATAGTTCCTATACATATGAAACCTACTCTTAAATACTAATATTTATAAAAATTATAGCCCGTGGCCTTAGGTTTGTGGATGGCGAACAGCCGGCGCGTGCTCAGAAGAACCCAGGGTTGGTGTGCTCGATGATGCACCGCTTGCAGTACTTCTTCACGGCCTTGTACCCGTCCGCGGATATCTGGCAGTCTTGTATGTTGAGCTGTTGGAGGCCCCGGCAGTAATACGCGATCAGCTGTATGCCGCGGTCGGTGACCAGGTCGCAATTCCGGAGACTGAGCTTCTTCAGGTTGGGGCAGCTCTCAGCTAGCGCCCGGAGGCCTGCGTCGCTCACGTCACATTTGCCGATGTCGAGGGCACGGAGGCGGGCACAAGACCGCGCCAACACGGTGATCGCGTCATCGCTGACCGCTTCGCAGCCTCGCACGTTCAGGTATCGCAGCTTGTAGCAGCGGCGAGCGATCACTTTGAGTCCGGCGTCGCTGACTTGGTCGCATTTAGCCACCGACAGGTACCGCAACAGCGCACCCAGCTTGGCCAGCTCGTACAGCCCAAAGTCGGTCACCTGATGGCAATCCGACACGCTCAGCTCTTTGAGCGCTGAACAAAAACTCGGTACGAACTTTATTCCGGCGTCTGCAAAATAATATAATTATTTTATAGTAACAATAACTTGAGTTATAAAACAAATCGCTAAAAAATAATAAGCTCTTTGAAATTTTTTTGGTAAATTATTACTATGGTTCTTAAGTTAGTATAATATTTAAACCTTATTAGTCTCTACTTTAGTAGTAAACTACACTATGATAACTACTTCGCCTATACCGGGTGATCCATTTAAGTGAGTACACTCATTATCTCGTAAAGTATTAACTTTTTTCAGAATTTATTTTCTAAAACATTTAAGAAAAGAGTAGCTATACAATTTTATATTCATGTTTTTTTTTGTCACCCTTATTTCTGGGGGTAAAACCACTGCCTACTTTTGATTTATAAATGGAAACCTGTATCGAAAATTCTTTAAAAAGATAGATTATTAGTTGCAATAAATTTTGGTGTTGACATTTTTGATTTCCGTCGATCCGTTGACGAGATATTCCACTTTTAAGTTTTGGTTGGAGAAGAGTAATGGAATATCATTTGTGTGATGTATTGCGTGGCGTGTTAATAATGCACCACTACACTCCTAAATACTATAGATTATAATATAATAATAATATTACTTATCTTATATCTGATTACTATTTGAGTATTATATTTATTTTATTTAGCTCAAAAACTGGAGTGCTAATTTTAAATTTAGAGGTGCTAAGCACTCCTTGATACCCCTGGTATGTGCGCCAATGCTTAGATCATATATATATAATATGGTTGTTTTGTTGTATGTTTTTATTGTATAATATGATCTAAGGGAAATGTATACGTTCATGTTCTTTTGATAGATTAAATAGTAGGTACCAACATAACATATTATATGCTGTACATGTTATTTGGCATAGGTATTATAGGCACAATGAATTGTTGATTTTTCTGACTAAAATGTAAAAAATTTGAATTTAAAAATAGATGGTAATATAAATAATTGACACTAAGAACAGGCCAAGTTGGGAGATATAATTTTCAAATCCCCCCCCCCCCCCGCGCCATGGTAAATACACCACTGCTACAAATCCTACTAGGTCAGTATTTAAATGTATACACTACCTATATAATATTGTTATTTATTTACTATTATTACGCGTGAACACGGAGGCAGTGTTTGCCGTCATTTGCATCGATTTATTTATTTTTCCCACAGCAAGAGGAGGTGCAATAAAACCGATATGCATACGTACACATTATAGTTCAATATATATATAAATCGAAATACGTTGTTCGAGAATAAATAGCTTCTTAATGAATTATTAAAACCGGATTCACAGTCGAAGAATTCGCATTTGTGGAGTATAAGTACGTATACCTATTTACTGTATTTGTCCGGGTACGCGGGCGCAATGATGCGAATAACTCACATTCCGCATTTTGTCGAACGAGACAAATAATTCTGAATGGAAATTTGTATAAACAGGTAGTTATATGAGAATTTACTATTTTAATGCGTGTAAGAATAATATTCGAATGTCATTATAATAATGTATGTATATATCTAACCTGAACCGTGCGTATTGTATAGGTAGCTATTAAGTGCCTATGTAAATATTATAATGGCCACCTTATAATACGAATGTACACGAGAATAAAATGTCTAAACATAATATTATAAAAAAAAAATTGACATTCTTACGAGACTTTTATGCGGTTTATGAAAACGGCTATGTTTTAGATTCGATAAATTTGCAGCTAAATAATTTTAGACGTGGACAAATATTATATAGTGAGCATTAATTTAACTCCGTAGTCTCAAAATGAAAAGTCAGTCAAATACCTTTATTTATTTATTTCAAAAAAAAATAATATAAAGGTTTATTTAATATAACTGATAACATATAATGTTATTTATAACTGATAAAAACTAAAACGTGACTTAAAATTCCACAGGTTAACTAAATTTCAACAGCTAACGTATTCTGTAATCTTGCTCCAATCGAAAAAGAGACCGTGTACTAAGTCTAAGGGTTAAAAAAAACAGTTACTCGTAATGTACTACTACTAATGTAGTATTTTTTTTTTAGACACGGAGCGTATCGAGGAATGCATTGGTTTTACAATGATGTTTATTTTTTTATACCATGTACTTAATTTTTACCAGAAATCTTGCTCCGATGTGTCAAGTGTAGCACCTTTTCCAAAAGTAAATTGTATCTATTTGATACTTTAGGGAGGTCATTTTTTGATTTTCCAAGCGGTTTTCATAATAATTGAGAAAAACAAAAAAAAGACAAAAATGAACTAATAAATGTATGGCGTTACTATTTCATTACTTGAAATTTGTACGCTTTATGTTTTCTACGAAAAATATTGCTTCAAATAAAAAAACTGACAAAAAATCGTTGTTGTTGAATTTTTAATCTAGTGGATGAGTAATAAAGTTATTTTTTGATTTTCCCATGAAATTTTTTTAATAATTGAGCAAAACTGAAAAAAAAACGTTGAAAAAACAGGAAAATTTACGAAAATAATACTTTTATTATTTTAAATTTTGTTTTAATTCAGTTAAAAATATTTGTAGAGACTTAAAATTACATATACAGATACAGAATAATAAATCAAAGTCCTACTTTTCCAATTTCTCACTTATAACAATCCATCCATGGATGGTCCATCCATCGTACGAAGTATGACCGTCTTTTTTATAATCGTTTTATGATGGTATTTCAAAACATATAACTGAAATTCGCTCAGAATCGTACTTCGTTAGCAATGGTTTATCGTTACTTACATGATATAAATTACATAATTTTATGTACCTATCCTATCTTCCTAACTTACCCACCTACAACAGTGGCATCCCCTATCAGCAGTATCAATTCTTTTTAGTTTTAATGTGAATAAAATTATTTTGGCCATGTTCTTGTATTGTAGGTGCCTATATATATATCTGTGTGGCTCACGAACATTATTCACGTTGGGCACCCCTGCGCTACATATACGCTATAAATACGAATGTATAGAATCGATTTTCGCACACATGAATATAATAATATTAAAACATCACGCGTTAAAATTGCAATTCATTTCGACTAATTTAATTATTAACATTACCTGTAACTTTTGTGCACCGCCGTAGGTACAGGTAGGCCAGTTGCGGACAATTACTAACGATCACACACAGGTTTGCGTCGTCGACGAGTTGGCAGTCGGTCAGGTCCAAATACTGCAGGCACAGTCTCAACGACGGCTCCGGGCGACTGTACACTCCAACCGTACTCACCTTAACACAACCTATAATATAATAAAGACAAAAAAAAAAAATAGATAAATAAAAAATGGAGATAAATTTTACAGTCGAAAATTAATTATACCCCCGAAATAGTAATTATTAATTATATATACATCGTCTGCACGTTTATAAATTATAATGTACATATATATGTATACACCGTATAATACAACAATATTTCAAAAACTATAAATTATTTTTATTGTGTTTTATACATTGGTACCGAATCATAATAATTATATATTATAGAATATGTATTTTGAACCAACAGTAAATAATTTTAAATAAAGTTTAAGTATAAATAAGCAGATACAAGAACAGTTAACTAAATATAGATATATAGTATTATAATATGGTGGTCAAGTTATTTTGTCATGGGGGGGGGGATAAGGATAGTTTTTAAGAACTACTTGTATTATTATTTATATAATTTTTTTATAACTACAAAGATATAATAAAACATATGTTATTACAAATATTTAAGAAAAAATAGGTAACACGGGAGGATATGTCTTCTATTTGACCGCCCATGAGGCAAGTACGAGTATATTAAACGTTTACGAAGTAAAAAGTTAACATTATACGCAGATGTAAAATATGCTTTTATACAGTGTCGAATAAAAATATAAGAGTATATTATATATAGTCGCAAGTAGATATATTTAATTTAAATATATACTAGTATAGTATTATAATTTATGTGCATGAATGAATGATCAATACAACAATATATAACCATGTGGAAGAAATCAATTGTGATTTATTTTATAAAACATATTTAATAGTTAATATAACTGATGCGTCGAGTTTAAAAAGCTGTGCATAACGAGGAAATGCAATTATTATAGCTTATAAATATATATATACAGTGGCGTAATTCGGACTAGACCGTGGGGAGGGGATCAATATCACAGGGAGTTTTTATATATATATATAAAAATACAATAACTATGTATCCTATTTTCTCAATTCTCCACGTACAACAGTGGCATACCCGTCGTAGTATCAGCTCTTTTTATAAAAATTTGTATGCATATTATATATTATTAAAATATTGTAATGATAATAAATAATGCAATAATTTTTTATTCGTTTTGTTAGACACTATTACGTTTGAAATTTGGAGGTTTTTATAAGTTATATCATGTGTTCTGCGATATATTTGTTTATGTAGGTATTTATGTATTTATTTATATAGGTGATCTTAAATCTGGTATAATATTTTTTATTACCTGCCTAATAAAATATAACATAATAATACACCTAATCGTATAGTTTATATACTGTTATTATAAGTATAGTATGGTATATAAGACAAGATTGAACATTATTAACTGGATCCAATGATATTCGACAATAATATATAATTTTTCGTATCCCACCCAGTATAAAATCTACAAGTACTTAATAAAAGTTTGTACGAAACGTATAAACCTGTTATGTTTTTTTTTTTACATTTCGTGTGTATAGGTCAATAACAAACGTTTGGAATTTTATATGCAATGGTATATTTTTTTATTTATTGAAAATTAAATATTCGTGTAGGTGAACTGAAAACCGAGTGCAATGTAAATATTGTAAAGAAAAATTTGCAAAAAAAAAACCAACATTCGAATACTTGTTATCAGAACATAAGACCGACAGCCTTTTAACAAAATATTCTCAGGGATACCATAACTCAAAACGAATGTGGTACGCTCTTTTATCCCTATTACATATAATATATTATAATCTAGCTTTGACTAGGAAAACTGTTATTTTTACAAGAAATATTTTATGCACCACCGCCGATACGATTTCCGTTGCTCACTGTAGCCCACACACGTGATTTTTTTTTAAATAAAAAATAGACCGATACTGCAGATAGGTGTATCGTGTATAAGGAGGGAAGTTGGAAGGGAGTATAATATTTGAATTAATTTAATTGATATTTGTACCTCAACGATAAACCATTAGAAACAAAAAAACGATGCACCAACTTATAGATTAGTTTCTCATTAAACGCTCGAAAACTATTCATATTCGAAATATATAAACAGCATAATTAATATAATTTTGTTTTCGTTTGGAAATTGTTTACGCTGTAAGTTTGTTGGTTTTTCGTTTCCGATTTTTTCAATTATTATGAAAACCATTTAGACAATATAAAAATAATCACCTCAACGTACCAACTAGATCGAAAATTCATTAAAAAAGATCTCTTATCATTTTTTGATTGGAGCAAGATTTTTGGTAGAAAAGCGTTCACAAACAGAAAAAAAAATTATAAATCATAGAAAACTAATACACGCCTATTGCCTAGCATGAGCCAAGCAAGAAATTCTAGCAGGACATCTGAAGAGGTTTCTGAGTATGCTCAGAATCTAAAACGAAATAAATTTGTAACATTAAAATTAATGTTTGGTACACTGCACGGGGGTATTGACGCATAAAGAATACATAGTAGCCAGTATGTTCAGAGAAAATGAGCCTACTGACCGTTTTTATTTATTTTTATGGGTTCTACGCGTTTGGGAATACAATAGCTGACGGAAAGGATACGATGTTATTCAACAGGTATATCATCGTATTTCGTATTTCATTTTTTATCTATGACACTGCATTTCACTATAATTCTGTTAACGTTTGACATGGAGCTATCGATAATTGGAAAACAGTTTGAGTAACCCTAACGAAAAACGCTTGGTAGGCGGGTGTCGATCGCAGTTTACTTTTCGTTGACCCGACTATAATTAACAAAAATGTAAATCAAAATACAGAGTGTCCCACGACGGGGTCACAATAATACTGCGCTAACTGTGATAGACACTATGTAATAATAATAATAATAATATAGTTTTAAAGTTTCCGTATTAGTAAATCTTCATCGTATATATACAGTGCACGGTGCTTGCTGCGAGATTCCGTAATACAATAATACTCATGTGTAGCGTTCTACTCCGATTGTGATATCGAAATAGATGGAATTGTGTGGAATTTTTTTTTTCCCCCCTCGACTTTATAGTTTTCTTCTAACCGTACCTGCAATATATACTTCTTTTTTTCACCATAAATAACTCTAAACGGCTTCTTCAATGAGCCGTGCGTCCGTCCGCATAGGTATATAATAATACTCGTATATTATACTGGTTAATAACGAATTCCGCGCGCGAACTAACAATGTTAGTGCGATCTCGGCGACGACGACGGATAAAACACACGTGCGTGGTCCGACGTCGACGATGCGGTAAAGAAAAGAATAAAAAAGTAAATACCCCGAGTGGCGGCGGATATTTTCCCCACCCCTTCTTTTTTTTGTATGCCCATATTCCCCTGTATACGACACACCGTCACCATCACGACGATAGAGAAGGATAATACATATTTTATTATATGGGTTTTCTACGAAATCTCGAACCGCAAAGAATCGTAATACAGAACCGAGAAAGAAGCAAGCAATAAATAACGTATATAATATTATAGTACGGTCCGGTGACGTAGCCGAGGGGGGTGCCGGGTGGAGCATGAGGCTCATGCACAGGGGGTGCATATAATAAAATATACGTGAGATTGTAAGAGAAGGGGCTTCCTGTTGTCCGTATTTATAAATATTTTTATCATAAAATCGTTTCTTATTTATGTTAATTTATGACGTGCAAGATTTATTTTTATAATATGTCATTGATTAAAAAGTATATACCTATTAAATATATAATTTATATTATGGTGATCAGTTTATCATGAATCATCAATTTTCTAGGAAGATTTTTAGTGATTTCTATTTTTTTTTTTTAATCATTATGTAAACGATTAAGCTTTATTTTAACACTTTCTTTTTAAAATTGTTTATCCCCACTCCGTGTATCTAAATAGGTATCCAATTTGGATTTTTAAATAGTAAACCCTCACCCTTTTCAATCACAGATACAAATATGTAATATTTTTCTAGAAATTTTGATATGCTTAAAAAAAATATCAGATTTTCAACAGTTTAAACTTTTGTATCTCATAGGGTTAATAGATAAGCATATGATTTCTATTTGTTTTTATAACCCCTCTATTGAGAAATTCTGGATAAGTCACTGGTACGGTCCAAGACGATTGGGAAATTACGGCAATGCCCGGGAAATAATGTCAATATCCATAATGATCAACGCATAATATTTAAGGAAATGTTGTTTTCAACTGCGTTTTAAAAAATTAAAATGTATTGCGTTTGACCGCGGTCAAGTACCTAAATTCCCAAGAACGACATTCAAAGATGATCTACAATATAATATGTAAATATAAATGTATCAACGTTTATTTAATTTTTTTATATTGTTAAATTTATAATTCATATTTTTATTACAACATTTGGAATTGTATCGCATAGTCTGCACTGCGTGGAAAACGCATTTTTTATATAGTAGCTAGTTTTAAAGTTACACATCTTTCAAATCCCCGACGAATAGCCACCCACCATAATGTCATTAAAAATACCCCAGTGACAGTAATTAATCATGAAACGTCCATTCTCGGACTTCAATGACTTAATGTAAAATTAACGGATAGTTTTACCTTAAACTATAAAGGGAGCTCTGTTCCCCTTCCACTTTAACCACAGACATAATATAAAGCCGCTATGGTAATAAAATATATTGTGCGTGTCTCATGCACGTGTGTACTTTTCTATGCACTGTGGATAATGCGTATGTATGTCATGTGTATAGTGTGTATAGCTGTCCGCACGTCTATTAGAGACCTTGGCCGCGATCAGCAGTGCCGTATTATAATATTATTATAAATTATAACCATTTGTCAATGCCCGGAGTGTTTATACTGCGGTTCTTCTTTGGATGGCGTTTATAATTACCGAATGACATTTAAAGAAAATGTATTATATGCTATATATTTATCGATTCGGCGGCGGCGTCAAAAATTACATCATAATGACTGTATTAACTTTTGTTTAACAATATAAATACACTTAGTTATAACGCATAGTTTTACGGTTATCGGAAAAACAATTAACAAACAACTCAATGCAGATTCGTACCAATACCCACACTCATTCCTACAATAAGTCACTCGTTCTCTTAGAATCCACTTATTTTTGTAAAAGGGATCTTATAAGTTTATAAGTTTAAAATTATAACTTACAAATCTGCATGTTTAATTATAATCATCCAAATAATTACACGAAATAATTTGTTAGTATACCTAACAAATATTCGCACTTACCCGTTACGTCTAGGTGCTGAAGGTTAGGACAACGAGAGACCAATTCGGATATAGCCGCGTTGGAGATGTTCGGACTTCCGTGGAGCTGGACGTGCGTGAGTTCGGGACACCGCCTGGCTAACGCTGTCAAGCCCTTGTCCGATATCTTCGTGCCGTCGCTGAGGAACAACCTCTGTACTTCGGGACAAGCGCCCGTTCTGGTTCGACCGCACAGTCGGCGCAACACGCACCTGACCGCCTTGTCGCCGCAGGTGTTCTCGCCGCACAAAGCGATCGTCCGCCACAGGACAGGCTCCCACGCGAGGTTCTCCCATCGGTGGCACACCGCCGCGCACGCGCACAGGTCCGCGCTGTTGAGGTACGAGAATATCTTGAGTACCAGTTCATCTCGGAGCCGATCAAAATTGGGACCGATGACCGTCCGGGACTGCGAACGCCGGTGCTTGTTGTTGATGGCCGTAGAAGAGTGCTGCAGCGATGGCAGGATAGTACAACCGCCGTTGCTACCACCGCCGCCGCCGCCGCAACCACCACCACCACCGGTAACTAACGTGTGGTATCCTTGGTCCAAGCACGGCGAGCTGCACCGTAAAGTCGGACTGTACGTGAAGCTAGTTTCAGCTTCTAGCACCGTGTACGGGTGATACGGCGCGTTCCGTACGGACGGGGTAAATTCCAGAGAACCGGGAGACGATCGGCCTAACTTTGCTAGCGGGCATATCACCGGCGACAAACGACCCTCATGTGTCATTCTTTACTTTCGATGTTCGCCTATAAAAAACGGAACAATTTTAATCTACGTCAATTTTCATCTAATACTAGGCGTGTTTTGGCAATGCGGTTTTCAACAATCTGATTCCTAGTTTAACGGATAAACTTTTTTGGCGATATTTTTTACAACAACTGTTTGATAATTGAAAGAATTTTTAGATAGCCATGTTGCCTAAATAAGCAAACATTTATGAACTAATTTTACTGTCTTCGGTTATATTTATTGGTAAAATACTGTACGGTAAATAAACCGCTTTGGCGATATTACAACCAAGAAGTAAACTGTTAATCGAAAATTACATCACCAAAACACATATTTTACTGTTTTAATACAGTTTATTATTATTATTTTTTTAATTCAGTTTTTTTACTAGTGAAACCTTGATTATTTCAGGTATATTAACATAAGTTTAGAACACCTTAAATCTCCGTGAGTCCATGCACACCCGCCCGTATAATATTTACTAGTACTTACATAGTTATGGATATTTATTTGGTTGACAGAGAGATATACGTAAATATTATTCGCAGTGCCAAATCCAGGGGAGCGACGGAGTGTTCGTCTCTCCCCGGTTTGCTTTTAAATATACTCTTAACCCCAATATACACTGAGCTTTATTTTCCCCGGATTATTTGATACATTATTGTTATTATTATTAATTTAAATATAAATATTTATGTATACAATAATAATTCATACTATTAGTCACATTACATTAGGTACTATAATGGCAAAATAAAAGTAATTCAAGGATTTTAAAATATTTGATCAACTATATTTATAAATTAAGATATTTCATTTATTTAATTTAGGTTTCTACGTGTAAAAATAATTGCGTGGTATAATTCTTTCGATATTATTTATGGAATTATACTTTATTGTTCAAAAGAAGTTTCAAAAAACCGTGCACTTGTTACGGTCACAGAGTGGGCTTTCCTAACTAGTTTACAAAAACTTTTTAACTTGTCAATCAAGTTGAATATACAAAAGATTGAGTGGTAAAAATGAATACTAACTTATTATCTATAAAAGCTATCCACGAAAATATAGCCATTTCAAATTCTACCAATCCGTGTGAAAACTGATGCTATCCGATCTTATGGAATAATCTAACCGTGTTAAGCGATAACATTGGTTTTCACACGGACTAGTAAAATTCAGAAATGGCTGTTACTTAGAAACTATTCATCGGATATAAATGTGTGATACATTACAATTTTTCTAAAATAATAAAATAAAGTTATTTTTAAATTTGTTTAATAATAAAAAAGCAATTAATTCAAATATAAATATTTGTAGTTCTCTTCCCAGTGAGTAATAAAAAAAAAAAAACAGATTTTGATTATCTTTATTATCTTTGGAGATATTCAAGGGGTATATCTTCATGGGACAGCCTGTATATTAAAAATATAAAATAAGAACTCTAAATACAATAATATTTAACACGAATACAACGATCACTATTAACCATAGAATTATTTTAACTTGCATATTGTACCGATATTTAATATAATTTATTCTTTCAATTCTATAGAACTCCATATAATTTTTGTATGACTGCAGTCATACAAATTTATAACGTTTTCCATCTAAATACACTCGTGTATATTAAACGATGTCAGTAATATCAGTATATCACACTTTACAAGTGTACCTAATGTTAAAATATAAAATGAACTATAAATATTGTCGTATTATCGTAATATACAGGGTGGTTTATTTTTATTTTGAACTAGCAATTATCTCAGAAGATTTTAAGTGAATTCGATTTCTGTTTTTTTTTCTAATCATTATGTATATCGTTAATTTGATAACAGTTACCAAAGTAAAACACAGATCACATATAAGATTTTACTTATCAAACATAATCTACACTGTCACACCATCAATTTTGACGGTGGCAATTTTTACACTGCCAGTGTAGATACTGTAATAATATGCTGTAATATTGCATTACACCACCATATGGAATTTGCAAATTAAATTTAGTATGACAGGTGATAGCAGGTAAAAAGTGTATACGAGTACCCACAGTCAGATGGAAAACACTAATAGAGACCATGTTTTGTAGTTACAGTATAATATGTACGTTATTTAAAGAGCGCTCGTGCACACATCATCGTGTTTTGTACAATCGTCAGATCGTATTTGTCTCGATCTCATTTGTCTTTCTTTCACGTCAGGCCATCGTGGTTTGAAAGTATCATAAATTAATATGTGAAAACAAAATGATTACTCAAATTATTTGACTGTCAAAAAATAAAAAATATTATTTTTAAATCTATCAAACCATTTCTAACGAAATGTTTGCGGTTGATTCTCGTTTAGTTTACTGCAGTTTTCGCGTTAATGAGATCATCAATCATTGCATTTTCTTATCATTCAACAGTGATCCATTTTTATTTGTAACGATAACTTCAGTTTAAAAAAGTATACGATAATAAACTCCTTAAAAATTCCTCTACAACAAAGCATTACGCATGAGATATTAAAGTAACTAATAAATTGTGTTTTTATTAATGATAAAAGATCAATTTTGTTCCTATTCAAATATTTCGCTACAGAAAGAGCAAGTAGTTTTACGATATCTAAAGTATTTTTCATAATAATTGGGAAAGACGAAATATACGAATTTGTTTAAATTATGGCACAACGATTTTATTTTAATTTTGTACGGCTTATGTTTTCCACCATAAATATTGCTCCAATAGATAAATAACATGAGACCTTTTTTTAATTCAAAATAATGTATTTGAGCTACTATTTATAGACATTTAAATTTTGCTAGTTTTTTACATAATTTTTATTTGGTAGGTACACTGGAAATAAATTGTTATACTTAACAAAAATGCTTATAAATTTGACAAGAGGTTCATTATAAGTCGTACTTATTGGTAAAAAAAAATTAGTTTAATGTAGTATTTTTAAAATTTGTTTAAGAATTTTAAAATCAAAATTTGATGGAAATCGTAAATATTACGACCATTCATAACTTGTGTAACAGAACTTTGTTTCAAATCGTTTTTCGTTATCAATTGTTTACCGTTGGTTATAGATATAAATTAAATAACTTTATGTATTCCACCTTCCCCACTACCCACCTACAAGAGTGGACATACCCGTTCCCAGTTTCAGCTCCTTTTTTTTTACATCACATTAACTGCAATACGAACACATTTAAGTATGATATTATTATTTGTGTTTCGACCTATCTAGCTATCAGTTATAACCGTGATTATAATGTAAATCATATAATCTAACCATGGTTAGACTTATAACGATAACTAGATAAACGTATAAGATATGACAAATAATATATTTTGATATAAATGTAGCTATGTAGTTGATTCTTATAGTTCCTATTATTTACAGTTCCAATCATATTTGTACACTTGAAATCACCACGTGATGTTTAACATCTATTGTCTTTTATATAAACGTGTATGAAATTATGTAACAAGTAATAACTACATATACATATACGAGCTTATATTACACACCTACGGTCAAGATTACTATTGGCTTGTGGGTAGATATCAGCGAAAAGTGGAACAAATTTTGCATACAATACAAATAACATGAAAAACGTGGTAGATGGTCAAATTAAGATTGATTGTTTAATAAGAGGTATTTCGAACGGGTTTTCTTCTTCTTTCTTTTCCTCATCGTCGTGACTATAGCGATCGTGGTATAACGACTCATGTAGTCATGTATGTATGAGTATGTGCCACCGGAGGCAACTTGATCTAATGAGAGCCAACCACAAGGGAGTAAATCCGAAGAATGCAAGTGCCTAAGGCTAAACCGATTTTTCGCCAGGTTCAAAGATCTCCTCTAATACAAACCCGATAAAAAAAAAATAACTTAATACATAATATGTTGATGGTTTCTTTGTTAATTATTGCTGATGAAACGAAAATAGTAATGTCTATCGTGTAGACAATATAGTAATGTCCTTGAAATTGCCTTTAAAAATAATTAATCAAGATAAATTACAAACAATATATATATTAAAAATAGAGCGTTAACACATTTGTATTTTTTTTTTAAATTTAAATTTAAATTTAACATAAATAACGGCAACAATCTTTATTTATATTTACTTTTTTTTTCATATAAGCAATTGACAATGATATAAAATATATTATAAACACTTCAGCAAATTGAGTTCTATACTAATATTGTTATGCAATAACATTACTCGTACATGAGCATACTACATATAAATTATCACATACTCCTTAAGAGGTTTACCTTTATTTGAACAACGCATAGTATTATGCCAGTCCTTATACACATATACATTACTATTAAACAAAATATGTATAGGTTATAATATTTAATATGCCATGTGTTATTAAGTATAAAACAGGCGCAATTCCAGGGGCTAATTTCTGAGGTACAGATAACAAAAAGATATATATATATATATTAATATATAACTCATTTACATATACACAAAAAAATTGATTTTGGTTTTAACATCTAAAATGCTATTAATATCGTTAAACATAAAAAAATTCTGCATTTAGTTAATACAAATTTAATAACCTATTTTCTGAAATTCTTGAGCGAAGCCACGTTTTTAATTTTCTAAGGGTAGACACTTGTATTTAAAATTATTATTTTAGTAAAAGAAGATTTTCCTACTTCAGGTCTTTAGTTGTGCTAGTGATTCAAAGAAAAAAAGCCTATATCTTACAACCTCCCTCATCCGGAGTGTCACGTCTGGTATACACATGAGTTTACATACTTATATCAGAAACATTGACATGATTGCTTTTTTGAGATTTAGATAAAACATGCTAAAACATTCTAATAGTAAGTCGACAGTTATCCTCCGTTTTTTTGTCACGCCTCACTTAAATTGTATTAAAAAATAATAAATATATGAACAAGAAGTATTAAAATAAAGAAGAAACGTATTTAAAATAGTAAACTTCACAAAAATGGTACCAGAATCTTTAAAAAATATGATGCATCATCACGATTGTTTAATAAAATATCTTTACAATGTAATATAGGATTATAATAATATTATGTTTAATTGGATTTACAAATTTGACATGTAAAGTATAAAAATTTCAACCAGAAAATCGTTTACCGAATTCTTTATATTACTATATGTTTTCATTTATTGTATACTTTAAATCAGTCCGTACAAAAACATGATAATGACTAATAATATAATATAGCCGACAGCTAAAATGTCAACATTTTATAATAATGGTCTAGTATTAAAAAATATAGAAATTTCAAACGAAATAGTTAAAGAGATATTAACAATGTTTTTTCTATAAATTAAAAAAAAACACTGAAGATTAAAGAATTGCCTTCGTTTAATAATACTTTTAAAAAAAACAACCGGTATTCAATACAGTATAAGCGGCGTGTTAAATTATCAAACCAGATTTTCAAATAAAACTTCACTTTTTGTTTAAAAAAAAAATAAATAAATAAAGTATAAAATATCTCAATTTAGACATAATTTTCTACAGTTTTCTTGATATTAATTTTAATATTTTAAACTGACTTTAAAAGTGCTTAATGATATTTAACTAGGTATTTTTGGTATTTTTTTTTAATTTTTATTACACATTTTTTAACTTGGAGATTCGCTTTCTCTTATACAGAATATAATGGTGGGTGAACCGGCTTTATAATAAATCACACAAATACACGCACACTAATAAAACTTATGCTTTCTAGTTCCAACATACAATACCTATATAGTTTTTAACCTAAATTCCTTAAATGTTCTCCAACCACCAAATTCCTTAAATTCTTCATTTCTGTATGGACAATGGTCATTTATAGTATACTTCTTTTTTCACTTGATGTGTTTTATATTTTTTTGTATAATACGATTTTTCATAAGCTTATAGTAAAATGTATTTTTCATTTAAGAAACAATCGTACAATACATAGTTTAAATGGTACAGACTATAAAATTTAACGGGAAAACTTCGTAAGACAAAGAATTTTCACAAATAAAAAAATAATACTAATATGACAATATTTATTTGTAAATATTCGTATAGTATAGACACAAATAAAAGTTTATGTTGAAATAAAAGAGAAAAACTTATGGGCCATTAAAAAATGGCATCGTATTCCTAATTTGGTGGTCCGTTGTGGCGTTTGGGACGTTTGGGTATATACATGAAAACGTAATTTACCATATGTGGCTACTAGTAGCATATTAGTAATCGCAACGCTGTTAAGTAACAAGTCACTTATACGTGTGAATGTGTAAGTATAAACGTGTGTGTGTATAAACTGGTTATTTACTTAAAACATGTCAAGATTTTGAGTTCAATGGTCGTGAATACACGTATACACATGGTGGAAAATGCTCAGTCGATATCAAATTAATGGGTGATTATATTATATATGGAGGGTAATTAATATGCAACGGGTAGAGATTGGATTTTTATTAAGTGTCGCGGAACGGACAGATTCAGAAATTACGGCTACCGGATTGCAATAAACTAGTTACCTATAGAAGATAATGCACGAAACGTGTGAATAAACGAGATTTTTCCTATTTCTCGAGGACTATCTATCGATTGCTGTAGAGCAGTAGTCACGATCTTTGCAAGAGGCGCAATTGCTTTTTAGTGACATTTTATGCAGCGTTTACATTATTATGTGTGTAAGAAATATTTACAATTAAAATTAATTTCTTTAATCGTAAATTATACGTATAGGTATGATATAAATATAATTAGACAAAAAAAAAACTACAAAATGTTGATAAAAATAAAACTGAAATTTTGGTTGCATCACTCTATTACTATTTAATATCTATATCGACTAAATCGTAGCATACCATGATCGGCTGAACCTTTGTGACTAATACGGAAAACATGTGCGAGACTAATCTAAGACCCTACTTAAAAAAAATTAAAAAATATTTTCGGTTTTCTTATTCCCTCGTATATATTATACACTGCATTCTTCTTTACTATTTCATACAAATCGGCTTTTCACGGTATTTTCAATTGTTCTTTTCAATTATAAGTTCTCCATGGTCGCCGGAAGCTTCCTATTTTTATTAACCGTGAAGCTATACGAGTAAAGAAAATACGTAACGAATCATTGTTATTCCGGATGTTCACATAACGACAAAAATGTATAATATATTATGTACTTAAGGTTATGGGTACTTATTTTTCATGGTAAAACACTTAAAAAATAGACTTTTCAAACCCTCCACCCTTTTTAAATTAGCTTCGGTTACACCACTGCGAATCATTTTCGTTTGTATCTTATTTTGAAAAATATTACCTACACATATTATAAATACTTAATACTTATATATATTATGTAGAATTAAAGTCACATCTGTTATGATGTAGAAAAGGCATTTTTTCGTTAATATAATCATACAAAAATACGAACATTTTGGGCATTAGTAAAAAAAAAAAAAACTACGTACGATAGAATTGAATACTTATTAACTTTTAGATAATTAAATATTTATAATTATAACTAATAGATTACCCATCTGATTACTTACTTATAATTTAATTAATAATGACATGTTTTTTTATTTTTAGATACATGTTGATTGATAAACTAAACTATCTATATGTAAATTACCGATTTATTTATAGACTTATATATCATTGTAATGTTCCAATTTATTTTTGTTTTTGACTTTATTATGTTCAAGACTGTATATATCATGGGAAATACAAGTTGTGAGTTTGAAGGAATATTCAGTTTTTCGCACAATATTATTCATCAAACATATCCAAAATAATACAGTTCTTTTGGGTGGGGTTCTCAGTGAATCGAATAAATTGTGGTTGACAAGTATCTATATGTTGTATAACACAATGTAAGACAAGAACAAAATGTGTCTGTCGTTTTATTCATATATTATAGTAGTTTTTTTTATGTCACTGAAACCGACTTAACGTATTTCCAATGTTAAAAACATACATGCATTATGACTTGGGAGATTTTACAAATTATCTTTGATATAAACTTTATTATTTTATGTACATTAATTTAAAAAATACTACTTATTTTAATTAAAATAAGTTTGAACAGTTTTTTAGTTACTAATGAATACTTATTAACCATCGAGTGAATTATAATAATAATACTAACAGACTAAATTATAATATGCAATTGGTTATTATTTATTAAACAATTAATATGTTCATACTTTGTAGTTTGTATAAATATATTGGCTAATTTGGGTGCTTGTTTTAGAAAATCAAAATTTTGAAACGACAATTTTAAGAAAAGCTATGTTTTCAAACAAAACACTTATAGAAAAACCATAAGCAACCATTTTTATTTTTTGTTATTATTAAATTTTAATTATTTTAATATTTTTGTCATGGAAACGCACATTGTTGAGAAGGCAATATTAAAGACCGAGCTATATTAAAATAAAATAAATTTCGATTTCAATACAATCTTTTAACTATTAATTTGTATAGTATATTTCTTTATTCTATACTTAAGTATCACTATCAACTGAACTCCATTCAAAATCGTTTTGTTAGTTAGAAATTTTCGCTGTTTACAGATATACATTAAATTATTTTCTGTATCCTACCTTCCCTATTAAATAACATAACGATAATCATGTACTTAATAAAATATAAAAATAATCTAGTACTCCTGGACCACCTCCCAGAAAATAAAAGATAACTAATGATATTGAAATGTATGCCGATACTGATTCATGTAGATAGTGGCTATAAAATTATAATGAATCTATGAATATTATGCAATAATAATATGGTATATTCTGGTATATTAAAATTGCTTCAAATACCAGTAACAGTTCCGCTTTCGACAGCGTAAAATGAAAGAAAATTGTTCGAAATTGAAGTAAAAGCATAGTTTTATTTAATAAAATATTTATATTATTTTTATTTGAGTAAAATTTAAAATTTATTTTTTTTCAAAAAATAAACTAACGGATTGGAAATGTTATTCATTAACAGTAAAGATTATCGATGAAATTTTGGATAAACTTAGTAAAAAGTTATTAAATTTAAATTAAATTATTTAAATTTTTTAATTTGAAATTGTTAAATATCATTTTAAATAAAAAATATTTAATTATTTATTGAAATAAACTGATGCTATTTTTAATATGTATAAATAATTATTTTTTATTAATTTAATCTATTAATAACTATTATCTAATATCAGCATCTATGTCATGAGGAAATTCGATAAGTTGATGGACTCCCCACCACAGAAAAATATAAAAAAAATCGACACTGACATATGTATTATAGCATATTACTATACGTTTGAATGAATGTTACGAGTATGACGGCTAAAATGGCAAATATTCGTCAGAGTTGACTTTTATTTTACAAGTATTTGTTTTCAAATAAACGAATAACGCAATAAATTTAATTTAAATTTCAACTTTAGCAAGTTATAATATACGACTATTGTAAGCCTAAGAGGTTTTTTAATCACAAGAAAAATATTTGGATTGAACTTACAATTCATTTATTTGAAAATTTTCAACTTAATGAGTTATTTATAGATGTGTACAACACATAATATAATTTATTAGCTATTTAAAAAAAAAAAACACAAAATTGTACTTTTAAAAGACACTTGCATTTTGTAGCGGTAGGTAATAAAAATTATAATCTACTAGCTGTAAGATTCATTATGAAATGGTTCATAAAAATCATCGCATTTATAAGTCAAAAAAAAAAAAATTATTGAAGTTCACTCATATATTTTGGCAAAATATTTAAAGGTATTGCCCACACAACACAAAATAACAATAGTTATAGAAAATATTTTTCAAACTCCTCCTTTTCCTTGGAGCAATTCATTATACTCATTAACTCATATGTGGTATTATCTATAAGGACCACCCAAACTACAAATCATAATGTGTCAAGATAAAATCTACCTACGAAATCCGTTCAGTGATTGCGCAAAATTAATCGGAGCAATATAATAAATTAAAAATAACATGAAATAGTAAAAAAACGAAGATTTAACACAATGTAAAACACCCGAAGGGAATGCGTTCACATGATAATATTACAATGTAATAGCAACAGGTTATTATTTATTTTTTTTTTATTTTATTACGTTTGTCGTTATTATTTAAAGTGTTACTCGTGCGGAGATTCAAAAGATAGAGCGGTCATCCTACGCAGAAACTACAGGAGCGATCGGTATCGTGCAGTGAGTCAAACTATATGGTTGTTAAATGTCCGTTATCGTATGGTATCCAAACAAGTGGTTGCTACAGCTTGCTTAGACGTATATATTCAACCTATGCGTAAAACTCGAATGGATCAGTCGCTAGCTGCATTTTATACTATTACGGTCCACTATATTAAATTATATACAGGATGAACTAGCACAGTCCTAGTCATAGCAATGGTATCATAAAAGTTCATCAATGCACATTTGTTCCCAACTTGTCGGAATAAAACGATCTACTTTATTGTGGTACATATAATAGCTGTAAAAACGGTTTACGCTAGTGTAAGTACACCGACCGCGTGAATTTTAACTTAAATTTTGGATGCCATTATTTAATTACCTAAACAAAATGATGACAGAAACAAAAAACACACATTTTCATCTAATTAATGCAATAACTTGTTTTGTTCAATAATTTTTTTTTTTTTTTTAATAAAACTAACAAATTTGATTCGAATTGTTTACGAATTCAAGATAGCCGTTTTATGTTAAGATATTGTTAATTTTCTATAATTTTTTTAAGTTAACAAAAATTAAAATATTTTTTGTTAACACAACTAGAAGAATGAAAATGTAACTAATAAATAATCACAGTGTATGAAAAATATTATCATATTACATGAGTACTTTTTCATATAACAATTAATAAAATCATTTTGCTTCAAAACAAATGTATAAAAGGCTATCATGGACTTTTTTTTAAATACATTAATAAATAAGTAACATGTTATGTTATATCGTGATTTAATATGTGTAAAAATGATGAATTATTAAAATATATATATATATATATACTTTGAATATACTTAATAAAAGTTATTGTCCTGATTTAGACACAATATATATTAACTAAAATTATTTTGTTTAACCTAAGTAAGAATATATACTATAAATACACGTATGGGTAAATATTAAAATAAAAACACTCAATAGTTTAAAAATACTTTTAAAATTTAGATGTTATTATTATGTGAATATAATAATACACAAATTGCACATATAAAATTAACAGTTGATACATTTTAAAAAGCAATCGTTCTGAGTTCATTGTATACACACCTATATAATAATATAATACTGGATAGCAAGTTTTTACAGTGATGATTTATACAGAAGATTTAGTATGCCACATGCGTGGTCAAGTTTGCATTTACGGAATAGTGTTGTTCCGGATGCATCTAACAACGGAGAAACAAACCCGGATAATGGAATAAGAAATAAGAAATAGGTACAAAGACATTGCAACGAGATAGAGTGACGTTTGGCGATAAATCGATCAAAATCCAAAGACACGACATTCACTGTTACCTCACCAGGTCCCATCTGCATTCAGTTATATTACTAGAGTCTCGAGCATCCGGTTTTTACGCCCATGCCGTATAGTTAGTGGTAAATAATTGTGGAGGTGATCGTAATATTGATTGTAATTTAGTATAATATATAAATAATGCATAATATTAAATGGTTACCTGATTGGCGCTAGACATCTGGGTAATCAATTAAACAAATCAAAACGATTCCAATTGTTCATTGCAATATATTATACTATTGTAAAAGAAATGTATTGTAATCTAAAAAAAAAAAAGACAAGTGTAAAAAATTAATTACTAAACAGGATTTTACAATTGCATTCGAAGTATAAAGTTACTTGTTAGCACAATAATTTATAGCCAATAATATACTCGTATATATACAGGGTGATTCACTAAGCGTACTCACCCCATTTTTTTGGTTAAATTTTGCACATATTCAAATTCTAATGTTTGGAATTTTTAAGTGTAGTTAAAGCTGATATTTACGAATACTTAAGATTTTTCATAACATTTAGGTAGTATTCTGTAGTGAATACCAAATTTGGTTTTTCAAATGAAAATCCATATTAAAAATTCCATAAATAAATGTAATATTACTTTAAATAAATGATGGTTTTAAAATATATTTAAAGTAATAGGTACTCCATATATTTATGTAATTTTTATATAGATTCTCATTTAAAAAACCAAAGTTGGTATCACTTCAGAATATTCCTTAAATGTTAAGACAATTTTAAGTATTCGAAAATATGGGCTTTAACTACACTTAAAAATTCCCAATTTCAGAATTTAAATGTATGCAAAAAAAAAATAAGGTGAGTACACTTAGTGAATGATTTTGTATCTATATACTATAAGTACGATTGGTTAAATTTCAATTTTACCAATGGATTAGGCATTAAAACCATACATTTTGGCAAACAAATGTTTTTAAATACTAAATTCTAAATATTATATTTTGTTAAACATTTTTTTTTAAGGTTGTGTATAATATGTGTTACAACCTTTAAAATTAAGTAATAACTAATAAAACATCTTATACTAATTGTATGTTTAATTTGTATTCAATTTTAATTTTAATGATTAAATGATAAAAGATAAATTACGATAAACGATCAATAGTCTGGGAAATATATTCTCGGATCAGAGGAAAGTATACCTATTTTATATTTTTGTCAACAAATTTGTATAGAAACAAGAAATTCAGAAAAAGAAAGGATGCACATGAATGTCTAATTGCGGCACTGGATGGATTATAATATTGTGCATACTATTTAATACAAAGTTACAGGGAAATTGATTATACGAGTACTTCTTTTTCTGAGCACTAAACGCTTATAATCGACCGTCATTTGGGTTGTAACATTTACTTCTCGTATAAAGAAACACCGCATTATATTTTATTACATTACGCGGTCAACTGCAGCAGACGCGCGCCTGAACATTTGCATACCTATATATCTTACGGTCCAGCGTCTATATAGAGTATATTAATTTATCGCAACAACCCGTACTCGACTAATAATTAGACCTTTACGATTCAAGATATTTATCTCAACGGTTTTTTTTTTTTATATCGTTCTCTCTCACGCGCGTGTACACACACGCATATACATATACACACACACACACACACACACACACACGTGCGAACGCAAGCGTATTTTAACGGTGCAGTGTTATACCAATCCAGGTACGCCCGTAGTATATGTATAATAAATCATAATTATAATTCGTACGCCATATCATTATTCAATTATTATATTACATACCGACTATATAATATTATAATGTGTCCAGGATTGGGTTGACAAGAAGAAAAATGTTTTTTAACTGTATTATATAGGTAGGTAAATAGGTACCTACTATTATACTTATATATTAGGTAATCACAAAATATTGTAGACAATTATTATTCGGTTTTCTATATACTTGTACCTACCTATATATTATTATCATTATATTTTATAATATTTTAAATCAATTTTTTATTTTTATTTTATTTTATTTTTTATAATATTATATTAGGTACATAAATATTATGTATATATTTTAAAGCGCCGAAAATACTTTAGTTATTCCAAAGAAAGGATGTGTTAGAAAGATAGTAGCTATATATATACTACACGTTATATTATACATAGTGGGGTGGGGGAATGGAGATCGGGCGAAAATGTTGTTTGGGTGCAGTGGCATTCCATAGGTAAAACTGACGGGCTGCCCACGGGTGTATGTGTGTGAGTGCGTGTGTTCGTGAATGTTGGAATGATGGATTATTTTATGCGCGTATGCGCATACAACAGCAGGCCTTCCCGCGATCCGATCTCGACACTAGGAGCTTCGGGCTATCAATACATAAATACACGCTTGGGTTCTGATTTTTATTTCTACTTCTCTCACTTTGTATATTAATAATAATATGATGGTTTTCGTCTGGATTTTTATTCGAATATAAAACCGGTGCGAAATAATAAATTTAGGGGATACGATGCACAGGAAAAAAAGAAAAAAAAGAAGTCCGTAGGTATACATTTATATAACATTTTATTTCTTATACACGAATTAAAATCACAACGTAAAAAGAACCAAAAACGTTATATTATATACCTCATACCTAATTACTTTAAGTAAAATTATTTATTGCTATTAAATATAATTTGCACAAATACTCGAACTTATAACAAAAATCGCATTAGGTACCTTTTGAAATTCTTCGGAAAAAATACACACTACAATAATATATTATAATATAGTAAAACCAACATTCCTTAGTCTGCTCGGACCATTGGGAGACTTTAACGAACGTGTACAAATCTGCCGAGTTATATTTTTTTATCATTTTTCATCTACATTATATTATATATATATATATTTATAAAAATTAATATTTAATTTAAAGTCACGAATTCGACATGGATATGTAACTATTATTTGTGGGTTTTAGACAGGCGACTCCATAAATCAAAATAGCTCTAGAAAGAATGACTCATCTTATAATCCCTGGTAAAGGCATGTGTGCAACAAAGTGTAAATTTAAGTTTAACGGAGAAGATTTTTCAGTGGGGACAGGCTTAATACAGGGAGACGCTCTGTCCCCTACATTATTTAACATAACTTCTGACTAAAGTCAGAAGTGAGAAAAGTACTTGATGATGATGGTGTTACGGTTTTAAGCATAACTGAATGACTTCAAATAACATTAACAGCATATGCGGACGACAATAATTATAAAAGAGTCCGAAGAAGGTGTAAGACGGACGGCTGTTAAGCTAATTAATAAGAGGAAATTGGACTACAAATTAATGAGCGAAAAACGAAATACCTGATAATATCTCGAAAAGAACATCATATACAAAAATTAGCTAGTAATAGGAGACTTAATTTTCAAAAGGATACCAAATTTTAAATATCTAGAAGATGATATTAACCAATAAGCAAATAGTCACGAAGAGATTAACAGGAAAATAGCGGCACGAAATAAGTTTTATTTTAGACCATTATTTAAGTTAAGATTACTGTCTATAAATACAAAACTAAGACTTTATAAAGTGCTCATTAGATTTAGAGTCTTATATGCATACGGAGCGTCAATAAAATTGAATGAAAAACGACTTATAATATCCGAAAGGAAAATCGTACGTAAAATCTATAGTCCTAAAAGAAACGAGGAGAATATATATGAATGAAAAACAAATTAAGGGCTGAGAGAAATAGTCAATGAGCAAGACATAGTGGGAACTCTCAAAAGCAGATGGATAAGCTGGGCCCCAGTCACGCATGGAAAGCGGAGGACCAAACAGTAAATGAGATCACAATGTGGAGACCAAACGGAAACAACAGAGAGGATCGCCACAATAGCAGTGGATCGACCGATTCAGGGAAGACCTCAAGCTCTTGGAAATAGGATGATATGAAAACAACTGGCTAAGGACAGGGAGACATGAAAAGGTGTAGTGGAAGTGACGATGAGCATACAGGGCCCAGAATAAGCAAAAATTATATATATATATACGCATAAATATAATTCAAATAATAATTGGGTGCTATAAACGCAATTCGAAACGTTTCGTAGTTTTTTTTTTATAAATTAATAAATTACCCTGTTTATTTATAACGGAAAATAATACCCACGATGCAAACAGTGGATACATGAGGTTCCATAAAATATTGTTTTTCATTTTTTTATATTTTAAAATTATCATTTATTTCATTATAAGCCCGTACGTTCAGTATACCTACCTATATTTAATATTTTCTAGACATTATTTTACCTTAATTTAAAATTAGAAACCGAATTATTCAAAAAGCCGAGGGACGTCCTTGTATATTTAATACGAGTGATCTCCACACGATGGTGGCGGCGGAATCATATCGGGCTCGAACCCAACGGGGAGCCCAACATATTATAACGTTTACTACATAATATTATACCTATATTATACTATGACTAGATTTGTATATGGACAACACACTTGGAAATAAACCTGAACAAACAACTAATGTGGATATTATATTTTTATTTATTTTTTTATTATAATGCCCCTTTAGATTGGAGAAAAAAAAATCTTTGTATGAAGAAATATAATAATAATATGCCGAAGCGAGTATGCAACCCGTAAGATATTATGTAGACGTTCTCTATTGATCATAATTAATAATTATACTTATAGATATACCTTCTGGCTTGTACCTTTTGTAACGTTTAAAAAATAAAATAGAAATTCCATTTTTAAAAAATAACCACCAACAATAATTATTATTATTTATGATAAAATATAAAATACGAGTATTACGAAAAATTATAAATCCTTTTTGTTGTTGAACAACAAAATTGTTTAAGAATATATGTATTATGATTAGTACCAAAATATAATTAATTTCAACAATAATTCAAAAATTGAATTTCTATAGTAAGTACCTACCTACAATAAACCATAATTCGAGCTATAATGTCATGTACAATTTTGAAAGAATTTGGTACCTCACTAGTATTGTTGTAATGCTTTTACTTTTACATTGCAACTAGTCGACGGGACATTTTTAAATTCTTTAAGTACTACTTATACTTTGGTACCTATTGTTTAATAGTAGCTGGTACGAATTTATTCACCACTCATATTCAAATTAATAATAATAATATATACCTAATTACAATAATGTTATAAATAATATAAATCTTTGTCAAACAAATCAAAAGCCGTGGCTGTATATATAGAAGGACAGGCACTACGGAAACATAATATGTTCTAAATTTATTTTTAGAAACCTAAAAAAAGATGGCTTGATTAGGCTATCATGGTAATAATTCATTACCATGCATGATTTACTAACAGAATATAAAGAAGTAATGCGCGGGAATACATTTTAAAAATGATGATACTGTAGCTCTAAGCTCTGTTGTAGGTAAGTTAAGAATGCAGGATAGTTTAGTTTACATTATAATGTATTCATTGGTAAATCACAGCAAATAAAAATGATTCAGAGTGATTAAATATTTTTCAATAAATTTAAATTAAACATTTTATTAATTTATAAAACTGTAAAATAAAATACCATTGTTGGCGTTTTTCACGAATTTAAGTATCATAAATTTGAATAACTGTAAACGAATACAAATAATGCAAATTACACAAGTACAGAGAGACGTCACTGTATGGTCAACGGAAGTAAGCTGTAGACTAGTAATCCGAAAATGATAAGAATCGTTTTCGACAACGGTGCTCGTTCGTATATTAAAAACGATGTTTAATAAAACACACTAAATAAAAACACCCCGATGTGGTTTCATATAACAAATCGGGATTTACTTTAAATTAAAAGTCCGATGTCATGAGCGAGCAAATGAAGTTGGCCGAAAGCCCCAAGAGTCTAGGGGCTATAAATTGCCTCGTCTAGGGTTTGGACGAAGCAATATATAGTTAAACACAGTAGTATTTACTATGTATTACTAAAATATTACTAATTATTTAAATATAGGCAGAGAAAATAATGTTTTTGGACCGCTATCATATATTCTTATCATTTTTGGACATTTACCTACAGGGAAAATCGTGCGGTTCTTCCATAAAACAGGAAACGTGAATTTATGAACTGTTTGGCGATCGTCTATGTCGGAGGGATCAAAACAATTTGTCTGTTCCGCAGTACTTTAAGTTCCAAGGAACCAAAACAAATATTAAACCAAGCACATTAGTGTTACGTGCAGAAGTTAAAAAAAAGAAAATACATTACTGACAACTTTACGAATATCGTAAAGTAAACCGCAATAACAAAATAACGTATTATAATATAATATAATAAACGTTGTCTATAATATTATAGACATATATATTAAAATGTCAATCATCAGACTCGTTAAAAAAAAAGTATACGAACAAAAAATTAACCTTAATCCACTATAACAATGTAACATTATAACATCTATCATAAATTAACTTTTGATGTTTATGATTAAACTAAGTATTTTGACTGAAAACCAGACAGACAGAATAAAAGCACACACCGAAGTAACCAATTCCATAAAATCTAAAAAGATTCTGAATGGGTTCGGAGTAAATATAATATTTACCATAATTGTTTAAATCCTTGGCTTTAAACATGAATTGCTATAATAGATTCATAAGGTTCCCACTTATTCAGCTACGGAGGTGTATAAAACCAACTCAAATAAAAAAAATGCAAGCCTTCCAGTCAATCTCCATCAACGAAATCACTATCGCTCCCTGGTTTATCTCTAATCACACTTTTCATAAAGACCTAAATAGTAAATAAAGAGACTATCGATAATTTTACCAAACTGTCAAAGCACAATACAAAAAATTCTACTTCAGATTATACCTTTTTCCAATCCACAAATATCAAGCCAATATTTCATGTAAAATTCCGAATCCCCCCTCCGCCGTTTTAAAAGGCACTAGTGTCGTGACCTTGCTCTGGCTATGGAATCTTAAAAATCTCAAAATAAATTAGGGTCCTATCACTATCACTATCACTAGGGGATACCTTTCCTTCTCGCTATTGCTCATGACCAGTGTTATCATATTAAGAAAAAAGTAAGAAAATTATACATTTTTATTAATTTACAACGATAAAACTTGTGGAGTAGCAGTTGCTATCTCTCGCTACCGCGTAATGACGCTTATGCTCATGACTATGCATTATTCCGCAAATTTGCTTATTGTGCAAAACTGCATAGATTGTAAATGTATTTGATTTGAATTTAATTAAATCTGTCTTGAAACTCATTTTCGAGAAATCCTACAAAGCGACCAAAACTTTCCAAGTTATAACAAAGTAAACTTTCTAGGAAAACACAGAAGTAAAATAATTATTTATAAAAATTAAAAGTAATAGCTCCCTTCATTAATCGGAATCTGTTTTTAACACTGTTATTTTTTTTTAATTCTGCCGCATTTATAAAATATCAAATAAATACACAGTGTATTTTTTAAGGCTGAGATTTATCTTACTACACAGATTAACAAATAACAAAAATTAGTTATTAATTATAAACATTGAGTTCTATTTGTAAACTTGGTAACAAACACAATTAAACAGTACCTAATACTTATGGTAAGACTTAAACTATAGGCGCCAGACAGTTATCTAGATGAAAGAGAGCAAGTTTTATGATAAAAAAATAATATAATTTAACTGTTTTAATCTTAATTTAATAATGGACTTTTTTTTGGTACTATGAGTTTTACAGTTCTGCATTTTCCTAAAATCCAGCGATTAAACTCTTTTCTCGGTGCGTCTATTGACCAACTATCATTTTAGAATAATTGTACAAACGTATTTTACCCTCACAGTTAATATTATCTTCAAAAAATGTTAGTATAGTACAGATAATTAATCATTTTATAAACCTTAACCCCGTTTGACAATGATTATTTTGATATAAAACATTAAAATAACGTTTATCATAATAGTATACAAAAAAATAGGTTATTATTTTTGTTAAAGATATTATTATTATCTAAGCACCTAATAAAAAATCATATATATTACAAGTGATTAATAATAATTATTGCAAGGGTTATTTATTACCTATAGGTTTTTAATACAATTTATTTTATAAGATCAATAATATATATATATATAAATATAGGTATATAGGTACCCATATGAAAAATAGTTACTTAGCAAAATATATGAGTATAAACGACATACGTTCAGATTAACAAATAAAATATTAGTACCTACCTATATCGACTATATCTAAGTAGGTAGCTAGGTATTTTAGAGCTTATGGCATTACCTGATACAATCCTCGTAACAGTATATTTTTGTCCATCGTAATCTTTCACAATACACATGAATATAACACAAACGCACGAATAAATGTACATTTTTCATACATGCACGGGTAAATAAAAGAAAAAAATTTAATTTCGCACCAATAATTTGTCTATAATACGAGCCATATATCGATGACGAACAACCTAATCACTTGATGGAATGAATGATGAAACTGCTGCCTAGCGGCTAGCAGCAAACAATCAGGACAACAAAATGGAACAGGTATGGCATCTGCCATTCCAGACTCCAGTAGTCAGTAGAAGAAAAATAGGAAGGAGAGGGCCAACGAACGTAACAGTGCTGCCATATGAAGTACCTAAACCGTATTATGATTTGTATACAACAATTGATGCATGTACAGAATTTGTATATCACTTTAGACTACGGACTAAAATATACAGGATTGGAAACGAATGGGTTGAGTGCAGGGTTTGGGCAGAATGTCCTACACTTCGCGGTACAACGACGCCTGTTGCGCCATCTATTATTGCTTATCTCTAATATAAACATTATACATCTACAGTACGTTTCAAGAAACTAGCGACTCCGTAGTGACGCTTCCGGTGGCAAATTTTCGTGAGGGTTTCCTAAACGTGTGACTAAAAAAGCGCGGTAATTTAAAAGTGACGCGGCAATCAACCATCGAACAGCTGGCCCTGTTGATATGAATTTTACCTACCCTGCCAAACATTTTATAACCATATTATACAATAAATAAAATAATAATTTTTATTCATATTTTTTAAAAACCGTGCAGTATTCCAAATTGCCACGTATTGTGTGCAAGTTTGAGAAACCGCGGAACACCGAAATTTCGCTACCGGAAGCGCCTCTGCGGAGTCGCTAGTTTCGTAAAACGTACTGTAGACCGCGATCTACGATTAAAGATATTAGTATAATATAAATAATTATAAGGTATGAAGATTATACTAATATCTTTAATCGTGATTAATACAGAACATTCAGCATGAAAACACATTCCTGTGGATAAAGTTACATTTCGATAACAGAAACACGCGAGATAATAAACGAAGTGTTTTAATTGTCTATCCTCGGAGTGCAAATTTGCTCTCTCTCACACTATATATGCTTTATATAAGCCTATTTCTCTTGATCAGTTCTGACCAACCACGCCTCCCAGTCCTTGGAATTAATGTTTTATCTAGGTGACCATAACGACATAGGCAAATATTTTGTACCTTTGTTTAATGTGCATACTTTTAAGATTTAGTCTTTTCAAAATGCCTATGTGATGTAGCATAAATAAATGTACTTCAAAAAGTACTTTATTAATTATTAAAAGTTCCAAGAGAAAATGATATTTTGACAGCTTGGAACCATCTTAACCATCTTGTATCATGTTATTTTATTTGGTTTAATTTGAATTATAATGCATATTATTTTGTAAATTACATTACAGCAAGTATTTTTATGAGTAATATATTATTATGTATAATGTTTGTACGAAACTGATTACTTATTTTGAATTTTTGAAGTAGGTATACGTTCAAAATACACTATTTATTATATATTATTATCATTTTTATGTTATTAATATTATACATAACAAAAAGACATAGTTTTTAATAATTAAGTCTAAATGTCTGTCTACCTACTTCAATATTGTTAGGTAGGTATCTATGTAATTTAAAACATTAAAACAATTCTTAGTCAAGTATGTTTTATAAAACAAGGATTATATTATAATAAAATATATGATATAATAAGTGAAGTATCTATAGACTACGATTTAGAGAATAGGTAAAGAGTAAAGACAAGATATAAATTGTATGTCTATGCTTTAAATAAACCACGGTATTAGAAGAACAGGTCTGATGACTGTCACCGGGTCACCCTCGGCCAATAAAACGAGGTACGTCAATTGAGTCAGATTTAGTTCACAATTTGCTCACGACTCGTCATGAGTGGTTATATTTATTTGCAATTATTATTCACTATGAATATTATTATATCATAATATTGTACACGGTCTTAGATCATATACTATGAACAGAGCTATTGACTGAATATTTGAAGCAAACATAATTAAGAGGAGTTGAGACAAATGCGCATGCGCAAAATTTATATCACATGCAATTAATCGAATTTATGTAATCACGTATGATAAACCTGTTATCCTTAGATCATATACTACAGTAAACTACAGTATATAATCTATAATCTATTATCACAGTCTGTTTGATGGCATAACAATAATTATACGCTAAATATGCGATGAGTACTGATACGCATACGCAATAGACATCAGTCCCCTTAGCACTCGTTATAATGATGTCTTCAGCTCATAGTACACGTTTACATGTAGTAGCTCTATCCATAGCATAAAGTAATTCTACGATCCATAGTATATGATATGATCTAAGCCTTATATAAATAGACACAAAATGATTACACACCGGGCGTGGAAAGATCTCTATCTTTTCGGGCGCTTTTCGTTGACTAATTAACTGAATTATTATGCACATGAAGAACCAAATTAATAGGACATATACTAAGACATAACAGCCTATTGAAAAGAATTATGGAAGGAATGATAGTAGGAAAGAATATAGTTGGTAGACCCCCTCTGGACTACTTACAACAAATAATGAGGGATGTGGACGTCCCAGGCTACAGACACATGAAGAGGAAAGCGGAAAATCGGTAAGAATGGAGAGTTGCAACAAACCAGCCCCACGGCTGCTAACTAAAAAAAAAAATTATGCACATTTTAAAAATCACAATAAAAAAAAACTATTACCTATATTTTTAATATTCGAGTACCAAGTATACTTAACTGCCCAATGCCCCAACATATTACGAGTACCTACAATCCACTTATTAGCAGAAAATACAAATTACAAATTACAATTAATATAAATTATATTCAATTATTCATTGTAAAACCGTTGATTATGTGACATGACGTATACAGTAAGCGTACGATAATTTACATTAGCATATTATTGTAAAATTAGTACACCTGATGTCGAGGCGGGCTACATCACTGCGATATGTTTCCGCGCAATTCGTAATGCTGTAGTTATACGAGTTTCGTGTCTATTAGCAAGATAAATTCAATTTATCATGTCTATTAGTTTAAGGTCTATGTCTTCAACTCGTAGTACGCCTTTATCATGCAGTATCTCTATTTATAGTACAGTAAAGTTTACATACAACGGTCATCGAAGGGACCAGAAATAATGACCGCTATTTAGAGGTGTTTTATAAAGACATAACACTTGACAGGACTAAAAAAATGACCGTTGCATGGAGGTGACCGTTAGTGGAAGTTTTACTAATATATATGATTTAAGTACTCGGCCTTAGGAGAATTTTAGCGGCTCATCCTCGATTTAATATATCTTAAATCGTGGGTTCATCTAATAGTAAAGTAATAAGTTCATAACCTCAAATAAGTATAACCAGCAGCAATCGTGATTAAAATCTGAACTAAAATTGCTTTAACAAGCGGACATCTGATGCGGACCAGTGGTCTAAGACTGTGGTCTTACAGAATATATATAATATGGTAGCCTCAACAACCACGGTTAAAAATAGCATATTCTACTATCTTAACCATTCCAACTACCACGGACTAAGAAATTTTTCTTGATAGGATCATAGATAATATAAATCATATACAGAGTGATTCACTAAGCGAGCTCACTCCACTTTTTTTGGTTAAATTTTACATTACTTTATTCAAATTCTGATTTTTGGAATTCTAAAAAAATAGGGTGAACACTCAGTGAATTATTTTGTATATTATCTATGGATAGGATTTTCAAAAATGCCCACCAAATTGTCAGGAAACGAAAATATTTCTTATGAATGATTTTATCGCGAAAAACATTTTCAGTAGGAAACGTACTTAATTCACGAAAAGTTAAAAATCGGGAAAGTAAAATTCTGGGAAAGGATTCTATTGAAATTGTATACATACATGAAAATGGAAAATTGAGGAAAGAAGGTATTACGTGGGAATATATTATTTACTAAAGAATTTATAAATCCGAAAAATATTATTTAGGAAAATAAATCTGTGATGTAAGCTTTTTGTTAGGTATGAATGTTATCAATATCCATGTCAAATTTGTATTATTATTATCAATCTTGTTAATAAATGCATAGTAATTAGTATGACTAAGAATAAATGACAAAATAATTCTCTATCAATTTTTATTGTTTCATTATTTTGTTAGGTAATTATTTTTTTTTTTTTAAACCAAATTTTTAAATTTTTTTATGCTGTTTTTATAAAAAATTTCTTTTACCTATATTATAATATCATTCTTATTGTTTAGCCTGATGAATATCTTGTTCTCACCAAACAATTGATTACTTTTATTTTAATTATTATATTATTTTTTTTTTTTATATAGTTACCTATTGGATAGTGTTTTTATTATTCATTTTTGGTTTGATAAATTATTGTCATAAAAGTTTTTAAAATAAAATAACTATAAATTTTGCAGCTTTATCACAGTAGTTGCCATAATAAATAGATCTAGACTCAAAACAAGTCCAATTTTTTGTTGCAAAGTACTTTATTTGGATTAATAAAGAAGTGAGAGAATCTTGTAGATTACTTGTGAATGATAAGTAAAGATAAAATTAGTTAACTATTCAAAATTTAAAAAGTACCTAAATACCTAGTAAAAAAAGTAACCAAGTAGATATAAAGTTTTTAATAATAATTAATATTTGATTTCAGTGCAATAAATGCGTAATTTTTACATGGGAAATTCGAAGTTATATACATAATCAAAACAAATTAATTACCTTCTTAATAGAAATACGAAAAACCACCAATGAAATGATGAGTGTTGAACCACAGTGCCATGTTATCACACATTCACGTGTTATCGTTCCCTGCTCATATTATATTTTCTTTTTTGATTTAAAATTCCTGTGTAATATTTTCGAAAATTATAAGTTCCTTCGCCAACATTTTCTTCAACTTTTGTTTCCTAATATTAATTTTTCCTTAAATTATGGTCCCATTCATTTCTTTCCGATAGATATCATTACTTAAAATTGTTTTCCCGATTTATACTGAGAAACTTGACACGGCGCGCTTTGTTTGGATTTATATTTTACTAGTGTGATACCAAAAGAGTAGAATTTCTTAACTCGACATTCTAGACAGCTATTAGTTATACCATCTGCGCCACACAAGCGCTAGCAGCCTAGTATCCAGTTTATTAATGCCTCATAAGACACCTTTTTGCTAATTTGAAAAAATATTATTCAGAAGCAACAAAATAGTATACAAACCAAGTTATTAGATACTACTTATTTGAATATAATTGTAATAAAACATGAATAATCTATTTATCTGAAACATAGGTGATCTTAAAACGTAAACCGTTGAGAGTTTAGCATTATCAATTTTATCGTCTACAGTGTGTCTTCGTTTGCGAGTTTCGCCAGATTGCGACTTAATACCCTAAGAACATGCTCTAAGCTTATGCCAATAATAATCTTCTATTTGTTTGGAAGACTCAAATTTATTAAATTTATAAAGATCGAAAATGGTCAGCTTTAACAGACAAAACTTGAATGAATAGAAAAACGTGGCTTACAAATAGTGTAGTATGTAAGCTGATAAGGGAAATACATTAGAAAAATTTGTTTAATTTTAGCGAATAAATGCTCAAAAATTAAATATGCACGTACAGCGGACCCACCAAATGCCCGTTTTAATCACGTAGGTCCATAGATTTATTACTACGCTGATTAAAAATATATAACTTTGAACTTTGATGTGACATTGAATCACTTACAAAACGCGTAGAGTAAAATCAGCTTTAATCTATAATACTATTACCCATTATTATTTTATAAGCAAAAATTAATTTAATAAATAATAATATTTATTATTTGGTGATAAAAACAATTGATAACACTATCCTATTTAATGGATGACGAATGAATCCTCCCCACTACATCTAACCTTAAATATAGTGAAAGGCCTTTGGAGCTTTGTTGCCAAATTATGAAATATAAATTAAAAATAATATTTTCATATTAAATCGTGCTAATGGAGAATAATGTTTTATATATATATTTTTTAAATTTTACTTTGTACATTATAAAATATAAATAGTTCGTTAATTTTATTCTGTGCATAATGTTACCCAACGATCAGGTAATATTTAATATATGTTTTTATAATGTAAATTAAAATTCAATTACCATTTGTGGTTTATAACTGATTTTATAACCATGTATTAAATTTTAAATTAAATATTAGTTATTATTTTTTACCATTTTGCAGAGTAATTGCAGTCCTGCAATCAATAAAATATCTTCAGACACTGATGGGGATAATAATGCTTTAGAAAATGGTCTACAATCAATAACTAATCCTGAAAATAAAAAGACTTGGTCCGAAATTCGACAAACAGTGTGTGACTTTCGTCATCGTCTTTCCGCTGTATCAGTTATGTCTATCTCACATGTATCATTTAGACAGTTACAAAATGGAAAGACCCGTGTTTATTTTCTAAGTGCTCCTGTAAATGAATTTGAAACACTACTCTATGTCGATTTACCAAATCAAGGTATTGTTGGCCAATTACCATGGCAACCTTTAATAGAATCTAATTTTCCAAGTGTTATAATGAGTGGTCGATATTCACGAGAAGAACAACTTTTATCTGAAAGAAAACGATTAACTACATTTGGAATAACATCATATGAGATTAATGATGAATCTGGTAGAATTGTATTTCCTGCTGCAAGTACATTATTTCATTGTAATGATAATGAATATTCGGTAAACATTTGTTTAGTCTAATCAAAATTGTTATAATAAATTAAGTTTTACTTGGTAGACAAATTCATTGTACCCAACTGAATTAAGAACAAATGCTGCAGGAGCCAAACTATCACCTCAAATTTGTCCGAATAATATTGATATTGTGGCTTATGTTTGTAATTTTGATATTTGGGTAACTCATATAGCTACAGGTAAATTAATGTTGTATTATATAAAAATATTAAATTTAATTAAATACATTTCTCCTCAGGTAGTACCAAAAGATTAACATATGCCCATAAAGGTGGACGATGTTTGTCTGATGATCCATTGGCAGCAGGTGTACCATCATATGTAATGCAAGAAGAATTTAATAGATATCATGGGTATTGGTGGCAACCAAAAAAACATACAGGTAAATATTATTATATTTATTTAATATTCAAAGTTATAAGAACTTTATGGTTTGTACCTAATTCTCTACCTACAATATGGCTTACACATTTTCTTTTATCCACGAAAATTGCTGCAACATGCATTTTTGATAATTTAGTTTATGTTATACATATGTTTTACAGGCAAAGCCTGGAGACTGGACAATATCTAAATTGCCTGGACATTTTAAAGTGTGCCCAACCCCATTTAGTAAAGTCCAAAGATCTACACTATTTCTTGCCCTGGCCAGTCTGAAGTTGGGCAATTCGCAGATTGCCTGATTAAAGAAGTTTTATTATGGGCTCAGGCAATTTGATTATTGTCCAGTCTACGGGCTTAGTCCATAACATAAATACCAATAACATTTATTAACATCCTAATTATTAATTTTTGTAATGTATTATTTTATATGTTTGATATAATGTAGAAGATAATATATACAGAATTTTATATGAAGAAGTAGATGAAAGTGAAGTAAAAATATTTAATTTCCCATCATCAAATTCAGCCGGTAGTGGTGAAATTGAACAATATAGGTATGATGCAATAATAAAATATTTCTTAATTATTGTCTTGTTTGATTATTCATACACTTTCAATACTATACTATAAATCATTCTTGTTTTAGATTCCCTCGTGCGGGTACTGCAAATTCTAAATCAAATTTAAAACTTGTAGAGTTTCAACTTGATGAAGAATGTCAAATTGTTAATATAAAAAATTTGGAACTTCAATATCCATTACCACTTATGTTTCCTTGGATGGAGTACTTGGTAAGAGTAGGATGGACACCTAATGATGATTTGTAAGTTGATCAATATAAATGCTTTAAATTATCAAAAAGAATATTGATATAATCATTTTTGTAACAATTTTACATTTTTATTGTTTTCTAGATTAAATTTTTTTAGAATTTGTTTTAAATTGTTAATTTAAATTTTATTTTAGAATATGGCTTCAGGTATTAGACCGAAGACAACAAAGACTTGAATTAGTAATTCTGTCAATTGATAATTTTGTAGAACATGCTTCTTCTAATATGATAAATTCATCACATAATTCAACATTTGTTCCACCTCAAGTTATATACTCTCAGACTTCTAATGTCTGGGTCAATGTAAGGAATATTAAGTAAATGAGCTACTAATAACATAAAGATCATACAAATAATTTATGTTATTTATTAATCTATCTATACTCCATACATATGGTGTATAAATAAACAAGTTGATTCATTTATTGTACAATATTTCAAAAATAATTAATTTTTTAGCAATTGTATAAAACATGCAGCTTTAAAATATTAAAACACATTATTTTTGGAGTAAAACCATTACCTACTTTTGATTTTTAAATAGCAACATTTATTAAAAATTCCATAAAGATAGTATAAGTTTAATTTGTCATTAATAGCTTAAATTTGTTCAACCAACAATTTTATAATGTCTTCAATAGTATATGTTTGTAACCACTTACATTCTTTTTAATCTTGACACCCTTTCTCCTACCAATATAAATTAGTTTATTAATATTTTATTCTAATTTTATATTGCACACAATGAATAATATTATTTTAACTTCATTATAACATTATTTTTTTTAGGTTATATTATTATTCATTTTAGTACATTAATTATATTATATTACTTAGCTCTATATATATTAACTATTATCTAATTCCACGTAAAAAATTGTATCATTATCATTTTGACTTAAGAATCTATACCATCATATAATAAAAATATTGTGTTGACTTAAAATAATTATATTCATCATAATAGTTGGTTAATTTTGGATTAAATTTATAATTTTGTATAATTTGATCAAAAAGAGCAATAACACCTCTCACGTATTTTTAAAGGACACCTGGCTTAATTGGTTTTGGATTTGAAATTTTTAATTTTCATCAACCCGTTGACAAGTTTAAATTTTTATTTTTTAGTGGTACATCATTTGTGTGGCAGCACAGTGTGGAGTGTTTCCATAGTGTTTTACTACTCTATTCCCACTAAAAATTTAAAAGTGAAATATTTTATCAACATGTTGATAGACATAAAAAAATTTAACATCGAAAATTACTTAAACTCCTGATCTAATTATCAAATTTTTAATAATTTTTGTTATTTGAAAAATAAAAATATGTAGTCGTTTCACCCCCAAAAACAAGGGTTACAAAAGAGAAACGGTAATTTAATATTTTAGAGAGGCATATTTCTAAAAAAAAAATTCTGAAAAAAAAAAATACTTTATGAAATAATGAGTATTGTATGATAAATGAAATGTCTGATTTTAACTATATAATTAATATACTTATATTTTATTTATACAATTACTGGAAACTTAACCATAAATGTTTTTTTTTTTTTTTTAATATTAAATTAACATTATAGGTTCATGACCTTTTGTATATGTTTCCCATTACAAGTAATGGTGAAGTAACTATGATTTGGGCTACAGAAGATACTGGATTTCGACATTTATACTTAATTACTAGTATAATTACAAAGATATCTCATGAAAATGGAATACAGAATATAGATCCTAGTGAAAGTAAATTGTTATTTTAATTTTTCATTAAGATTCTATATTCATTTTAATATTATATTCATTTTTAGATAATATGATGATGTCTAAACTAGCATTAACCAGTGGGAATTGGGAAGTGTGTGGTAAAGGACTTTGGGTTGATTTAAAATATCAAATTGTATATTTTATGGCTGTCAGAGAATCACCATTAGAAAAACATCTCTATGCAGTATCATTAAAGAGCCCTGGGAATATTAAGCTGCTCACTAAACCAGGAAATTCTTATGAAATTGATATTGATAAGGTAAAAAATGAAAAGTTAAAAACTGTGATCTTGTTTAAATATAATTTTTTAATAATTGTTATTTTAGTAATTATAAAAAATATATTTTTACTAAAAAAAAAAAAAAGCACAGGAATAAAATCTAGTTTCATCCCCATTATACACAAGTATAGACTCAAGGTTATATCTGAGGGGTGATTTAAACTTGTCCTGAAATTTGTTTTAAAAGTATTGTTTATTATTTCTAAGATAAATTTTAATTGTAATAAAAATAATAGATGATTTAATTGTAAACCCCTCACAAAAATTTAGTCTTTCACAGCTTTGCTCTAATTATCATTATAAGTTTAGTTTATATTTAAAATTTCAAAATGATTTTAATTGTTTTAGTATTAAGTAATTAAAAATGATGATAAAATTTGCTACCTGAAGTATGTATCTATATATTTTGTAGACAAATTATTTACAGACAGAATATATAAGCAACTATCATTGTAGATCAATATTGTCCTTAGTATACTCAGAATCTAAAAAAATAGATGAACGAGCTAAGCACAATGGGTGGGCCTTTATTGTATGTGAGAAGTTTGGAAGATAGAATAAAAAAAGTAATTTAATTTACATTTGAACATAAATATGCTAGTGAAAAACAATTCAAAGCAAAGTTTTTTTTATACATGTACGCAATTGTCTTCTGTTTATTCCAATTACTATGAAAACCATTTAGAAAATTGAAAAATGACTTCCCATAATTACCACCCAGATAAAATTTCCTTTTAGAAAAATTACTGCATTTGAAAATCAGAGCAAGATTTCTGGTAGAAAAGTTGTTCGCAGATAAAAATAAAAATATAAATTTAAATATTATTGTAAAACCAATACATTCCTTGCTACGCTCTGAATCTAAAACTAGAAAAACAATGTCAAATTGTAAAAAGTAATTTTGTATATAACATTAATTTTTTACTATTACTAAATTGATTTTAAATTTATTACAAAACACATTTAAGTAAAATAATTCTTGAAATTAAATTAATTTAGTAAGGCGTATGTAAATAGGTTTGAAAAAGTTAGGTTTTTTGTAAATAGTTCAACAAAATTTTGAGAACTATCTTAATTCATTTTTCTTTCTTCCTTTCCAGCTGTATACAAGCTCTGTTTTAAAACAATTTATTTATTTATTACTTTGTTTATACATTTAGAATTGTGAAATTTGTGTGGCTGTCTATAGTAATATAAGAAAACCCCCATCATGTCAAGTCTTTCGGATAGAACATTCCGATACAACTGTTGAAGGAATATATTTACAATCAGTTGGATTTCTAGTGGAAAATTCTGGTGGATATTTTTCTTAAAATTGATTCATATTTAATTATTAAAATTAATATTTTCATTTTTTAATATAGAAATAAACAGTGTTCTTCAGAGCCCTACTCTAATTACTCATCAAATTAGTTCCGGTGACATATTATTTGCAATGGTCTTTAAACCACATAATTTTGTTCCTGGACAAAAATATCCAACTATTCTCCATGTTTATGGTGGACCAGAAGTTCAACTTGTAACTAATACATTCAAAGTAAATTTACATAATTTTCAAATGATTTAGAGAATACATTTAATGATATTATTATTATAGGGTGCGCGACACATAAGAATGCACATGTTAGCATCTCAAGGATATGTAGTCATTGCAATTGATTCTCGAGGCTCAAGACATAGGGGTTTGATGTTTGAAAGTCATTTAAAAGGAAGATTAGTGAGTGCTTCATAATATTGAATTATTTTAATGATAAATAAATATATTTTATGATTTTAAGGGCACTGTAGAACTTTCAGATCAAATAGAAGTTCTTCAATGGTTAGCAAGTTATCTTGGGTACATAGACATGAATCGGTTGGCAATCCACGGATGGTCATATGGAGGATATCTTAGTCTTATGGGCCTCGCTACGTACTCAAATATTTTTAAAGTAACTTCCACACATTATTTTAATAATATTAAGTAATTTATTATTTATCAAAAATTATGCAAATGAATATTGGTTATTTCAGTTAGCTATTGCTGGAGCCCCTGTTACATCTTGGGCTATGTATGATACAGGTTATACTGAACGATATATGGATTTACCACAGTATAATTCTGTTGGATATATGAATGGTTCGATTTTAAGTTATGTTAGTCGATTACCGGATGAGTAAGTTTTTTTTGATTATGCAAAATCATTATTTTATGTAATATATTCTATTATCTTCATATGTTTAATATATATTTTATGTGTATCCATCCTAAAAATTATTGTGTATACATTTTTAGGGAGAATAGATTATTAATTATACATGGATTAATTGATGAAAATGTTCATTTCTCTCATACTAGTTTATTAATTAATACACTTGTGAAATATGGAAAACCTTATCAACTTCAGGTATATTTTTTTTTTTTAGCAAAATCTAAAAGTAGAAATAATTTATTTCTTTGCTATAAAATACCATAAATAATAAAAATGATTTGATGCTTCTAGATTTATCCAAATGAACGACACAGTTTAAGAAGCTTAGACGCTACAAAACATTATGATGCTACATTTTTATCATTTTTACAAAACTATTTATAACCTTTAACTTAATTATATATAGTCTATTTTTATTATTATTTATTACTTTGTTTACACAAATAATCTATTGTTAAATCTAGTTAAATTTTGTTATCAAACATTGAATGACGCAAAATTAAGAAACAATAATTCATTGCTGTAAAATAATAGACTATGTTAAAATTAAAAATATATAGATAATATTATAATTTTTTACTACAATTTTTCGACTGTGATTTGTTTTATTCAGATTATTATTGTTTGGATACAGCTATTGTAAATAATTTTATGGATATTTGGTATTAATCATATTATTTCAAATTAACAAATTTCTTTATACATTATGTTTAAATCAGAAATTAGTACTAATTTATGTTATTAAATAATTATTTGATTGTACAAAAATGGGGTTTTTCAATTTTTAATCTGTACTATGTACCTATATTATAATAAGCAATAACTAATAACCTTAAAAATCATAGAATTTATATTTTATTTATTCAAGAGATTATTATATAATGACAAAGCGTTTATACACCTACATATATGTATAAAATAACATGTTCTGACTGACTTATTCATTATCCCCTAGCCCAAACCACTGAACGGATCGGGCTAAAATTTGGCACACAGATAGCTTTATGACATAGATATCTGCTAAGAAAGATTTTTGCAAATTTAACCCCTAAGGTGGTAAAATAAGGGTTTTTAGGTATACTTTATACGGATATCTAATAGCTTATTTATTTTTGTTTATTTAAGGGTTACCTTGGTGTTACAGAAAAAAAACTATTATAATTATTATAATTATTATTTACACTATTAAAATTTAGTTCCACCTATTTGTTTTTATTCAATTTTGACACGGCCAAAACCAAAATTGAATAAAGGTAAATTGGCACAGGACAGCTAGTATATAATATATATATATATATATATATATCAATTTTAGGTATATTCATAAGTACATGTAAAATAACCATATTTAATTTTATATTTAACTAATTCGATATTTGGAAGAACAGAGGCAACTGCAATAATTGCATGATTATTTTTTTGTTTAAATTCATAAAATATTTTCCTGACCTTTTTAGAACAAAACTTATGAATAATATTTAATTTGGCACAATGAACATTACATTGCAATTTAACTGTGTTTTACACTCACTCAGATATATTACATTACCGTTTAAATTTGTGGAGTGCTTATACCTACATATATCTATTTTATATACATATATTTAATATAAAATAAAATAAATTTAAATTTAGAATATAATAAAATAGGTAGACTAGGAGTACTTGCACCTATTGCCTATTAAGGAAAATGATAATATTTGTAAATGAGAATAGTTTGATGGTACGGACAATGTTGAAAAAATGAGAAAACTGAGTACCTAACTACTATTGTTTGATTTTAGAATATTGCTCAATTAACATAATTTATCTTTGCTTCATGGTAGTTAAGTTTTAGGTCTTTGATTTTTTATTTTTTGGTATCACGGATTTATAAATTGTATTTAGTAATAATCACCAATTCCCCATAGTTCGTTCATGGTTTATAACATAATTAAAGTGATTTATTATCTATCAACCTTGATAAGACACGAATAAATTAATCATTTTGATAAAATAAAATAATTAAAAACGACGACCGTGTAAAGTGTTTTCGATTTTTCGTTAATCATTTTTCCAATTATCGTTTTGTTAGTTTGTTATCTACTTAATCAATACAAAAATATATAGATTCATTCAGTTTCCGTGTGCTCATCAAAACATACCTACCTATTAAATTGTAAATTATGAATTTTTTAGTCGAGCTCAATACAATACTTTATAATAATATAGTACGTGTTTACTTAAATAATTTTTCAGTTTAAATTATAAAATATATATAGAATGTCTAATGTAAATGAAAATATAAGTGCAAATTCATCCACCAATATTACTAATGAAAATACACAATCACAAAATATAGCAGGTAAATTTTTTATGTATTTTAATCTGTTAACATAATATTATCTAGATAAGAAATCGCGACTTCTTTTTCTTCGTTGACATCTTATTATTATTAAAATAAAAAATAAAATAACGAATAATAGAATAATTATTAATAAAACTATTAATGCAATTTCTTCAAAATTTAAGTATTCTGTAACAAAATCAAATTTAATTAAGTATTAGTTTACTGTAATAATTTTATTAAGTAGGTATATTATGCATTTTATTTTTCAAATAACTGGAATACTTAATTTAAAATTAATAAAAAAAAAATTTAAATTGAGCTTCTATATTTTGTTGTGCCTATCTTATATTCCGATATTGTTTGGGTAAATAATAATACTTATATAAAAGTTATGATTTTAAAATACTTACGTTTTTCAGCATCTATGGTTTTTTTAATTGTATTGCCTCGTATATCTGTAGCAATGATTTCAACCTTTGGGAAACAACATGTCGCTACATAGTATACAATTACTGGTTCTTTGGTACCAATATTAAACTCATTACGAAACCGTAAATTGTTTGGTATTGATGATATAATAGCTAATCCTGTAATACAAATAGTATCAATCATTATTGATTTATTTTATATTTTATATTTGATTTATTATAATTTATAATCTATATTAGTGAAATGAGTACTTAACTATATAACATGTATTCAATATAATTAGATAGATACAAATATTGAATCTACTATTTGAAAATAATTACCTGATTTATCATCTTGAATAGTTGCTTCAATGCTCCATTTTTCAGAAGCACAGTTGTGTGGAGTATTTGAAAATCGACAGTCTCCAGTAAATGTATAATCTATTATTGGTCGTGTAGTATCTGCCGTCTAAAAATGTATGGACTCTTAGTTAAGTATAAATTGTAAATTTGTTATTTCTTACTAGTTTTCCTATGTAAAAATTAACTTTAATTGACTCGAATTCTGGTTGGAGTACGGAAAATGAAATCTGATCAGTTGATCCTTCTGGCCCTGTTATTTCCAAAACTACCATTACATCAAACGGTGCACTTTGTGGAGGTAATATTATACTAAAAATATTAACAAATTATGACCATTTATGTATTGTATTAAAAAAAATGTCATCAATATTTGATCAACACACACATAATAATAAAGAAAATGAATTATTTTTTTAGTTTTGATTAGTAATATCAGTTATTTAGTATTTTAAAACAATTATTGATGATTCTAAGTAGACACATGATAATATTATTTTAAATATACTTAAACATATTTCTAAATATTATAACCTTTTCATATCATAGCGATATTTTGAGAAACAGTCCCTATATAAAACTATAGTATAATCTTTTGATTATCCAAAAAAAACTTACCTTGTGGGTAATACTGATCTTATGAGACCCATTTGATCGTAACAATGAAAATTATATTCCAAAGGAATCAATTGTTTATTTATCACTCTAAAGTATAATTTAACTATCTCTCCTGGAACACCCGTTAAAGTGGAAAACGGAGAAAGTTCCAGTATAAAACTTTTAGCTTCATTTTTTGTTTCGTCTGTCCATGATTTATCAGAAGCTTTATCTATAAAACATAATACACTTTTTTAATTGTAGATATAATTTTATATAGGATATTCCACTAAGATATACACATTGTGATGTCTCCTGGGATAGTTAATGACTGAATCAAATTTTTTTTTTTTATTTGACACAAAAATAGACTATAAATATTCATATTTCAAAAAAATGTATATGTTGGTAAAAAAAACTTTATTTTGTTATTTTCTAAAAATTTGAAACTATAAATTATAATTTCAATTTTATGGAGTAATATTTTTTCTGGTTTACAGAAAAATAATGTATTAAACATGTTAGTGTTTTGATAAACAAAACTCATCAGTCTTCAGAAAACGAGATGAGATAATTTCAAAACACTACTATGGTTTTAGTTTTATTAATTAAATACATTATTTTTCTCTGAACTAAATAAAGAAAAATATAATGAGGTTAATGAAAATAAAAAGTTGAAATGTTCAAAAGAATAAACTCTATAAAATTGGATTTCTTCAAATTTTTCTAAAATAATAAAATATTTTTTTTTTTAATGTTTACTAAAATAATATAAATATACACTTAGTTTTTGGATTTTATTTCTTCTTAAATTTTTCTATTAAAATAAAAAAAAGTCTAAAAGTACAAACAGAATATCTGGAAAATAGATATCAAAAAATTATTATGTTAAAACATAGTAAATGTTGTCATTTTTAATTTGGGGAAATAATTCTTAGATTCTGAGTACTATTAAAGTACAAAAACATTTTTGCTTTATTGCCCATTAGATATAATATAGATATATATAAGATATAATATATATCTATATTATGTTACAGTGATGTCCTCTTAACTATCATTATGTGATATTTCTGTACACAATGTATAATAGTATTGTTAATACAATTACGCGTTTAAAATTAACTGTATATATATATATTAATTAATGATTTATTAAACAATTTAGTAATACATTTAATAATTTGAGTTAATTTATTAAGTTTGATAGATATTAACTTAGGCCATATGATGAAATTAATATTAGTCAAAGTTTGTTAAGATTTTAGATTGCTAGAATAGTCAGTTTGGAAAATATTGAGGCCCTGCACAGTCATTTTTGCATGGTTTCAATAAGTTTCTCTCTTTTTTTTTTTTAATATTTTAATATCAAGCATAGGTAAATCTTTACAATACAATTTTTCCTAGTTCATTAGTTTTAATATGTATTTTCCTAAATAATCATGTAAAATTACTATATAGTTATGATAACCACCAGATTCAGGACTGCCAAAAGCACAGGGCTATGTGCGCATGCACAATTTGCACTGCTTTCAAGCAGGCCCTGATTGCTAGGAACTTATTTTGGTGATATTATTTTTAAAATTATATATAAAATATCTTAGTGTTTTTAATTTTTCCATCCATAATACATGACAACTTATATTTATTTAAAAAGTATTGCTGAAAATTTGAATTATGTTTATTATTAGGTAATCTAGTAAACTGTACAAGTGTAATTTAAAAAATACTTTGCAAAACTAAGTATAAATTGAGTAAATCTGAATTCTATATTGAATATAATAATTATAATCTTTAGTTTTATTTATTATATTTATTTAAATTGATTTAAGCTAGAAACTACTAAATCATTTTGCAATGTAACATATATTTTCAAGTTATTACATTTAAAGATAACAACATTAATGAAAGAGCTATCTTATTATTTACTTTTCATACCTATTCAATTGTAATATTAAATAACGTCATACTGTTTTAGGGCAATTTTATACGCACTTGTTGGTCAAGGCTACTGTCTCATACATCATAAGACGTCATATTTTCATAATTGTAAACAATAAAAATACTATAAAAACAAATTTATGTACCTATGCACAATATATTCTATTGGTTGTTTCAATTGCTTTATATTCCTAATTGGCATGTGAGATTTTATCATAGATTTCTATATAACTAAACTTAATACTTAGAAATCTTTGGTTTCAGTTAAAAAATAAAGTTATCCTAAAAAAAAGATTATATTCAAAGATATTTTACGACTTATAAGTACTATAATTTTCAGTTTCTAAAAAAAATAATCTTAAAATAGTTTAAAAGATTTAAAAATAGTTGAATCTATTTTATGTTATAAAAATATTATAAGTATTTGTATAATAATTTTAAGACTCATAATATTAATAAAATTACTTAATGTAAACATATATTATTAATCTTCTAGTTATCCATCAAATATTTTACATTCATTGTTTTTCCTTCTATTTTTTTTTTTTTTTTTTTTTGTTATAAATGATTCATAACTTCTGTTATTAACATATTCAATCTTACCTTACAGTATGTGTAACAGGTTATAGATTGGTACTATTTCGTATAATGTGTAAATAAGTATATTAACGCTTTGCGTTTTAAAGGTCAACAATTTATGGCTTTTTGTTGAATAAATACTGTGGTATCTAGTAGTTATGATAATAAGAATAATAATGACTAATGAATTTATGTATTATCTAATCTGATTTTTAATCCTTTTTTTTCATAATAGGTATAATAATAAGTACAATTGTATTTTACAATATAAGAATATAGTTATTTTTGTGTGGTAATATACTTGATTCTTTGGCTTTAAGTTAGCTAACCTAACCTATTATTTAGCTTGCTAATATTTATTAATATTATTATTTTTTATTACTGTTAAAACTTAAAGGTTTATGCACCATACTGAAAATTAATTTGTATACTTAAAATACTAAATTATTTCTAGTAAAACAATTTGTTTAGTTACTGTTTGGTTGATTTTGTATATTAGAATCAACATGTTTAGATTCTAAAACTTTATTCACAATTGCTAAAGCCATAGGTTTCTGTTCTTCACAATCTTCACACTCTCCATTTTTACACCATATAATTTCTACCTGGAAGTATTGTATTATTGGCATAAAATAAATATTGTGCTTATTAAGATTGAAGTTACATTTTTGTTTTGAAGAAAAATATCCAAGTCATTAAATTTTGATTTTTCACCAAACACTAAAAATGTATTCCCTGCGGGGTTTAGAATGTGGATCAATTTAGAATAATACTGCTGGCCTTGTTCTTTTGGTAAATAGTCAATTTGGTGGTACTCTGACATCACTTCATTGTTTTTTTGAAATACATTATGAACCACAATATCTGTAAACAGGAAATACAATAATTTAGTATTATGTAGTTTTACCTTTACAGTGGAAAATATGTAAAAAACGTTATTTACCTAATATAATATTAGTTTAGTAGGTAATACATTTTGTGTTAATGTTTTTTACAATAATCAAGTATACACATCAAGACAGGAAATTGTGCTGTCATATAAAACAAATAGTGTATTTTTATACAAGGCAGAAAAAAAAATGGATTCTTATGTAATCAGAAATTCCAAAGCATTGTGCATTCGTTCAAATATAAAATTTACTTTATAGAATATCTGTTTCAAATAAATTAGCTAAATTTAAATTAAAAATGTAAATCATAGCTACGGCTATAAAAAATAATGGTTGAAACAATAAAAAATGGCACAATTATTTTAGATTAAATAGGAAATACTTTTTAATAAATTTGTTTTTCCAGAAACATAGAAAAAAAGTGACGGACATACTTCTCACAATGGGTGGGCCCTTGTTTTTGATTAGAAGTTGGGAAGGTAGAAGAGAAATTTAATGTATATCTGCAATTAAAAACAATTCTGAGTGGAATTTGATGAATAGTGTTGCTTTATCAACATTATATATGTCATATTATGATAAAATAATTACATATGCACTATATATTTTCTTTAATAATATTTTCGACTAAAGCGATTTTCATCAAACTTTGATATTAAAATTCTTATAATAAAAATTCTACATTACTCATTTTTTTTTTCCACAAAGTACGACTTATAATGAAACTCTTATTAAATTTGTATGCATTTTTGTTTGGTCTAACAATTTTATCCACAGAGTACCTGCTGAATAAAAATTACATACAAAAATGTCATAAAATTGTATGAACAATTAATGTCTATAAATAGCTCAAAAATGGCTACAATATTTTAAACATTTAACCATGTCTAGAAAAAGCAAATATAAATTTTCCGTCCAAACTTCAAGTCTCTTTAAATTTTTTTAACTGAATCAAAATAAAACAAAACAAAAAATAAAAAACTTACATTTTATAATTTTTCTTGTTTTTCCTTTCAGAAAAAAGTGCTGTACTTGAAATTTTGAGCAAAATTGCTGATAGAAATTATTGTATCGAATTATATTTTAAATAAATAAGAAAAAAAGAATTAATATACTTTATACCTAATTTAGTCACACTTAATAATATTATCAACAAATTTATTTCAATAGTATATTCTATAATAATATAATATTAAATTACATTGTCTTATATGTACATTTGCTTAATATTTTAGAATAGTTTTTGTTAATTGTTGTAGTTTATGATTTTTTTTATTAGGATTTTTAATGGTGTTAATATATTCCTATATATTAATGTGGAATTATTTTAATTGGAATATAAATTTCACAAAATGAGTGAAAGGATTTTTTTTTTTTAATGATATGATTGATTGATATACCAATATATTATTGTTTATAACAGACATTTTTTGAAACAGAACAATATGTTTTTGCAACTACAATGAATGGAATTAATTGTGCCAAACATATGAGAAATCTATTACATGTCTGTTTAAAGTATTGGAATTCAAATAATTGTTTGATTCATTCAATATGTATCATTTAAATACAATTGTACTACATAATTTTTCCAAATATTATATGATTATTTGATTCTGTGAAATGTCTGTTTCAATCATTGATATTCCAATAAAATTTGGCAACCCATCAATTATTGAATGAAATGATTTGTATAATATATGGACGAAAGAATATATTACAAAAAAGTAATTTTATGTTATAAAGATAGAGAGATGTTGTTTTCAAGTATTATTTTACTATTACCATTTTAAATTATACCTAAATAGTAAATATACATACCTCCTTTTTGGTTTAGTCCAGATACAAAAAAACTAGAATTATGTTTAATCAAGTATTTTGTATTTTCAAAGAAATGATTGATACATTGCAAAGTATCTTCTTTCCAATCTGTTAAAATGGTAATATTATTGGCAATTAAACACGGAACTGTTAAATATAGTAAAAACAAATTTAATAAATGCATGATGATGTAGCGCAGGATCATTAGCTATTAAAGTTTTTTTTAAATAATTTTTGTTTAAATAATATTTATACTTAACGTTATCTGTTTCAAATATTTATCTCTGAAGGATAGGTTTCCTATTTGTGTATAATTCCTTATGACAAATAATTATAATATATACAATATGCATACTTTTTTTTTTTAGGTTTAGATAATCAGTTCCAAGAATCATTTTCACAATTACAACAAAATATTAATGAAGTGACTTTGGACGAATCCCAATCTCAATGTTTAATAACTGCGAGTGAACAACTTAAACAACATTTAAGTAGTAATTATGGATTTTCCGATTTAGATGAATATAATTCGCACATATTACCACCGAGGAAAACATTAGAAACTGATCAATACAATACCATACTACCAAAAGGTATTCAGTCAACCAATTTTAGATCTAATGCAGTCAAATTTCTCTGTAACTTAAATGTGGACTGCTAAAAAATAAAAAATTGTTTATTTTACTATATACCTTAGTAATTAAGCCTTTCAGTTTTAAACTATGTAGGTTCTACTATAAAAAAGTGCAAGTACAGTGTAAAATTAATATATTTTTATTCAATTTAAAAATTATTACAGATAATATTGATTCATCTTCTAGTAATGTTTTAAAGAATCAAAATGATTCAACATTTATAAAAACATCAAATCCATCTATAAAACAAACAGTTAAAACTATGGGTATTTTAGAAAATACATCTCCAACACAACCACAAGTAATTTAATTTGAAGTAAACTGTTAATTGAATGAATAATAATAATTTTTACAATTAAATATTTTTAGGATTTACTACTATGCATATATGAACCAATAAAATGGCATTGGTTTTATTGTAAGTATGCGGATAAAAATATATGGGTTCCTTTCAGTCAAAAAGATTCTGATGCAATTGAACAGGCTTTTATGCTAGGTAAGAATTTAGTATTTAATAATATATATTGGTTTTCTAATTTTTATTCTGTTGTACATATTATTTTTTTAGATGATCAACACAATGAATCTGTCATACCTACAGATGGTACCCGATTTGATGTTTATCTAAATCAAAGAATTCGTAAGCCGGTTTATTGGTCTGATAAACCAACTAGTATAAGACGTTGTTCTTGGTTTCTACGTAATCGTTCTGGTTCTAATTTTATTCCTTATGATGAAGCGATAGCTACCATTTTAGAAGTAATAAAATGCAGTTTAATTATTTGTATAACTTAAATACAATACTAATATTTACATTTAGGAAGAATACAGAACAGCATGGGATACTAATGAATGGGGACGTAGAATTCCAGTTACTAATTACGAAGAAGTAGTTTTACATAGTCCTACCGCTATAATACATTGTGGAACATCCATAACACTTTTAAATAATAGTGAAGAAAATCATAATTATCAACAAATAGATCAAACAAATATAGTAATATAGTAACAAATAATTTACTAATATAGTAAAATTATGAATATAAATTTAAAATAGTTATTGAATATTTTATGTTTAAAACCAATTTTAGTCTTCATTGAAACAATGCATAGTAAAACGAGGATTTGAAGAATTTGTAATTCCTTGTGATGAACCATCAAAAGTAGATCATTTATTATTTATTGTTCATGGAATTGGATCCTATTGTGATATAAAAATGAGACCAATTTATGAAGTTGGTAAGTCATTTTAGCTCTTCAAATTAAAAATAAAATTAATTCAAACAGATTTTTAGTCCCAAAAATAAAAAAATGCACAATGTTTCACATTAAAAATATATTTACTTATATATATATAAATATTATTAATGTATACTTATTAGGGTGGTCCTTAACTTGTAGGTGTTGAAAATAAATGTCAAATATTTGAATTCATGGGCTTGGAATTCTGTTAGGTACATTGTAAAAAAATGTTTATAAATTTTGAGTATGATAAATCAACTCCTTCATGTGCCTCAAAGATTTTTTTTTTATCAATCCAAAGATTGGTTTTAAAAAATTTTTACAATAAATTACTTTTCCATTTTTCTCTGTCATACACCATATTCTTGAGATCCCTGTAGGAAGTGACTCCTGCATCCTTCATTACTTGGCTAATGTATTTTGTCTTTTTCTAGGTCCACAAAGGCCATATAAGTAATGTTTTGTCTCTCAATTTGCTTTTCATGTATTATTCTCAGACCTAAAATAACCTCACTGGTTCCTTTGTTTTTCCGGAAAAACCATATTGATTGTTTGGTAACTTAGCTTCAATCCTCTTTTGCTTATAATTATTGTTTGTTATTTAACTGTATATGATATCAAGCTTAAGGTCCTAAAATTTTCGCACTAATTAGCTCAAGGTTTTTTTGTTAGAATAACTAATCTTCTAAATCCAAAATCTCAGAATTTGCCTAGTTTCGTATATTTGTCATTACAATTTATATAAATCATTTTTTATTTCCTCTCTTGACTGTTGTAGAAGTCCCATATTCAATTTGTCTAGGCCTGGTGCTTTGTTTTTCTTCATTGTTTGAATTACATCTTCAAATTCTGATTTTAGAATTCCTGTATCTGCATTTAGAATCAAAGACACCGTCATTTGGGTTTTCAACGAGTAAGTCAATGTTTTCTTCTTCTATGTATTCTTTCCATTTATTTGCTATTGCTTTCTCGTCCATAAGTAAATTCTCCTCTTTTTCCTTTACGTGCGTGCATCATGAAGTATCGTTTGATGAGTTTGTATGCCTTGTCCTGTTAGTTGTACTTTATCATATTATCTATTTCTTAACCATTTTTTCCAATCCACATCTATTTGGCTTTTTTTGCTTCGTAGTTTATTTGATTTCTTAATGTCTTTTATTGTTTTTTACTCTCTTCATCTGTTTTGTTTTTCAGCAATGTTCTTTTCTTTGTATATTGAACTAATTCCATTGTTATTCATTCGCATTTCAGTGTTAATTTCTCCCTAATTAATATTTCTTTTGCAGGCTAGACATAAGATTCTTTTATACGATGCCATCCATGTTCTATATTATTGCAATCATCTATCCTCTGTTTACTTTTGATTTCAAATTTTTCTTTGTATTTCTTTCCAAACAACTTTCTTGTTTCTGATTGTTTTAGTTGACACATATTCCATTTATGTCCTTTATATTTTGGTTTTTCTAACTTTTGAATATCAACACAGATTTGATCATCACCAAGTTGTGGTCACTATCAATATCAGCTCCTGGGTAAGATTTACTTGATTTAATCTGATTTTTGTAACTATTCTTTACCAGGATATAATCTAATTTGTATCTGTTAATATCACCTGGAATTTTATACGTATAGCATTTTCTTTTATAATTCATGAATAAAGTATTGCTTATAACTAAATCATAGTGTCTGTAAAATTTGACAATATGATCACCTCTTTCACTCCTTGTTCGGAGTACATATTAACCAACTTCTTTGCTGTTTGGGTTTTCCCCCACAATTTCATTCCAGTCCCCCATGATAATTAGATTTTCCTTACCATTTGTGAGGTTAATGAGTTCTTTTATCTTTCCTTAAATCTCTTCTATTTTCTCATCGTTCACTTATGATGTATGCTTATATTATTGCGATGTCGTTAGGGACAAATTTTAGTTCAACCTATCATTGTAGGCAATGTAACTTCTTACACATTGCGCCCATTTTTTATTCAAGATAATGCATACTCCAGTTCTTTTATTATCACCGCCGGAGTAGTCTCCCGATATAACCTCACTTTGACCATTCCATCTCATTTCACTTATCCCCAAAATATCTATTTCATCTCAATCTTAAGATTATCTAGTTTCCCCATTTGCAACAGAGTTCTAACATTCCATGTTCTTATCATACTACAAGGATTTCGTTTGGTGATGACCTGAGGTAAATTGTTTGGCCTCCTCTCCAATAAGGTTGTCTCCATATATTATACCATTTATTGTGCTGGTGATTTTTTAATTGACTAAGGAAATTAATGTGGTGGTTACCTCTTGTCCTCTACATCACAGTGCTGTAGCCGTGTTCATGGTCTCCATGCACGCCTACTCCAAATACCTAGCTGTACTTGAAGCATCCACCTACAGCCAGTACTGAAGGCACTGCTTCCCACCTTCAGGTCCATTTTTTGTTGCCTCTTATGATAGGCATGGACTACTAGCCCTACTGGCTGTATTCTGGCCCCCACCTGCAGAAACTCCTCAAAGGGGTGGAAGTTAGTAAAAAGGGGGTAGTTTTTGTATTAATTTTTTTAAAGTTTGTACATACAAACAATTTATCAAAAACTACCGTAGTAAAAAAGTGTCTAATATTAATTTTTGTATGTTAAAATTTCAAAAAATCCAAAAACATCCCCTTTTTACAAACTTTAACCCTTTTGGGCAATGTAAAGGATTTGACTTATCATACCAAAATTTACAAAAATTATTTTTACAGTGTAGCTAACATTATTTCAAACCCGCGGCACAAAATTATTGAAGTTCAAAAAAAAAGACCACCCTAATAAATGTATACATATATTTTATAAACAATACTCTTATTAATTTTTTAGTCGACGATTTTCGAAGCTTAGCTCTTCAATTAACACAATCACATTTTAAAACATCATGTCAATCAGATAAAATTGGTAGAATTGAAGTGTTGCCAGTTTCATGGCATTTTGCTCTACATAGTAAAGATATTGATTGTAAACTTAAAAGTATTTCCTTGCCATCAATTCCACGACTCAGGAACTTTAGCAATGACACTATATTGGATGTTTTGTTTTATACTAGTCCCACATTTTGCCAAGTGAATTATTTTCAGAAAATAGAAAAGGTTTGTATACTTATATTTTTCTTTTGATTTCAGACTATAATAAATGCTGTTGGAAACGAAATGAATCATATGTACACTCAGTATCTATTAAGAAATCCTAATTTTAATGGGCATGTTTCAATAGGTGGCCATAGTCTAGGATCTTTAATTTCATTTGATTTATTATGTAATCAACAACCACCAAGTTCAACAAAAAAACCTGTGAGTTATTTTTGTAATTTAAAAATCGTAACATACTATATAAAATTAAAAAAAAAAAAATCAGCACGTTAAATGTTATTACATTGAATTTGAAAGTGATTTTATCATCATTATTTTAATTTTATTTTAAAACATTTTTTTTTAGATTCTGAGTGAAGCGAAGAAGCATATAGTTTTACAACAATGTTTATTTTTTTTTATCTGTACAAATTTTCTACCAGCCATTTTTCTCTAAATTTTAAGTGTAGTACCTATTCTGAAAAAAAATCAATGTATAAAATATATTAATAACATTTTTTTTTTTCTGTGGACAACTTTTCTACTAGCAATTTTGTTGATTTACAATGATAGCACATCTTCTAAAAGGAAACCATACTGGGGATACTTCAGAGAGGACATTTTCCGATTTTCTCAGGAATTTTCCCAACAAATTAGAAAAAACTTGAGAAAATCTTAGGAAAAACAGGAAAATAGGTACAATCTTAAAGAAAATATACAATTCCTATATAATTATTTTACCATAATATGGCATATAGTTGGCAAAGCAACACTATCAACTGAACTCCACTCAGAATCGTTTTTTGTAAGCACTGATAAACCATTGCTTATAGATATACATTAAATGTTTACTCTACTACCTTCCAACTTCTGATCTATAACAGTGGCTGCACCCACGTTTATTATTATTTATTTACTACTTTTTTAAATATATTAAAAAAAGTTTCATACATGATAATTTTGGCTTTTTTTTTAAAAAAGCTGTAATTTTTTTGTGAAAATATTTTAGAAAAAACACTGGTTTTAAAAATATTCTTTTCAAAGTTTATTGTTTGTTTTTTAACTTTAATTTAAATTTAAATGCCACAATATATATTCTACACAAATTTGTCCTACAAAATGTAATTTTACTTGTCTATTAGTTAGACTAAGACAGAATCTGGGGTATTCTTAAGCTTAATTAATACAATTTCCATTTGTATAATATAATTGTCCATCATTATAACAGGAGTCATCTCTACAGGAATCTGTTGATGAAGAAAAAGTTAAATTAAATCGTGGTGCATCATACCTTACTTTAGGAAAAGCTGGTACTGGACAACCATACATTACATATCCACAACTAAAATTTCAACTCGATTATTTTTTTGGTTTTGGCTCACCAATTGGTAATTATTTATTATTATTTTAAAACACTAGTGAGTAGCAGAGCTTTATCGAACTAGAGTCAAATTATTCCATTTATTTTAGATTATTAAAATATTCAATGTGAAACAATAAATAATTAAATAATACTATACTATAACTATAGTAATTCGTAAAAAGTTAGTAAAATTTGAGCATAAAAATAGTAGAAGTGGAGATATAAAGTTAAAATCCATAAAAAACCCATCATTGATTCTAATGCCATGCATATACAACATTGACACCCTGGCTTCATTTGTGGGGTTTCTAGGGCTGCTAAAAAAAACTCCCTTATCCGTCAACATGACATATTTTATTATGAAATTCATCTCAACTCTTACCACTAATAATAAAAAAGAAACTCGAATTTGAGTTCATTTGGTCTAGAGAGAGTCCGCTAAGTGTCCAAAAGTAGCAGAAAAAATATTAATTTATCTAGGTATAATAGATACAATACAGTTCAATAGTGTCTATTATTGGAGAAAATTCAACAAAAATGATAATGCAAAACTTTGTAGTTATAATATTATAATACCGATTTAAATATGTTTTGTATTCAAGTTTAAATTAATTATACGTAAATATTTGAGATTATTTCATTATTAATTTTTTTTGTTTGCTACTTTCAGGCATGTTTGTAACAGTAAGAGGAATAGAAAGTCTAGGAGAAAATTTTAAATTTCCCACATGTCCTGGATTTCTTAATATTTTTCATCCATATGATCCAGTTGCCTACCGTATTGAACCATTAATAAATGCTATTTTTGAAAATATACCACCCCTACAAGTACCACATCATAAAGGTCGCAAAAGGATGCATCTAGGTAATTAATTAAAATGGATAATAATAATTTTACTTTATATAATATAATGTTTATAGAATTAAAAGATACTATTGCACATATTGGAACTGCTTTAAAATCGTATTTTGTTAATTCTGTACAGAACACATTATCAAAGTTGTACTTTCAAGTACCTTCAAATCAATCAATAAAATATGACTCTAGGGAAGTAAGTATATTAAATTATTCTCCGATGTATTTTTAATATTGGTTTATCACTTTGAATGATAGGTTTAGTAAGGATGATAATGATATATTGGTACTTCATTCCAATTTAATATTGTTTATATTTAGATTTTAAGCCATACCAATATGTACAAATATACAATCTAAATCAAAAATAATTTTTATTAATAATGATGTGTTGACAGGGAAACCTGTTCTGTCTATACCATACCGCATAATGATATAACCAGTTGGCGAGTAACTCGTAATTGTATAATCAGAATTATGGCCAAATTTTGTTTATTTTCAAATGTTTTTCTCCCTAAATCTGATAACACTGCATAGTGTACACAACTTTTTTTGGTGGTATCATAAAATAAAGATAAATAGAATTTTTAATTGGAGAGTATATTTTAACATTATTTTAGATAATTTTTTTTTCTCTATATATTAAAAAAATGATTGATGACATATTGTGGTATCAATATTAGGTCTACAATATTATATCTAAAGTCAAAAGTTTTTGAACTTCTATTTAGGTTAGGTTACGTGCTATATGTTTATATTGTTTAAAAAATTTAATTTATTTACTATTATTTTCATTAGAATGTAGATAACAAACAAAAAATTCAATCAAACTCCAAAAGTAGTTCAGAAACAACTCAGAAGTCTACCCAATGCTTTAATAATAAACCTGGTATTCTAAATAAAGGAAATAGAGTAGACTACGTTTTGCAAGAGGCACCTCTCGAAAGTTTTAATGAATACTTATTTGCTGTTGGCAGTCATTTATGTTATTGGTAAGTACACAAGATATTTATTTATTTATTAACAAAATATACAGTTTTAGTTAATAAATATAAACACTACTACTTATAACCAGTAATTTTTTTAACATACTATTTCAGTTTTAAATAGAAAAATGATTAATTTTTATATTTTACATTTTTTTTTTTAATTTGATTTTCAATTAAATAAATAATACATTTAAGTTTAAAAAATTACAATTAGTATTGCAATATTTATATATATATTATAAATATGCAAATGAAATATATTTTATCTTCTAAAACTACTTGGCTAAGAAATTTTAATTTTAATCCGTCTAAAAAAAATAATAAACTTGAAACGAAATATTAATTATATAAAATATGATTTATAATATATCAAATTTAAATATTGAATTTCATTATAATAAAAACTATTTCTACTGAGGTATAAAATATATAATGTGGACAATTTAATTTTAAACCCAATAACTGTTCAATGTCAACTCATAAATCTTAAACTTTTAAAAAACACATTATTAGTAAGTTTTACAATCGATTATTAGCATTATTACTTCCAATTTTTTTTTTTTTTTTAGGGAATCTGAAGACACTATTCTATTAGTCTTAAAAGAAATGTATTCAATAACAGGTATATCACCAGATAATCAAGTTCAGCATGCAATACTACCATTTGACATACATGACAATGATAATTCTAACTATCCAATTAGTATGCAATTTAAGGAACCACCTGGATTTAACATGTCATATGGGACATTACCACCATCTCTGTATAATGATAAACTTAATAATTAACTTTTATTATTTAATAATAGAATACATAAAATAATTTAAAATTTGTTATGGTGTGTTTATATAGTTAAAATTTTATTTTTTTCTTATTGTACTGTGATAATTTATTTTTGTTGACAATATAATATAATGAAGATTTATAATATAAATATAAAAAAAATATAGTAATTAATTTTTCTAACATTATATCACAGTCATGCCAAAAATTCAACATAAAATGCTTATTATATTAATACTAGCCGACCCGTCACGGCTTCACCCGTGATTGGTTGTTTAATTTGCCTTTGGATAATGATATATAGAACTTTTTAATCAAATTCTATCGTTTAATAATATCGGCAAATTAATATAAAAAAAAAAAAAACGGTTAATGAAAACGTATTGAAATGTTTCAAGCGGGATTAATGACAAATATATTTTTACTAAAAATGAATGCAGATACAAAAGAAATGCTGAGTAATTTACGGTTGATAAAAAATTTTATAAAACTTCTGAGTATATGGCGTTTTTTGTTTTATCTCCTGTTGAAATTAAAATCATAAGATGCTTCGGGTCCCCAGTTCGAGAAAATCCCACGTATAATTGTCCATGTGAAAAGCACTGTGTTCGAAGACCTACGCCAACGTACCTGTATGTTTGACCTTGAGCTTTGTTTATCGTGATTGCCAAAGAAACTTTAACAGAGAATTAAAGCCGTTTGAACGGAAACGGCAAGTCCGACGGAATCACGGGAATTCTTGGAATAAATGCAATTTCTCCTTTTGCCGGCCCCGTAAGAATGACGGCTCCTATAACACTATTCTGCAACGATTTTATTTGTCATCTTGTACCGTTACATAACTTCGGTGGTTGAAGATTACGTAATAATGTAATCGGAGTACCAATTTTTAATTTTAGCTTATGGAGAGGAAATCCCGAAGGAGAAAGAGAATTGAGAAATTATTGTAGATATAAATATATAAAGATATAGATAAAGATTAATACGAATATTCGGTATACATGTTGTTTGGTGTGCGTGCGATAAACTTCTCGGAACAATTCGTACCTACACGCCGATGTCAAACACGATACAATTTGACGAACAAAAAGGTCAGGTCGCGGGTAGCTGTAAACCCGCGGGNGGTTTTCTCGGTTAGCGCGGTCGTAGAAAACCCCTTACAATTTTATATAATAGTATAGATAACGAAGTTATAATAATAACAATATAGTATATATATGAATATTGGGTATACGTGTTGTCGGTGTAAGTGCGATATACTTCTCGGAACGCCGATATCAAACACGATACAAAAAAAAGGTCAAGTTACAGGTAGCTGTAAACCCGCGACCCGCCGTGCCGCACAATATAGGTACAATTGTTTTTAATTTTTTATGAACTTTTTTACTGACAAAAGTGGTACTATAACCTTCAGCAGAGTGTCGGGTTTCAGCCAAAAAAAATTTCAGCCAAATCGGTCCAGTAGTTTTCTCGGTTAGCGCGGTCGAAGAAAAACCCTTACAATTTTATATAATAGTATAGATAATCAAAAATGTAAAAAGTTAGATTCAATTAATTAATAGAGCCACTTTTTCATATTGGTTTTTGATAAAGTAACAAATTGGTTATTAGTTATACAATAAAACTATTTTTAATTAGATACTTACAACATTTTTCAATAAACAACTTAATTGTATAGACAGATAATGTATAACTACACTATTATGAACATATTCGTAATTTGCTAATTAATACAACATAATAAATAGATATTCACACTTAATAAAATTTAAGTTATATTTTTTCCTTAGTGTCTTTCAATGTTCTTTTTAATAAAAACCATGGTTGTAATAACAAAATTCCTCCAATGGAATATGTTATCTTTGGGCCAACAGACCAGTATACTGAAATAAAAAAATTAACAAAGTTTTACATTTTTAAGTGAAAATAATTAATAAGTTATAAAAACTGACATATTGAAGCAAAAACAGGCCCAATTGCTCTGGCTAAAGCACCTAAAGAACGAAAAGTACCCATAGCTTTGCCTTTATGAGCATCAGATCCATAATGTGATACCAACGTAGTCATACATGGAACAACAATAGAGGTAGCTAAAATATAATTAAAGTGTATTTAGATTAATAAGTTTTTTAATATTATAAGAAGATATTTAATAAGTAATCCTTACAAACAGCATACAGAAATAAACCAAAAAAAAATAGCGGGGCAGATTCAGCCATCCCAACACAAATGAATGATGGAACTATTAATAAAAGGCCCTGTACAAATAAATTTGGGCTTTTATAATAACAACATAAGTGTAACATGTAAGTTTAAAATAATTTTACCAAAGTTGCAGTTTTAGCTGTATGAACTGGAGGTATTCTTCGAACCCATCCACCTTGTAAAAAGGCCATCGTAATACCAATACAAAAAAACATATAACCTTGTTGCATTGAAGTATATCCAAATTTGTTATGTGTTAAAAATGTTAATGTAAATTCCAAACCAGAATATAGAAATAAATAAATAAAGTAGACACTGCCTAAAGTGCGTAGCTTCTTAATATCTAATAATTAAATAACAAAATAATCATTATATTAAAATGAGACAATATAAATCATAATATCTATAGAAATAATATTACGGTCAGATGAAACAACACCATCAAGTAGTTTAAATTTAAATAAATCTATCACATTAATATAGGTAAATGCTTCTGATAATTTTCCAGCAACTGATGAAGCTCTATTTTTCTATAAATAATAATTAAATTTACAACTAATATAAAAATAACTGTTAATAAATAAAATATTACTTTTGGAAGTGATTCTTTAAATGCAAAAGATACAAATATGATATTAATAACAGTCAAAAAAACAGCAAGTAAAGCGGGTTGTACAAACCAATCCCCTTTTTGACTATGAGACCATTTAGCAAAACTTGCACCAATCATAGGACCGAATACAAATCCCACTGAAAATGCTATACCAATCATTGCCTACAAAATAAACATGTATAATTTGTTTAGTACTTTTATAATAATATAAAAGTAATCCAATAATTAAAAGATTACAAAATGTATAATTTATCATTTATATAATATATAATTAAGATATCTTTACTGTGCCATCAAAAATAAATTAGAATTTATTGCTAACTAATTATGAAGCAATGTAAAAAACTATTAAATAAATTTACCGTTTTCATATAATGATAAAATATACAGTGTAGTATCTTTGATTTGACACTTTTTATACAAACTGCTAAAATATATTTAATTTAAATATATAATTTACTAGTTAAGTGTCAGGGTAATTTTGGTGCAAATTAATTAAAAGTACTATTATGTAAAACATTAAATTAAAAAAATAATGTGAATATTAATCCATATTAAACTAATCAATTAAGTATCAAATGAGTAGACACCATTAATTGGTTAGCTTTTCATAACATAATTTATCAGTACCTACAGACAAATAACTAATTTAATATGATTTATTTACCATTCCTCTTCCACGTTTTTCGGGTGCATACACATCTGAAACAATGGCCATTGATAAACTAACATTTCCTTTACTTAGACCACCAATAATTCTTGCCCAAACAAATAAAGAAAACGTTGTTGCTTTTGACCATATTATGTAAGAAGATAAAATACCCACCTATAATGTATTACTATAACTATATTAAAATTCAAAAATATAAATAATTTAGTACCTAGCCAATTAATAGGTAAACGCTCACTAAACAAATTATCATGACTGGTTTACGTCCATAAACATCACTTATTCCACCAAGAATTGGCGATGAAGCAAATTGTAAAAATGAAAACAATGAACCCAAAATACCTATTTCAAAACATTTCATATTAATTAATTATATTGTTTATATAACAAGTACTTTACCTACCACCAAATAGTACTCCATTAAACTTATCTGGTACACCAATTAATTTTTGAAAAACACTTATATGTTCCTCTAACCATTGATATAATCCACCAGAGTCATTATGTTTGTAATAGTCTAATAATGATGGGAAAAGTGGTAAAATCATGGTGAACGCCAATAAATCAAATAATAATGAAATAAACACCACATATCCAGTGTAATTTTGTGAAGTTTTCGTTGCCATATGGACAAAATAAAATCAGTTAATTTACATTCAATTTTAAATAATTAATATGTATCATAGAAAAATATATAGATAAATAAATAAATATTGAAAAAATTAACAATTAATATGATTTGAAAATGTGAATTGATGCTTTGGCTATAGGAAAGCAAAAAATTTAGAAATGAACTTTACACCCAGTCGTTATATAACGTATAACGTACACGAATAAATAAAACTAAATATCTATCTCCAATAAGGTACTTTCACTTTAGAAAGTTGTTTATCAAATTTCAATATTTTGGTAAACATATTTTTCAAATAAAATAATTAGTAACGAAAATAATCAAGCAAAGTAATTTCGATAATTTAGTAATTCACATTTTCAAAAAATTACTCGATCATCCGTACTTGGAAGTTTTGACTGTTGGAAGCATGCATTGATAATAGCTATCTAAATTTTAAAATTGGAATGTGCCTTTTAAATTTGATGATAAGCAAATGTATTCTATAGCAGTGTATCTCAACCTGGGGGATCGACCCCATTGGGGATTGCAACTAATTTAAAATAACCAAAAGTATAAAATATTGGATCGCCATGTATAAAATATATATTTAAAGATGGCTAAAAAATTAAATAGGTATTCATTTAGGGGCTCGCGACAGTAAAAAAGTTTAGAAACACTGTTCTATAGTGATATCTATGGTGAATGGCACTTGTTCGAAAATGATAAGAATCATTTTTGGAAAACCCGACTGGTCGCATATTAAGCATATTGAACATATTAACAAACTGCACCAGAGCACACAAAATAGAATACTACCTGACGTGGTTTAACATGACAAATAATGGTTTATTTTCGATTAATTTCATCCATTCGCTTCAAATCCCGGAAAAAAAACAAGTTTTAAAATTTTGAATTGATTATTATGGAAAAAAAAAATTATCATATTATAATTTCTATTTTATATCACTAAACTAGAAGTCTAGAACACTGATATTTTAGTGACTTTACAGAATAAATTTGGTTTACACAAATAATAGCATAAAAGTATGACAAGTTCTTCATAGGTAATTTCAATGAATGATAGATATATTGCACTCATTATTTTGAAAAGTTTTTACTTTTTTTCACAAAATTTTTACTATAAAAAAACTAACATTCATCATAAGAAATATATTTTTTTATATTACAATATTTATAAAAATTATATTAAATAAACATGTTTTAAAATTTTTATTATTAATTAGTACATTTAAAATTTCAAAATTATTGTTATTTTTTCCCTTGGTTTTTTTTACCAATTACTAAAGCTCCAGACTAAACAATATAACGATTAAATGTAGTAGTGTTTACTATTTAGTATTCAAATATTACAAATTTTGAGGTATAGAAATTACAATTTTAATCCGTTATTTATCCTTATCATTATTTGTCTTCATTATTTTCCAACAATTACCCCCTACTCGGATATGGGTATATGATATTATTTCATAATGAGTCTACCCCTACCTTAACTTAATACTTATATTAATAAATAATACATTAATGCCATAACATCATAGATAGGTGGATGTCACAGTGTGATGGGATAAGTACCCATCGACCGTAACACCCTTTTAGGAGCCCAATTTAATTTTGATGAAAATCGTAAAAAATTATAATTTTGACATTTCAAAACAAAAATAATCAAATATCGCCAGAATCGTTTTTCGATTGGTAATGATATAAAGATAGATATAACAAAATAAATAAAATTTAAACTTTAAAAACTTGAATTGTACATAATATAAAAACCAATATTATGCATACCCTGAAATATATTACAATAATTACGATTACGATGGCAAAGCGGTGAAAAAATATTCATTAATAGTTATTATAATAGTTTGTATTTGTATGTTGATAACTCATACTATTTAATATTTTACTAAGCTTATAGTTGCTAATTTACTATTCTGTTATCTCGACTATCGATATATTTCCAAGCCTACCGCATTACGGTTATCTACTCCGTACTATGATAAAATACAGGAAAACACCCTGATGAGGGAAGGGTGTAATTATGGGTGAGGGGGTATGAATCGCGGGACTACATCTGTTTTCTATTATGTAGAAATCCGACCCAACCCCGAGATCTTTATCCTCGATTTGCGAATTATGACTTGTGAGTTATCGACATGATAATGTCATGATTACTATGATAAAAATTATTTTTGAAATCATTCATAAAAATATAATTTATTTTTGATTTTTGATTTGTTTTCTTGTAATATAGTCTTAATCTGTGCATTGTTAATACAATTTTAATTCAAAGTTAATTTATCAATATTTAATATGTCATTTTTCAGTATAACTAAGTAAGTATTGCATTGTTCTAAAACTTACGTTTAGTACTATAGGTAAACAAGTGAATAAACATTAAAGAGTAAAGCTGTTTTCTATATTTAATAGTTTCTTTAAACATGCATGTTAAACCATAATGACTGCCCTTAGTTTATTTAAACGTTATATCTATTAATTATTTTTTTAGAAATTATTTAATTAGTGACTAATATACATAATATAGTTGTATATTATAGTTAGGATTAGAAAATTAATTTAAATCAATAATCTATCTACTAAACATTTTTAATTGGCATTCCTTTTATAAACTATAAGAGGTTAATCAAGGTCTGTCAATAAATTTAGAAATTATTTAAATTGAGGATCTATCCTTATATACATCCTTACTACATGATACTTGAGAATAATCTGTGATGCTTACAGTTGTCTAATGTGTAGCTATATAGCTGTGTAGCTGTAAATAAGAATATGTGCATTTAATATGTGTTAAAAATTTATCTATTATTAAATAGTTAATAGAATTTAAATTTTATTATTGTTTGTGTATGGTTTTAATAAAAACCATAAATTTCTTAACTTACTTATTTTTCAGAACACGACTTAATCAAGTATGGCATTCTTTCAAAATTGCATTTTTTAATTTTGTAGTTAATCAAAATGTGTCCCTTGAACGTGCTTGTGATTTATTACTGGAGCCATTATTCAAATTTGTTGACAATTATACGATGATTTTAGGTCGAGTAAGTGAAATTAATATACAAGGTCTGTTTAAAAAGTTCCAGGACTATTTGAATGGCGCTCCAACAAAGCCCCCAAGAGCAGTAGGATTGATATCACTGGCTTCTGTGCCTTCTCCTGAGTGCATTTGTATCTGTAGATTCTCTTTAACTTAATTTGCTTTGATGTGAATGATATTTTTTTAAATTACTTGACCAGTTTTTCGAGGGGGGGGGGGGGGGGGGTTGAAGATTTTTCTTTCATTTTTATGATAACATTATACACATAATGATTATTATTAATATGACAAAATGTCAAAAAGTTTTGGTTTCACCATACCAACAATTTTCTGTTAAACCTGAACTTACAGTAGCCAACTTCTCCTCCCCCCCCAAAAAAAAAACGTCTCTTGGATTCATTACAAAATCGCCAGGTACGAAAAAAACAAATATGGTTATAGACAATCTATAAAACAGATGTGCTCAGGAAAAGTCACAGAAGCCAGTGATATCAATCCTACTACTCTTGAATGCTCCATTGGCATGCAATTCAAACAGTCCTGGAACTTTTTGAACATACTTCTTATTTATAAAATAAAATTTAGTAATTTATTTTAATTTCAGATTATGGTCATCCTAGTGGTTATATTAACAACATTTGTTGTAGCCATAGCTTACTGGATTGGTTTACCATATTGGTGGAATAACAATAAATTGTTAACTGTTTTCTTATTAATATTTGGAAATTGGCTATTAATTAATGTTATATTTAATTATTATATGGGAGTTACTACATCACCTGGTTTTCCTACTTCAGTATTTATTTTTATAATTATTCAATAATGTTTAAGTTTATGAGAAATAATTGATTTAATTTAATGAGTATTATTTGGAATTTTTCAGAACTGCTTGATATTCAATGACATAGTAATGTGTAAAAAGTGTGATTCCCCGAAACCACCTCGTACACACCATTGTTCAGTTTGCAACAAATGTATTATCAAAATGGATCACCATTGTCGTATCCTTGATATAGAACCTCTCTATTATTATTAATTTAAAATAATGAAAACTAATATGGTTTTTAAATTAACAGAAAATATGCATCTTCTTATTCGCCTTCAACTATTTGGAGATTGCAACCCTCGTCCAAAACTTCTACTTGAACCGATCACCTACTTCACGTATACTGGCTACCCTCATACCATTCTCAATTATATCCAACCTTCTTTTTTCGGTCTTCTCACTTTCTTTCCTCCAATGATTATTTATTTTCATTAAAATTATTATTGCTTTTGATTTCTCTCTCCATATAACATGCCTAAATAATCTAGGTACATTTTCTCTCATTTTATCAGTTGTCTACTATTGAAACCATGCCTAAGCTACCTCTTATGTACTCTCATTCTATCTTCTCTTATCACTCCACTCAACCATCAACACATTATTTTCTGTACATTCATTCTCTGTTCTATTTTTCTATCTACTGCCCAACACTCTGATTCATACAATATAGTCACCATACTTAGTTTCTCCATGATTTTGTAAAACTTGCATTAAAGTTTCATTGTAATTCTCTTGTCAAATAAAACATTTGATACTTCTCTCCACTTTTTTCAATCACACTTAATCCTATGTTACACATCCTCATGGAAGTCACCATTCTTTTGTACAAAAGATCCTATGGTATCTAAAAAACTCAGCTATTATGTCACTGCTTAAAGTCGTTAGTTGTCTTGTTCTATTCCTCCAAACTCATACCCTATATATACTTCAAGTGCTACTCTCCATTTCTCAAGCCTATTGTTAACCTTCTTCCAGATTTCCTCCTATCAAAACTATATCATCTACAAACATCATGCACCAAGGTACTTCTTCTCACCTGTTGTTCCTGATCACTTCCAAAATGGGACAATCTGGCAAAGTCTTGTTTAGAACTCCTTATACTATTTAACAGAATTTCACACGAGATATTAATCTGACACATTCCCTTTTGTCATCTCTTACTATAGTTAGTTGTAATATGGGATTATTCTCATTTTCTTTCACAGTAATGATTTCATAATTTACTTTCAAAATCATCAATGCTCCAGTACAATACCATTTCTCAATGAAATCTTGTTGGTATCTTATGATAAGATCATTGAAGTTTCTCTAATTTTAGTTCTACCCCTAGTTTCACATGTGACAAGATCTGTAAAGTTGAATGACACTGTGAGACATGCTCATAATATATTTGTATGATTGTATGGTGAAAATACTGTTTCTGTTGAATATATAGCCTATATATAACAAGTAAATATAGGTTAAGTTATGTTAGATTGTAGGCATATAAGAAAGTATAATATAAAATTATCCAAATTCCTTGTAAATATTTACTCTAGAGTTTCATTTAGAGGAATTTAACATTACTATAAATTGTATAGGTATTACTTATGCATAATAATTAATATTTAAAATATTATTTCAAAGTTTTTTCTTAATTATTTGTCAAAGCTTGGTTAAATAATTGCATTGGATTTTATAATCATCGTTATTTTTTTCTCTATATGGTCTACACAACATTAGGATCATTATTTTTAATTACTTTTGGTGCTGACATTTTGTTTAAAGAAGTATTGTATAGAGAAGAAGATCCAGAAGGGTATCCTGTAAAAATTAATACTTCTTTGCCGAAAGTATGTACATATTTTTTAATATTAAAATATATGTACTATAAATTAAATATTTTCTATTCAGACAGATTGGATTCTGACATTTCAAGATGATTATGACAATAATATTTTAAAACATGATCGTATTGCAGAATGGAGATTTTGGTGCATTGTGGTCATTACTTTAATCACAAGTGGTAATTTTAAATTTTTTTATTGATATTTTTCTATTCTATAATAATATATCACATCAGTAATCTAGTTAAAAGTTAAATTAAATAATTTCAGGAGTATTTATAGCATTAGCTTTTTTAACTATATGGCATGGTCTATTAATAAGTTGTGGTGAAACAAGTATTGAAGGACACATAAATAAATTTGAAACTGAAAAATTATCTGCAATAAACTTTAAATATGTTAATGTTTATGATTATGGTATAAAAATCAATTGGATTCTTTTTCTAGGACTTCATAGTGGGAGGTAAGCTAACATTTTTAATTCATTAAAATATGTATTTAATTTATAAGAATGACTAAACTATAATATAACATATACCAAACTGCAGTAAAATAATAATTTATTAATTATTATTAATAATTAAATGAGCAAGTAATTCTTCACACAAATGACTGAAAACTGAAAAAATTCACTTATAAATATATGTATCCACGAAATCCATTGTTATTTTTTAAAATATCAACCCATATCACCGATTTCTGACCCAATGACTGACTGACTGATTTTTATGGAATTTTAATTTTAGATCTATGGAGCAAAACAAAATTTACAAGGTCTTTGATATGCCAGGCTGACTTTGAATGATGATTATTTTTTTTGTTCGATCTGTTACACATGAAACAATTAGAATAATTTATGAATTATTATTTTATTATAACAATTCTTTATTAACATGTTTTGAAAAACAGATTGCAGAATCTTCTAAATGGAGATACTCATAGAATAACATGATTAAATTTAATTAATTTATAATATATGCAGGATACAACATCATTACCTTTATAGTATTTTCTTAGGATTGGATAACAATTCAGAGATCACAGGATTTTTGTGGCTGACTAAGTAACTATTAGTTGTTAAATCATATTTGAAATTAATTTTGGCAATTTCAATAATGAATAACACTTTAAAATGTGCATGAAGAGTGTGGTTGAATATTTAGAAAGCTTTGGAAATGAAAAGAGGATCTAAATAAAAATGTGGCTGTCAACTAAATAATATATCTATTGATAAAAATTAACTATAAGTTAAGTATAGCCTCGATTTTCTTTATAACCATTGAGTGTTATTCACTTATAGTTAGTCGAGGTAGGTTAGCTGGTAGGGTGCTATGAGCATTTGAAGTGGTTAAAAATACAGCTGTATATTTTGAACCTGTCTTTATTTTTAGGTTCTGAGTAGTGCAAGAAGTGTATTGGTTTTAAAATGATCTACATTATTATTATTTTTTTTTGTGTACAACTTTTCTAACAGCTCCAATCTAACCTTTTGCTCCAATTTACAATGATAGCACTTTTTCTAAAAAGAAATCAGACTGGGGAGGAACTTTAGGGATGTCATTTTTTAATTTTCCAGGGGTTTTCATAATAAATGGAAAAAACAGATAAAACAGGAAAATGTATGAAATTTAGTATTTTCTAATCAGAAATATTACTGTCTTTTAAAATATACATAACCAAATTCTGCTCAGAATCGTTTTTTATTACTAAAAATTAATTGTTCCGTACAGATATACATTAAATTCTCCTCCATATTCTACTTTCTCACCTATAGCAATGACCCACCCATGGTGCGAAGTATGTCTTTAGTTTATTTTTATTATTATATATTATATACTAGCAAACCTATGTGGGATCTAAATTAGTAAATATTTTCTGTATGTTACGTAATTTATACTTTTAAAATTTGTTATACTTTATATTTAACACGTTGACTTCCATGCCTATTTCAGTGTATTATCTACTGAGGCCACAATATTTTTTTAAAACTTTTAACTTATTTCTTTCATGATTATTAGTCATAAATCTATCTTAAAACCATTTATGTGTTAATTCACTTGTAGAATGTGAGGGGTCATAATGTCCCTCAGTAGCGTAAAATATGTGAATCACATATTTCTTGCTTATGAGGGGTGTTTTGACACCTCAACTAAATTAAAGATATAAATCATGAAAATCTGTATTTCAGTAGTAAAGTTAAAAATATTTAAATCTATTCATAAAAAAATAAATGATATGAGTAAAATAATTTTATCTATAATGAAATATAAAATAAATATCTGCATTTTAATTAGTAAGACATGTTGTAATATAACATAATATTTTAACATAACATAACATTTTTAATAATTCAATTTTTATCTCAATCAATAACAAAAGAAATTTAAAAACTTAACAACTTTGGCAATTTAACAATTTACCTTCATGAAAAAATTAAACATAACTAATATCTTTTAGTTAAACTATAAAAAAATAATAATAAAATATGATAGGTAATGATAATACATAATAATAGTTGTAATATAAAAAGGAAATATTTATATTTTATTTTTAAGTCTAACTGAATGAGAATTTAAAAAAGCATGCCATACATGTAAGAACTTTATTAATTGTACACATTCTAATGACTTTGACGTATTTATTTTGAGATTTTTTTCTGCCATACTCTGACTCAATTTTTTTGTAACAATTGACACATTTTTTATGTGGAGAATTTATTTTTTCTAAAATATGATTGTTTGAAATTTGTAGTGCTGGAGATTCAGGTTTTTTAATTAAATGAAGTATTATTTGTTCCTTGAATTTTGTAATTTAAATTTTTTTATTATTGATTGCACAAAATAGTGATAAGATATTAGTCAGACAAGTACCAAGCAAAATATCAAAAGCAACTTTGTGGTACCATTTCTTACTTCTTCTCAAAGGTGTGGAATATGTTGTCATTTGGTCACTTCTGTCAATAAAACTCTTCCCCTGATTATATTCAATGACCATGTCAGGTTTATTAATGGTTTGATTTCTTTTGGTTATTGCTGTAGTTGTATCAACATGTTTTGTATTCAACATTAGGAGATCCCTTTTGTCTTTCCATTTGAGCACAACTACATTAGTATTACTTTGTTGTGCAATAATTTAACATTTTTAATTTTTTTTGTTTGTGATATCTTTTGGATTTCCTTTTCTGTTTGCACGTAAAGTACCTACAATATGAGTTTGTTGCTCATTTAATTTGTGAGCTAAGGTACAATTGTGTACCAATTATCTACAAATAGAATTCGTCTAAAATTTAAATATGGTTTCATGAGTTCTAACACAACTTTAGTTGATACTGTATTTTCTGCTACCATTTCTTTACCAGCGTAAATTTTGTATTGACAAGTATAATCACCTGCACACAATTTAAATATTTTGATCCCATACCTATGTCATTTATTTTTCAAATATTGGCAAAATTTAATAATATTTAAATGCTAAATGGAGCATTTTGTTCTGTAGATAACAGAGAATCTGTAGTGCGTTATTTTTATGGTTACTGAAGGGCTATTTGATCCCACGAGTCGACAAAGACAACATAGCCTTGAGGGACAAATTGACCCCTCATGGCCCACTTAAAAATTCTACTGAGGGACAAAAATGACTCTCATGGCAGTCAACGTGTTAAAAAAACAGACATAATTCGCATGAAAAGTGAGCCACTGTTATAGGTGAGAAGTTAGGAAGGTAGGATATAAAGATGAATTTAATTTATATCTGTACGCAATGATTAACTATTGATAACAAAAAGTTCATTTACACATATTTTAAAATATCGTAATATTCATGATTTTCTTCAAAATTCTTATAAAAAAAATTCTACATTACACTCATTTTATTTTAGTTTTTTACCACAAAATATGACCCATACTGAACTTCCTGTTTAATTTTGAAGCGTTTCTGTTTGATCTAACAATAAAAATTACGCAAAAAAACTCGCAAAATTATGTAAATTAAATAAATAAAATGCCTATAAATAGCTCATAAGTGGCTGAAATATTTTGAAAAGTTCACCACGTCTAGAAAAGACAAATATAAATTTTTTGTTCAAACTCCAAGTCTATTAATATTTTTAACTGAATCACAATAAAAAAAAAATTTAAAATAATATATTTCCATTTTTTTCTGGTTTTTCCCAATTATGGAAACCGTTTGGAGAATCAAAAAATTACCTCCCTAGAGTACCATCTAAATAAAATGTTCTTACATAAAAGATACTACGCTTAAATATTTTATTGCAAGATTTCTAATAGGAAAAATGATACTTGCAGACCTTATTAGACTTTTATATACAATATGATTTTATTCTTAATTAAATTATTTTAGAAGTTGGAGACATATTTTATTACCATCAACACATAAACCTATAGGAAATGGATTTATATGGCCAACCAAAAATGATATAATTGAAGTGTTCTATTATAAACCATTGAAAACATTATGTAAGTATTCTATAGATATAAAAATAGTGTACTCAAATATATTAATATTATAGTTATTATTAATGATTCATCAACTAAATAACAATATTATTAATTTAAAAACTGTGATTTCAGTATTGAACATAACACATTTTATTATAATTTAAATCTCATGGTGATATCATAAATTAGTATTATCAACATAATTAAATGTAAATATTTTATACAATAAACACAATAATTTATGTCATGCACTTAATTAAAGATATAGACAACATAAATAAATAGATAATTTAAATTAAATTAACAAAACTGTGTACCTAAAAGTAAAAAGTTTTAATTTTTCTACTGTCAGGGTAGGCCATTTTCTGCCTGTACTATCCCATGTGTACAGTTATGTTCAATACTTTTAAAGTATAGATATTTTCAAATTTATCTTTGAAAAAAATTGATTATTGATTACATTTTTAGATTTTGAGCTTAGCAATGATTGTATTGGTTTTAAAGTATGACATGTGCTTTTGTTTTGCCTGTAAACAACTTTTCTACCAGAAATCTAAATCCGATCATAAACTTTAGTGGTAGTTTCTGGTAGGTAGCCATTTTCTCTAGTTTATATATTGTGGAGGTTATTTTTTGATTTTGTTTGCAGTTTTCTTATTAATTGAAACTGAATAATAATTGAAAAATATTAAATTATATACCTAATCTATATTTATGATTTATATTCACATAACACCCATTAACCACGTTTATCCCCTCCTCACCCCTAGTTTACGTTTAACTACTTATTTTTTTCATGTAAAAAAAAATATATTATAGCCTTCTAGTAACGTTAAAAAATTTAACAAAAAATTATTATCAAAATAGATGAAGTAGTTTACAAGATTTTTGTTAACACACAGTAGGATCGGAAGTTGGAAATTCAAATCTTCTAAAGAAACATCCTCAAGAATAATTTAATTTATATATACACATTTTAACTAAGTTACTTACTTGTTTGAATTTGGTTAATTAAAACCTTCTATTTTATGTGAAGTGAAAACATGAAATCTAAACATAAAAATGGTTGGGGAAGATGTAAGTTGAAACCACAAAAAGCACATTCTTGTTACTTACACCATGCATGTACACAATTTTATTCTTCTGGCTTTATTTCAGAGGTCTGTAAGAGTTTACAAAGCTAAAAAAAACATCCTCCTGCAGTTCTTTTGATTCAGATTGGTTCAAAATTGTTCAAGTGTACCGGAAAAAAGATACATATATACAAGCTATCCCACAAAGATATACCCTCTGAATATCTCCGGAATTATAAAAATAATTAAATTCTGATTTTTTTATATTACTAACAGGTATGATGGCTACAAATATTTATTTTATAATTTTCAGAAAATTTTAAGATAGCCGTTCTGTAGAGTTTATTTTTCTAAAAGTTTTGATGTGTCACACATTTATACTTCATGCTATAACATCGGTTTTCACACAGATTAGCAGAATTTAAAACAGCTGTTACTTAAAACTATTCTTTGGATATATATGTGTGGTACATTAAAATTTTCCAAAAATAATGAAATAAAGTTATTTTTTTAATTTTTTTTTTAGTAAAAAAAATTAAAAATAAATCTCAAACCTTGGAAGTAATTTAAAAAAAAAAAAAAAAACAGAATTTGATTATTTTTATTATCTCTGGAGATCTTCACGGCACAGCCTGTATATACAAGTGTCCCACAATGATATGACACTTGAAATAACTTTTATTCTATTCAATATTGTTAATGTATATATAGATATATTTTAATAATTAGTATACCTTTGTGTTACAGTTAGTATTTTGAATAGAACAAAAGTTATTTCAGGTGTCAGATCATCATAAGACACTCTGTTTATAACAGAAACAATAAAATGGAATAGTTTCTAGTAAAACTCAATGAAAACAAATATATGAAGGTTAAATAATATTAATAGTTTTCCATTAAGTAAATGGACTAATTTTGGTAAAATTTGTATTTTTATTTAACGGAAACCAATACCAATTCTATTTAATTTTGTAACAAAACAAGACATTTTATATATTAAAAGAAAATTTGTATTTGTTAGAGGTATCAGGATAAATGTTTTTATAAATTAATATATAAACAACAAAGCAATTAATATTTATTTTTAGTTGTGTATATTTAGTTTATTTTAGAATTCTTAATAATTAATTCAACTAATTAAGTATATACTTATTGTTCAGAACACTCCAAATTGTGTGTTGCAAAAAAAAAAAAAAAAAATTAAAAAAAAATAGGCATTGAATATTTATGTAATTACTTCTGATCACTCTTGAAGCATATAATTTTGATGACCATAATATATTTATGAATTACCTTATAAATAGTTTAAAAAAGTTAAATAAAATCATTTTTTATAAAAATCAAGTATACAATTAAAACAAAACTGTAATTTAATATTTATGTTTCATTAATTATTAATTGTTTAGGACCAAACAATTTTTTCAATCCAAGGTATAAATGCAGACACTCTGGTATACACACCCGGCGAATTTTCAGTTGCACATGATTTACCAAATGATGTTATTCCAATTAAATTGAAAACACATGCATTTTTTTCTGATCTTATTACAAGTGGTCCGCCAGAATCTCCCTAAAATAGTATGTAATACATATTTATTTGGTAAATATCTATTTTTTGCTTATAATAATTTAATGTATAATTATACTAACCAAACAAGTATCATGTCCTCCTGCCAAATCTCCAGCACATATCATAGAATCTATAATACCTCTATTGAGGGTTTTTCTTTTCTTTTCACTTTCATATAATTGATTACATTTTGCATTATCTATAATATTTATATCTACTTTTAATAGATCTTCACTTGATTGATCGCCTATGTTAAAATAATTGAATTGTAAATTATAATGCTTCATATTTTAATGGGATTTTAAATATTGTTAATAATTAGGTATGAAAAAATTTAGATTACCATATTGAATGCTTCCCCAACCAGTTGCAGTAACTTTATGAGAAGGAATATTGGCATTATTGTAAAGACAAGCTGGTCGAATGTGATTATTAAACCTAACTATCTTGTCTAAACGCATTAATGCAATATCATAATATTTTGATGGTGAAACATAATCAGGATGTACAATAATTTCATCAATCAAAACTTCTAGTGGACTAGCTCCATCATTATTCTTCTGTAAATTTAATTCTCCTAATCTAACTTTAACTGGATTACCTCTATAAAAATGTTTCAAGAAATATCTATTTTTATTATTTGAATATGTTTATTGTAATATTGTAAAATTACTAGTAAAATTCATAATCATAATATGTTTAAAAACTATATGTACATATATTTCTTTTTATCAGTTTAAAATTTTCAAAATTTAATTTACTTACAATGTGCTATAAATGCAATGTGCAGCTGTCAATACAAATTGTTCACTAATTAATGTCCCGCCACAATTCCATGAATCTCCAGAGGCAGTGCGAAATCCTATTGCCACCTATACATTATTATTATTTATTTATTTATTAACATCTAAGCAGACAATTTGTATAAATTGGAAAACTAACAGATTCAAATATACAGTGGTTACAAAATATACATATAATTAATATTAAGTTAAAACAAGATTAAAAAATTGAATTGTTAGCTAGAAGTAGCATTCTATGCTATGGCCATAATAAGCTGTGTAGGAATTACAAATAGTTGATGACTTCTATCATTGAATGAAAGAATGCGAAAACATATCAAAGATAGGAAGACAGAAGCATCTATGGATCCGTTAAGAAAGAAATAATGTTATAATTGACTGAGGTGTCAGGTGGAGAGAGTAGGAATTTTGAATGTATTAAGGATTAGAGAATAGTTATGAGAAAGATGTTGAAGCTAAGAACAAATGAGGCATGGGTAACAAGACCATATGTTCCACTTTTGAGTTATGTGTCCCGCTGTTTCCGAAAAACCAAAATTTTCGCTTGAAAAAAAATGCAACTGTGGAAATGCATTTTATCGAAAAAGGGAATTATTTATTGATCGCAGCACAAAAAAATATGATTTTTGAAACAAAATACAGTAACTAACATTTAAAAAATTGTACAATAGAGCTATTTTAGTAATTTGTCTAACACTGGTCGCTTATGAGTCATTGCAATTTCTAAGATTAATTTCAAATGTAATACAAATATTTCAACCAAAAGTGTGTAATATCAAAAAATTTGCACAATTTAATTTTAATACAAATTCATATCATTACATGAGGAATGATAAGAATGTTGGTTACTGTATTTGATTCAACAGCCAAATACAATACCCACTCGCTCATCCAAAAAATATATATGTAATAAATTACCATCAGCTAAACTGCACGAGTAAAATTAGCTCTACTTCATTTTTTAATTATTAATAAATAAATATAATATAATATTTTTGTTAAATATATTAAATTCATTATTAAATTTATTTTTGAATGATTTGTTTGTTTTATTACATTTCACTATATTTTACATTTTCACTGTTTTGTGCCAAAAATAATAATTGCCTTTTCTTATCGAAATGTACAGGTGTCCCGCTCTAAGGGAAGAAATTTATGATCTCATTAGGCATAGGATAAGAATTTATTGTAATCATAAAAATGAATAATCAAGTTATACCATGTGTGGAAATTCTCCTAATTCAGCTTTAGTACCGCCAACAATTAATTCAATACTTTTTGAATTACATTTTTCTTTCAACACTGGTTTTGGTGCTGTATCATCAATTGATAAAGGTAATACAGAAATAGTAGTTGTTAGCGACTTGGAATATTCTTCGCATTCTACAGTCAAAATTAGCATTTAATTTTCATTATTAATTTACTAAGTTCAATTTTAATTTTACTTATTTCACTGATTCGTTTTTCATTGTCAATTGGTCTTTGTTTTGGCGTTGTAAAATAAAAATCATCATTAGTCGAAGCACTGTGCAATTTATTAGTAGTAGGTTGACGATAATTAGTATCTTGATTGAGTTTTTTATTTTCTTCGTAATTACTATAATTAGTTTGATTAGTTGAAAATTGTGAATTATTATCATTGTTTCCTAAGCTAAGATTTTTTTGTAATTTTTGAGTACTTGTATAATAATTTAGATTTTTATTCTGATTTAATATTTGAGTTGTATAATTTGGGGTGTTTTTCTCAGTGATTTGATAATATGTATACTTATTATTACCATATTGATTAGGTCTTTGTGTTTCATAATTATAATTATTTTGACGTATTTTATTTTTCCTAGTAGTTTGATCACTGTTAAAATCATCAATGTTTAAATTTTGGTTATTGTAATTATTATTATTATTATTATTACTAAGCAATTCAGTAATAACATCCTGTTCAAAATATTGATGAGGTCTGTTTTCAACAAATTTCACTACAGTATCTGTATTTTGAGGTCGAGCATAACCTATAAAATTGTGTTTTTGATGATTTAAAAAGTCATTGTTTGTAATTGGTTTTTGTGATGGTATGGGTGTGTGGAAGAAGCTGGAGAAACTACCAAATCGTGATTGTGGTAATTGATCGTCTTTATGACTATAACTTGAATTTGAATTTGGTTTATTTTTTGAAATATATTTGGCACAACATATAGTTATTTGTTCAGAATTACATATAGTTCCTAAATCAGCATCTTTAGTACATTTATTTTTTAATTGACAAAATCCAACATCTCCATTTTTATTTATGCATTCATCGCCAATTTCTGAAAAAAAATTTCATATTTTATACATTAAAAAAAAAAAAAAAAAAAAAAAAAAACGAAAACAACATTACTAATATATATATATATATTTTAAGAATATTAACATAACTGTGTGCTTGTCAAGCATGATGCATTAGCAATATTTTAATTTAAATAATCTATTAATATGATGATATTATAACGGTTTTCTGACTGCCAAAATTGATTTTTTCATAAAAAAAAATTCAAAAGTTAACCATCCAACTCAACATGTATTTTAAGTTATGCAACTTTTATAATAATTCGTTCTTTCTATAATAATTTAATATGAAACTTTTTTTGTATCTTGGCATACTTTTTGTAGTAAATACATTTAACTTTTATTTTTAACTTAACCATTCTATGTGATATAAGTATGACGTATGTACTATACTTAAAATTAATTATATTTTAAAAAGAATTTCATTTAAAAATGTTATGTCTGTTAGGTATAAATTAAATAGAATTAGCATACAAATAGACTTGTTGTTCTATAAACTAGTATTATTAATAACCAAAAGGAATGTCGTTATTGAATTATAGTAAATCGTAATAGTATATTATATTATGTGTTGAAGATGTTTTGATATTGCGCCACTAAATAGCTAGTTGTGGTAGCATAGTCAGAAACGGTTGTTACCACCTCCCCCCATTGATAAATCCTGGCACGCCACTGACTAGGTGCTTATTTGATATTACTATATTCTGTGATATAAATATTTACCTATTTAAATTCTTAGGTTAAAACTAAATGTTTTATAATAAATATAAATTATTATGTATAACATGAAAATATTAATTAAAAATTGGTTTTAATTTCTAAAGAATATATAAGCATATAATAATCTGAGAAATTAATAAAATGTAATATGAATTTTTAAACATGATGAAACATTCATTCCACTTATGGGCCTTAATAAAATAAAGTGTTTAATTTCAGATTTTTATGAATTTAATTAAATTTATTCATGAATATTAAATCTAATGAGCTGAATAAAAAATGATATGTTTATATTATTTGTATTGTTATATTATTATGTAATTATTTGAAGGATTTAGAAGGGGGAGGAATCATAGTTAATCAATCGTTAAAATAAAGATATTTATATCATATTGTTGTTTGTTCCTGAATAAATTAATGCATGCATAGAGTTAAGAAAAAAAGGTCATTACTGCAACACATTAGCTGTGTTGCAGTAAATTTAAAAAAAAAAAATGAATAACCTAATGTATAGCGGCAAAAAAAAAGATTAGACCGAAAACAGGGAAAAGTGCAACACTGTAAATGTTGATATTAAAACATATTATTTAACAATGATTATTTTACATATAAATTCTAATAATTTGATACCCAATTTAGATACAGTACAGAATTCTGAAAGGAATTAATTTTAAAACTTTTTATTTTTCAGAAAATATTTTTGAAGCATTGAACATTGAAAGAGTGTTTTAATATTCTACTTTAAGTTGAAAATATAATAAAAATATTACTTAAACAAGCCATTTCAGTAAATTTTAAGTGATATTGAGAAAATAACAAAAAACAATGTTACTTCCAGTAATTATAACTTTAAATTTCTATTTAAAAACAGTTTTAAGTGTGTAGGGGAGTTCATATACTTAAATGTGGTATATCATTCAATTAAAAATTAGTAGTGCCTATATAATATGTAATTTTATAATGTAATTTAAAAAAAATATATATATTTAGCTAACTTAATACAATAAATTTAAGGCATTATAAGACTCTATTATTAATTTTGTTATTTTTAATGATAGATATGTGAAATTGTTTAATATATTTACCTATTTTTTTATTATTCATATTCCTTATTATATTTTAATTTTCAACTATATATTATAATTGTTCTAATCATTTATTAATTATGTTGCTATTAGCGGATGTGCAAATGAATAATATGAGAAATACAGGGATAACCCCATTCTGTGGTGACACTTTTTAAATTGATTATTTGATTTTTATAACTATTATAAAGATGATTACCAATTATGACAATGTTGACGTGTATATTTAAATTCCTCACAAGCCAATTTTCACTTCACTAATGTACAGAATGACAAACACCTGTTATATTATTGTACACCATTAATGTTATGATAATAATTAATCCAACTAAATTTAGTGGTAAAAAGGAATATTATGAAACCTTTATCTATAGCTGCGAAAATGCAAAACATATTAAAAATGATAATAATTGCGTTAATGTGTATCCATTACAAATATAATTTGATAATATACCTACTAATAATCTGATTGATTTACAATTTGGCTTAAAATGTGTATGTTCTCACTTGAAAATTTAAGAAATCAAAAATATTAGTTTCAACTACACTTAAAAATTCCAAATTAGCAATTTTAATTTATACAAAATTTAACCATAAAAATGGCGTGAGCATGTTTAATGAAACATTCTGTATAATAATGTATTAGGTAGTGTTATTAATAAATAATAATTTTGGATATTGTTTGTAAATATACACCTGGTTGTTTTAGCATTTTGGAACTATAATTATTTTTAAAAAGGTAACGTAATGAAGACGGATGCAGCCACTAGTGTAGGTGGGAAATTAGAAAGATAAGATGTAGACGGGAATTTAATGTATATCTGTAAACAACGATAAACTATTGATTACAAAAAAACTATTCTGAGCGGAGTTCAGTTAATAATGATGTTTTGTCAACAATATACAATGACATTTCATAGTAAATTATTAAATAGGCTTTGTATATTTTCTTTAATAAAATTAGTTTAATGTTGTACCGATTTTCTCAGTTTTCCTACATTTTTCCCGGTTTTTCACATTTGCTGTGAAAACTCTCGGAAAAATCAAAAAATGACTTCTCTAAAGTACCTCCCTAGAGAATTTTCCTTTTAAGAACATTACTATCATTAAATTTTGTTGTTAAATGGCTGGTTAAAAAGTTGTACACAGAAAAAAAGAAGACCGTAATATATTTTAACTAATGCCTAACTACATTTCTTATATTTTCCCTTTTTTTTTCAGTTTTTTGCATTTAATGAGAAAATCGAAAAACGTTCCTTTAGTACTTCCCATCGCCGATTTTCTTTCAGAAAAAGTGCTACACGTAGAAATCTGAGTAAGTCTTTTGGTAGAAAAGTTTCGCACAAATAAAAAAAAATAAAAACATCTTTGTAAAACCATAAGCCTCTTCGCTTCACTCAGAATCAAAAATTTCACTTGACATAATCACAGATATGTTGTAAATAGTGGAGAAACGAAGAACAAATAAACTCGTAAAATAATTTTTGTAATGATCACAATATTATTACGAAAATTATGATTGGATCTCTACGGAATGATGGATTTACTTATGAATTTTTGAAGGGTTTGTGTGACTGAAATGTAATTATTATGTATTTTTTAAATTATTCAATATTCCCAAGGTCTATTCCATATTATGATTGTTTTTCCACTCTAGTGCGATGCCCTCGGATGTCCGGGTATGATATAAAATTGTCTGGTTTAAATCTGACCTGTAGTAATTATATTTAGTATATTACATATAGGTATCTAGATACGTGGGTAATTCAGAACCTACTTAATACTATGAATACTCAATAATTAAGAAAGAGGTGATACTACTGATGGATTTATCATTGTTGTAGATAATCATTTGGGATGGTAGGATACATAGTTATTTAATTTATATCTATGCACAACGATAAATCATTGCTGACGAAATACGATTCTAAGTTAGGTTAGGTTAAACATGTTCAGGAATACTGTACATTTTACGAGTTTCGTCAAAATTTGAATTTAAAACGCTTATGAAAAAACCACATTAAGTAAGATTTTTAATATAAAAGATATTTATAGAACAAAAAAAAAATTAAATTGAAACCTCGCTGTGTCTTAAAATTTAAAAATCAACGCGCAATTGCTGAGAAACTATTTCAAATGTCAATGCAATAATGTGTACTAATTGCGCCACTACCCTAACAGCGTATGTATCTCAAACCTGGAGCTTCACTATAATATTAAATAAATTTGACTAGCGGGAATCTCCAATTCGAGAGCTTTAGGCGATCAAGAAGCGGCTAAGTCCAAATAGGCCTCTAATTGTGCCATTATTGTAACCAAAAATTAAGATTTAACTTTGTTGTACGTTTCCTACCATCTCTAATTATGAATGTTAAGGTTAGGTTATTTTATTGAAAAAATATTAAAAAGGGGAATTATTAATTAACTAAAATTATGGAAAAAATTACTCAGAAATATTTTGATACGATAATAATGAAAATATTGAAAATATAAAAGTTCCTGAAAAAGAGAAAAACGCATCATTACCCTGTACTGAATTAAGTAAATGAGATAGTATAGACCAAAATATATCTGATGTAAATAAAAAAAACAAACTGAAAATACTCTCAAAAATCAAAGGCCAAATATAATCTTGAAAATCAAGCACTAAAAAGTTAGCCTGGTTAGTTACCTAGTAGGTATCTATTTTGATTAATTAATTAATTAATTTTTTTTTTTAGCTAAAAAGTACTAAAAGTGCTTATTTATTAATTAAACGTGAGTTAAAATATATTTTGATATAAGCTGTAGTTATTATAGTAAAACCTAATTGGTACCTAATAAATTTCGGTGTTTCTTTTTTAATATATTTTATATAGATACTGATGTACATCTGTAGATTAAGGGGTAATTTAACCCCTCTCCCATATTTTAAAACTACTATAGGAGTTCAGTTCAGCTCCCAATTCACTTATGAAAAATAATTGATAGTCAGAACGCCCCCTCTTTAAATCAAGTATAGGTACCTATGCATCTAGCGTACGTAGGTAGGTACAGCATTAAATATATTCACTAATATATAGATAATATTATTATAAAACTCATTTCCTGTTCATTACAACTATATTACTCAATCATCATATTTATTTTTTGTTTCATTTCATATCTAACAGGAAATTCGCAAACTGATTTGTTTTGCCAATACTGCAGTCTGCAGCGGATTTTTTGGCCATGTGCTCATTCATAAAATCGTATTGTAATACATAACAATTAAAAAATTGTTGAACTATAATTTAACAACAAGAGGATAAAACTCAAAGACTAAAAGTGTCATATGCATTGGTTAAGTACTATCAAATACTATTCATTTATAATGTTGGTATTATTTAGGTGCCATTTGTATATTTTTGTAAACCTAACAAAAACTCATTACTTACCTATACCTACCTACCTATCTAATATAATACTAGAGTATCGAACTACGCATAAACTATATAAAGCCTACTAATAATTAAAATTTAAGTTATTGTTCTTTAAAATGTTATTAGGTAAATTTGTTTTTATTAAATTGAAAAATTAGAAAATTAAAACAATGTTCTACCACTTTAAATTTTTTATAAAATATTATATTATCATAATTATAATAATATAGTAAAATGTTGATTTTACCCAATATGTAGTGCTATTCAATATTTATTTACACATATTTTGATATACCTATATATTATATAGGTATATATATACATATATATATATATAATAATAAGGACCAAAAGGATTTTATAACTTTTAAAAACGAGGATATTTTAATGTAGTCGTGTGTGTTTTTATAAATACCTAACTAAATGCCTTTAAATAATATATCAAACGTACTTTGTTGAAGTCCGTGGCAATAAGTGACAACAATTAAAATACTGAATATTTTCAATTTCCAGCTTTGTGTATGACACGTCATATTAATATTATTTACTAATGCAATTAATGAAACACAAAGAAGACATAAATGTAATACCTCTAAATTTGTATGCTAAATTCACAGCACTACATTCTCTATTGACTTACACGAGAAGACTAACACAATACCTACTATAATTGAATAAATTGATTGTAAATAAACGAAATGAACAGAAAACACTTCATCCATTCTGGTTTCCCCTCCTTTAACCGTTAGATACATATTATATTACATTATGTGAAGTTTTTTAATTGTAATTTATTTATGCGCTATAGCTACCTGTCCTGCAGTATCCGCTTCGTAAAATATAGCAATAGTATTATAAATACTGCAGTTATAGGAATTGTAGTCTTTTATTATTTTTGGGAAAACCTTGAACATTATTAAACTCGTATATTATGCACGTTTTCAGAGTATTAAAAATAATTATACAATTATGACATATTATATTATTCTAGTTGTCCCGCGCCCGGTGTTGCCCGTGTCAATTTATATTATTATTATTTTAGCCATATTCATTTTTGGTTTTGGCCATGTTAGAATTGTATGAAAACAAATAGATGAAAAGTGGGTAGTCCACCTTCGGCTGACTAAATGTATTCTATTTTGAAATTTGAATAATGTAAATAATAGTTATAATAATAATTATAATAGTTTTTTTTTTCCGTAGCAACTCTTGAATAAACAAAAATCTTACAAAAATAAAACTAAGTCTGGTTAGTTACACTATAACTCAAAAAGGCTGGGCCGACACATAATATTTTCCGACTAATTTCTAATAATAATTAATCACCATTTTTTTTCATCCCTGTTACTGTTACAAATCAACAAAAAAAATTGTATTTATTATATTATAAGTTAAATTATCTGGTTTTGTTCGTGTATTATACATATATATATATATATGTATATAAGCGAAAATATTAAAATCCGATTAAAAAATAGTGAGTGGGGGCAGGAAGGTGACAATATACTATATCATTTACAAAAAAAAAAAAAAACTCGACGATTGGTTGAGAATTTTCAGAGATTACCCTGGCCATCAAATGGCACATTATTTTTTATATAATATATAAAAAAAAATTGGCACTGGCAACTTCGGGTAGGACAGCTTATATATGTTATGTATGTTTAATGCCAATTTTTTATTTTTTATTTTATCTATTAAATTAAATATAAATTTTATTTTTTAATCTTGCTTTCCGTTGTTTAAATAATGCCTTTTTCTTTCGTGCTTCAGATGTATATCTGATATATCTCAACCAATCCGTTTCCATTTGAGAGGCATAATTGTCGACGATGCAATGATTCGAAAAATCAAAAGAGGTATGTACGTTTTATGTATGTCTATTTATGTCTTATATATGTCTTATAATATTGTATGTTTGACCATTGATTATAAATACTAGTATTTATGCACTGAAGTGTACACAATATTGATTTCTTCGTTGGCTATTAAAACTAAACATTTTCTCTACAATCACGACACAAAAAATACGTAGTTACTTATACACACACTCATAGAATACATACCTTAGACATAATCAGAATTTGCCCATGACAACCCAGTTAACTATTAATATTTGTTTTTGCATCCGTATATTACTAAGGTACCCCATGAATAAAAAAAATATCTAAAACCTTGTTTTTAAGGGTGATAGTGGACCTATATCGAAGAATTTCATAGATGTACTATGTCAGAAACCTCCGCGGGCATGCTTCCAATCATTTCTCAAAGTTTCATCGCAATCGGATGAACGGTTTAGGAAGGTATAAGAGACATACATTAATCTGTATACATACCTACCTATATAGATTGGCCATCAGACTCTTATTTTGCAATCTACATACCTTTCCAAGTTTTCAGCTTTTTTTTTTCGGTTTTTATGTTTTTCTTCATGAGATAAATTTTGAATAAATCCAAGTAGCATACTTATGCCTGACTTCATGGGGGGAGGGGATTAAAACTTACATATAAGGTGGCAAAATAATATAAACATGTCCCGAAAATTCCGTGAGTCATAGTGATACCCCAAAAACTACCCCTCATAAATAACAAGTCATTAATTAACCGGTTGAACACGATTGGCTAAAATCACCTAATTTAACACTGTCTACATACTGATATGTATTCCGTTTCAATCCAAATTTATCCAGATATTAGCAGCACTCAGTGTTATGAATCAAGAGCAATACTGTACAAATTATTATCTTTGTAGGTAGTTTAATCATATTTTTGTATGTAGATAGTAGATACACGTACCGGCAATTATTGGCCCGTCCTTAATTAAAATCTACATCTAATATTTATTAACCGTGGTCCTGGCCCGCATTTTTTCTTATCGTTTTCAAATAATTGTACCACGTCGGTCGTATTCTCGTAGAACTGATGGTAGAATAAAAATGTAAGAAGTGGACAGCATGTTTTTGTAAAAAAAAGTCCGGTTCGTAATAAATTTAAAAATGAAAAGCCCAGCCTCATCCTGGAAATAAATGTAAAAATCCCTGCCGGTACTTTATTTACCTACTAGGTAACATATAGGTAAGTAATTATGTATATTGTGTATTAGTATTATGTAAATTAAAACAAATTACCTACCGTATGAATAATTACTATAATTATTATATACCTTTATGGCTATATATATACTATACCAACACAGACGGTCTTGGGAACCAACTGTTTAGGTCCCAATTTTTTCGATGAGATTCAAATAACCCTTGACTAGTAGACTTTTTCCATTTTCTAACCTAGCAACTATACCTAAGTACTAATTAATGTGATAAATCGGGTATGTATTTAAATTTTACGATTTAACTAATACAAGGAACTGAATATCACTTGCCACTTACTTAAATACTATTCAGTATACTGGGACATATTACAATTAGTGACGCACTCAGAGGGGCTTCTTACCTCAAGCCCCAATGAAGGATTTAAGGAAGCCAAGACACCCTCAACAAAATCCAAGATCCATCACTGTAAATTGTATTTTTATATTAATGGGGTATGCAGGGTCAATTTATTGGGCGGGGAGTACTAGCTATCTATATATATATATATATATATAGAGGCTTAGAGGGCTATAATATATATATTCGGGTTTACATTATATAAGCTGCATGTTATACCTACCATACTACAGTGTCGCTTAGTAAGTATACTAAAATCTATGATGATGTCGATTGAATACATACATTTCAGGCTTATTTGTATCAAAATTAGCCTGTATATGTATATTTATAATATTCGCTGCAAAGTGTATACGCAATTTCTTTGAGAAGTATAATAATTCGATCAAACGAATTATGTGAAGTCACATAATAATACACACATGGATTTATGAATGCGTTTAAATCTCAAAAAATACTTAACGTTTTATATAGTCCATTTATTGTAACTAAAGTATAAATTAAAATGTTCACTTCTAATTAAAATCTATCGAGGGCCTCGCATAGATAAAAAACTTAAGTTTTTGCATATAAGAGCTATATAAATCCTATTTATTAAAGCATAGTTGGGACATTTGCAAATTTTTTTTAACAATTTTCAAAAAGTTATAATAATTATTAATTTTGTGTTATATTTTTGGAACTTTAATAACAACAATTTTTTTTTTTTAAATTAAAATGTAATATTTTAATTTTATTATGTAAAACAGTAGGTATTAATTTATTTAATTAAATATTAATATTAAACAATATTTTTATCGGAAGAGTCACTGTACTGGTAATTTTTTTCCAGCACCCTGAATTTTTTAATTTAAAAGAAAAACATTTCTCTATTAACGATAATTTTTCTTCGTCTACAATCCATACTAATGATTAGATTAAGAACAATTTTGAAATTAGGGGTGGACTGTGAAAATGTACATAATTACTAATAACAACTATATACGATTTAGATAGGTATCTAATTATATTTATTTTATAATAATTTTGTGCACATTAATACATTCATAACAAACCTTTATTTTGATATGTCTTCAAAATCGACATGAAAATACCGTAAAATTAATATAATGAAATATAAATATGTTAAATACTCGTTTAGGTTCCAATTTAGTTGTCAAATTGTTTTATTTTTATGTTTGAACCACAAAGTTTTTCAATAAAAGTATTTTTTTTATTATGTACCTATTAGCATTCTTGTATTCAAACTAGTATTATGATGAGCTATAAACGAGTTTTACAAGTATTGTATAGAATCTTTATAACCTACACTTGATCCTTTAATAGACGATGTTATTGAAATGTATACTTACATATTTGTTGTTGTCAGCTGTGGTTTTTTTTCATTGAGAACAAAATTTATTCATCTTACATCTCAGATTATAAAATAGTTGTTTATTAAAATATGACACATTACTTACCTATTTCTTGTTTAAATGTTTCAAACAATAAATACTTACTTGTAAGACGTGTTACCTACTCATTTTTTAATTTGTTGGGAATATTATAGATTTTTTGTGTAGGTATAGTATAATTATTCTTATACCACATAATGAACACAATGTAATAATAAAAATAACCGTTAAATATCAATAATTCACTATCCTTTTTGACCAACCTGTAAATGGCGTTTGATTTCAATAATAGATACAAGTTTGCATATTTAGGTATAGCTATGCAAATAATATAATATTGACCAATATAGATACCTATGTAAATAAAACGTTCAGCAAAAAAGTATTTTTCTAAATTATGCACTAGTGATAGTGACTTGTTATTAATTTTAGGAACTATTACTAACTGGTATTGTTATTTTCAAAGTAACAGTTAAAATAACAGTTACTGATATTTTAAATATTGGTTTTACTAAGATGTTTATTTTTTTTTTTTTTATCCCGTGTACAAAAATTCAACTATAAATCTTTCTCAGATATATACGTGCGGCACCATTTTTGAAAGGGAATGATGCCCAGATGGTACTTTTAAAAGGTCGTGTTTTGATTTTCCAAGCGGTTTTTATAATATCTAGGAAAAACCAGAATAAAACGTAAGAAAAACAGGAAATGTACGAAATGAATGCTTTTATTATTTTATAAATTTTGTTATTTGTTGCAATTCAGTTAAAAATATTCGTAGAGATTTGAAATTCGGACAGAAAACTTATATTTTCCTTTTCTAGACGTGGTAAAATTTAAAAAAAATTTAAGCCACATTTAATGTACAACTTTTCTACTAGAAATGTTGATCCAATTTACAATAATAGCACTTTTTCTAAAAGTAAATCTGACTGGGAAGGCACTTTAGGGAGGCCAAGATATTTCTTAGCAAATGTAATAATACGAGAAAAGAAGTGGAAAAAAACACAGGAAAAACGGGAAAATCGATATAATATTAAACAAATATTATTAAAGAAAATATATAATGCCTATTTAATTATTTTACCATAATATGACATATATATTGTTGACAAAGCATCACTTATAACTGAATTGCGCTCAGAACCTTTTTTTGTTAGCAATGGTTTATCGTTGCTTATAGATATACATTAAATTACCTATAACAGTGGATTCACCCGTCTCCATTATCATACAACATCTTTTTTAAGAATGTACAGTACTATGCACTCTTAACTATTACTTTGAAAATAATGATAACAGTCAGCCTCATTGTAGTCTGTTACTAGGTGCATTATTATTGTTATTATTACTTCAACTGATGTTATTGCTATTCATATATAATATATATGAACATATTATGTAAAATGTAAGTATTGATTTTTAAGAGTCTATATCATAAACTAGTTATTTGTATTCCATAAAATGGACTCAATCGTTCATATCTTGTAGACCACTAGCACCCATAGGTAATCTTTCTTCTCTTCATAATTAAATTGTTAGTATCATTGATTCCCCAACAAGTCTCTAGTTTATTAATTTTAAAATTCCTTCTCACTATCCATACACCCGTACTTATTCCTTATTTTACATCAACTCTCAGTAAAATGAGCTAATAATCGTCTCATAAAGTCAATTATGAGACTATTCTCGTTTGTTTTAATTCTATATTATTGGCTCCCTCTGTAACTTGTTCTAACTGATTTGGATTAAGTTTATTATTTTTAATGTATATTATTCTACATAGGCGAAAGCCCGTTACATCATAATAAAATAAAATAATGACTAACAAGTTTTGACCATAATATTATTTTATTTTCAAACTTTTAAAATATTAGTAGTCCATATTACTCATTAATTTGTTTTAAACGAATTTAACACACTATCCATTTTCTTTATAATATTTACTAGAGGCATCATTCGTTGGTTTTCATTTTCTTTTGCTTTTGTTTTGTCTAAATATCCATAGGCTGTTGTTTGGTAATTTATTTTTCTAAATACTTTTTGTTTATGCTCTATTGGAATTAAAAATCGTAAACCAATATCTTTTTCGTTCTCCCTGTAATAATATCTAAATTGTAATTTGTATAATAATTAGATTGGCACCTACATAAAAAAGGTTACTCCACCTATATTTACTTTTTATATTGAGCAACGTAAACTGGAGAATTTTTATTGAGAGTATAGACTCCAAATACAATGATATGATCATGAGGGTGGTAATCTACCCCGCCACTAGTAGCTGTTATTAAGTTTTGTCGATTTATATAAAATGCTATTTGTTTAGCAGTATATGCCTCCCAAACATTGACAAGACCATCTTCACCACAACCAAATACAAGGTTACCACATGGACTTAATACACAACCTGTTTGTACTTTGTTGTTTACCCCACCCTGTAAAGTTATAATGTTTTATTTTCTTAAACAGCATATTCAATAAATCTAATTATAATTTATGCAACTTTTGAACATTTAAAACTCACCCTAAACCATTGTATAATTGCCGTTGTATGTAAATCCATCATACGTAAAACACTATCTCTGGTCTGAATTAATAACCTTTTACCAGCTGGATGTAAAATTATATTGCTAATTATTACTTGTCGTATTTCTGGTACTGAAATAATTCTTTTAACTTCTAACCTAAAATTATGAACATTATGTTCATACATAATAACATTTAATTTTATAGATGCTGTACATATTTCATTATAATTCATCAATTTAATTAATTGGTATACTCTTATTCATTGTTTATTATAGGATAGGTACCTGTTATTTATGAGTGTCCATTCTATAATTAATCCATGGCTATCAGCTGAAAGTACTACATTTTCTAAATTAGCAATACTAGATATAAAACCTTTATGCAATTCCATTTCTTGACACAGAGTCCATTTATTGAAATTGGAAGTCCATAATCGTAATATACTATCATAACACCCAGTTATTATAACAGCATTATTATATTCAGCACAATATACATATGATGGGTGTGGAAGAATCTAAACATAATTACATTATACATGTATTTTGCATTATTAATGCACTTAAATTCTTAGGTACTTGGAAGTCTGTTTGATTATACGTCTTTAGCATCCAAACACACGCCGTATAATCTGAGGAAGTTGTTAATAAATTATTATTATCAGAGCTCCACCTTAATGTATATACTAAACCTGTATAGAAATATTAATTTATTGTAAAACATATAATATAAAAAGGTTCATTTTTTAGGTCAATAGCTTGAAAAAAAAAATAATAATGAAAATTTAAAATAAAACAAGTAAAATATGTTAAAATGTTAATAACTTACATTATAAAGATATATAAATTTATTTTAGTTTTAAAATTTACATTTGTTTTATAAAATGTATGATCACCATAACACCATGACATATAAATTACTGACCTTGATGACCTATTAACTGTTTAAGTAATTTATATTCTGGTACTGAATAGATATTTATATTTTTTCCAGTAGCTACAGCTAACTTTAATCCATCATAACTAAACTTCAAACACATACATCCTTCTAAATTTGGTTGAAGTTTTACTACTTCAGAGTTCGGTATTTTACATTTTTGACCAGGAAAACGTTTCCACTTAATATTATATTCCTAAAAACATTAAGATTATAAAATATAGATAGTAATAATATATTGTGTTTAGTACCTACTTAATCTATGCATGTATATTTTTTTATTGTTTTTATAATATTATTTAGGAAACTTAATTAATAAATTGATTATTTATCCCTAGGTACTAAACATTTTATCATAGAGACTTTAATATTATTAACACAAACTTTTAATTTTGAAATAGCAACCTATATTATTTAACGTATTTGAAAACCGAAAATGTTGATACCTATACATTCATTTAACTTTAACAATAAGTTATCGATTAGGTTAGCGATTATAAACTTAAAAATAAAATCATGCTTCGTTATAAAATCTTTTGTACACTACCCAATTTTATCTCCTGTTTTTCTACCATAGTTTAAATTGTTTTAGATTCTGAGTCTGGATTTAAAAATAAAAAAAATAATCATACCTTATAAGCTTCTGGACTTGAACAAACTGAATTAGAACTAATTTCATTGTGTGAATAACTTTTGGTTGACATTAGCTCTTGTCTATTGCAATCACATACAGCATCTAATTCAGAATATATTGCTCTATTTAAATTAATATAAAGAGTACTTGGATATTTTTTTAAAATTCCTTTTTTAAACCAATGCATTACCTAAAAGCATAATAATAATAATTATTAACAAGGTGCTTAAATCTACTGTTTCAATTTATCTCCTTGCTAACATAAAAATGATTATATTATTAATACCATTGGTTGAGTTGAATGAAGATTCTTTGGTTTTGGTCCAGGTTTAAATAATTGCAGTCTAATTTGTTTTTCCGTATTTGTATTTCCATTTGAACCAATTGGCTTTATAAATGCCCAAGCAATTCTATGCCAATCCCCTACTGTTACTGAAGGTCGAATACTTCCAGTAAAATCTACGAGCTCAAATAAGATTACTGTATTTTCTGTTATTATATGAGTAAATTGTTCATTAAAAACCAATTTTTCATTCCAATTTGGTATTATTGTTCTAAATATTTATTTTAAATTAGTCAGATAGGTGAATAAAATAATAATGTTAATAAATAAAATACTTATGCAATTTGAAATCGAATTCCTTTGTTATAATTGGATCAATAAAAGCGTTTTCATTGTTAGTTAAATCTGCATTATTTTTTCTTAAATATTCCCATGTAGATGTATTGATAATATAGATTATAACACTAGGATGTCTTATTCTTGTATCTACTTTTAATACATCTGTTCGATAAATACAAATTTGTAGTTTATAATTTTCACTTTCATCTAAATATATATTGAAATAATTAACAATTATTTAATTCATAAAAAAAAAAAAACATAAATAATTCTAAAACCAAAAAAAATACCTAATACCTTTTGCTTCTTTATTTAAAATATTTGGATCAACCTCATTATTTACTGTAGATAATTCCATGTTGTTTGTGTCATTGTTTTCTTCAAGTTTTTTTCTAATAAAATATAAATGTATACAAATATAAGAAATAAATAATATATTACACATTTTAATTTTGATGTTTAGTTATTATTGATTGATTTATTTTAAATTATAAATCTTAACATTTATTTATCAAGATTTATTATTTATTTATTTGTTATGTATATAACAAAGAATAAATTAAAATTAAAATATTTTAATTATACATAAATGATAAATAATTTTAGAACTAAAATATTTACCATATCTACTAACAATAATAAACAAACGGACATACTTCGCATGACGGGTGGACCACTATTGTAGGTGAGAATTTGGAAAGGTAGAATATAGAAGGAAATTTAATTTATATCCGAATGCAACGATAAACTATTGCCAACGAAAAATAATTCGGAGCAAAGGTTGTTTAGAAGGACTAAATCGTATATTTATGATTTTTGTTAAAATTTGATATAAAAATTCTTAAACAAAAAATAACAAAACTACATTACCCTTAACTTTTTTAATATTCACCAAGTACAATTTATACAAAAACTTCCTACTAAATTTCTTGTTTCTGTTTGGATCTGCAGAGTTCCTACTAAATAAAGATTACATAAAAAACTAGCACAATTTAAATGCCTATAAATAGCTCAAAAATGACTCGAATATTTTTAAAATTCTACCACGTTTAAAAAAGGCTTTCACCAAATCACTTTTATTAATCAATTCGTATTTATTTTACAATGATGGTTATTTCATTGTTTGTTTAATTATTTATTTTTTTTATCAGTGAACAATTTTTCTACCAATAATTGATCCGATTTTCAAATGTAGTTCCTTTTCTGAAAGTAAATTGTGTAGGGGTGGCTTTTTAGGAAGGTTATTTTTAGATTTTCCAAGCGGTTTTCATAAAAATTGGGAAGAAAAGCAAGAAAAACATGAAAACTTTCAAAAGAAACTTTACTCTGAATCGTTTTTCGTAAACAATAGTTTATTATTGCGTACAGATATAAATTAAATTTCCTTCCATATCCTACCTTCCCTACTTTCCAAATAGTGTCCTAACCATAGTCCGAAGTAAGTAGTAAGTTCTTTTTTTTTTTTTTTGCTTATCGCCAAAATATTGATGTGGAGCGCCAAAAGCATGTAAATACGCCTCTGAATAGATATTTTCTACAGTTAATGTAGTTAGGTATTTAAATTTTAATGCTTTGTATTTTATAACATTTTAATAGTTGGTACCTTCCTAAAATTGAATAAATTATATTATAGTTTCTGATAGAAACTAAATTGGTCCAATAGTACATGTAACCAGTTCCTCAAATTTATTTGAATGGTGAGCAGTGGAGAATCCGTGTAACCATCACTACCTTACTAGTTACTGTTGTTTAAAAAACCCTAGTCTAATCCTAAATATAAAAATGAAGATAATACTTAAACACTTTTTCTAGTTTCTAGTATACATATACTAGATATACATGAATACTAATAGATATCTATTTTTTTCTGCTTCTTCTCCTTCAAGTTCATCTCATATATTTAGGGTCGGCTACCCTCATTCTAAAATTCCACATTACTTTCGTATATACCAACCGTCTTCATATTAAATTGTGATGTTTATTTACATTACCTATCATTCTTAAGACCTCCGATTTCTCTCTCCTCAACACATGCCCGAACATCTCAGTCTATTTTCTCTCATTATCTTCTCTCATCACTCCACCTACCTACCTAAAAATGTTCATCTTCACTAGGTACCTACACTCATTTACTGCAGGTCTACGTATGTCTCTACAACCCAACACTATGAACCATAAAACATAGTCGGTTTCACTACACTCTAGTAGAACTTACATTTAAGTCTCATCGTAATTCTCTTGTCAAATAAAACACATACCTAATTCTTCTCTCCACTTGATCTAACCATACTTAATCCTATGTTTGACATCATCGTAAAAACCACCATTCTTTTGTACAAAAAACCAAAGCTACTTAAAACCTACTATCTATTTTTTTCTTTCTCAGTAAAAAAAAAATTATTTATAAATATTGCATACATATATAAATATTTTATTAATTATTTTATACTATACTTTAATAATTTTATTCTTGTTGAACTATCAGTAATTTCGCTATCACTTAATTCAATTGAAACACTTTCTGGCGTTACCGATCTACTGTTTTGTATACTGCTCTTGGTTGATATTGGACTGCTAACAGATATACTTCTTATACTATAATCAGACGTACTCCCAGATCTTTTACTTGTTGTTGAACGAGGACGAGGAACAGGTACATTACCTGTTGAATAAAAAAACCAAAATATTATATCGTTTTATAGTAAACAGGGTTTTCTTCAGTGTTATCCTCAGGCTAATAATTTTCTCAATATTAATTTTGTTTTACATTTTTATTATCAGATTTTGTGCGAAGGGAAAAAATGTGTAGAGAAAAATTAAATTTTTTTTTTATCACTTTTCAAAATTTTCAAAAGAGTCATTCTAAAAAAGATATTATTCTAAACATTTTAGTGTAACATACATTCATATCCAATCAATAGTTTCTTATAATGGACGTTTTAATTTATAGAAAATTAGCGTGAAAACAATTTATTTTCAATAGAATATTACGTTACACAATAAGGAATCACAATCAGCACAGTAATTTTTTATTTTCTATTGAATATTAATTGTTTTATATATTTTTACGCACATTTTTCATACATTAAACCCACTATAACTAAGAAACTATTAATCATATATGAATGTATGATACATTACAATTTTTAGAAAAAATTATTTTACAAAATGACTGACTATTTTAAAGATTTTAAAAAGTGGAAAATAAAGTTATTTTTCATCTATGATGAATAAGAGATGAAAAAAAAAATTTATTTTTAACTATATATGTGTTCCTATATTATTGCTAAAATCAAATATTGATCGTGTATGGGGGCCTTAAGGATCACACTGTAGGACACGTATAGTATACAAATAATATTCCAAATTACTTTTCATTTTTTGACCATTTTGTGATCGTGGTGATGAAGTATGACTCAAAGATGATGATACTGAGCCATCCCTATACCAAATTACGCAATTCATCTTATAAATTTAAATAATAAAAAAAACATAATAGTAGGTACTTACTTCAATAGTTCAATATTTTTATTATCTGTAAATATCATTGCCTAAAATAATTTAATTTATAAATTATTTCCTAAATTATTACATACGTTCAATACCTATAGCAATAATGAAAATTGTAACTGAAATTGTATTTTACATTTTGTAATAGTAACATTTTAAATTGTATTAATTTGAATAGACTGAAGTTTATAAATTGTCAAAAATGCTCCAAAATTTTAACTTCAATAGTATAACTTATAAGATGCAGATTTTCTGCATAGTTAAACATTTTTTGAAATTTTTTTCTAGATTCTAAACATTCCTACTAATATAGGTTTTTAAATTTGAATATTATTGATTTCCTTAACACAATTTTGTACTTTACAAAAATAAAAAAATAAATACCTCTCATTACAACTGGAAGAAAATTCTGTATTCTGAATATCAGTAATATTTAATAATTTACTTTTTCTTGGTTTTATTTCTGGTGGTTTCTGAAAAGTCAATAATGCAAAATGTATTTTTAATCTTAACTTAAGATATCATAGTTAAATCTTAATTTTTATTATAGTAATAATGGGTCCTACATACTATGTATGTCAGGTACTACTACCCATACTATATTGTGGTATTTAATGGCAAATACCTATATGTATAATACTACCATTCTCAAAATCTGAGAAAGAGGTTGGCTATTTATGATAAAACTATTAGTTAAAAACCAATAAAATGGTTTTTAGATTCTGAATGGAGCGAAGAAGCCTATGGTTTTTATCATATAAAATTATTACTTTTTTTTTTTAATATATATTTCATAAATAACTTCAAAAATAAATATTTTAAACCTTAATATTTAAGAGAAAAAAAAAATAAATTAATACAAATATTGACATGGTATTACTTTTATAAACACAACATTACTGATATTTTATTATGTTGTTCTTTGTGAAGTAATTCTAGATGTCTTCCAATTACTCATAAATTTATATAATGGTATTATTATATACTTTTAATAATTATAGATAACCACTGTACACAATGTATTACTTACCTTTCTAATTATAACTTTATAAATGCATAATTTTATTCCATACAGAGTAAAACAAATTATTAGTATTAAAGTTAATTTATTACAGATAAAATAAAATAAAATTACATTTGTAGTATTATATTAAGTATCTACATATATAATACATATAATGCATATATATATCTTTTTTGCCTATTTTAAAATTTCCTTCAGGACAACCGCCTATCTCGTGTCGTAGTTTGAGACCATAGGGGAGGCACACTATGTTTTAATATTTAATAATTAATAATTGATTGGAATTAATGAAAATAGTGTGCAAACAACTACACATTGTTTCAGAGCGGTTAAACGAGATGAATGAGTGGGACATATCCCCCCCCCCCATTAAGTCATTTTTCTTAAACATTTATTTTAAAGTATAGGGTGATTTTTGATTTATTTTAATATCTGTAAGCAATGATAAACCACTAATAACAAAAAACAATTTTGAACGAAATTTTGATACATAGTTTGAATGGCCATACTAAACAGGATTTTTATTAAAATTTGATCTAAAAACCATTGTGAAAAAAAAAATTTTAATTTACCACTAAGTAAAACTTATAATAAACCTCCAATTAAAATGTCAAGTATTTATGTTCAGTCAAACAATTATATTTGCATAGTAAACCAAATAAAAAACTCACAAGATGAAAATGTCTACAAAGAGCATAAAACACTCCAAAAATATTTGAATATTTTAAGACTTCTAGAAAAGGTAAATATAAGTTATCTGTCAAAATTTGAAGTCTGTTCGTACTAATATTTTTAACTGAATTACAACAAAAAAAAAAATGTTTAGTTATTTTCATACATTTTCCCGTTCTTTTTACGTTTTCTTCTGATTTTTCCCAATTATTATGGAAACTGCTTGGAAAATCAAAAAATGACTTTTTTTATGCACCAACTAGATTCAAAACAAAAACAAAAAAATTCTATTGTCGTTTTTAAATTTAAGCAAGTTTTCTGTTCGAAAAGTTGTTCACAGACAGAAAAAAAACACATCATAGTAAAACCAATAGATCACTAGCGAGCTCGTTCCGCTACGAATCCAAAATAAAATTTAATAATAAAATAACCTTACGAACATACATCATAATATTTACCTTTGGATTATAATTATATACGTTCCGTATGTTGTACAATATTGTACACAATTATATAATATTATATTATAATATATTTATGGTCTATACTGTACAGTTACATCATATTATAATAAGTAAGTATATACATATATATTTTTTTCATTTGTTTTATACAATCTATACATTATTGCAATAATTCAGTATAATAAACTTCATATGAATAAGTGATAGGTAAGTAGTTCAAAAGTCCGCCAACTCATGACATTGTGACAAACCATAGAATATAGATCAAATTTAAATCACAAGAATAACATTTTTTATCAAAGATTAAACTGAAAAATGTTATAGCTATTTAACAAAACAATTTTTGATAAATCTAAAATCATTAGATACATTTCAAAAATACATAATTATTTTGAACGATGGATATATGCAGTGTACCTTATTTATGTATTTTTTAATGAGGGCTTTTTTTAAGCGCAGTTATAGATAGAGGGGCTAAGTCCTCCCCATTTTAACCTCTACTATTAAGTAAACATATTATATCTACCTGGCTACCTAGTATTTAGTAGGTAGGTAGGACAGAATACCCTATTATAGAAATTTTGAAATATTACAATTGATTAATTAACAATATTATAAAATTATAAACCATTTGATTAACTTTAAATAAATTGTATTTTTAAACAAAACAATGTACCTACTATGCTGTATTTTATTTGTTAGCGAAATTAGATACCTACTTAAGTATGCTTAATATAATATTAAGTTAAATTTAAATTTATCTTATCACAGATATAATATTGTATGAGTATAAATTCAAACTTACTTTAATTAAATTCTCTTGAGAATCTGAAATAGAGCTATTATATAAATTACAATTTAATTCGGTAAGCTCAATCATTGAATCCATATTTTTATTGTTTTAAGTATAATTTTTAACACTTTTTTTATGTTATTTATATGTACTTCTTGACTATCAAATCAATGACCAAATAGTAAACAATAACAATAACACTTATAGGTGTCTATTGAATAGTATGCAGATACCTTTTATTTGTTGGTAGAGGATGTAACCATAGGAACCAATGAAATTGTTTACTTTTTTGTAATACACACCTCCTTACTAATGTAATAATAAAAAAAATACTATTAAACCATAAACATTGTATCTTTTAAAATACATAGTTATATTTTATTGATACAAAAAGTTTTAAAATTATGTTCTTAATAGATTGATACAGGTCGGTTAGTTCTACTGTAGTGTTCTATAGTAGTTCATCTACGTGTTAGTTACCTACCTACCGAGTTATAGATTACCTATTTCTGCTACCTAATGGCTATGAGGTACCTATTTATTTAGGATTTATTTTTTAGTCAGTGCTTAACCTACTTCTCATTAACATCAAATTTATTTTATGTATTATTATAATCACACATTTTGCATTAGTTATATTATAATATAACTTAATATTTAAATTTGGTCGTACTAAAATAGAAATACCTACCTAGTTGAAATATTAACTTCATTGTCAATAGGTAGGTAATATGTATCGCCTCTATACCAGAATTAGTGAATTGGAAAATAAGATAGGTAAATCATCTACCTAGGGTAATCGGAAAAAAACGGTAAATGTACAATTTCCCCCGTCTATTTTCGTTGAAGTAGGATAGTTTATTATGCAAATTTTTTGCCCTATATTTATAATTATCGATGTACATTTTAATCATAGATATTTAATAACAATCTAGATAACATAACATAACATAATAGATCATTTAATAATAAAAAATAGCAATATTATATCAATTAATAATATTATGCGGGGTTAATGTCGATTGATCACTTAGCGTAGGCAAGATGTTACAATGTTACGTTACTTGCATAGATAATAAATATTTACTATTCTTTAAGAATAAATCTTTATTATCTATGGTTACATATTGTAAGATTGTTATCACTGTTGTTAGCATTATGCTAAACTGCAAAATTCCATTTTGTTGTTGGTATGTCATTGTAAATTGACATGATATAATATTATATTATATCAATGGTATTTCATCAGTTGTTGGCATAAAACAAAATTGTTGGTTAAGTTGTTTACTGTTGGTTTACAGCCATAGACCTTATATTAGGTCTACAAGGTCTGTTTTAAATACAGTGGCGTATTTAGGATTTTTTAATGGAGGGGAGGGGCTTGACTAAAAAATATTGGTTGAAGAAAAAGTATAAGGTATCCATTTCTTTATTATCTATGAGCACTATATGTCGAATTCGCTGAAACCAATCTTGATAAATAATACTAACGTTTTATTAATTATCAAATTACTTATCAGAATTACCACTTTTTCGATAACAGAATTATTCCTATTTGTATTATGCAAAGACCCGATAATATATGTTTATAGGTCTACGATATTATGTTTTCTGTTTTCGTAATCAAATTTTTTTGTTTTATAAAATTTGTAAAAACATTTTCCACCCTTGATTAAAAGTAATAATAGAGACTTGACATTTTCAATAATTTTAATATATAAATTAATCCTTTTTAGACGTAAACTGTACACTATCATAAATGATTATGGATAGAAATAATTTTTTTCACTTAATACTCCAATCAATAGTTCAAACTGTATTTTATCACTTGGAATGATAGTGTATCATTATTTAGTTATCAGTATTCAAATCGTGTTTTTCTGTTCTTTATATATTTTTAATAAATACAATTACATAATTCTGAACTTTATATACAATATTTTTATATTTTAAATAATATTAGTTTGTATCTACCATATATACTTACTTCAATACAATATATCAATTTTATAATAATGTATGTATTGTAATTATTACCATTAAGATTTAAAATTGCTTCTTTGTACTAAATTATACAGTTCATATTAAACTAGTATTATAATCATGCAATATTTTATGTTAATATTAGTTTCCTTATTTAATTTTAATCATAACTATTTTTAGTTTCAGATAAATAATGCAGTCGTTCTTTAACTCTCTTAAATTATCATATTCTAAAATTAACATCCAACCAGTTAGACACCGTTATTGGAAAGATCAACAAGGTGCTAGACCACTAATTCGACGATATGGTTATAAAGATGATAAAATACTACAATCAGGACTATTGCCACGGTCAGCTAATGAACAAAATAAACTACCTATGCCAATTTACAGACCTAAGGATGTTTGGAATGAGCGAAGAGCTCTTTTTGGTCAAAATGATTATATTGATATTTTAGGAAATGATTATGTGCATCCTGTCCGAGTACTTTATAATGTACCATCCTGGTTAAGAGGTGTAAAGGGCAATGAATTCCAAGTATTATTAAGAAAAAAGAAGATGTTGCAACATGGAGTGTACCCTGTGGCTAGACCAACCAAATGGAAGCAAATGCAAAAAAGAATAAAATTTTTATACACTTTCTTAAATAGAAAAACTAGAACTGGAATGGAACAGTAATAGTTAAGTTAAAAATGTATAAAAAATTAGTGTTAAAAATAATTTGTTTTGTAAAAAAAAAATAAAAAAACAAGCAATACAATTTTAGTTATTCAAATTGGTATTAATTGATTTATATATTATAATTTTTGACAATATTGACATAGATGTAGTTTAGTATTTTTCATTTCTAGATTTTCCATCATTTTTTTAAAAATGTGTTTTTTACTCCGAATTTATTGGTTTACCATGAATAACTCAAAAAGTTTCATCATATTATTGTTTTAACATACCTATACACACAGAAAAAAAATTAAATTTGAACATTTTGACAAAAACACACATATTAGATGATAAATTTTGAAAAATTTTCAAAATCCGGTACAAGTAGGTACAATGTACCTATACATATTCCGAAAAAAAATTCAAAATTTGCTTTAGTTCTAAACCACATTTATATATGATGTCATAAACAACTAAAAATTTAGTTTATATGTATAACTTGATTTGGCTAATGTCATACTATATAATATAATTTCTTAGTTCATTTTTATTTTACGAAATGGGTTATAGAGTTAAATTAGTGGCCATGATATGGGTTGCACAGGTTACATTAGAGAGCCTAGATCATATCTCAGCTCTCTAGGTTACATTTTTCATAGGTTGGTCTTAATTTTTGTATAGTATATAATGTAAATATTTATTTTAACAATTCATGCCTGCTTAGTTGTTTCAAAATTGAATAAATAAAAAAAATAGATACATGATGGAACAGACCATTTAATTCTGTAATCAAATAGGGTTAAATTTATTTTATTTGTTAAAAGTGTAATTATGTAATTTTATATTCCGTATAGTAATTGCTGTATTCATAAATCTTACGTCTATGATTGTATTCATCTACATTAACTCATTTACTGGGTGATATCACTTATTACCAAAACAAAGATAGCATAGAATGACTTAGATTCTTGAACAGGAAAGTATAATTTTAAATTATTAAAACTAATTTTTTACTTCATGTTCTTAAGACTCAAATTCAAACTATATATGTATAATATAATATATATTATATATATATATATAATGTGTACGTACTGCTGTTCCGTACTATAGGTGACCTCGCTTTCGTGTTGGGATTAGTATTCAATCCCGACGTCGTACGATGTTGTCCGATAAGAAGTCGGATGACGAGATGCGGTCACTTTTCCCGAAATCGAAGTCCGAAATGCGTATTAGCATTAATTAATGATTATATTATCAGTGGCGTGCGCGGGGAGGAGGTTAGGGGTTATACCCCTTTATTGGCTTAAAAATACAACAAAATATGAGTAATCTATTATCGAAACATAAATTTGAGCCAATTTCCGAGGATAAGCTTGATGTATTGATTAGAAATCGGCTCTTTTTTTAGAATCCGGCTTTTAAATTACCTATTCCCATAATCGAGCTGAGTAGAGGAGACGATGTTACTCTTTATTCACGATTTTTATTTGTTACGTACCCTCCCATTGAAAATTCCTGGGCACGCCATTGTTTATTATATTATATTTTCTAATTGAGTGATTCTTGGAATTGATTCCTTTTTGGAGGAACGAATGAAGGAATAATTCCATTATTTTTTAAATGAATAGGAACGTGAATTAATTCCTAGTTTTTAGGAATAGGAAAGTAAATATTTTAATTATTTTGTCCTCTGAAATGTGTTTTAGAAACATTTAGGGAAAAGAATGTTCACTTATCAAATTTTGAATCCAATAGATGAGACTCTTCTAACAAGTTGTTTGTTGACATACGATTTGGTGTTCTAAAGCAAATTAATTCGTGATATTGTCAAATTGAGAATACAAACAAATGAAGAGCTACGTAAAAAAAACGATAATAGTAAAAAAAAAGAGCTGATACTGGGGATGGGAGCGGCCACTGTTGTAGGTGAGAATTTGGGAAGGTAGGATACATAAGATTATTTAATTTATATCTGTAAGCAACGATAAACCATTACTTAACGAAAGACGATTTTTTTCGCGCAGTTCGGTAATACATTATTTGAAGTGTCGTAATTTTTTTTGGAGATTTTCGTTTAAATTTGAATTCAAAAAGTTTATTAAAAAAAAATCGTCGGATGATTTTGGAAATTTTACTACTTCTCGGTAAGTTCAATATTATTACCAAGTTTCAAATTTCTACGTGTATTTATAACCAAATTACAGCAAAGACTAAAAATTAAAATTCTTTAAAAACTCAAAAGTAGCTCAAAAGTTTTGGTGGTTATGCCGTAAGAAAGTAAATCAAAAGTGAAACAAAAAAGGTATTTTGTGATTTTTCGGTTAAGTAATTTTTTCTGGTAGAAAACGTCGTCCATATTTTTATAAAGTAATGAAATCGTGAAATTATACGTTTTTTCCCACTGTACTTTTATTTAAAAAATGACATCAAATATCAAAAAAAAGACCTTTTTAAAGCACCATCTAGAGCTTTCAGAAAAGTAGCCACCCGTAAAAATCGGAACAAGTTTAATAGGGAAAAATGTAACCACAAACTAGAAGAAAAAAAAAAATAAACATCTTAGTAAAACTAATAGCTCCCTCGCTATGTTCGAAATCTAAAGTAGGATAATTTATTATATCATTTTATCATTTGTTTCCGGCCGAATTGATATGTGAATGGAGTTGCTCTTTTTCTGTATGCGAAGAACTTTTCTACAAGTAATCTTGCTTCAATCATCAACTTTAGAGGCGTTGGTTCCTAATAAAAATTGTTGTCTGATTGGTGCAATAAGGAGATTATTTTTTGGTTTTCTTGGTAGTATTCTTAATTATGAGGAAACCTCTAGATAAACGTTGGAAAAACTTGTAACTGTTACATTTACTACTTTTATTTTATTCTATTTTGTTTATTCAATGAGAAATAATCATAGATGTCAAAAAGTCCACCGAATACTTGTAGAGGTATATTCTCTAATCAGCTCTTTCCAGACATGGTACCTTGTATCCTTCACTGCGTCCCATGCGTTTCATTTAAAAAAATAATAAAAGTACGCTTACATTTCTAAAAAATTAGTTGAGGTACTCCGTCCCCCCTTTATTTGAGCACTGTAATTTTATTACCTATAATTATTATTCTATGATTATAAATATAGACTACAATAAATTTGTGAATTGTAATTGTTATATTATATCTGTGATATACTTTACAGTATATTATAGTGTAATAAATTGATCGGTATTCTATAGTATGTTTTTATACGCGGTTTAGTGATAGCACTGAATACTGTAACAATCATAGACCGATAATAGACGGATAAAAAATGTATATTGGATCAAGATCATAGAGAAATATTCTCTAGGGTAACCTAACTTCCCCTAGTTTGGGAGACACTGGGGTTTTTATCAATTGCTTTTGAAATTTTGCTAACACAGATATAGATAATACATTTATTAATAAATATAAATTGCTAAATGCTAATGTAATTACTAATTTTCATTTTTAAATTTTTTTAATATTGTTCATTACCTGGTTATTTAGAAAAAATGCTTGACAATGACGGCAAAACACATGAAATGTTGTTGGATGATTATATTTCAAATATTAAAAGAAAGTATGTGTTTATAGTATAAAAATTAATATTTATGGTTACAATTTTTTTAGTTAAATTTAAAAGGTATTTCAGACTGCACTCTTATGTTTTAATTGAACATTTTTTAAAAGTTCTACGATTTATATTAAAATGTATTAGATTATAACTCAAAATTTTCTCACAAGTTTCCCATTACTTTCACTTTCTGTTCTGTTTGTGTGGTATATTTGAAATACCATTCCAACCTAATTTTGAAAGATGCTAAAAGTAAAATGGAAATTTAATTCATTACATTTTTGTCCAACAAATATATGTCCATAATTTATCAATTATTATCACTAAGTAGTAATTTTAATATGTACCTGCGGCTCAATCACAGATGCAGTTTTTACTAATAACGATGTACAAGTTTGAAGTATCTTTATAAGATTTTAGATTCTGAGTGGAGCGAAGAAGCTTATGGTTTTACAATTATGTTTATTTTTTTCTGTCTGTAAACAACTTTTTGATCAGAAATATTGCTCTGATTTACAATGGTAGCACTTTTTCTGAAAGGAAATTTGACTGGGGAGGTAATTTTTTTATTTTCCCAGTTTTCCCAATACATGAGGAAATAGGTAAAATATTAAACAAATATTATTAAAGGAAATATTTAATATTTTTGTAATTATTTTGTCATAATATGACATATATATTGTTGACAAAACTAAATGATCAATTGAATTCCACTCAGAATCGTTTTTTTCGTTAGCAATGGTTAATCATTGCTTACAGATATACATTAAATTTCCATTTGTATCCCACCTTCCCACCTACAACAGTGGACCACCCACGTGCGAAATATGTCTTATCTTTTATTATGTTTATTCCCATAATGCTGTTTATTGTATGCGTATTTTTTTTTATTAAATTAAATAAAATTATTAATAATTAAATCTCCAACCATACCTTATATACTGATTTGAACATTCCAACTAACTCCGAAGTGGCCGCTTCATATTCCAAAATCTTTCATCACGCATTGCAAATCATCCAAGTTCCCTAATACTTGTCCTTAATTCTGATATCAGGTAATCCCCCAAGAAGGCTAAAGAGAATCTGGTGTCAGGATTTAGTTTAAAGTAAAAAAAAAAAAAAATAATCAAGCCAAAGTGTTATCGCTGGGTATCTAATTTTAGTCAAGTCACTCATGTCATCTTTAACAACATTAAAAAAAAAAAAAATTATAATAATTAAGTGGCAAATTAAGTGGTTAAATATTTATTCAACAAATCAATTTGTTTATATTAATTTATACCAAAACTTTAATCAATTTTATAAATGTGTTGTATTTTAGGAAATGGGATAGTAACTATATAATTGCTAAAGAGACTGTTAAACTTTTTAGACATTTTATTAATACAATCCACTGGTCAACAACAAAGTGAGTAGTATTTTGTAATTTATAAAAAAATTTATATTTTATACTTAATATTAATTGTCCCCTCTACCTGTAATCTACATAATACATGACAGTTTATCTCCAGTACTGGTCAAGTTATAGATGTTATAGATGTTTTATTTTCAAAATGTGTGTTTAGCTAGATTTAAGGTATTGAATTAAAAATGTCAAAATGTGTAGTTCTTTTTATTTTGGAGATTTTACCAAAAAAAAAAAAAACTGTAATTTTAAAAAGTTTTCATTATGAAGATAATGGTGCAATAAGAATTTTCAATAATTAATATTTTAGAAATAATAAAATAATAATGTAAAAATACAATTTTTAAATGATTAATAGGTACTTGTATACATATGTATAAATTATTTAATTATAGGTATATTTTAGAAATGTTAGAAATGTCAAAACTGTACTAATATTACTACAAAATACACTAGTTTACAATTTATGTAATTTTTTTTGTTATTAATCCAACACTTAAATTTGTAATTTTATATTACAACTTGAAGTTTTTTTTGATTTAAAGTCCACAGTTTGTAAATGTAAGGGAATGTTTGCGGCTATTCCCTTCCCCCATAAGAGGGGGGCATATCCATTCACTTTACAATTGTTTATGCCGCGTATTATGTATAGTGACATACTTATGTTATTTAAATTGCCATACCATCTAAAATAATAGTTTCTGAATAATTCCGATTGGAACATCGTATCAACATTAAAAACTCTCTATTTAAAAAAATATATTGTGTTTTGATGAATTTTAAGTTTTAGTATACTTAACTAACAAAATTTGTTCACACATTTTTAAATTAAAAACCTTAAAACGTACATTTAACCAAACTTAATTTGTTCATACTATACAAATTTAATCTTTAGGTTGATATTTACATTTTATTATTTAGTATTTACTGATAATTTATCATCCAGGAGCAAGTATTTTATCAGCTTGATCAGCAACTAGTATATCCATTACAGTACACCATTATTCTTAAACTTTAATTTTAATTTCTGTGAACCTAAACTAACCTTCTGTAGAATTTCATGTCATATAAATAATAATTAGTTGTATTATTTGTTTAGTTTTGTTAGATTTTATGTTTGTTTTTAATTAGAGAACTACTAAATCATTTGAGAGAATATGGAATGAAAATTACTTCAGCTTTACCATTACAATTTATTGTTGGTAATATGGTCAGGCGTATATTGAACATTGTTAGAGAAGAATATACTGCTGCCAGAAAAGTAATTAACACTTAAATATTTCAATTTGAAGAATAATTATAAAATATTATTGATTTTATATATAAATAGAGCTCAGAAGAAGAAATAGATATTCAAGACTCATTGCACAAAATAGTTGCATCAGAGGATGATATAGATGATTATAATAATGTTGTACCTGAACTTAAATTATCAATTTTTGAACATTTAGATGAATTTCAATTAGAAATAGAATCTAGGTGAGCCAATAAAATAAGTTTTAGTTTAGCAACTAATATCATTAATTTTTTAGCAATGAAGATATTGCGAAACAAGCCCTTGAACATATTCATTCAAATGAAATTATTCTCACTGTTGGAAAATCATCTGAAGTTGAAATGTTTTTAAAAGAAGCAGCTAAAGACCGAACATTTGAAGTATTCATTACAGAATGTGCCCCCTTAAATCAAGCAAGTTTTAAATTTTAGAATGTTATTTAAATGGTTTATTTAATTTGAGTATCCTATTAGGGTAGGCAATTAGCATTAAATCTTACAAAATATAAAATTCAGTCTACACTAATTCCCGACTCCACGATGTTTGGCATAATGTCCAGAGTGAATAAAGTAATCATTGGCGTTGATTCTGTTATGGCTAATGGCGGTCTTAGGACATTTAATGGCTGTCATGCTGTTGGATTAGCTGCTGCTCATTACTCAGTTCCTGTAATATATTGGTTTGATCTTATTCATATATTTTGAACTGATTATTAATTATTATTTGTTTAGGTGATAGTTTTAGCGCCCATGTACAAACTGAGTTCACGCTACTTGTGTTCATATAATCAAGATGCATTTAATGAATTTGTTTCACCTGCTGGTGTTCTTAATTATTCAGATTCAGTTGTATCAAATGTTGATGTTTACAACCCTACATATGATTATGTTCCACCAGAAAATGTGACTCTATTCATTTCAAACAAGTATATGTTTTTTTCTTGTTATAACTTATTATCAACTATATTTTAAAATTAATTTTAATTTTTTAGTGGTGGCCATTCTCCTTCTTATGTCTATAGATTGTTATCTGAAATTTATCATCCACTTGACTACGATTTATCTGTTAATTAACAAAAAATATTGGAACTTATTTATTGGTATGCTGTCATGCCAGTATTAAAATTAATATTTTGAGTTTTATTGTGCTATTCAAAATGTATAAATAAACGTATTCAATAAATATTTATGTATTTTTTCTAATTTTACTTTAATATTGAATTTCTACCATTTCTTACATAATATAATTCAATTTTATTAATTATTTTTATTAAATAGGTTTTATCTATAAAATTATAGTCAATGTTTCTTTCACAAAAACTAACTAAAAGAAGTTTGGTTAATAGTGTTGCTTTATCAACAATATATAGGTATGTCACATTATTGTAAAATAATTACATATGCATAATTGCTGGTTAAAAAGTTATTTAGACAGAAAAAAAATAAACATCATTGTAAATCCAAAATATTCCTTGTACCACTCAGAATCTAAAATATATACTGTAAATATATTTGTGTTAGGTTGAAGTACTTCTTTCGGGTATAATTAAATAAAAACACAATTTTCAATGCAAGTTCAAGATGTTTTATTTAACAGATATAATTTAAACAACATTTAATTTTGTTTTTTGAATGCATCAGGTGTTCCACATTCAAACAAATTTATATATACATGCATCAAAAAACCTGAAAAAAAAAAAATTGTTTAAAATTATATTAAATTGTAATTTTAAATAGCATAAGTAATTTGATTTTATAAGGGTGTGGGAGAATACCCTTCCTAGTTTTGAAGATTTATATACAATCTTAATGCAAAACTTTTATAGACGATTTATTTAGTGTCAACAAAATTTTGGCGAAGTGGAGTGGTACCCATAATTGTTTGTAGGCGAAAAAAAATAAAGTTACAGATATTTACAGATATACATTACATTTCCCCTTTGCCTTCCCAATTACTCACCTACAACAGTGGCCCACCCATTGTGTGAGTACGTCCATTTATTTTTGATGAAATCGGAAATTAATTACTTTACTTAATTTTCATTTTATTGTTAATACATAAATTTATTTCAAATATTTGATTTTGAAAGTAACTCAAAATTTACTTATTTATTTTATTAAAAAAAAAATTAATTTTTGTTTTTTTTTTTAAAACTAGATTTCTGAAAAATCAAGAATCTCTCAAGTTTTTAATTGGCTTGTTTTGAAAATACTATCATATTATATGCTTAAAGCATGTAAAATCACATATTTTGAAAAATAAAGTTTCTTAATAATCACTTGGGAACTAAATTGAATTTATGCCCAATGCTGAAACTAGGGAGTTTTGTAGCACCGTTATATAAGACTGGTAGTCTATTTATTAAAACATGGGTCCTTGCGCAAAATATATTGTGCAACTTTAAAATAAACCTTCACAAGGTTACTATAATTTAACAATTCATTATTGTTTAAACTTCAGAATAGATAAATGAACATAAGTGTATACAGTGGCATAGATTCATCAATAAGACAGTTTAGGGATTTACAAACTTCTGAACCTCTTCTATAGTAAAAAATTCAATGGAATGGGTAGTTACAACACTCAAAACTCCATATGGTTATGCCACTATGTGTTTTTATACAGTATTTTGTTGCATGAATTTCACATGTATACCTAACTTTATATGAAAAAATATTGATACACATTTTTAAAGAATTTAAAGATTAATAATACGTCAGCTTGTATCTGAACTAATTGCTGTCAAAACAATATTGATTTTTTTTTTTTAAATTTTTAAAATCACTCAATTATTTAACTAAACTGGACTCACTGAGAGTAGGTATATTTAGATTATCGAAGTCTTCTAGCTTCTCTTTCAGATTCAAGCAGTGTTAGGATATCGCCTTCACGTACTGGTCCCTTAACATTTCTGATAATTTGACGATTTTGTTCACCAATAAATTCCACTTTAACCTGTGTACATTGACCTTGCGAACCCGTTCGTCCCAGTACCTTCAAAACTCTTGATAATACTACTGGTTTATCCATTTTTTTGAAAACCTATAACAGCTGTAACGAACACCATAATATAAATTATATAATGAATATAATTTCATTCAAATTTAGTACAATAAGATAATTAATGATCAATATTGTAATACCTTTGATTAAAAAATATAAATTACAAATTATAATAAATCGAGTATAATATTATATGCTACTAGGAATGTAGGAAATAGATTAATATATTAATATATTTAATAGAATCAAAATTGAATTACACAATTAAAGAATAAAAACAATCAGACAACTCAGAGTACAAACTCAGACAAGATGTAACCTCAAAAGTTAATAAAGCTGTGGTTGGACCGTTGGTTCTAACCACGGTTTTAGATATGGTCACGAATATACAAAACACCGAACGGAAAGTTTTTATCAATAATTTTTTGAGTCCGCCACTTGCGTCTGTCTGCAGTAATTTTATGAAATGGTTGCATGGTTGTGCGCACGAGCGGTAGCGGCAGCGGGATTTGTTATCATAAAATCATTCAATTCTGTGTTCAATACTTATCGTTTTGATATATCTAGTCCGTGCTGCTAACTGACAAATTGAATACAAAAGAAAAGTATTATTATTTTCAACCACAGTTATTTCATATTCATAATAAATAATGATATAAATTGTTTTAAAAATTGTACAATTGCTTGTAGAATTTTAAATAAGAAAAAAAATTTTTTTGACGTTTCTATGCGTTAAAAATATTGGCGATAAATGAAATTTTCATGTGTTGACAATTAATTTTATATATCTGGCCACTCTGTATACAGCCATCTGATGTATAACCACCAAATAAAGGTGGCTTCATACGTAACGGTAGTCTACACTGTATTACACTTAAAACGTGAGCATTATGGACCCCCAAACCAACTATCAATGTCTTAAACTATAAATTATTATACTCGTATTATTTATTGAATAATGTTAATATTTTAATACATAAATAGGTAACTTAATTTTTAACTAGCATAGAAATGATTTTTTAATGTGATCTTTAGAAACATATATTGACATTTGACATGGACAGGAATATATTGGTTTTTCTATGATTTGAATTTTGTATTATTTGATTATTTTTTTTTGTGTTTGTCAACAACTTTTCTACCAAAAATCTTGCTCCGATATATAGAGTGTAACACTTTTAGTGAAAGGTAATTTTATATGGTTAGTGCATTAAAGACGTCAATTTTTAATTTTCTTAGGGCTTTTCGAAATAATTGGGAAAAACCTAAAAGAAAATTAGGTAAAACTGAAAATATTAATAGCGTGCCACGGTGTTACCGATTTCATTATTTTAAATCGTCTGAACTCTGATATGTTTAGAACACTGACTGACTTTTAAGCATGCTTGTGCCGTGTGGTGAAAACAGAAAATTATACATGTTTGTACAAAAAGATCTGCATGATTGACAAGCTTAAAGTTACGTGAATAACCACCTTAACCCCAGAGAGCCATTCGTCAAAACACCATCATCTTAATCCGACAAAAAATCATCACACAGCACTCCCAACAGAATATGGTCTTTTGGACTTTCAATGTTAAACAAAAAATAAAATATAATAAATTTAACTTTGGCTTATACGAGCCATTTACCTGAATATATAATAAGTATTAATTTACCTTACACTCGATGCTTATAAAGAGTTGATTTCCTGGATGGTGGTTTAAAATAAGGATATTTACAGGAAACCTACACAAACTGATGCTATATACCACAGGATTCTAATCACCCTATTCTCTAAAAATATTTTTTAGTTAAATTTTTTATAGGCTTGAACCAAGACTTTAAAAGGTTTATGGCTTGAACGTATTTCATTAAATAAATATAATAATCAACACGAGTTCAATATTATCTATAATATAGTCCATAGAAATAATTTACATTTAAATACTATTAAAAACATGCATTAACATATAAAATAAAAAATAAAACACAACTTACTAAATAATGTTAACTATTATAGCATGAAATATCAAAATAATATATCTAACAAATTTGTTAAAATTCTGAACAATATTACAAGTAATGTAAAAATTACCAATTAAGAATAATAATAATTTAATCAAACATAACAATAGAACTAAAAACTTTAAAAAAACTCGATTCTTTTGAAAAATGCTAGTATATATAAACTTAAATGTAACTGTAATAAATTGTATATACGTAAGACAAATAGAAATTTTAAAATAAAATATAAAGAAATAAAAACACATTTCTGAAATAAAATTTAAAAAATCCTGCCCCTAATTTAAATTTCGTTAAATATGTTTTAGAAAATAATCACAATATAAGTTTTGATATTAATATAGACTTAGAAATATTAAATACCCAAAATAACATTTACATTAATTCAGTTTTAGAAGAATTACATACATAATGAAATAATGAAAAATAATTTTGATTATATTTTTAATGTTCAAACCAATTTTAAAAATAATACATTATATCAATATATTTTAGATCAGTGGTCTCAAACATACGGCCCGCGTAGCCTTTCAATGTGGCCCGCAATAAAAATACATTTTGAACAAAAATATACGAAAAAATTGGAAAAACGTTAATTTTATTTTAGGCATCATAAATACATAGAATATTATTTGACATCCATAATGTTTTATTTTTACATTAATCGTTCATAAATTCCATTATACTTGATAAAGTATTTGAAATGCGGTAAATCTAATCTACAAAGATAAATCATTTTTGTATTTCTTCGGAAGTGCAGTAATAGTGGGTAACAGTTTGACTGTTACAAGAAATTCTTGTGCAAATATAGACAGCTCGGTACAAAAGAAAAGATGTCAAGTTTCAAGTGCAGCACGAAAATAAAAATAAGCAAATAATCAAGATATTCTTAGATTTTAATTCTAATTATTTTTTAAAGTTAATGTTCAAACTTTTTTTCAATGATAATTTTGTAGTAATAATAAATGAAATAAACAACTACTTTGTTTATATTTTTATAAATAATTTTGGTAATAGTAATTATAATAAAAGTAATTTCATAATATATTAAGTCATTTAGAATATTTTAGAAAAATGGATTTTGTATGTATCTTCGCCTTTATTTTGTCTTCAGTTTTTAGTGTTTAAGTAAAAAATGCCATAAAGCTATTCCTATATATTATTTAAATATAAAATATTTTAATTTAAACTAGAATAGAAAAAAAGAATAAGTAAAATAAGAAATTCAAACACTTGCAGAGACTTTTAAAAATTTATGTTTCCATTATAACAGCTTATAGGAAACAGAAACCATATTATATTACACTTTTAAGCATTAAACAAATATATAAATAAAAAATATAAGAAAAATCAAACATTTCAAATTCGAATAACTAGTAACTTCATATTTTAACTATCATAATTTATAGTAACTACACATATTGTAAACTTTTTTATTCAAATGGAATATTAGGAATATTAACTAGGAAGTATGAGAAAAGAAAATTAAGTTTATATAAATATTACCTACCTAGTTTTTTAGAGGCCTTAAACAATATTTTTCAATCATTGATCAAATAAAAAACTAAAAACATAGTTGGTTATTTATTTTATCATATTTTCAATTTAAAATATATAATATTAATTACAATATTGATATAATATTTAATTTAATCCCATTTACAGTAAAAAATTTAGTTCAAGATTAATTATTTTTAAGTAATCATAAGTCAATTGACTATTAAACAAATTTCCATTCACTAAAAATGTGGTTAATAAAGAATTTGATTTGAATAATATTTTGTAAGTACTGAAATTATAATTTGTACACTAATCAGTACAAACTTGATATCTAGCAACAATAAAACATATTTAAACACACATAGACTTCAAATCAAATACCATTTACTAGAAAAAAAAATACAAATACAAAGTAAAAAAAAAAAAAAAAAACTAAGATAGTATCTTTAAATATTAAAAAAATATATAAATAAAAACATTGAATTCAAACATAATAATTAATAAGTAACAATATTTAAATAAGTGTAGAAAACATTATAAATAAAATGTTCATCATAAATACTTTACCTAAACACTTGAGTTTAAAATGTACAAGAAAATGTGTTTTATAGCTTAGACTCTAAGCTTTAGAGATATTAAGTTTGATCATTCCAAGTTTGTACTTTAATCTTTGTTTTTCGTCAAAATACAATATTTTGATCACAAGTACAAAATAATTAATTTAAAACTTATGAAAGATTCAAAATTTTAATTCAAGATTATAATAGTTTACTAGTTAGATTTTGTTTTATGCATAGAATGAATTTTTCATAAGTTAAATACATTTTATATTATATAGTTGTTTTTTTTTCTAAATAATATATCTACAATAAATAAACTCATTGTGAAAGCATTTCAAATGTAACAAATGTATTTGTAACAGTGATTATCTCTGAAATAATTTTAAATATATTAAATCATAACCAATAAAAGAGATAATTATAAAAATTATGAAATTTTGTAGACATTTAATAAAAAATAAAATTGAATGAATAAAAATTTATGTGATATACATTTTTGTTTGTTCCTTTATGGGTTAAGCATGCATTGCAAACCTTTAACTATAATAGCATATAATAGCACATAGTATTCATCTGTCATTTGTTGGGTCAGGATTAATGATCACTTGAATTACGTAACTCGGAAGAATTCTTGCTTCATCTATATGTAATTTATCACCCAAAAGCTTACCACCAAAAAACCACCTTTGATGTAGAGATTCAATGCCTTCTTTAGCCTTGTAAAAAAAAAAGAAAAAGACAATTTAATAATTTTAATTCAAAATTTATATATTATAAAATATTTTCATAATTATTAATTATTTAATGTTTTATGCAGTAAAACTTCTTCGGTTTGATTTTATCGATATTTTTGTAAAATATGTTTTTCACACTTGTAATGAATCAAAAAGAAGAGCAACTTGACAGTTGGAGATTTCAAGATAATTTTTCTACTTTTTTTTTTTTTTATATTCAGTTAGATATAATGTTTCATGGTTTATGCTAAAATAATTTAATTGAAAAACTGCAGATGTGTTGCTGAGTGGCAGCAAATTTCTATTATTTTGGATTCATTACAAAATTGGTAAATATGAAAAACATATATTAGAAAAAATTTGTTGAATCAAAACAGCAAAGTTTAAAGAGATTCTACAAGAGTAGATGTACTCAGAATTCATTGAAGCCAGGGTTACCAATACTTTTGCTCTTCAGTGCCTGATTTCAGAGAAATCAGTCTTTATACTGTTTAATTAGCCCTTATATATACATATATACAATATGTTATATTAATAGTATATTTAATCCTTTTTTGATAAAATAAGTAATTCTGTTGTATTAAGTTTTATGAATATAATATTAAAAAATGTTAAAATTATATATATATATATATATAAAATTGATAGTACTTGTAAATTTGTTTTTAATCTTTTTGAAATATAATTTAAATAATTAAATAACAATATTCTTTTTTTTCTACCAAAAGTTTTATTTTTATTTTGCACTATTGCTAATTTTATATATATATATAAAAAGTAAAACATACATTATTTGAAGAAAACTTATTACAAAGTAATGATTAAATTTCAAACATTTAAGTATAGTTTTTAATTAAACTGGGGTTGATTATAGCTTAATAAATCATAGTTTAAGTTTAAATTCTGTCTGTCTGTTTCGCTACACAAATTCACAATTTTATTCCAATCTTGATGAAACTTAGTACACTTGACCATTCAAAGATCAATGTTTACTTTTTATCTTGAAATTCAACCGTTAACAGTTGGTCAATCCATGGTTTTCGATATTTTTGGAACATTTTATTTTTTTGTTGTTGATTTATGAATTACATTTATTAATTTAGTAGCACAAATGCAAAAAAAAAAAAGAAAACACAAATACTTTGTACATGAATGCAGCTACTAGTGCAGGTTAGATGTTGGGAAGGTAGAGAGGAAATTGAATGTATATCTATAAGTAACGATTAATAATTGCTAACAAAAAACTATTCTGAGCAGAGTTCAGTTAATAGTATTGCTTTGTCAACAATATATAATGTCATATGGTAAAATATTTACATATGTATTATATATTTGTTTTAATAATATTTTTACAAAAACAATTTTTATCAAATTTCTTATAAAAAAATATTTTATATTACACTCATTTTTTTTAATCACAAAGTACGACTTATAATGAACCTTCTGTTAAATTTTTAAAATTTTTGTTTGGACCAACAATTTTAAACACAAAGTACCAACCAAACAAAAATTATAGGTAACAGCAAATATGTGTGCCATGGAGTTACCATTTTCATTGAATTATATTTAAGTTTTTTACCAGAATATTACTTCAATCGAAAAAAAGATAAGAGATTGATTCTGTTTCTTACAATATTTTGTTATTGACAGAGTAGGTTATTTTTTAACATTTAAAGTATTTTTTATATTATTGAGAAAAACCAAAAAAAAGGCATAATAAACAATGTTTTTTCAAATTATGGCATAATTTAATTATTTTAAATTTGTACAGCCTATAATTTCTACCATAATTATTGCTCCAATAGAAAAACAACGAAATTTTTTTGCTAAATTTTTAATATTGTGGGTAATCAAGAAGGTCGGTTTTTGATTTTCTTTATAATTATTTTTAATAATTGAGCAAACTGAAAAAATATAAAGTAGTAGAAATAACAGATAATTTTACAAAAATAATGTTTTCATTTCTTTTTTTCAGATTAAAATATTTACAGAATTACTTGAAAATTTGATAAGAGGTTCATTATGAGTAAAAAAAAGTTTAATTTCGTATTTTTTAAAATAAAATTTTGATGAAAATCATAAACACAACAGTCTTTTAAAACATGTTTAATCAAATTTTGCTCCAAATCGTTTTTTGTTATCAACGAATAATCATTGTTTACAAGTATAAAATAAATAACTATGTATCCCACCTTCCCTACTACCCAATTACAAAAGTGGTAACACTCGTCCTCAGTTCTTGTTTTATTTTTAAAAGTTTTTTTTTTTAATACTAATGATGCTGGTACAATTAGAAATTTTTAGATGCACATATTTTTTAAGTTATCATAATTTTAAATTGTATGTGTATGTATAATAATTCAAATGTAATGTAATGAATAAATTGAATAATTGTCTCCTACATTTTTTCTTTTCATAAAACATGCAAAATAATATTCAGTGAATACAAATTAGATAGTATATACAATTTGAATTAAAAGAAATAGATTATAATTTTGTTATAATAATTATTATTTTTTTTAATACAAAAGTAAACTACTTACTTGTAACTTTTTTTTAGCTTGTGCTATAGTGTCTCTTGTCATTAGTGGCATTTTTATATCCTGACAGTTGGATGACAAACGAAGTTTCAACATAATTTCAGAACCTTCATCAGATGATTCTATAATTAGAATAATTGAAATTATTATAGAGATAAAATTAATTTTATAATAAATAATGTAATCAATTATGGCCAACTTAAAATATTTGAATACAAATTATTAATATAACAATATAGTGAAACTAAATATTATGCACCTGTTTGTTCAATCGGGGAATCTCTGCCACTACCTTCTTTTACTATATTTATAGGGTATGAAAGACAATAGACGGGAACCTGGTACCGTGTTCCCAATTCATCATAGCACTCAGTTAAAAATCCTTAAAAATAATTTGATTAAAATAAATAACAAGTTAAAGTGTTGTGTATAAATTGTTTACCATTAGGAACTGAAATGTTAGCGCCATCCAATATGGCTTGTGCCAATTGAAAATCAGTCGTTTCAGCAGCTGCAGTAGCTGCTCTTAAAGCATCCCAAATTTCTTTCCGCCCTTCAAATGCTGGGGCTGTATCCCAGAACTCATCTCGTTTGCTTCGTAATTGACCTTCAGTCAAGGCAACATCAGATTTCCAACGGATTGTTTCATGGCATAATGGATGGTTTTTTCTGTTAGTACCTGTATAGATAAATCAATGCATAGGATTTTATAAATTATAAAATATTAAAAACAAATTATTCAGGTATATTAGTAAAATACTATGTGATATATAATACAATATAATTATACAATAAACAATGAAGTGTATAGTAAATTAGTATAGTTTAATTGAAAAATCTGCATATAAGCCAATTTCGGTATCAAGCAGTAAACATATACATACATAATATACATGTTATAAAATTTGTAAATATTAAATTAGTTAAATAGAACAAGAATTAGAATAACAGATAGTTATGTTTTATGTAAAATATACAATTTCAATTACTTATTATAAAGTGAAAATGTCTATGTACTTCATAAATAATAGTGTTATCATTTCTGTTATTTAATAAATTGAAAAATGTATAATAACTGTTTGTAGATATATAGAGTGATCAGTTTTTCATAAAATATTCATACAGAAAAGTTTTTCATTTTTTCATAATTTAGTACATATTTAGTTCCAAAACTGAAACATTGCAATTTTAAAATTACATTTTCAGAAAGAATTTTTTTAAAAAATGTAATACTTTTAGAGATAATGGATTTTACAGAAAATTGATAATGTAATAATTTTATTAAAATTTTAACTTTTCAAGTTATTATTACATATTAGGTACAAATTGATAAGTAATTTAAATATAATCAGTAAGGATATTTAAAGTATTAGTACAGTACTATGGTATTTTAAGATCTAAATGGTGTATATTAATTGGTTCAAAAAAATACTACAATTTGCAGGTATAATGGAACAGTTTATATTCATTCGATGAATTTACTAATGTGTATATGAATAATTTTATCAAATTTTTAGTTTGTTATTTATACTAACAGATGGTGGGGAACATAATGACTTTTTCTTAATAATTTTAGAACTCTATAATTGCTATATATGTAAATATATAATATTATCTTACCCATACCACAATACAATAGTTGTGATCTGTACCTACACAATACTAAAATAGAAATTATCAGAGGAAATGTAAAGGCATATATTTCAACGAAACGTTATGGAATGGGTGTAATTATTCTCTAGGAATAAACCTATAGATAAATAATTTACCAGAACTGGGACGAGATCCATTGTCTGAAGATGCATTCCTTCCCCTGCGATTTCTATGTAAAGCTAAACAGCCTCCCATATTGTTTGAATGAGCCTTGAATTCATGGCAGCCTTACATTTATGTTGAGCTTAATGGCGTCTTTCAAAAATAGGAAAGATTTTTAAGTTGAATATGTAAAAATATATGCTGTTAAACAGAATAAATAAATCTACACGTAAAATAGTTGTGTAAAAAATAGGAAACAATAAATGTATAGAAAATGAAAAACAAATAATTATCAAACTCTGATAAAAATTACTTTCATCATGAATATATTATTTTTATTTATTCCATGAATAATGATAATATACATGTAACAGTATCTATCACATGTCTTCAGTCTATAGATTAGATTAGTATATTATCACTTTACTCTTGGTTGCACGGCGGTAAAGTGGACACTGGACAGCGATTGTTATTTAATATATCTCATTTTTTTTTCAATTTTATTAAAAAACTATTGATTTTCATAACTGTAGTTTTCTTGTATTATTCATTTTTCAAATTTTAAAATAATGAGTATTTTAATAGAAATTGTAGATGTTGTAAAAAATGGAAGTAATATTGATTCCAGTTGTCAAAAAGTTAGCAAAGGTAATCTAAAAATAATGAAAGATTTAAAATGTATTTAATGTATAATAAAATTGTAGATGGTAAAAAGCTGTCTAATTGAATTTAAAATATATATTTATTTAATGTATATTTAAAATAATTTAAATAGTTATTACTATTTAAATAACTTTAAACAAATTATTAAACAATTATTTTTTTTAGAAATATCAGATAGAACTCTAACATTCCTTCAATTTATTGAAAGTTTGGAAGAAATTTTGACTTCTACAGACAAAGATATTCGCTTAAATGGAATTAAGGCATTAGTATCAGTCCTTAAACAATTGTCTTTAGATTTTTTTGCATCTGAAGAATTGGAATACATTAATAAATTTTTGTGTGATCGTTTCATAGATCATCATTCATTTGTACCAATTGTTTTACAAGGAATTGTGTATACTGTAATCATCTGCTTAATTCTATTGCTTATTAAATAAAAGTATTGTTAAATTATGTACATTCCTATAGATACAAATGAAAAATTTTTCCAAAGACATGATTGTACGGTATTTGAATACACTTATGCCTCATTTTCATTGTCAGTCACAACTTCAAAATGACAGACATACATTTTATCAGATTTTACATCAGATTTTTTTAAATCGACTAGAAGGTAATTAAATGTTTTAGTATGTATTATAATGTTTTGTATTATGTTGAATATAGTAATAAGTTTAGGGATCCCATATATCCCGTATTATACAGGATTATACTGTATATGAGACAAGTGGCCTGGTGTCTGGACCAAATGTTCTAAACAACACTTGTCCTGTATTTTGAATCACTCATTCCATATATGCCTTAATGTTCCTTATTTCAAATTATACAATTCAAATTTGTTTGATCAATAATATCTAGTTTTGTCAAATAATTTTATCTGCAAAATATATTTTGATTAAATAAATTGGGATTAATTATTATAATTACTAAGATCAGAACCCCAATTTTTTTTCAATTCTTTTTGTTACTTTTTTCAGCTATTAGTTGACACACCTAGGGCCTAACAGTAGACACGTCCTATCATGAGATTGGGAAGGTAGTATTACTGTAGACAGATTAGATTTTTGAATAATGATAACATATTAATATTTTAGTTAATTTTTAACATTAATTTTGATATAAAAGACTGCCTAAAAAGTAAACTTGATAACTTGAGTTACGGACCAGTTTTGAGAGCCATGTCCTTATATATTATATCACCTCCCTCTCAAACCACATGGTTGCAATGTATGTACATTTTAAATATGATTTAAAATGTCCCATATTTATAATAAATAAATCTGGAATTCCTAAATAACTAATATTTTAGTAATTAGTTAATTAATAGTTTTATTTAATGAAACTAAATTATTACTGAATTATAAACTTAGTATAAAAATAAATTATAACTTTATTAAAAATAATAAGTTGTTAATTTGAAAAATAAATTGGTTTTAGATGTGCGTTTTATGGGCCCTGATTTTCTATATTTTGTGATTTCTTCAATGGATGGTGAACGAGATCCTAATAATTTATTACTACTTTTTAGAATTCTGCCTCAATTTTTAAGAAATTTCCCATTAGGTCATTTAGCTGAAGAGACTTTTGATGTCATTGCCTGTTATTTTCCTATAGATTTCTATGAGGTAAATTTCTTATTTAATTATAACTAATAACATTAATAATTTTAATTGTATTTCACAGACAGATGAAAGTAAAATAACTAGAGATGAATTAGCATCAAATTTGGCTCGATGTCTTACGTGTGTAGATGAATTTGCAGATTTCTGTATTCCTTTAGCTTTACAAAAGTTAGAAGCCACGTTAAAAATAGCCAAATTAGATTCATTATATTTACTGGTAAGTAAATATATCATTTTAAAATATATATTTTCAATTGACCTAAGACCTATAAAATTTGTTCTAATCAAAATATTTTGATTTTGTTAAACAAATTTATTTAAATTAAGTAACAAATGATATAAATTGTAATTATAATACAGTCTATACACTGAGTTTCACAAAATTCAAATTTGAAGATTTATAAATATTACATTTTTACATAAAAATAATAATCAGAAACAATAACAATCTAAACAAAATTTGATTTTATAAATTTAATATTCTTACATTAAGTAATTTTGGATTTCACCTTTGCCTTACTGTGTGTATTTACTATTAATTTAATTTAATGTATTAAAATATAAATTCCATTTTTTATAAACATTTTTAATAAATTACTATTTTCTTTATTTAACTGTATGGGCTTTAAACTATAATTATTTAAATAAAAAATTAATTCTATTATATTAGAAATTATGTTGTGAGAACTTTGATCCCATCAAAATTAAATTACACATAGAAGAAATATGGCGTATTTTAAAAATGTTAATAATGTCAGACATTGAAGATTCAACAGATGAAGTTAGAGAAGCTGCAATTGGTGTTTTGACTGGTTTATTGTATTCTCTAGACATTATTAAAGGAGAAAATAATCATGAACAATTATCAAATTTCTTAGATATTATTCTTAAAAGTTTGTATTTTAAAGTTTTTTAATCTCAGAAGTTATTAAAATTAAGAATCTTTCTCACAAACATTGAATTTTAGTGTAAAATCATTAAGGTTTTCATCTAAAAATTATAATTTTTTTTATTATGATCACTAGCAATGATTTTTGAATTATTAAAAACTATTTCTGATAAAGTGATAAGGCGTGAACTGGCTTGCGGGATCTCAAGAATTTTTCTTTATAGGCCCTTTATGTATACACGTTTTTGGTTTTTCTTATTTTTAAGGTACTTATGAATGTTTAAAATTGAAATCTATTTTTTTAACTAACCAGTAGAAAAAAATTACCCAGTATGCGCCTGAAAGTGATAACTTAATATGTTTCAAAGTAAAATTAATGTGAGGAAGATACTTACATATGATTAATAATGAGTTAATTCATCATATTTTTATTTTTTGTAGGTTCTCATAGATTTTTGTTAGATACTCAAGCAACTCTATTTATACCTTCAATTAAACTTCTTTGCAGTGTTGGTAAAACTTCTAATCATGCTTGTTGTAAAATAGCAAATAAAGTAAATTGATAAAAATTTTTGTTGAGTTACAGTAATTACTAAATTCCATTAGTAAAACAAATTTGTTTTGAATTATTTAGGTATACTTAATGTTATTAGACAAAAGTGATGTATCACATATAGAAATTGGTAGAATCATAGAAGCGATGGGTTTAATTACAAATATGTGCTTACAAATGTCCATTGACTTATCATGTAAGCAATCAAATATGCTTGATTGAAATCTTAACTGGTTATTATTTAAAAAAAAATATATCTAATTATTTTAATTATTAGCTATACCTGGTCTAGAAACAAAGTGGGAAGAAATATGCTGTTATTTTTTACTTTATGCCCAAAACGATTTACCAGAAGTGAAAATATCTTCCCTGAAAGCATTAAGAATATCAACTAAAATACTTACAAAATCTCAGCGTGATAATTACTACTGCATTATAAGTACATTAATTGCATCTAATATAACAGATCATATTCGACAGGAAACATTATTGTGTTTCAAAGAGGCAGCCAAATTGTATAAAGAAGAAATTATAGAAGTTATAGATTCAAATATAAAAGTTTTAAATGGTAAGAAATTATACAAATAAAACATTGATAAATATTTTTACTTAAAAATTATTAAAATAATATGATAAACAACCATTTTAGATTCTAATGATATTGATTTAAAATCTAAATGGTTAAATGCTTTATGTTGTTTGGGGAATGAAGAATATTTTTTTTCATTAATCAATAATAATCTATGTGCTAATTTATGTGAAAAAGAAAAAGAAACTCAGATAACTCTAAAATGTTTAAGGTGAATATCACAAACAATACATATTTATTTTGGTTATTATTTTTCTCATAACTAATGTTTCAGGGATCTTGTTAAAAATACTGATAATACTAAATTGTTAAATCATTTTGCTTTGGATGGTGGTCTCTTAAACTTCATTTTAACAACTTGGATTAATGGCATAAAGGACTGTGCCAATTATGAAGTATTTCGAAATGAAATTATTTTAGAAGATGTATCGTTTGTTATTAATTCTGTTATAAAAAGTATTGATAACAGGTAATTTTTTTTTTAAACTTTAAACTAACTTACAATTATTTATTATTTTTATACTAATAAATTTCCATAAAAAGTATGCTCACATCAAATTTTAATAAGGACTGTACTTATTTTTCATGAAATGTTTTTAATATAAAACTTAAATTAAATTATAAGTATATCTTCAAAGTACACACTTGCAAAATTATAGTTGTTGGACTCTTTTATATTCTAAGGAATGTGAGAAACGTATTAGTTTTACTAGATTTTTTTTGTTGTCTGTTTTCGACCATAAGTCTTGTTCCAACCATCAACTTCTAGGGTGACTTCTGTTATAAATGAAGACAATAAATGGTTTATTATAGATGTGAATAATTCTTAATAAAAAAGGAAACCCCCATAAAACTGAAAATATTTCACTTAAATAAAATTTCATATAATATTTTATTTTAATAGTTAAATGAAAAATACTATTATAGACCTACAATTATCACCATTATTACAAAGAAAAATTTGTCTTAATGAGGAATTTTTTTAGGTATTTAAGCTATTGACATTTTCTTGGTTTATGTGGATAAAATTGTAGAGCAAAACAGAAATTCTTGAAAATATAATAGAAAGTTGAACATAATGTAGTAAATTTTTTGTTAAAATCTTATAATACCATGTTTAATAGAACTTAGCTCAGAATTGTATTTCATCAGCAATGATTCTTAATAAATCATTAATGATTTTGACTTTTAATCTTATTAATTTTATAATTAACACACATAGTGTACATAAAAAAAGTCTTTGTATTCCTTATCAAATTAAAAACATGTTTTGCTCTCCTATAAATATTTTAATATCTACATGTAAAGTTATAGCTAATGAAATTTAATTTACTAAAATGATTTGCTTGTTAATCATATTATTATGAATCATATTATGTATGAAATTATGTAATGTTATTTTCTATTTGTATTATCTTGTTACTCGTGTTGTAGGTAGGTAGGTAGGTGAGTGTTGGATAGTAGACAGAAATATAAAACAGAGAATGAGTGTATCAGAGATTAGAATGCTTAGGTAAATTAATGGGATGTCAAAACATAAGTGTACCTTTAATAGTAGAAAAATTAAAGAAAATAGACTGAGATAGTTTTGGCAGGTTATGAGGAATCAAAAGTAGTCATGATGGTAATACAAATAAATCTAGGAGGAAAAAGGAAGTGGAAGCTCAGTAAAAATTGGTTTGGATGCAATTGTGAATAATATGGAGACACTCAAAGATAGTGTATAATGGGCCCAACATAGGAATAGGACTTTGAAGAAAAATGTTTTTGAAATAAAACAAATTCCAACTTGAGTTTATAAATAATTAATATTTTCCACACAAAAATCTATAAGTCTAATAAAAAAATTCACAAAAATAATACAAGTCTAAATAATTCAATTCACAAACATCAAAAAATATTCTAAGTACAATTTAATTTCACACACAAAATTATTACAAGTACAAAAATAATTCATAAAACAGAGTGACTTAAAGTTGCTTACATTTGATCGTCATAGACTCTTCTGATTAGATTATGATTCGGGCGGCATCATATATGCTCCGAGGGACCTCCGCAACCTGTTGTTTATTGTGTGGCTATCTACATTATTTCATTTATTGTACATTTTTTATATTATTTTATATGTTATCGCTAATGTTTTATGTTATGCACAATTTGCAGTTGTAAAAGGGTACATTTTACTATTGCTTCGGTTCGCCCTCATTTGGTGCTGGTTGAAAGGTTAATAAATTGCATAGGCCTAGCTTTGGGATGTGTTCTTCTCTTGTGGAATGGTCAACCTTTTTCGAATAATTCGGCATGCACTCAATTGAACCCGACATTTACTACGGGTTCACGTGAGTATACTTATAGTAGCATGTGGGTCCGTAACAAGTGTATACAATGTAAGATATCAAGTGGCCCCAAATAGCTGGGATGAAGGCAAAGGATGAGGAGTAGTTATTTTACTACTTTTCTGTTAAATGTTAAGATAGGTAAAAATATTGTGATTTATTAGGAATATTGGTGGGTGGATACTGGATAGATTATAGGCAAGGCGGATTAAAGGGTGGTCCAGGGGCCATATCTCTGGGACCCACGTATGTAAAGGACCCATAGTCTTTGTAGCTTAAAATTACATCTAGTAGTAATTTGTACTTTTTATAGTGCCCAAGAATTTTATAATTTTTTTCTTGTTTGAACTAACAGGCCTGTCCAAACAACCCGCCTACCATGTTTACCACTACGAGTATGATGGGGCCACATGGCTAGGTTTTTGTATGTAGGAAATAGAAAATAGGAATATATTTTGTTATCACTGTATTTAATAATAGGATTATTGGGAAAATACGTTTATGGGAGTATGTAACTATTGTGGGTATTCAAAACTTAGATTCCTTCTGATTACAACAGTCTGCTGTCTATACTCTATACTGCATTATTAGTTGTTGCTAATTGTGCCGCAGGAGCATTTTCGAAATTAGCCATAGTTAAAAATAAAAAGGTCTGACATGCTTCGCACATGGGTGTAGTCACTGTTGTAGGTGGGAATTTAGAATACAGACGGGAATTTAAAGTATATTTGTAAGCAATGATAAATCATTGCTAACGAAAAAACGATTCTGAGCGGAGTTCAGTTGCTTTGTCAATAATACAATGTATAGTATATATCATATTATGTTAAAGTGATGTGCATTTCCATGACAACAATGATTGTTGAAATAAGATTAAAATAATGAAACTTAATAATAACAAAAAATAATGCCAACCTTATTTTTAATATTTTAATCTTTTTTAACTTAAAGATTGAAGTTTTTCTAATTTTTTTCGATTATTAATGAGAGTTTAATAAAAATGACTTCTCTAAAGTAAACCTTTCTTTCAGAAAAAGTGTTATACTTGATAATTAGAGTAGAAAGTGTTCAAATAAAAAAAAGTAAATAAAAATCATTGTAAAACCATATTACTTGCTTCACTCTCTTCACTTCATCAAAAATAGATCTTCACAAACTCAAGATAATTTATCATCATTAATGATATTTTACAAAATTTAAGCTTTGATAAAACTTTAGAAGCATTTGTTACACAAAAAGCAAAAAAAAAAAAGACTTTTACCTAAAATACATACTTAATTTTATTTGTAGATATAATAAAAAATAATATGTTTTTAATATTTTTATTATACTTAATTAAAGTTTTAAATTTGTTTAATTATACATTTTTATTATTTTAAAAAGTTGTTTTCATTGGTGGGTGCTCACAACTATGTATTGGCCCCTGAAGGTCTAAATCCAGGCTTAATTTACGTTGCTTCCAGATTATTATTTTTGGTTAGTTTTGCCATAGCGCGCACCCATCAGCAATATCAACTTTTTTAGTAGGTGATTCTATTTATCATATTTAAAGTTAAATTGTTTATTAATATTTTACTTATAAAAAGTAACAATAGTTCCTCATACATATAATTATGTTAATACTGTTTTATTTATTTTAGTGAGCAGCTTCAAATAGTTAATCAATATATCCAATATTTCAATGAAATTGTAAATACAACAATAAATTACAAACAATTATCTGCAGTAAAACAAGACATACATTCATACATGGTAATAATTTATATTTTATTCACTTAAACAATCAAATGTTAATTATTAAATTGTTTTACTTTTATCTAAGTATCTGTAATATGTCCAACACAACACAATATTTTTGCTGAGTGAGAACACAGTGAATTATACATTTGTATAATATTATTTAAAACTAAATTAAAAATATCATATTTAATAATAATAATTATACCAAAATGTCATAATAATCTATGGATTTTTGAAAATTCAACTATTTTTTTATTTAACAAATATTTTATTGAACCAAGCCTCTTATTTTTAAACTAGATTCACTCAGAATAATTTTTAGTTTAGAATGTTTTATTGATACATACTGCATCATTACCCTATGGTAATATGTCAATATCCCAATTTTCCACTTACACGTCTATGGTGCAAAGTATGTCTTAACCTTTTTCAATATATTGTTTGAATATTATTGACTTATTTAAAAACTATTCCTGTTTTATTTAAAATGTTACAGATTATTTTATTAGAAAGTATTTTAAATTCATTAAATCAAAATTTCAAACTTGATAATGTTATTTTATTAATTGAAAATAGCATTCAATTATCAACATATTCTAATATTTCAATATGTAATTTATCGGCTTCACGATTAACAGCAACATTAATCAATAAATATATTGACAGTATGTTATTATATACTATTCTTTATTAATCATTTTCAATATATATTTATGTAATATATATATTTGTAAATTTTTCACAGGTGAAGACTACAATGTTTTGGATAAATTGCAAATAAATTTAGTAAACAATTTAAATATAATAGACAACTCATATAAGAAAAATGTAATAAATCAAATATCATGGATCACCAAGGCCTTAGCACTTAAAGGGCATAATAGAATGCTGCAATGGATAGATTGGGTAACATAGAAATATTATTTGATAATGTTGTACATAATTAATAATATATTTTAAGTTGAGGTAATTGATATAATAAAATACAATTGATCATTAGATATAATTTGTATCTAGGTAATTTAGTAATACATTGTCTGCTTAGCATAAGTTTTAACAATTAAGAAACTCATAATTTTTAAAAATAATAGTTATTTACTTGTTTAATTTTCAGTCAATACAATTACTAGCAGACCCCATGTATGGAAAAACAATGACATTGTGTTTTAAAATGTTGACACAAACAGATAATGGATATTTAAATAAAGAGTGTTTTTGTTCAGTTAAGTAAGTACTATACTATGTGCAAAAAATAATGTTAGCACTCTTTTATATGTGTATAAGTGTAGTAAATAAATATGGTCGCATAATCTATATTAATAAAAAAAAGTATCTGTACTAACAGCCAAATTTTTGCACTCAGAGATCTTAAATATATATATATATAGAAGTGGATGAACTACACCTTGAAGCTGAATTTCTGAAATTCTACTCCCAAGGGTGGCTGACAGTTTTTGGTATTTTTCAAAATGGGTTAATGTTTTTATTCAATACTAAACACGGGCAGTCATATGAGATTATTATAAACTGAATTACAAGGAAAAGCTAAAAAAAAAAATTTTAATCATTGCAAATAATGTTTTAGGTTATTATACAGACAAAGGATATTTTGTTATGTTATTGAACCACTTATTACCAAATTTAACTCGATGCCTGAACCAATTAAAGAAAACTATTTAATTTGTATTTTATATCAAATGGATGGTAATTCCTATGTGACACTTGCACCATATTTTTCCAAGGTAATTTCAAGTTATTTTCTTTTTTCATAATTAAGTATTTATTATATTAGTTTCTTTGTTTATAAATTAATATAAAATAAGACTAATTATAATCTTATTATTTATTTTCTAACACTGCAGTAGCATATTCAGGAGAATAGGAGGTTATATAAAATCCCAAAATTTGTTTGGCTGACTTTTATAATTGATTTATATATATATATATATATATATATATATATATATATATATATATATTTTATACAGCACTTCTTGTTGTTTCATTTTCTTGGAAAATAAATTCAACTATTTTTTTCATGTCAAGCCTACAGAGCTCTATATTTTGTGTCTCACTAAAGAATAATGCTGTCAGAAAATTTTTTAAATTTTCCAAAAATTAAATTAATTTATTTTTAGTTACCTGTATAATAAGTGTGAATAATACTAAATTATCTTTATAATACTTATATGCTCAATTAGTTTAATTGTTACAGATATTACCAGTGCTACTTCAACTTTTATCTCCAGACCAAGTATATGTATTACAGTCATTACAAACTTTCCGCAATCTTTTAGAATCCAAGACTCCAATTTTAGAAGATCATTTGCAGTCTTTTATTCCAAAATTACTAAATATATCTCAAAGTTCAAAGTATATGAACATACGAATAGTAGCATTACAATGTTTATACAATTGCTGTGACTATTCTTTAATTAAACTATTACCATTAAAAAAACAAGTAACCAACATTTTAACACTAGATTAGTAGTTATATATATACATATATATTTAATGACCTTTTTTATTGTTTATATAGGTTATTTTGGAACTAGGCAAATGTTTAGATGATAAAAAACGATTAGTTCGTAAAGAAGTGGTGAAAACAAAATCTCGATGGTTAGCTATAGATGTATTGAAAGATGATGATTAACATGAACAATGAACATCATCTACTAATGAATAATAATCATGTTACATTAATCATTGTATATTATATTTCATTGTAAAACATTATAATTATGAATTTTCAAACTGAAGGTTCTTAAAAATAAATTCCTTGCTATAGATTAAAATTTTTTTCTTTTAATATATAACAATTAGCTTTTAATTATTAATAAATATACTTCAAAATGCTGTGCAATTTTTAAGAAACAATAGAAATAAAGAAATTCACACAGTTATTTGATCAAAAAGCTGAAAAAAAAAAATAACACTATTATTCTATTGAATTATGTAAAAACTATGTATGATATTAATATTACCTGTAAGGATAGCCATGTGCTTTTGATTTGAATATAGACAGAATAACACTAAATAGGAACACTATTAATGCTAAACCACCAACAGTCATTATTTTCCGTGTTTTTGAATCGGTTTTTTTTGTATATGAATCTGTCATTATCACAACTCCGAACACCAATATTAAATCTATAGCTACATTCAGGAAAATTTTTTCAAACACGATACCATTTAATTTTCCAATAATAACATTTATTATGTTTTTATAAAAGAAGAAATCAAATTGAATAAAAATCAAATTATTATTATTATAATCAACCAAAAATAAATAGGATTTTAATTCTGTGAATAAGCAAATAAAAACATATACTATAGGTTCTATCAATACCCATATTATTTTCAATTTTTAACTTCTCCAACCTCTATCTATCTTCTTTTTCTTTGCCTTCATCCCAACTATTTAGTTATTTCTGTTAGCTGTCTTGTCCTGTTCCTCCTAACTAATAATCTATAAACTTCTACTTATCCTTAGTTTCTTTTCTTCAAGTGCTATTCTCTATTCCTTAAGTAGCCTATTGTTAACTTCTTCCAAATTTTCTCTAATTAAACCAATATCATCTGCAAACATCAAACATCAAACATCATCTTTTCTCACCTATTGTCCTTGCCCTTGGGGCAATATACCCAAGTTTTGTGTAGAACATCTCATACGAGTTTGATAGAAATGTACAATGGCTGTCGACCTGATTCAATCCTATTTATATCTTCTTACAGGTAGTAGTACCCTTGGAATATTATGATCCCACAGGGAATCCCAACGTCTATCTATAGCCCTGCAATTTCAAACTACATAATAGCTTGACTTAAAGTTTAACACATTTTTCACTTTTACAACATCCCATTTGCATCCTAAACAAAAAATCTAATTTTATAAAAACTTACTTCATTCTAAATTATTATTTAAATCAAGTTATACAATCTACCAAGTGATCTTTAAGTAGATTTACACTCATTATCTCGGAAAGTATTAATTTGTTTCCTCGAACATTTATAAAACAAGCAGCTTTAGAATTTTATATTTATGTTACTTTTTATCACCCTTATTTTTGGAGGAAAACCACTAACTACTTTGATTTTTAAATGACCACTTACATTAAAAAGTCCATAAATAGAAGTTGTATTGTTTAAAATAAATTTTAGTGTTTACATTTTTGATTTCTGTAAAGTCGTTTACGAGATATTCCACTTTTAACTTTAGATTAGAGAAGAGTAGTGGTGCATTATTAACACGCCTCACAGCTACACTAATGATACTCCATTACTCTCCTCCAACCCAAACTTAAAAGTGGAATATCTCTTCAACGGATTGATGGAAATCAAAAATGTCAACACTAAAATTTATTTTAATTAATACTTCATTTTTTTTTTTTTATAGAATTTTTAATATAGGTTGTCATTTGAAAATCCAAAGTAGGTAGTGGTTTTACCCCCAAAAATAAGGGTAACAAAAAATAACATAATGAGTGTACCCACTTAAATGGATCACCTGGTATACTGCATTACTAATGTTTATGTAGCACTACAGTATTACTAAAACCACCAAAGTATTCCGATTAACATGCAAATGTTTAAATTGCTGCAACAGTTTGGTATGTTACAAACAACTCCTATTATGGCACCTTTACATTCCAACATTAAATAAACATGCATTTTAAATCTACAAACAAATTTCAGATAATATACCTAAACTCTTGACAAAGGAACTATTATAGGGTCTTATTTTCTTTTTAAAAACATTTTAAGATAATAATATAACCCCCAATGATTATCTGCGTTTTTGACTCCCAGAACTATATACAGATAATTTCAAATTTTATTTTAATGATGTATGTGAAAATTTTTTGGAATCATATATTCTGACATTACCCATTTTTATCACTGTCATATTTAAATTTTCAAATGGTAATCTATATTAAAAATTGTATAAATAGAAGTTTTAGTTTAAATACATTATGGTGTCTACTATATACCTACCAACATAATGACAAATCACCTAAAAAATCTAAAATCTTGGCAATGGATTGACAGTAATTAAATATTTACTTAATTTTAAATTTCAATTATTTATACAATTTTCAACATAGATTGATATTTGAAAATCAAGAAGTGGTACGATTTCATCCCCAAACATAAGACTGAAAAAACTAAAAGAATTTTAACATTATAGTCCTCTCTGATACGTTTTGCTGTAATTTCACAATATGAACATATTTGATGTTTAAAAAAAGAATTAATTATGTTAAAGTAACCTTAAGATGCTATATCAAAACTTAAATTTAATTATGTTATTAGATAGAAAGGATACTCAATACGATTATGATATATGTTTCAAAAATAAATTGTCCTTGAGAAGAATTATGAATATATGTAATAACACCTTGCTGATTTCGATGCATTAGAGGTGGTCCTCTTATATGATTCCACATTTGTCCAGATATCATAGTCAAACAGAACAACTACAAAATGTAATTTTTAATACTTAGGCTATGCACAAAATATAACTAGAAACTTACCACAGCACCAATTCCCCACAAATTTTTGTTGAAAATCATTTCCATATTGTTTCGTCTAACATATAAAAATGATGAACATATTGCAAACAGAATAGACAAAGCCAGTGTACTAGAATAATTTGGAGGACGGAAAATTCGGATCTAAAAAATAAATAAATTAAAAATATGTGTACAATATTCTTTTTTTTTTTTTCAAATTAATTTACAATTTATTACGTTTAAAGATTTGTTTATAACACACAAAATTAATTGATTTATAAGTTTTATTTTAAAAAAATAAATGAAAAATGCTCTTTTAGAGTTTTATAATTGAAATTAATTAATTTATACATTAAACCACAGTAGGCCAAACACATTTTTTGTTGTTTATACAAAACAAAAAAACTACTGTATAAATAGATTGTGAATAATTGATTTACTAAATTAAATTTGTTAATTTATACACAAATTGCATAGTAAAGTTAAGAGTAGTATAATTAATTTTGCACATAAATTTAAACTAACAATATATGTACTAATAATAATAGTAATTTAAGAATTAATAAATCATAATATTTTTATCAAAAATTTGAGGTTTAAAACAATATTAACGGAAGTATATTTTAATATTGTAAAAAGTATTTTAAACTTCCAAGACCTAATTTTTTTAAAAAACTACTTAACTTGGTACTGACAATCATTTTATATAGTTATTTTTTTGAAGTGAACTAATTTATTTATTTTGGAATTATAAAATATATTAATGTTTATTAAATTTGGAGAAAAGGTGTACTATTTTGATTTGTTAAAAATTATATTATCTACTAAAAATTAAAATGTTTTAAATCAGTGGTTTTCAACTTGGGGACAACAAACAAAGGGTTGTTTAGGTTTAGTAAGGTGATAGCTAGGGGGTCACCAATAACCATAAGTATCATCTAAACTGTACATTGTATTATTTAAGTACTGTTAAATGATTTTTGAAGGGGTCATTATAAATGGAAAAAAAAAAAAATGAGGAGGTTGCGAGGTTTTAAATAACAATTCATATGTTCCAGTATACTAACTTGTACATCAGTTCGTTCTTGTATCCATTTTGAAATCTGTTCTGATGCAAAACCAACTCTTTGTATGTCCATTGTATCTAAAGGTTTAGGTTTACCTTTTGCTGGAAAATGCATAAACACTGGAGCAGTATTAATACGCAACTATATTAACAAAAATAAATAAATTCACTAATATTTTTTAAAAAAACAATAATAAGATACTGACCATTTGGAAAATGTCAGATCCCTCATCAAAATCAACAATTCCAAAATATAAAGGACTTTCCATTAGTCTATGAGAATAACGATATGAATTTGCAACAATTATGAATTCATCACTAGCATGTCTAAAAATGCAATATTAATTTTAGAAATATATTTCATACTTAAAACATAACATGTATTGAAATATTGTAAATAATATACATTTTTTTCATATAATAAGTAATCATTAAAAAAAAAAAAAAAAAAATGCATTATTGTAAAATTACCCGCATATTGAACATTGTCTGTGAGATGCCATTGCTGTAAACATTATGATAACTGAATAGTTTCTTGGTGGTGATTTAACAAATTCCTTAAATTTGGGCCCATTAAATCTGACCACAAATTTATTTTGGTATAAATCATTAAGCTGTTGTACTTTTTGTTCAAGGTTCTAAAATAAAATGTAATTTATTAAAGAGTAACATATGTGGGTTGATTAAGTCTAAATTAATTAATAATAAATATATAAATGAATGAATGTGTCACCTGGAGTATTATGAAATATGTATTATATGATCGGATTTGAATTAAAAGTTCATCATCAGGTAAAATTAATAATAGTTGTTAATAAATGTATTATCTCATATATGGTTACACGTAAAAGTAAACATAATAAAATTCATCTGTCATCGATAATTTATTGATATTACTTGTTATTTTTATAAATAGGGTACTGATAAATATGTAAATGCATATTTTTATTATAATAACATATTTAAAGTTTGATAAGTAATGTTCACAATTTAAAACATTGTTATTGAAATGATACCAAATTTATTTGACATATTTCACTAATTTGGAAATATTTTGGTGATTCATTCATTTGTTTTTAATGACCTGTTTAGACCGTTCACTATTTTAAAATATTTTGAGACCTATTGGGTAACATCTAATATTCAATAATTTAAAAGAACTTATAATTATTCAATAAAACTTTTTGAATGAAAAATGTTCTGGTCATAATACTATTTTTATTTTGTATTCATATTTTTATAATTTTTTTTTCTCCACATATTTTATAAATTATACTTCCACATTTATGTATTTTAATTTCATACAAATCTATTTCCCACTTCTTAATTATAGATGTACAGCTAATGTACTTAAAAACTATCCCATTAAACAATTTACCACACGTAATTATTATAATTAAGCAATTATTAAAAAAAAAAACTCTATACCTAAAGTGTATTACAATTAAAAAGCATTTAAATTGTCTTACTTTCTCACCTCATCTATGAAAGTATTTTTCAATTAGGATTTTAATTAGCCCTGTGGGATGAAATTATAATAGTTATACAGTACTTTCATCTATTGTAAGAGAAGATAATGGAATTGTATCAGGTGCAATAGCTGGAGTAAAATTCTATCAAATTGTATCAGGAGTTCTTACATAAGACTTGGCAAATATGCCACATCCAAAATGGGACACGAAGAGCCTAGATTTTGGGTCGGGCTTTCGCCGTCATCCCCCGCGTACTTTATGTTTAGCGCTGGGCGCTATTCAAGAGACGGGGTTGTCAGTGCGTCCGCAGCGGCAAGCCGGTGAGGCATGCCTGGGTCGCCTGAGGGCCACCAGCGCCGGCCCATACTTTTCGACTCGGGTATGACTGCGTCGCATGGGTTCCTTATATCTCACTAGGTCAGTGATTTTTCTACTATCTTGCGCTGGTCCCACAGTCACCACGTTGCAGACAAAGTAGGCACCTCAACCGCGGGGGCCACTAAGTCCGGAGCGGCAAGCCGGTCCAGCGTGAAACGGGCCTCCCCCCTCCCGTGGTACCGACTAGATTTTAAGTTGACGTCGAAGGGTCAATCGGGGCTGAGCCCCTACCACTATTCTAGCTACCCAAGCCAGCTAGTGGTGGGCCTTAAACCAAAATGGGACAATTTTGGATGTGGGTGGAGACAACAGGCAAGAGAAGTAGAAATAGAGGGTAATACTTGAAGGAAAAGAACTAAGGATAAGTAGAAGTATAATATAGAGTATTAGTTTGGAAGAACAGGACAAGACAGCTAACATCAAAAAGCAGTGATTTAAATTGTGATAGGATTAAAAATGTATGTACGTACGGGTATCTATTTTTAAAATATAGTAAGCAATACTCTACCAATTTTTCTTTTTTCTTTTTTTGTACACGTATAATATATTTACAAATACATAAAAAAAAAAAATTGCTAAGTGATAAAGTGATACATTTTATAGCCGACCTAGGTAATATATTAAGGATCACTTTATCATCTCACAGACTTTATTTACCTTTCTTGTAATAAGCAAAAGGCACTACACTATAGTATATTATAAAAATAAATAAAGTAATACAAAATATTTAACTATATTCTTAATTAATGAAAATATCCAGAGGGGATAATTACTAATGGTAATCTGGGTAAAAATATTTGGTAATCTTGGAGGAAATCTAATAAAAAACCTTGGTAATTATTGGGAAAAACATGGTATTTTAGAATCTGATGTATACAATATTAATCAATGATTTACTCTCTGAAAATGTACATTAAAAATGTCGATAGGCAAACTAACCAGTCAATTAAGTTTACAATAAATAAATTGTATAAGTAAAGACTCTAATAAATATATTAATACATTAATATTTTATAATTTAAAAACTCAAAATATTGTATTAATATTATATATAAACTACATGATTGCTATGAAAACATAAATAAGATAATTAATATGTCATTGTGAAATGTTTTTACCTTAGGCCGATCCTCTCTAGCGCTTTCAACTAGAGAAATAAAAACAATAAAAGTACACAGGAAAATGTTTTTAAAATACATTTTGATCAGAATATGAAAAGTATAATTCAATTTAAATAAATTTTACATAGTGGTGTACATTTTAGATGAACGTTTTTTATATTCCTTAAATATAGAAAATTAAAAATCTGAATTGTGTAAACGAATACAGAATAATGTAAATTATAATGACGTTGTCATAAATAATGATATGATACGACCTGTATTTTGTCATTTACCGGCTTGATAAATTTTATCCGTGGATTTCACCAATATAAATACTACCAACTTAAAATATTTTTATTAAGAAAGCCCGGCAGAAAACATGATTAAAGCTGATAATATCACAAACTAAATGAATACAGCTGGTAACTCATTGGAGATATAATCAAAGCACGACAAAAAGAAGACTTAAAGCCATGCAATCATAATCCATGGAACGGATTCCGACAAAATCCATAATACAACACAACAAATCACGATTAAAGATAAACTGGTTACATAATGAGCTATGATAAGAACATGGAACTTGGTTCTCGAAGTGTACAGATATCTGTGCCGGAATGTCTTTGATAATCTGTTGATAAGAAAAAAACAACTAGCGCTCATAATGGACTAAGATATCTTAGTGTTCGTGATTATCATTATTAATTCACCGTCACTGCGTCAGTAAGTTCATTTCAATAAGGTGGTTCATTTTACAATTACTATAGAGCGCGCCGTAAGATATTTTTTATCGGTTAAAGTTAAAGATACTTCGGGGCACGGTCTTAGATTTTTAGGTCTTACAACTTTGTATGGAATCCGTGCTCTTAATGACTGAACAGGGAATAGTGATGCTTATGTTTCACTATTTAGCGAATTAATGTTTATAAACTATAATTATTGATTAAGCGGGGAATTCACTCTGCAGCTGTAAAACCAATACATTCATATCTCCGCCTAAATTTAAAACATAAACAAAAATTGAGCCAAAAGTTCAAACGATGAGTATTTTTAATTGAAAACACTTTTAGTAGATTATAACTTTTTAAATTTTTGAGTGGATTTAGGTGCAAACGACAATTCATGATCCATCTATAGTGTAGATTCTACACCAACCTTTTTACATTTATGTAAACTACTTTCAGTTTATGCTATACTAAAACTTTCAAAATATGGAAACTGTACAGTTTATGAAAATATGCCACAAACAAATTTAATAACTATTTCTGATATAAAGAATTGTTATGATAATAATACAGATATATCTGAAATAGATAAATTAGAAACCAAATTAAATGGTTTTATAAATGAAGTTGAATGGGATTTACTGATATAATGGAACATGATTATTCTTTGGCTTCAATTTTAGACTGTTTAAAATATTATATTGCTGGTTGTTTAACTCATCAAAAAACCAAAAGAAGTTCTTGTCCAAAATATAAATCTAGTATTATGAGTAATGAATGTTTTACATTAGGAATCTAGGAAAAAAAAATCCCCTACTTAACTATTTAGTATTTAAGTGATAAAAAAAATAAAAAAAAAATATATATATCATTATAATAATATAATATTATAGTCAGTCGGGATTGCGTAACCTTTGTAGGTGTTATCTCCCTCACCCCGCTCACCGCGGTCGGATCGTCGTCCGTTGTTAGAATTAATCATACAGACCTTAATTAAATCTCAAAGAGTATACAGTTATTTGAGATCTTTATTGGTAAAATGTTCGTATATCATATATAACAAAACTTAATACATGTTTCACTTGGTCAACTACGGATCCCCGATTAGTATGAAGTCGGGGTAATGCCATTGTGGTAATTAGTAAGACGTCCCCCCCCTTCGGTCAGTGTTACCACAAACACATTTACAGTTATCATTTGGCTTTTTTGACCAATAAGTGTCCTCACTTAATATAAGCTAAAACATAATTACAAAAAAAAAATCATCACACTACCTAATAATTAAAATAATTATGAGTATAGCACTCAATACAAGAAAACAAAAAATAACTTTCATTTATAGAAAAATTAATCGCCTTGAAAATTGATTAGAGTTACTTACCAAATTGCCTTAGGACACTTAGATGTGTATACACATAAAAATATTTATATATGTATAAAAAAAAAAAATTGATTAATATTGTGTACTCATAAAATAAACTATAAACTAGATTAGATTAACTAAATAGATTAGACAGAAATCAAAACATAAATCTTGGTTCTCGTGTATTTATCGCCGTTAAGTTCAATCTTAAATCCACACTAATTAAAGCGGCTTCAACTGCGTTGAACAAATCTTTGTTCTTTTAACACTTAAATCTGTTCGCATTGTTATTGAAACTGTCTATCTACCATCCCCCTCTTCAAAACCTCATCATATGTGGTGATTATAACATTCCTAAGAACTCGTGGACATCTGACAACCTTGGTCTAAACTCCAGTTCTGCATCGGCTCTTACATCTATAATATCCGATTCATGCGCATTCTTAAATTTATTTCAATGTAACACGTTTTATAATGCATATAACGAGCTATTAGACCTAGTATTTTCTTCTTATAATAAACAAACTGTCTCTCTGGCAACAACTTCTCTAATTAAACCAGATCTCTAACATCCACCGTTAATGCTTTCTTTGGCTCTCCCCACAACATCTCAAATAGTAGAACTCTTTATATCGTGATTTTAAAAATTGTAATTATTCAGCCACTTCTCAGTGTTTTACTTCCTATAATTGGTCAGCAACCTTTGCCCAAGACTTCAATATCTCTCTATACTAGCCTCTTGTCGAGATACTGCAGACTTTTACTTGTGTGTATTACCATAATTATCATACTATGTGAAATTGCTATTATGGTGTTTATAATAATAGTAATAAGACATCAGTATATTATTGACGATAATAGCGATGACATCTCAAAGCACAAAAAACGCAGTGATGACGATAACTGTAAGTTTTTATACACCTAGCGTCACAAAAATCGCACCTATTGCAAATTATTTTTCAAAGTAATTTTAACTACACTTAATCATATGTAAGGGTACTATTTTGATATCTCATTTAATAGGTGATTAAATAAACTTGAAAAATAAATAAATGGTATGTGTTTTTATTTATCAGTGTTTTAAAAAAATAAGTTAATCGTAGAAGAATAAAACAAATTGTATTGAAGTTATACATTTTTACAAACAGAAACAGACAAGAGATTTCATATAAAATTAAAAAACTGTTACTAAATGTTATTTAAAATTTAGTGCTACTTCCTCTTGCCTTAATTACTGCTTCCATACGATCTTTCATGGATGTTATGAATCGTACGATGCGTTCTTGAGGAATACTCATCCATTGCACAAGAACAGCATCTTGAAGGTCTTGTAGGGTTGTTGGGGTAGGATCATATGACCGCACTCTTCATTTTAATTCATCCCAGAGGTGCTCAATTAGGTTTAGGTCTGGACTTCTCGCTGGCCAGTTCATAACAGGGATCCCAACCTCTTCCGTATAATTCGTTACAATTAATGCGGTGTGGGAACGAGTATTGTCGTGCATTAGTATAAACTCATCGCTAACAAAACCCGTATATAGTACCACATGCTCCTCTAAGATCTCTGTGATGTATCGATCCTTGTCCTCGAGCACCACCAGTCCAGGAAACGCACACAAGCTCGGTCTTGCTATAGATGGAAATGCCGCCCCAGAACATGTATTAGCCACCCCCCTACTCTACTGTCTCCTCAATACAGGCTTATGCAAACCGTTCGCTCTGCCTTCGGTTCACTTTCCTTCGTTTGTCATTGCTGAATAGACACACCTTTGTTTCATTCGAATAGAGCACAGTCTTCCATTGGTCGAGAGTCCAATTAACGAGTTCACGGACCGGTAGCCACAATAGACTGCGGGCCACAATGTACATACATTGTATTTTATTCATAATGTGACTGCGGTATATGATGTTTGAGTTTTCGACTAATTTTATCGAAATAATAATGTTCTTTCCTAAAAATGGCTAATTGTCAACAATCATGCAACAGGTCATCGATGATCAATATAAGACTAAAAATATTTTAATTCCATACGAAATTATAATAAACTTATAAATAAATAAATAAAAATCAAAATTTTGATGTTAGTTACTTGATTTTATTTTTTATTAATTTTCTGTGAATTTTAAAGTAACCAGTTTTTGTTTTTTTCTTGGTTTTGTTTTCCATTTTGAAAATAAGTTTTTAATTTACCTATCTGATTTCGATTTCAATTTCGGAAATCTGTTTCATTTTTTTTTCAATTTTAAAAATAGATTTTGTTTTTTTATCGATTTTGATGTTTTAATGACATTATTGGGAATTGACTTTGAATTTTAATGGTTTCAATTTTGATTTTAATATTGGAAGTAATTTTTTAACCGGTATTTAAAATTGATTTCGAAATCGGTTAAAAGAGAATGTTTGACAGCATAAGCATTAAAATAATTATGATGTCAAAATTCAGTTACTACTAATACTACAAAATGTATTTTATAGTAGTCAAGTTTCTGGAGTTAACCTAATATAACAAAAAATATGTAAACTATAAGCATTATTAACTAATAATAATTAAATATGTAACTAAATTATTTTATTAAATCGTCCACATAACCAAAGGATAAATATTAATCAAATTGTCTCTAATCATTGTTGTTAAAATAACTTCCAAATTATTTTTAGTTGTCTTTGACATTTCTCTTTGATCTTTATTCTGTGAATTTCTCAACTGATAGTAGTATAACAATTTATATTCAATTTCTTTTGAGCAAATGTTATTGACAATAGACCTATAGTAGATAAATCATGATTAATATAATTTAGTTTTTTTTCTAGTTTTAAAACTATTAGTAAAAATATTTAATATTCACATTTCATAAAAATACTATGTAATTTTAAACTATGGATTAGTTAAATTATCTATAATTTCAATTCCCTCCTATATAAACTATTCTTATTTTCTACGTATCTGCGTCCAAATAGTTTAAAATGTTCAATTTATCTCATGTATAGGTACTTAACACTATTAGTTCTCCTCTATAACCATTAAATTGCCGTTGATTGTTAATAAATTGAAAAGGTAATTATAATAATAATTATTCCCAGTTTATAATGCTTACTCGCAAAGCGTTTATTTGTTTTCGTCGTTTTGATGAAAATTGTGTTTACGGCCGTATAATATATAAATTAATTATTAAAAATTATTAAGCCGAGTTCCACTCAGAATCATATTTCGTGACAATGAATTATCATTACATCCGTTATTAAAACAAATATTTATACGATAGTATACACGGGTGTTGGATGAAGAAAACCATAGGTATATTATTGGTGACTATCACCCAATATTATAGTAAATTAATTTACTTAAACATAGTTAATATCATTTTTTTTGATGAAATTAATTTTCGATACTTACCATAAAACATTTTGGAAGTTAACTGAATATTGTACTTTTGATTTTGAAATCTGTTTCTGTTGTTGAGGATTATGTTTTTTTATGTTATGTTTTTCTTTATCTATCCATTTGTTATTGAATTTATCATTTATTCTAACATAGACATACAAAACTAAATTTTTTTCTTGTGGTTCATCTTCTATTTTCATGTTTAATTTCTGAAGGATAATAAAAAATATAAAACCTAACAAGAGTCGTGTTACCTTAAAAAACCAAATCAGTTCCTTATTCTCTATTGGTAGGAGTTTTAGATTCTGAGCAGAGCAAGATCTGTGAAAAATGTTTCCACCAGAAATTTTTTTCCAATTTTTAAATTTTTTTGGAACTCCGATCAGAATCGTTTTTCATTAGTAATGGTTAATAATTGCGTACAAATTTACAGTAAATTTCCCATTTACCTTCCCAACTTCTTACCTACAAATATAGCCCACCCATTATGCGAAATTTGTCAGTTTTTTTTTCTGCTAAAATACTTATAATAAGGTTGGTTAAGAAGACCATAAACCACAGCTCATAATTGTATTTGTATGTAGCATCTACATTATGATATAAAAAGTTTTCTTAGTATTACCTATAATTTGGATAAATTTAATTAAATCAAAAAACAAAAATGCATAACTTTTTGAGTTCATAGTGCAGTGTTGTATTATGAATTATGCATCATATTATATTGTACCTATAGTATTATTGTAATAGTCTTACTGGTTTATAATTGCCACATTCTTTTATAATAAATACTCCATTTAACTTTTCTTTGTTAATAGCATAGTTTTTTAATGACTGGTAATAATTTTCAGTTTGAGAAACTAGTTTATAAGTAACATTAAACATTATTGTCAAGATAGCTGGTTGTTTATAACTGTTAACAGTTATTTCAAATAATTGACTTCTATTTCGATTTAAATATCCTTTAATTGGCGTTACAGTCGCATTTAATATTTTTTCCACCATACATCTAATTTATACATTTAAGTATTAAATAATTAATATGTGTATTATCTAATAAATTATGTAAAAAATTAAATATCTCTTAAACATACTCTTTCCATTCAAACATAATATCTTCATTGCTATTATTAATGAGACAAAATACAGATTTTGCATTTGAATATGTAAACATTGGTTTAAGAATTATACTTTCTGTTGATAAAAATATTTGTCTATTATTTTTTACAGGTAAAAATGATGATAAGCCAGGCCCTAAAAAAATATTAGTTCTGATATAGGATTCACCTAATCCGTAAAGATTAATTTGATTTTTTATATTATTTGATAAGAAAAATACAGTAGCCTGTAAAATATATTAATTAATATCTTATTAATTTTAAATATTTTCTGTTGATTTAAATATTATTTTCAAACTTACCTCAAATTTACATAGTTGGTTGGGTGCAAATACAAAGAGAATTGGATGGATTGATTTGGCATTGATTATTCCACAAGAGTTTAAACAACAAAAATATGGATAAGCAGGAGATAATGCGTCATCATCAATAATTGAATATTTTACTTGATAATTATTGTTGTTGTACATCCAAAAAGCCTTTAAAGTGGTATTATAACACAAAAAATAACTTATTATTATTTTGCATTACTTAATTTATAATACTTTAAAAATTAACTTGTGCTGGTGGATTTGGATGAGCAATAAATATTGGTATAAAATTAAATTCTAAGTGTCCGTTTGTTCCATATTTTGTATCAAATGATATCAGATTTCCGTTGAACGTTTTGGATTCCAACAACAATTCAGTGTCATAGGATAATGTTTTACAAATCACATTTGACCATTTATAATTCAACTTAACTTCCTCTGTATTTACAATATTATTTAATTTAATTTGAATATTTGAAAAATTTTCCATCTGAAATGTTAAAATTGTCATCAATTTAGAGAAATAATAATCCTATTAAGACATCAAAAAGTATAAAATAATTATTCTAAACTAGTTAAAACATGAGTACAAACATATTTTATCACTAGGTATAAATATATTATAAATACATAATATATAATTAGATTTAAATAGTTTAAGTTTATTAATCAAATTCCAAAGAATGTTATACAGTAGAAATCACTACATCGAGCATAGCTCAGAACGAGATACTGCTTACAATGAGCAAAACCTGGCAAGAGGGTCCTGGCAAGAGCCCATATGATTGTATGTTAAAATCATAGACCTTATACTAATACACACGAAACTCGCAGGACTATAGCATTACGAGCTGCGTGGAAACATATAGCAGTGATGTAACTACCTCGACACCAGGTGTACTAATTTTACAATAATACACTAATGCAAATTATCGTACGTTTTCTGTACACGTCACATAATCAACGGTTTTTCAGTGAATAATTGTATATAATTGGTATTAACTGTAATTTGTATTTGGTGCTAATAAGTGGGTCGTAGGTACTCATAATTTTATGTTGGGACATCGGGCAGTTAAGTATATTTGGTATCATTCAGAATATAGGTAATGGTTAATTATTATTATACTTTTATAGTATGCACGATAATTTATAGGCAATTAATCAATGAAAAGCGCTCTCTATCATTCGCCCGGTGTGTAATCATTTCGTGTCTTATAGTAAGGCCTATGGTTAAAATATTCATTTACGAGAATGGTTCAAAGTGAAATCCACCTTGGTTATAACGAGTAAAATATATAGAATTATTAAAAAAGTATTCAGTTATAACAACCATTGACTTTATACGGGGGACTATAAAACAGCCGAATCGTATTTTAGCTGAAAATATTTCAACCGACCGTATTTAAACCGATCATAAAATTATCAGAAAATCTTATCTCTTTATTACAGTCGGTTGTTATATTTTCGGATAAAATACTATCGATTCAAATACTTTTCTGTTTAAATACGGTTCGGCTTAAATATTTTTCGGCTGAAATACTGTTCGGCTGATTAATTTTCGGTTGTTTTACGCGCGTCTACTTTATACTAATAGACTAAAACTGCATACAGTTAGCGCGTGGATTGATAGAGAGCACTCTTTTTTTACTCATTTACCAGTTTACGGTACCGTGCGAATTGTATACAATTTTTTTGTTTGACGTTTGCCCTGGCAGTATCTGTTAAAAGTATTATTTTAATGAAATAAAATTATAATGTTATGTACCTACTGGATTACATTAAATTTGTTTAATTAATATAATATTAGATATATTAAATTGAATTAAAATTAATAATAAATAAAAATAAAAACAGATAATTAATATTGAAAAATGCTTCTAGATTGATAAATACATATAATACTCGTATCACGTACAACAATAATAATATTTATGTATTATTTATGTTGGTAAGCCTAAACATTTATTGTGGGTAAACACCCTGCATAGCGCTGTCCAGGAAGATGCGAATGACTGTCCCGGCCGCAGCGAGTTTACAATAATAATTGTAAATATGCTACATTTGCTGTCAAGACGGACATCACTGCGTTATGTTTCCACGAATCTCGTAATGATACTGGTATGCAGATCACTAGTCTATCACATTGCGTTTCATGAAATTAGAGACTCGGCTACTGCGACTGGTGATCTATAATCAGTAGGGTTACTGAATATGTGCACTAAAAAGTGCACGTAAATTAAATTGCCGCTCGGTATACTAAGTATTGCAAAGTTTGAATGACACTGAAATTCAAATTTTTGGCCACTGATGGCGCTACAGTTCAGCCTCTAATTTCGTAAAACGTACTATAGTATAAAGTCAATGTTTATAACGAGTCGGTAGTTATCTTTTTGCTATTAGATGAATCTGCTCGTTGTATTTCGCTTTTATTATTTGTATGTTATATATAAACTTAATTTCTATGAGTTCTGACATTTTCAAGAATGTAATAATCAAGAGTATTGCCATTGTGTGTCAGAGTTCATTATGTCGTCAAGTTTCGTCTAACCGTATATAATGAGCTACTGGATACAAGTGTTACAACCAGAGCAATAATTTGGTGGCCATTGAAACTCGTTGTAGCCGATTTCTACTGTATTATTAATATGACCAATATTTTAAATTACTTCTAAGTTTGCTGTTGGACAAATTTGAATAGTTCCATAGTGCACACATTTATTAGCAAGGGTACCATAGGTCCTTTTACTATTATTTTTGTTATTAATGTTGTTTTTGGATGTACATTGCATGCATTTGTTGTATTTAAATGCCCAACTAATAGGGACTTTTGATGAGTTATTAAATTGAAACTCATAAATAGTTGATTCCGAAATTACTGGTATAGTCCAAATTATTGGTGATATATTTTTATACGCTTTCCTTAGTTCATTGTTTATTCTGTAAAACATATTGGTTAAATATAGGTAACTTTATATTTGTACGTGATTTTTTACTTAATTACTTTATGGAATGAAAAAGTTTGTTCAAAGTTAATTTGCCAAAATAAGGTATTGAATCGTTAGTTATTCTTGATATTTGCAATATACTGGTTGTTACGTTCATTGAAATTGTTATTATATTCTCAATTTCTGAACTGGGTGACTTTATATTGTTATCAAATTTTACATTGATGAACAATTTTTGAATACCCAACTCTGTCGGATAAATAGATAAATCTATTTTCTAAAAGAAAAAAATATAAATTAAATATTGATGTTCTAAACTCCTTGAAAAAGAAAAAAATTTGTTAACGTACACACTGACTTTTTTGAGGTGTAAATTTAAAAGTTTCTAGACTAATTTTACAAGACGGTATAGCCCAAAAAATTGTTGAGTACATGGGCGTTATTAAAAATTTGATGTTTGCATATGAATGGCTTTTATTTTCAATGATAAATCGCTGCGTTTTTTCTGTATTAACTATTACATTATTTATATTACAATTGGCCGGGGTTATCTAAAATAAGTATAATTATATATTAAAATATCGTAGATGCAGAAGCGTATGAATAATATTTTTAAGAAGTAGTTTGGTGAGTTGTTTCAATGAATTTATTACCTACTTAGGTACTAGTTACTTGTTGTTTGTAGACGTGTTGTAGAATATAGCATAATACACATACTACTAAGGTATTGATTACCTAATTACCTTAGATCTGTATTTTATAGAATAAATCGCTTGATTGGGGTCAATGGAATATTTAGGAAATCGTCATAGGGTACATAGTGGTGCATTTACAGGTGGGGATATTGGAATTTTATAAAAATGTATTCTTCTCAGTTAGCTAGTTTATTCTGTAAAAATACATAAGAAATATTTTGAAAACTATTATTTCATTCTCATATACAGAACTATAATCCAAATATGCAATTTTCAATACACCACTTATCTAAACAAATCATAATAATTAATTAAAATAAATTGAATTTAATGAAATCGTATAATAAAAATTAAAATATAATTAAGTAAGGATGAAATATAGTAATTTTAGAATAATCTTATATTTTTCAAAATGCGAAATATACATTTTTCAATGGCCATTTTCTAGTTCGCGTATAATAATAATAGATGGCACTTGTATCTTTGTCGCAGCTTGAGAAGGTTCAAGTTACACTTATCAATCGTTCGTTTCATATACATTATATAAAGACATCTCACACTAATTTTTGAGTATGGTAAAACATGCTCACTTTAATTGCAAATTAATCTGTCTGGAGTGATTTCAAAAAACATATCTATTATGAAAATTAAAATAGACAACACTTTTGAGGGTTGTTTTTTTCGAAAAAATTATTTTTTTAAAAGTTAGAATCATTTGAGAATGTTTAATTTCTAGAAGATATATTGAGGAATGTGGTGATAATAATAGAAAAAGCATTCATACAGCCCTCGGAAATGTGTTATAAAAATACAAAAATCGAGTCCGAAAGAAGTGGATGACATACCAATCAATAAAGCTATTGTGACTGCCAGCGTTGGAATTGGAATACATTCAATTTAGTGTATTTTCCGTAACTTATATATATATTCTTTATACATATTCTAGGTTTGCCGTAACACATACGGTAAAACACTTTATGGAATTAATTTAGCAATAGAACAAATAGTATATAAAATTGTGTCCAAATATACCTATAGGATATTACGGATTTTTACCGTTTGATTTTTTATCGTTCAGTTAAAAACGTATAATTTGAAAGGGGCCTTATACTATGATAATTTTATTGACGACCGTAATGATTACATATGCATATATGTACTCTAACAATGAATTATATGTGTGATCGATACGACGCTAGGTACCTATCCACTTAAACGTTAAAAAAAAATATTATTATCGATGGCCACCTATAGTCTGTCCCAGGAGAGAACGGTCCGCTTGTGCGCATGTTTTCCCCCTCCACATAACTTGATTTCAGCGAAGGCAGCCGATTGTCATTTCTTCCGTCGTTGGTTTTTGACTATACACCGCTAGGATATTTTGTAGAAATTCAATTGTTATTATCAGACATCTCGCATCGCACGTTTATTTACCTTTGCTGTTTTATAACCTCTTGATAATTTTTCAAATCGTAAACTATCGTATATACAAGCACCTTCTATAATAATCCAGACTTTGTTTTTTTTGTATACCTATTTATTTATTTAATATCTTATTGAACACTGTAGGTATAATACAGTAGGTATATTACAGTAGGTATAATACAGAGATATATAATTAATAAATAATAAATAATTATATTAAAACATTTCATTTTTTTTTTCGTTAAAATTAAAATTTATCATTTTTGTCATATTTAAATTTTATTTTATTTTTGATAACGGAGAAAAAAGTAAAAATTACCAAACGGTACAAAAAAGTAAACGCTGTAAAAATGACGCGTGCGTACACCACGGCAATTGGCGATAAACAGTGGACTATTGACAGTCAACAGTGCATTATTTGAAACGCAGTGTACAAAACCTGCACCACTTCTGCGGTCGCCGTTGCTGCGCTGTCGATAGATCTGGGAGGGGATAAATGGATAGTGTTGCGGCGTGGGGATGCGCAGTAGCGCTTCGATTTGGTCAGAGAGCGGACCGTTCTCTCCTGGGACAGACTATAGAATATGTATTATTTGCGAACAAATATACAAAGGCCGGTTATATAGCTAAATGGAATTATGTATTTAAAAATAAGCTTGTAATAATTTCGTGAATATTTCTTTCGTTGAACGGAGCGCGGAGATGTATTCGGCACAAGGTGCAAACGAAAACTGTGGCGGCCCAATTAATTTTATGTTGACGCGATGTGAACAATAAAACCGCGTATGAGATAATAAATTATGTTCCTGTCCATACCCCAAACACCGAGGACTTAAGCCGGGAGTACGAAAAGTAGCCGCTAATGCGCACGCTCCTGGTGGCAGATTTCTAACATGGTTTCGCAAAATTAAGAAAATAAAATTGATCATGTGATAAGAAAAACTATTCCCTATGGAAGAAAAAATAATAACAAATTATATTTTTCCATGATTTAAATAACAATCATAATTTTACGATAGATAAGATGCTCGGGATGCTCCGTTAATATGTCATAGAAATACTATTCTTTTTTTTTAACTTAGTTTATTATTTATTTAATGATGGTTTGGAATTGCTTGGCAAGTTGAAACGAATATTAATTCATTCGGAAATGATGACATCATCTGGTACTAATTGTCTGCCACAAGATATTACGACCATATTATTTGTATTGAATAACATAAAGAAAGAGAATGAAATTTAAAATGAGTACATTGATATGTTATGATATGCCTAAAGTGATGACGTATCTAATAACGATGATTTACTTCTAAATAATTTACAATAAACAGTTACGTATGTTGTTATGTAGGTGGTTTTATTGTTAAGAAAATAAAACAAATTATAAATTGCAATATATGTAAAAGTGAACTCACTGCAATTAATTCTAGTTTATTAATTGATATAAAAACATTCATCTACTTCAATTAATCAAAAATATTTTAAAATTGTACTTTTAAATCCGTCTGCATCACTGTAATACAAATATGTCACAACCACACCAAAGAATTAGATCTGTACTCATTAAAGCAAAAGCACTAAAAGAATGAAAAATAAAAAAAAAATGTGTTTTTATTATTTGTCTTTGTACGTTTCTAAAATTTTATAATAAAGCGGAATATCAAAATCCATGGAAGAAAAGTTACGAACAATAATTTTTTCTTCTGAGAGGAATAATTTATGTTGCGGACACGATTATGTAGGCATTCTGTTAATAGGTCTATGGACAAACATAGTAAACATTATTTTTAATTATTTAATATTTATTATTTACTATTTAGTATAGTAATTTCAAGTTTGATTATTTGAATATTTTAGAATTTTATATTATTATTATATTTATATTATATTTTTTTATCCACTTAATCAACTGAATGAATATTAAAAATCATTAACTATCCTTGAAGAAATCTAATATGTTTTAATAGGTCACATAATTTTTATGTTACATCGGTTTTTATGTTTTTTTTTTATATCAGTTCATGGAAATAAAATAGTTAACGGGTCGGTTATCGGTTTTATATCGGGAATATAAATCAGAATATCGAAAAAAAATGTTATTGGCCTCTAGTAAGTATTAACATTGATTTTATAATATGCATAATATATATTATAAATATAATAGTATTAAAAATAATCTTGAACCTATTAGTTATTCCTAAATTTAAACTACTTACATAAGGAATAGAGGGCTTCAGCCCCCATAAACCTCTATTTGTATCCTCCCCTAAAATCTTTATATGTATAGCATATGGTTCTAAATTACTGGAAAGGATTGAATATCGATTACGAGTATGTAATTTAGGTACATTAAATACTCACGTTGTCATGATAAAATAGCAATCATAGTTATTATGATAATAATGTGAAAGTGATAAGAAAATGTCGATTCGAATGAATTGTTGTATATATATTTGTGAGGAATCAAATATATTATTTAATCTATTTAATTAGTCTAATTTTGTCAATACTAGACGAGATTATATATTTACTTCTAATTGTGTTTTACATCCACTTCCTTTTAAGACCACGGGTAGTATGTTTATTATTTCTTGAAAATTATTACACATTATATAACATTTTACGTTCACCGTGTACAACACACGTTTTAATGGACAAAACGTTAATTTCAAATAACTTTTTTCATTTGGTCCCAACTCACCCGTAAGTTTATCAAATTTAAATACAAATGACGAATGTTCGGGGTTCGAAATTTTTGTGGAACTATTTCGATTTTTTAAAACGTTGATGAGAGATTGTGTGGATTCTATAGTGGTTATTGTAGAATAAGTGTTTAGTGTGATTGAACTTTTAGAGTTATTAAGTTCTACACCACTGATGGCATTATTGTGATCGAATTCACTGGTATTTCCATAATCGGTTTCTTCGCTATTCTCCTCGGTTTCTTTGCTGTCATCTTCAGTTTCTTCTAATCTTTCGTAGTGAAAACGTATTGATGACAAAGAAGTGCTGGATGATTTTATATCAGATTTAGGTTGCTGGTCGTACATATATATGTAATAATGAAGGCGATGTCTGGTCATGTTAATAATCGGTACTTGTGTATCAATTTCACATCCTACTTGAACGCTATTCGGAATGTGGATGCAATTTTTCTCGCCGATCACGACGCATCCAAATTCTACACTGGCATAAATGTCTATATTAACCTAGAATCGAGATTTTATTGTTTTAAATTTTTATAATCGTGATTGTGTTTAGACATTTATTATAGTTTTATAACCGAATTATTGTCAAAATCGTCAAACACTATACTCCATCGTTCGGCGTACAGTGACTCTTTAGTAGTCGTTTTCGTCAATTGAAATACAACAATTTGATAATCGCCATTTATCAGTCCACACTTTGGTTTCACCAAAAAAATCCTACAATTATATAAATATTATGATACACCTATTCATTGTATTTTGCTTTTAACTGGAATATTTCCAATTTTTGAATTTCTAGATTTTCTAGCTTTTTTTTTAAAGTAATTTATATAAATTTGCAGTTTTGAATTATTATTTGATTTTATTCTAATTTTATGTTAATAAAATGATTTCACTGCTTTTAATTTTTGCAAACTATGTTATCTACCAGAAATATTGTTCCAATGACAAGAGATCGATTTTTTTTCATTTACTATCTAGCCACTTACAAAGAAAATCGTTTTAGGACATCTAAAGTAGTTTTCATTATAATTAGGGAAAATCCAAAAAAGACTAAGAACACGATTTTTTTAAATTATAGTGCGTCGATTTCATTATTTAAAATTTTAATTGATTAATTTTTCTACCAGAAATATTTTTCCGAACTTTAAGGATAGAAAATTTTGTCTAATTTTTGAATAAGAAAATTGACATTTGATTTCTAGTATATCTTTCCTAATTATTACGAACAACTGGAAAAAACTGTAGGGAATACGGCAAAGCGACATTTGGGTATTTTGTTATTATTCGATACAAAATAATTGTAGAGACCTGTAATTTTCACAAAATACTTGTAATAGTCTTTTGTCTATAACGCAGAAAAATAAGTATTTAAAAAACATTCGAACTATTTTAAGGCTATATATTTATTTATTTATTTATTGGTAGATATTTGTTATTAAAATTATGACTTAGAAACGCTTGAAAATTTAACATGAAGTACGTTATAAAATGTATTTGGTGGTCTAGTAAACAAATTTTAGTTCAATGCATTTTTTTTTTTTTTTTAAAGCGTTTAAGATCAAATTTTGACGAAAATAGTAACCATCTAAAACATGTATAACCATTCGTTAAGAATAATTTTTCGCTAGCAATGATTAATCTTTGAATATAGATATACATTAAATTCTTGGTTCCTCTCTATATTATACCTTCTCAACTTCTTACTTATAATGGTGGGCCACCCATAGTATGAAATATGCACATCTTTATGTACTTAGTTATCTTTATGTAGAATGGCGATTCTACATTTCTGCGCCATTTTGTATAGATTTTAATTTATATTATTGTTATTAGATATATTAGGTTATTTGGAATAGGTGAGCATATTTAATATAACTTACGATTTATCAGGCGGTCGAAATTGAAACGTTGTCGGTACTTGAACGACTTTTTTAATGAGGAACGTGGCGTACACAGGCTCAGAAGCAGGTACGCTGGGTGGCATTATTATTACGCGGCTACTGAGTTTGCATTTTGGTGTCCATCCATTAAAAGGTTCTTTGAACGAATGGCCTAAAATATATCATAACAATATTATGATGTTATTTATTTTATGTACATAACGTGTATAAAATCAATAAAAAAATGTATTGTAATATTTAAAAGTAGAAGGTTATAGATGGTCAGGAATTAAAATTTCGGTATTTTGAAATAGTTCATTTTTTAACGATTATTATTTATTTATTTATTATTGTGTTAGTAATAATATTAAATTTTTTGTAGTTCAGACTTAATTATTGTACTGTATTGTATATAGTATTTAAATTTGACAACGTTGCATACAAATTCATACGCAATCGTGTTGATTTTTTTGAAGTATTATTTAATCTAGTGGTTACCAACTACGGCCCATGATCATTTATTAATCAGTCCATCAAAGTATTAAATCAAAATTTAAAAATAAAATAACTTCAAATTTCAAAAATTAACATTCACATTAAAATAAGATTTGTTTATACTTAACAATTTTTTTTCTCGGACATAACACATAACAGTTAATGCATAATAAATAATTAAATATATTACTGTACAATACGTACAATATATATACTGTACAAAATCTCACGGTTTTAAATTAATTATATTGCCGAGATTATATTACGACGTCTCAATATTACTCTCTGGTATATTGGTAAGTATTTATATAGTACCCACCCATAGCGATTATTGAAATGTTCATCGGGGTGGCCACGTAAGTATTCGGGATTTCATCGTTATTCTCATCAATAGAAGCCGATCGATCCGGGCCAAAGTGGAAGGTACTTTCGAACTCTGCGAAATAAACGTTGGATACAGTTTTTGGCCGAAAAATGCACTGTAACGTTTTTGTACTGCCGGCACCTACCCAAACTCGTTTCGGGTCCATGGTGAACGGCCTGTCGCGGCCGTGATCTGTTGAATAATAATTTAATAATTTTTTAACGGGATTAGTGTAATCCATAAACATATAATATAATAGACCGTGAATAACACATATTACGTGTATTAATGATTGAAGTCAACATATGTGTGGTAGAGACAGACTACGAAGAGGTTTTGTTTTTCTCATGGAAATGAGTAATACGGTCTAATCTATTTGACTGAGATTTTAACTACGATTGAAGTTTAAACTACTATTGTAAATCAGACCCTAACCGTTTTAAAATATATAGCTAGGTTTTAATGATTTAATGTCGACATAATAATATAATATATTATATTTCAACATTTCCTCAAATTGATAGCAGTTGCTAGTTACAGCTATAGCAGCGGCATGGATTAAGTATGCCTAACAACTGTTATGGCTAAAACTCACTGTTAGCCGTCAGTGGCGTAGCAGCGTGCAGGCCTGGTAAGCCTGGGCCAATTTTCTCCGAAATTTACACATTTTTAAAATCTAACATTTTTATTAGTAGTCTCATACAAATATTTATGTTGTTTAATTTTAGCTTATACCCAGACAAAAATTCCTAGCTACATTTCTGTTAGCTATCTATTTTTTCTAGTAAGGTAACTGTGTCGTTTATTTCAAGCAGACAGGTACTAATAAGAACCGTTCATTTTATTAGTGATATAAACCGTTATTTTCTATTGTCTGGTTGTTTATGATAATTTTATTTATAACATGTTTTATTGTTGATTACTATTTATTGATCACTGGAGAAACTGTTTTATTAATCTCTTCTATGAGACAACGTCTTATGGTTCTTTCTCTCTCATACATATCATGGCTTCATAGTTCTCACGCTATTCGTGGTCTATTATATTATTTATATTTCTATGATGTAACCGTTCAGATAACTACACACTATGCACGTGTTCGTGATCATAATTCACGGTCCACGATTCATACAAATTCGTCAGTTTTTATTATTTACAATCAAAGCCTTACTCAATATTCGTGTATATTTTTGATTCATGATTAGAAGAGCTCTTTGATTTTATACTTTAAGCACCCTTCGGAGCGATAGACAGCGAATAATTCATGAATTGTTCTGGGCCATGAATGATAAATTACGAATGACGAATAAGCCCTACACAGTACACACTATTCATGAATTTCAATGAATAGCGAACCATGACAAGTGAAAACGTGCTTTAGCGTGTAGCCACATAAATATTTTCTCCAGATGCGTGAGTGTAGTAATTTTTACTATAGGAGACGTTCTACGGAATACATGAAGTATTAATAATACGGAATAATACTATACATTTATTTCAACGGTTGTAATTACCGCGATATATCCAGCTGACGAAAAGTGGTGACTCGGTGTTATTGTGCACTTGAAACGACATTATTTCCACGTGTCTCACGTACCCGAAATGCAATTCTCTTGGAAACACATCAACGAGGTGTTTCACAGAGCTGTGTGGCCGCATGGGATGAATAACGTCTTTAAAAAAATCCGCGAAATTATTTACGAAAACTGGTAGTTCGAAAGGCATTTGGAAACACGACAACGGATTCACTGTAGCCGCCGAACTCGAAATTGCGTACACGTCAACGTAAACCGGATGCTAAAATGCGTTAAGTATAGTATAGGGGTGAATGCAGGAAGAAATGTCGGGGAGAGGGATTCCAAATATATCTATCACATTTTACCTTTGCATTACTGTAAATCAATGTATTATTTAAAATTTTAACACAAATTAAAAGATAATTTATATTGCAAAAGGAAGTCCATGCTGAAAATCCACACATATTTTATTGTAACAAGTAAAACTTTAACAGGAGTATTTTTAAAAGCTGAAAAAGCTTCCATGCCCCTTCATTTAGTAACAATAAAAAGTACAGGGCATACAAAATACTCGAACATAAACATAAATTATTCATTTTTTTTTTTTTTTATTTCAGGGATATCATTATTACTTTTCTAAGTCTATGAGTGTTTAAAGTAATGTAATTCCAAGAAATGTTTGCTTCGATAAAACATTACTCTATCGTAAGACACTCATTATATCAAAAAGTATTACCTTTTTTTAGAATTTGTTTTATAGAACATTTAAGAAACAAGCAGTTCTACAATTTTACATTTATGTTGTTTTTTGAAACATTTATTTTTAGCGTTAAAACCATTGTATCTACTTTTTATTTTCATATGGCAACCTATATTAAAAATTCTATGCAATATTGAGCATAAATTAAAATTAATTTTGTTATTGACATTTTAGATTCTGAGTGAAGCAAAGTAGCTTATAGTATTACAAAGATGTTTTTTTTCTGCGGACAACTTTTCTACCAGCAATTTCACTATAGTTTACAATGATAGCACTTTTTATAAAAGGAAATCCTATCTACAAGAATGGTTTATCGTTGCTTACAGATACATTCAATTTCCACTCTACTATACTTTCCCATCTCTCACCACGATTTCCTTTCGGAAAAAGTGCTATCATTGTAAATCGGAGCCAACTTGCTGGTAGAAAAGTTGTCCACAGAAAAAAAACATCTTTATACAACCAATAAATTTCTCGTGGAACTTAGAAACTGAAATATAGGATAAAATGTTTATAACATAAATAATATTAGACTAAGAAGGTTAATGCGAGTTTATAGCAATGCATTTTTTTAGAGGTTTAAATATGTATATGTTTAAAAGGGGTGCCAAATATTATTGCCTTAGGGTGCCAATGATAGCACGGCAATGAGTAGCAGTGTATTGTTTCAATGTGTATAGACTAAAGAGTCGTTAGCAATTGTGACTGATAAGCAGTGGCGCAACTATGGGAAAACACCCTCAACTATAATGTAAGCACCCCTCAAGTTCACTGTCTTTATAAATTCAAATATCTATAGTTTTAATAATATTATTTTATTTTATACTTTTTACTTTTGGTTATTTTTTTTCTTACCTTACATACAGATTATAATTTATGTTATTTTTGATAAGATATGATAGTGAATAAACTAAAATATAAACTTTCCGATATTAAGTTATTGATAGGACGTTATAGTAAGCCCTTATACAAGAGGTTAAGTGTTCAATCTTCCCCCCTCAAATTTTTAAAATAGGTACATATTTATAATATAACAGTAGTTACAGTAGTTAGTTCACAACTTCAACTTCATGTATTAAATATATTTTTAAACCCCCTCCCCCGAAAATTGATCCTGAATACGTACTTGTATCATAGACGGTCGGCAGCATTTGCAATAAGTGATAACTGATGACCTCGTCATCGTGATTTAAACGTTGTAAGTTGTGATATTGTTTGTTTCAAATTTGAAATTGTAAGTATTTGTTTTAGCTTTTAGCGAAGTTATTAAATTTGCTATTCGTTATTCATAATATTTGTATTGTTTAGTATTTTTAGTAAAATATGTATTTAAAGTATAGAGAGAGACCTAGCTAATGACATTGTTCCAGACGAAATATTAAACACATTTGCAAATATCTATAGGAAATTATGTTAACCACATTAAATATTAATATAATTAAATTATAAAATGTATTAAACTTTTTTTCTCCAAATATGGTATTGTGAATATAATAACAGTACAATCTAAATATTGGTAATATGTAATGTTAGGGGGGTGTGGGGAGAGCCCCCCACTATTGTGTAAGCGGTTTATAATTGTAGCATCCCCAAGATTTGAAGTCAAGTTGCGCCACTGCTGATAAGTACTAAGAATATTTATATTTTAACCAAAACATTTTCTACGTTAGTATAGTAATAAAAGAACCAGTAAAACTTCTATGAATTCTGATGCTCATGTCTAAATTTATTTTGAGGTCCTAAATTTCAATTCATATTCTAGTATTGTAAGAAATTTATTGATTTTATTATACTGTTTTTTAGATTTAGATTTTAGTTTTAATTTTTTTTTTTGTTTTGTAACATATCTTGTTCCAATTAAAACAAGAACATTTTTGTAGAACTTTGGATCTTATAAATGTTAAAACTGAAAAAACTTAGAAAAACCAAGAACGTTTTCAGAAAGAACGATTTGATTAATTATCGATTTTGTTTTTTTAATATAATTTAGTTGAAAAAAATATAAAAACCTTAAGCCTTCACTGAATACTTGTATTAGCTTTTTCTTGACGTGGTAAAATATTCAAGTTATTTTTAAAATATTAATAGGGCACTTGAAATTTTTTATATAATTTTAGTTTTTATTTTGTTTTATATGTGAATAAAATGGTTTTGGCTGAGTAAAAGTTTTTCAACATCTTACAATGTTCATTGAAAGATTTACTTTGTGGTCCAAAAAAAAAAGCTGTCCTAGGATAATGGAGACGGATGCAGTCACTGTTGTAGGCGAGAATTAGTTACCGTTAAGCCATTGCTAACGAAAAACGATTCAAAGCGAAGTTCAGTTTATAGTGTAATTGCTTTGTCAAAAATATATATGCCATGTTAAGGTAAAATAATTACATAGGCATTATATATTTCTTCAATAATATTTATTTATTATTGTACCTATTTTCCTAGTTTCCCACATTTGTTACCGGTTTTTCCCATTTATTGGAAAAACTACTGAGAAAATTAAAAAATGACCCTTTTTAAAGTACCTTCTTAGTCTGATTTACTTTCAGAAACTTTGCTACACTTAAAAATCTGAAGAAGATTTCTGGTAGAAAAGTTGTCCATAAAAAAAAATTAAAATAAACATCTTTGTAAAACCATAAACTTTTTCGCTCCACTCAGAATCTAAAATTTGAGGGAAAAGTACATATCACGTTTTAAGTTTTATCAAGCATACACACACTAAAAATTTAAGACTACTTGGGACTATTTAGGTAGAGGGCAAATCACAAAAGATGGGTACAGAATTTTGACTTTTGAGTATGTTTAATGTTCATCTGTAAGCCATAGATTAATTTGTAGGCATTAGAATTCAGCTTTTAAGGAATATTTATATCTTTTTCTTAATATGACTAAATTATAAGTATTTAGAGACAAATATAGAACTGAAGACTCTTTGGATCCTATTCTATACAATTTTATTATAAACAGCTTAAAAATCACCACTGTTTCAAAATTTTGCAACGTCTAGAAAAAAATAAATAAAGTATTCTGTGAAAATTTCATTATTTTAACTGGTTTACAACGAAAAACAAAATCAAAAATAATGAAACTCTAATGTCATAAATAAAATTTGCAATATGTCCAATTTTTGCACAATTATTAAGAAAACTAGATGAAAAATCAAAAATAGTGGGATTCTGGTTAAACACAATACATTTCTCGCTATATTCAGATTCTAAAAATAAACCCAGTATACAGTAGATCGTAGATAATAGGTATAGTTTATTCTTATGAAAATATTATATCGATCTTACGTGATTAGTGATAAGTACATACAGCCTCTTGTAGTAATATCCTATTGGGCAGTGTTTCAGCTCCAGTTTGATCTGAACGCGTCTTTCGATAACTCCGAACGACGGATTACATTTTAATAGACTATTCACACTATCATATTGCACTTGATAGTGTCCTGGTGATTTGGAATTATTCACTAAGTTTACTGATTTTACTACTGGGTTGTCTTCTCCGAGTCGGCATTCAAACAATATCTTCGTCGGAAAAATGTTCACTAAGGGGCCTTGAAATAATAAGAGTACATTAATTGTATGTTTGTATCGGTAATGTTGATTACATCTGTATACGTATACAGGGCAACCCACGAAGATAAACCCATCGCAATATCTCCTGAGATAATAAAGATAAGTCGCAGGGATAAGGACTACAAATATCTATATTTTAATTACATTTTTATGTTTTAGAAAAAAATTAAAAAAAAGCTATCCTAGGATAATGGAAACGGGTGCAGCCACTGTTATTGGTAATTTAATATATACCTATAAGCAACGATAATCCATTGCTAACTAAAAAAAGGATTCTGAATGGAGTTCAGTTGATCAGAAAACTCCTGAAAAAAATGAGCTCCTTAAAGTACCTTCCCAATAAGATTTTTTTTCAGAAAAAGTGCTATCATTGTAAATCTGAGCAAAATTGATGATATAAAAGTTCTCCATAGAAAAAAAATCGTAATATTTTACTAATACGTATATTTTATAAATTTTCCCGTTTTTCCTCAGGTTTTTTTTTCGGTTTTTCACATTTGATGAGAAAACTCTTGAAAAAATCGAAAAATTATCTCCCTAAAGTATCAAGACCTCAAGAAAATTTCCTTTCAGAAGTGTCTTTCATCGTATATTTCGCAGGTGCCGTATTCATCTATATTCGAAATGTTATTTTATAGGAGAATGTTGAAAATAAGCTGAATGCACAATTCTGCCCATCCAGCTAATTTATTAGCTATTTTATCTATTGGTTGTTTAACCAATAAAGAAATAATCGAAATAATATTTGAAGGACTAGAGCTATTATTGAAGATTAAAGTAAGAAGACGGAATGGATGGATAGGCCATTCAATACATGAGAGATTGTTACATTGTTAAAACTAATTATAAGGGGAAGGATAGAAAGGAAGGATTATAGAGGAAGGCTAAGACTGGAATACATTCAACAATTAATAAAGGACCAAGGCTGCAACTCATATTAACAAATGAAAAGAGGGAAATAGAAAATAGAGCTGCATCGGATTGTACGGATTGAAACCAAAGAAACTATGTATAGAAAATGCTATGATTATTCATCTTTGAATATCAATGAAAATAAGATAATAATTTTTCCAAATTAGCAACACTTTTATTTAGGTTGTTTTTAAGGAACTTAAGATTTTAGAATATACTCGTATAATATGAAAAACGAAATTAAATTTGTGCAAGTTTGTACGTGCCTATCATATTTTGGCCTTCAAGTTCCTACCTACATATATAAACTTACCATAGCACGATCCATGGACGCAGACTGTGATTATTGTTTGCACGATATTCTTTTGGCTATTGTATTCATAGTCATTGAATTCGTCTTCTATCATCTCAATGTGATCATTTATCGAAAATATTGTAAAGTACTCAAGCGTAGTTGGTATGTGCGCAGATTTCGGAGAGAAGATAATTGTAAAACTAGTCTTCTTGTTTGGAAATATTCGTGGCGTTTTGGACGGCTCGAAACTGATAGAGTCACCCAAGTACATAGATTCGTTATTATTTTTAACTTTGAACTTTGTAGATTTCTGTATAAACCAAAAAAAACAGTCCCAGCTCGGGAGATTAGTTTAGTTAAATTTTATCACTTCCTAAAATAAACTAGTGTATCAATTTAACTATTATAATTATTCCAGAAGAAAAAGTACCTAAATTATCATCATCATTCACTTATACCGAAAAACAATTTAAGCAGGGAGGGTTTAAAAGTAAAAAAATTAAACATTGTGTCCTATAAAACTAATATTTACTATACACATATGATGTGTAGGACTTGGTAGCATTTTTCAAATTTCATAGGAGTGGGTTGAATCCTCTTTTTTGTATATATTTTGTATACCTTTTTTGTGATATTATAGATGATAAATTCAACAGGTATTCTTAAAACTACTAATGAAAATTATGTTTCCATTGTTGAAGAAATCGCTAAAAAACAAAGATGGCGAAAAATAATGTACTTGAAGCCTATAGAACTATTTTGTTTCTAAACAAAGTTTAACTGTGGCTAAATTAACATCACTAGATATGCGAAAACTTTTAATTTGAAATGTGAAATCATCAAAATTAATAACGGACATTATAAAATTTGGACAAAAGAAAAAGTTTTTATAAAGGAGCTTTTCACAAAATTCAAAAGAACTCTTTTCTCAAACCAGATCAGCTGCTAAAGAAAAACAAAATAAGTTCGTATGGATGTTAAATTCTGATATTCCTATGACAAAAAATGAAGAATCTAAAATTATAAAAATTACATCACTTTAAAATATCATTAATAAATTATAGGTATTATCTTTGTAAACATTTTATAGGTTATTATTGTCGGGTTGCATAAACGTTCTATAACCACTTACAGAACCATTAGCGCACTTACTATAGACGCACATTGAGGAGTGTGAGTGCATATCACTCCCAGGCTTCAAATTAACACCCCCAGTTTCTCTGAGTAATTTATTTCATTATTTCACCATTTGTAAATTATTATGATTTATTATTTTGGATAAAATATACATTTTTTCCATTACAAATAGTTCACGAATTCAAGAAATTATATTGCAAAAGTTTGCAGTATCAAATAGAAAATTAAATCTTGTATAACTTTAATTAGTAATTATAGATAATAATTATATTTAAATATTTTAAATATATAATATATTATGTAAGTTGTAAACAATCCATTATTGTATAGACTATACACTTTAGTTGCTTAATATAAATAAACATAATAGTGATTAAAATAACATTTATACAATTTCAACTTTATAATTAATTATTATTTTGTCTATATACAAGTATAATTAATTGGAGTTTTGATTTAAGAGGACGCTATACCCACACGTCCTGTCCCATTCCAACTAAAACGGGCGGTATAGCAAAATCTACCTTAGGCAGTCTTCGTAGAACTCGCTTAATTTTGGCGTAAAAATTTAGGAGTAAAAACACCTATTATAAAATTAGGAAGATGCGTTTCTTTTTTAAAATTCATTCTTTATTTTGTTATAGTCATTTAAAAACGATAAATTAAGTTTCCTTCTTTTACGGTGTTTTGAACGTTATGGTGGCGCGTCAATTGATCCGGTAAATAATAACCGGCAACACATAATCGGGGGTATTTGATCTGATGCAAAAATACCCGGTGACACAATGATCCAATACAATTTGCATTTTTATTGTATTATTTTCTAGAGTAAATTAAAGCATGCCAACACATTGAATAGCGTGTGGATTATTCCCTATGGCTACAATCGTATTAATATATTAATATATCTATTATCTGTTGAAGATAAGATAAGTTATATTCAATGTAGGTAGATACCTAATTCAGTATAGTATAGCGGACTATTTCAAAATCTAAAAGTTCAATTTAATCATATAGGTACAATAATATCATGTCTAACCGACTGCTGTTTTAATATTTAGTTACTATACAAGGTCTGACCAATAAGTAATGAGACTATTTTTTTTGCCACGCTTGTGGTAACACTGCGAATCTGAAACTTCGTTCGGTTAATCTCTCATCCCTCCGCTATCGATACATGTGCTTGCGGTGTCCATACAATAATTAGTTTTCTAGTTGTGTTATGTTTTCGACAACGTGTTTGTAAGGCGTGTCACAAATATGGAACAACGTAATATAAATTTTGCGTTAAACTCGGCAATTCCGTTATGGAAACGTACGATAAATTGGTGAAAGTGTTCGGTGATAAAGCCCTGAGTCGTGCTCAGGTATTTCGTTGGCATAAAATTTTTAAAAATGGTCGTGAAAGCGTCGGGGATGAACCACGAAGTAGGAGACCGGTTGAAGTTCGAACTGACAACAATGTTCAGCGTGTGCGCACTCTCGTGCATCAAGATCGGCGTTTAACCGTTCGAATGTTGGCTGATGAACTTAATTTGAAACGAGAAACCGTCAGAAAAATTTTAACTGATGATTTGTCCATGAAAAAGCTGTGTGCAAAGATGGTACCGAAGAACCTTTCGGCGTGCCTTCAGTGTGTCTTCAGTATTTATTATTTTCTTTCATGCCACTAACGTTCATTAAAAGCAAAAATGTATTAATAAATAACGGGTTTAGTTATACTGCACATCAAAGATATGAAAAAAGGTTGTTTGGAATTGTACAGAATATAAAAAATTGTTATGCAAAAGTCGATGGCATACTACAACCAATGAAGAATCAGGTAAAATATACTTGTATTATATATTATATACTATATAGAATTCATTATTTAATTTAATATTAACTTTTAGAAATCAAAACTTAATTTTAACAAACTTCGTTAAGAATCTTTTTTCGTATTTCGGTATACCCATTTATAGTGATCTAAAAAAAATTATTGTTAGACAAATTACTGAATATTTGTATTATTTTCGTAATATTTAGCTACATTGGTACACGAAAAGAAAAATTTGGGTTTTACACACAAATATGAGAAATATTTCTAAGAAAAAATGTCCAAAAAATTAAACAATTTATTTAAAATATATTATTTACATTATTGTAAATTATGGACGATGATTGCAGAAGTCCTGGACTGTGTTTATTATTACTAATATTATTATTACTATTATTATTACTGTGTTTATTTACTGGAGTGTTTATTATTTAAATAATAATTGTTATTATTTAGTGCAAATTAATAAATAATGAGATATCAAATATTCATACTTTTTTAAAAGGCATTACCCATAATTTTCATTACTAACTTAACTTTTTCATACCCATTTTATTAACAATCATTTGTTTATTTTAATTGTAGTTTACCGATTTTAGTATATAGTATTCTAGATGAGCATTATTTTGACACCGTATTTTTTTTTCCAACGGATATTTTTGCACTAGACCAAATTTCACAGACCATGTGTCACGGGATATTATTTACCTGATCAAAACGTGGAACTGAACGTTATAACCAGAATAATAATAAGAATAACATAAAATCGCATCGTCTTACCCTCCAAAATATTTCCCAATTTCAATTTTATAATAGGTGCTTTTACTCTAAAATTAAAATTAAGCGAACTCTACGCAGATTGCTTAAGGTAGATTTTGCTATATCGCCCGTTAATTAGAGTGAGAAAACACATGCGGGTATAGCGTCTTCTTAATATATTTATGTAACAATTTAAAATTATTGTAACGTAGTTTATTGTAGTATTAGGAGGGTGTGGGTGGCAAAGAGCCCTCCAAGGATATGTGTACCATAAAATATTTTAGCACCCTTTAAGTTTACACCTAATGTTCGTCTATGGCACTTGCAGATTTGTAAACCAGATTGGATGTTGCTGAACATTCTGTATTATTTACAGACCTGCAAGTAGCTATAATTTACAATACCAAATTCGTTTTTGTAACTCCTTGCAGAACGATTTACAGATTGATATTATCATTTTATCAATGTCATTATTGATAATTTTTTTTTAGAATTTATTATTGACCTAACTTGGTACAAACTGGTATAACAATACATTTTTTACCGGTTTACTAACGCTTGATACCGATTATTTTACACCAGTCATAAATATTCGGCGATGGAAATCGGTGAAAAATTGTATAAGTAGATTGTGAATAAAAATACTCGCTCTACGTGGACTATACAAAAAGATTGTAGAGTTTGTAGAGAGGTTACTGGGTCGGAGTAACCCATGCATATGCGATTAAAATGTATGATAGAGGATTTAAGTAGGACAAAATTATTAAACCAAACAAAGTTTAGGATTGTAGGAACGAAAGATTTAAATCTAGAGGCAATATCAAGAGGCAGAGTATTCCAATATTTGGATTAAAGAGAAGATACGTGGTTTTATAGTATCGTACTAAAATCGGACCAAGGAATTAAGGAAAATGAAGGACATATAAGATTTGAAGAGGATTTGATCAAGGAATCTGCTATTTCATTGCCCTGAATGCTCATGTAACCGGGATTCTACAGAAACTAAATGACAAAACCGGATTGGAAAAAGTCAAATAGATAGAATGTTATAAAAATGTTTGTCTTACTTTGAGTGGATTATTCAATGTTTTAATTTCATTGATAATATGATAATTAATAATATTTTATAATCGATATTGAATGATTAAAATTATCAATTAATGAAAATCCCTGACCTGTTGTGTACAAATGATGCAATTAGCCTAGTCAGAGAAAATATTGGCGACATTATTCACCTAGCCGTCAAAAATATTGGGGACGTAGTTCACGTTGTCGCTAATGCAATATATGTTTTTTCGGACATAAAACGAAATCCATTATATGCTTATATTATAAAGGCGTATGAAAAAAATAAGGAAGTATGTATTATAAGTACGTCAGGAAATAAACACTTGCTTTTAAATCGTTTCTTATATCAATAGATCTTTTATGGATGGAACCAACAGGAACGACACCAAAGTCGATTTTTATACATTTTCTGTTGACGTCGTTTCCATCACAGTCATCTGGCGTAGAAAACATTATAACACGGTATAGGTACCTATAAAAATTATATTATTTAACAGTTGAAATTAATTCGAAAACGAGTATAAATTGATAAGTAGGTATTTTAGATTGTCCTAACATATGAAATATTATTATTCAAATTAAGTACAAAATAAACAAATTTTATGAATTGTCATGGAAATGTGAACTGTTAATTGAGAATCAGTAGTTATTTTAACTTTATACTAAGCAACGCAAATGTTATTCAGTGAAAAATTTTCGTCACCTATTAGGTATCTAAAAGCAATATTTTTAATAAATTAGTGACACTGGGTTTTAAATTCTGAGCGGAGCTGGGAATGTATTAGTTATACATTGATGTTTGTTATTATTTTTTTCTGTGAACAACTTTTCAACCAAAAATCTTGCTCCGATTTCACGTGTAACATTTTTTCTGAGAGGAAATTTTATCTGGGAGGTACATTAAGAAGGTTATTTTATGATTTTCCAAGGAGTATTCATAATAAGGGGGAAAACTGAGAAAAAACATTAACATAAACATTAACATTAATAAAAACATTAATTAAAAACAAAACAGCGGGAAAATTTACGAAATATTAGTTAATATTATGGCCTTTTTTTGATTGATTTTGTGATACCATCGTTTTTTTTTCATACGAAGTAAAAAATTCAACGTAAATATAATATATACAGGGCTTGGATATTTATGAAATTTCTTAATTTATTTTCTATCTAGAATATTTAATGTTTACATAGACACTAATTTGATTCACTTATTGGGTGTCGTCAGTGGCGTGTTGGCCGTGATTTTGAGGGG